TTCAACAGGGTAGGAATTCCTCGCAGCTAATCTTGCGCGGTTGGTGGGCTGAAGACATACCTCTCCAGAAATAAATGCCGACTGTCCGTTTATTTATAGTGGCATATCTGAGGTAAATGTGGTGTAGCAAATGTGTAACCTGAGACGGATGTCTCCACGAAAGAACGAACGAACAAGACGCAGTGTATCCACTCCTACAAGAATATTTATTTACTCAAACAGCCCGAAATAATTTGTTCATATACAGACCGACGAGAGAGGAGTGACTGGAATACTCGTCAAAATGTATGAGCTCGAGAACTTGATTTTCTCTCCCCCGACTCTTTTAGACTCGAGATTAGAGTCGATTAATCGATGTCTGTAGGTCCCGGTTGGTCATCAAGTAATCAACGTGGGTCGTCTAATTGTGATGGACATTGAGAGTAATTTATCAATATCAAGCAACGGGGGAGGAAAAGAGGGAGTTGGACGAACGCTCAAAGTAGTAACTTGATCTCTCTGGACAAAATTACTCGGTGCTTGTAATGTGACGAGAATCCAGCTCCCCAGTAAAAGTAAATGGATAACTAAAGAGGTGGAGTCGGAGGAAGGGTGGCATGCAAATAAACTTTTATGGAACTTTGATTTTAAACCCAATTTCACCAAAGTCTCAATGCATTTCCAAACTTGCTCGTTTATTTCTGCACTAATTGTTGCTTGAAAAATTGCTTTCTTTATGAGAAGGAATGATTTATGATACTCGTTGCAACACGTCCTGTGTAATGTCAGCGACCATTCAGCGTAATAACATGGCAAGTACACAGTAAAAATTTTTAAGTCTGTGCAGAGTAAAATATAATACTGTGCGGACTTGAAAGTGATTCCACGCTGTGCAGAGTAAACCGAGCGAATTTGCCAAAGGGTAACCGACTTAACCCTGAGCGAGTTGGTGGCTAGCCCCGCACAGGGTTAGCGTATAACTCGTCAAGGGGTCACCATTAACGCGGTACCGAGCTACCACTTTACTGGTTACAGGGTTGTTTTTACTGGTTTTGAGCTATCCATGCAAAGTATGTATTAACGGACAATTAATATTATATTCAATTAAAAACTTCGTATTTAATCAGGTGTAACAAAATTGTGGGTAAAAATTTAAAATTAATTATATCCTCTTCAACTATCTATCTATAACTATGTAAAATCCAAAAAATAGCAACATATTTGTCCGAATTCTTAATGGTTGTTCAAAGTTCAGATTATGTCCAATGCCCTGTACAAGTTCAACCAGGTCGATCTCTTTCAATGTCGACAAGGGGTCATCACAGATGTGTTTATCTAAAAAAATAAAACAGCGTTAAATATTTAGTACGAATGATTTCAAGTCCCCAAAAAATTATAATGAAAACTGACCTTGAAATTTATGGAAGTAATCACTCAAATTGCTCCAACAGCCGTCTTATTTCAACACAAGTACACATCAATAGTAGTTTGTGTACCAGAGAGTATAGATGGGATTATGCTAACTAATTATTATTATTATAAATACGTATTACTAATTGTTTGTATAAGTAAAGCAGAATTATTAAATTTCTGACAGTCAGGTAAAGTAAAAAAAATATTTTGGAGAGTGACGAGTGGTGGACTGACAAAGCTTCGTGCCCGCTCGTGATAGATGGAGTAAAAAGAAAGCATCCTTTTTACTCCATAAAGAGTAAATCACAGGGTCATAACTCGAGCATGGGTAACATTAACACGGGGACGAGTAAGCCAGTCAACATTTACTCGGCACCCGTTTACTCGTGGATTAACACCACATCGCATTGATGACTTTACTCCAGGTGGGACACGGTTTACAATGTGCAGTGTTGGAGTCATTTTTACACAAAAAAGGGTTACCTCGAATTTTTAGTGTGTACTTTCGGCCGTCGCCTAATGAATCGCTGTTCACGGTACGTTGTGTCAAATTGGACTGGGATGAAATGCTGCGTAACAGTGGACTATTGTCAGTGGATGTTGATTGCTTATGATTGATTGATCGAGTTAGATTGATTAGATTTTATGGTGATGAAACGGTACATGCACGCTGCATGAGGCGAGTAGTGAAATTCCCCACACAAAGGGATACTCCTTGATGCGATATCAATCAATGCAATTTGCAACTCATTATGGGTGGTGTGTGAAAATTAGTGCATCGGGATTTATGGTCCTCCATTCTTGATGCAGAAATCTAATTATTTTCAAGTGGTGCTTGGCACAGTCTTTGATGATGTCGACTAAATATTTCGTGAAATTTGTAACAACCACGGAAAACGCCGCTCTTACAAACCATTCTGTGTGGTGAATTGAATTCTAATTTAATGCATAATAGTTCCCAAATTGTAATATTCCGAAATTCAAGTGTAATATATACAGGTAGCTTTAAACTTAGGCAGTTGAATGAAGTAAACTCACAGATGGGCTGCTATTATTCTCGCCAAGTATTTGTTCCCTTCCATCCAACCCGTATTCTTGATTGCTTAGACAAACAACAACAGTTAAATGTTTCTACTTCAAAAGCAGTATGCAACACTTGGAAATCTACTGAATGATTTTGTATAAAGCTCTGAAAAAGTTTCTCCAACAATGGCCAATATGTATGTATGCACGCACGTATAATATGCATGCACTGATTTACCCAGGTGCTTGACATCCTATGGATTCTGTTGATTTTATCTGCGTCTTATAATAATGCGAATGCCAACCAATTATTGAACTTCATCAGCTAAAGCGAATTCCGACAAAGGAATCGACATGCTAAAGTGGACTTTGAACGTAAAAGCAGCAAGTTGTTGAAACTGCGGCAGTTCGTGTGCTGCATAATTAGTTTTTCCGTGTCCATATTCTAATAGTGCAGATCTCTGACAGAATTTATTTAGTCATGAACCGTTTAGTATTCTATATGCATACGCAGTGGTGTAAAACACTATAGATTTTTATAAAAATAGGCTTCTCCTCAGTTTTACTTCTTAGATATTTCTCTCCACTTGTCTATTGTACTGCTAAATAAGTGCTTATTTTGTATGCATGGTGCATATTTTATTCCGTAATAAGCATTTTATTGCAGTCGCTGTATATCTCGAAGGATTTCTTCATATTGTCCAACGTCCTGTACGATAAGAGACTTATTGCTTATGCAATATTGCACTATAAACATTCCCCTCTCATCCCCTGGTTCGGATGCTTATTACTTCACCAGACATTGGCTCTGGCTGTGGTTTCACAAGAAACAGACAACACAGAAACGCTTACCACAAAAGTCAAAATGCATGCAATGCAATATATTTTTATATTTGGACGTCGGATATGAAAACGTAATCCATCACTGACAACCTTGCAATAAAACGGGGGACATAAAATGATATGAAATAAATCGGAACTTCAAGTGGATTTTCTCGGCGAATGGATTCAACATGTATTTTGTGGTTTTAGGATGCACTCTTTATACATATATCGTGTATGCATACAGCGTTATGCACACTTTATCCGTATTTCGATCATAGCAATTGAAATGATTGCCAATATTTATTATTTGAACCGAGTGAATGATCCAAGTCCAGGAAAGCAAAAGTGGTGTCCGTAAATAGATCTGGCCATAAGCTCCAACCTGACGACAAAAGGGAGATGATATCCCAAGTTCCGTATTTTCTTCTTCCAGTACGTGTACATATATTTTTAAGGGATATTTCTGTAGAGGAGACTTTCACACGCTCGAATGTCGATTTGTTTTCATAAAAATATATCCCGAGAAAATTTCCCCTTTGAGGATACAAAATGCTGCTGGTGTAGACCTCACAGCCAATAGCACCAAAGAGCAAAGAACAAAGAGAAAGAGGGCTCCTGAAATTGTAATAAATGCAACTGCAACTCTCCCAACCTTTGTTTGGGTGGGATAACAATCAATAGGAAGAAATTGGCTACACCTGCTCTAAATTTGGGCAATCTGTTGCTAATGCGTTGTATGGCTTCGTGTTGGCAAGTTAAGTCAACAACGGGGTGTGCACAGCTCAAACGACCAGATTGAGGATTACAAAATCAAACATAGAGAATGAAACCGGTGATTTTATTTGACAATGGATCCTTGTGAATAAATATGTAACAAAAAGTTAATGAGGGTGTAAATTGACAGTTTAAATTGAAGTTTGGGAATAGCATATCTATGCTATTCCTCAGGAGAATTATGTGAATTCCAAGACTTTCAAGAAAATATACTTTCACGAAAAGCATAATACTTTATTTCAAAGCATAAAATCGTGCACTGTTGCGAGCTCTGGCTGAGAGATGGGAAACCTCCGTGTTGAATGTTCAGGGTGAAAGTGAACAACGGAGGAACGTTCGGAATGTTGGTGGTGAAACCTTTCCTGCTTTCTTTCACTCTGCGCTGCCCAACTTTCTCCTTGCGTCTACACGATGGCAGTGCCAGTGACTTGTGGAAAATAAAAGCGAAAAACAAGACTGTTTTACTCCTCAAGAATGCAAAACTTGATGCAATTCTCCTTTATTTTGCAGTGCTTTCTGTCGAATAACAAATGATATTTACTTTCCTACGCTTTTGCTTGTTACACATTGTTATACAAATTGCACACACGTCGTTGGTTTCCTGAACAAATAAACACAGTGTTAACGTGGCTGGCTATACGTTTGTGTGGAGAACCCAAATGAATACACACCCACGCAGTCTGTGCACGATATGGGATTGTCACCTCCAACCAACTGAATTGGCAGGATTATGTTGTAAACTAAAAGAAAATACATTTTACGTTCGCTCCTGGTTTTATAAAGTTCTAAAAGTTTACACCTTTCGTACAATTCTCACACCACCAGCGGATTTGCCCCCAAATAAAAGAATGTTGCTTTCGCCACTTTTATATGATATGCTTCGAAAGCTCCAAACAAACAAAGCTGGAGAAAACAAGAAAACTTTATTTTTTTCTGTATGTCTTCCATGAAAGTATAAACACGTTCTTTTCTTTGTTTCTTTACAGCCCAGCATATTTGGGACGGTCGCGTCTTCACCAAGCCCCGATTTCTGCTATGCTGCCAACCACCAAAGAAAGGTAGAGAAAGCCGTTAGTGCTATTTATAATTATTCCTTGAAATATGTGTGTACAACTCGTGTTCAAAGAGGACCAAATAACTTTAGGAATTGCATATATCAAGGAACTTGTGGCGAAACCGAGACCGTAAATTACGGATTTAAATTCTTAAATATATCCGGGTATCCAGAGTAGAGTAACATACTTATAGTTGGAGCTTATGGGTAGGGAAGGATGCCGACTGAGTCCATATCCCATTGGATGGATGATGGGAAGAACATCTCAGTGCATGCTAATTGATTTGATCATTAGCTGATTGGTAGCCGTACTGGCGGTGCGTGTATGCAGGAAGCTGAGTTGGTGAAAGGAAAGCCAGTCCAAACCCGTGAAATATTGCAGTGTCAACGACGAAACTGCTTTTACTCGAGTATTTATCGGTAATAAGGAGGAGGCTTGAACCAAAACTATCATCAAACCCCCATGCATAACACCAAAGCAAGAAGTGTTGTGCTGAGTTGCTCTCGTTCCAACTTGCGGATTATGCAAATGTTGTCATCCTCATATTTATTCGAAACTGCTTTATTCGAAATATTTCATAAACCTTGAATCAGTTTTTTTTCTTATAAAATTTTAGAGTACCAAAAGGAGTATCAAAATTTTTTTTTTTACATACTTATGTATTGTATTCGGCCTTATCCGTAATACTACGCCAATTTAATAACTGTTGCCTTTTTTGCTAAATGACAACACAGATAATTGGTAAGACCATACATGTGCAGTAACGTAACCGCCGGGTAATAGATTGTCACCATATTAATACTTGCATTCCCACCTAATGCGGGTATTTCCACCAGTTTATCAAGATCAAAAGGCTTTTCTAAATTTCTCCCACTTTGCAACTTTGAAAGAGTTAATTGGCCATATGACTAATGACCTGTAATGGATCTTAATTTGCATTTTCTAACAACAACAAACTTCGTTGGTCCCCCGGGTGTTGTTCTTAACACGAAATGTCGTGATGAACATTCACTTCGCTGGATCAAGCGTTCACGTCATCTGATATGCATAAATAAATAGAATGGAAAGCACCACGGCGTTATAGAACTTTGAACTTGAATTACCTGCGGTGTTGCTGCCAATATCGCTTCTATATCAAATGTTCAAATGGATCATCTTTCAGGTTAATTAATCAGCGTCATTTAGTTCCTCTCGCCATATGCACAGATACATTATGGATTCCATTTACGTACAATTACCGCAATTTTCCCTTGAGGTTGGCATTTTATGCAGGTTTCGTGCAGTACCTTTCACAACTTTTACAGATACATAAATACTTCTGTGCTTCAAAAAACGATCCATGCAGGCTTCATTAAACGGTGTAAGTTTTGTTACCGGTCAACAAGATATTCTCCTCATGATCATTTGCAAACAAGCCCTTTGTTAAAGTTCAGCATTGCTCTCGGAATCAAAACGCCATCAGCCCCTAGATGAATGGAAATGGTGTTTGTTTGTTTGCAGATGAACTTTCTTTAGTGAAATGAAAGCAACAACAAAGTTCGAAAAGATTTAAGTGTCAAAAGTTTGGGGTGACGAAGATCAATGTGCCCCAGCGGTTATGGGTGATTATATGTAACAGCAGCTTTGCTATACTCGTATGACTGATCATCTCGAGACGAGACGGGAGAAGGATCGTCTGTGCAATCAGATTCTGTGTAACGCAGTAAAGGCAGTGTAGCAAAATATGCAAATTCAAATTGTGGTCGAGATTCCAGAGTCTGTATTGAGATTGTGCTTTATTTATGGTCAATTCAGCTGTGAACTGAATAAGAACTAACCTCCGTGGAGAGGTTACACTCTGAACAAGACAATGGTACGAATAATCGATAACGATGAAAGACGTTAATTCGTTAAGTTGGCAGCCAGCAAAGGATCCGCTATATGCAAACTGTGGCAGCATTTTGTACGTTGGATATCTACGTATGCACATATTGCTCCTTCAACAACCTGGTTCATTCTATGAATGAAATGAAGAGATGAAAACGGATCAGACCCAATATTGACTTTCTCACGGCGAGAGGGTTGAATAGATTATGCATTAAACGTTATCGATATCTTTTATCTTCCTGCCTTGCGAAGGAAATCGCTTCAACTTTAACTGGAAGTAATGTATATTATTCAGAGAATGGATACTACGTGCGAGAATGGCTGTGAAAGCCGGCTAAATTGTCCACCCTTCTCCGCCCTTATTGGACAAGATGGACAAGATGATATTATTACCAGCAGAACAGCATCACTAGATTGCTCATCATCACTTTCGATAAAGTGGTGGGTCGAGACAGATGAGACTTATGCTGCTAATGGACATTTTGACTTTGACACGGATAATTTAATGGGGTCTCCTAATGTACTAATTAAATTGAGTCGAGTCATTTTGTGACTAGTCGCTCCGTAGACTCAAAGGTAACCATTGTGCACGCTCAAGAGCTGGGTCTGCCTTTAATTTAATGCGAACCGTTTGTCACTACTCCCATTTGTTGAGAGAAACTAAAAATCAATATTTATGAAATAATTTTTGATATTGTATTTTATTCGTTATTTATGAGTTTAAAATTTCTTGCGAATTTGACTGTCTAGAACGGTGAATGCAATTTCTCTGAGATCAGTGTAATTTTCGATTGTATCGGTTTGGGAACTTATTATGGTCAATTTCATGCGAATTGGGTAAACATTTTCCATAGCATACTCGGCACATGTTATCTTTCCATCCATGACTGGAGCAAATAATGAAGGAAGCATTTTTTTTTCTTTTGGGACGGAGTGGAACGGAGAAAATAGAGGGAGTGGAACCCCGCAGGGTTATCTATTTCTCCGCTTCCTTAAAATATGTGGAAAGTCAAATCCACTTCCAGTTGACATTTTATATCATCATGGCATTGTGTTGTAAATTCACTTATCGACTTTCTCTTCCCGCAGCACGCAACATTTTCAAAAGAAAAACCGAGTTCAAGGATGAATGCTCATTTTTTACGACAGAATAACAATACAAATACATATCGACAACAGTTAGTCAGTGCCATTGTGGAGCATTGTTGTTTTGTAAAGGTTTTCCTTATTGAATTATGTACATTACAACCTAGAAACGAAACATACATATATCTGAGCACATCCACCATGTTGTAGGCACACTTATGTAATATGTTTATACATATACGTACGTTTAGAAAAGCATTTGTGAGACTGAGCTGAATTTGACAACAGATTTATTACGCGATTGTACTCTAAAAGTTTCTGTTTTCAATCATCATTTATTCATTTAACAAAGTTGGTGAGTGTTGGTGATATCCCTTAAAAAATGGCAAAGAAATAAGCTGGGTTTTCTTGAGTTTTGTATGCGATGTAATTAATTGTAAACAATTTTCCCCACTCGAGGTCGACTCAAATTTAAAATACCACACAATCCCAGGAATGAAGGAAAGACGGAGAAAAGAGGAGGTGTCCGATTGGGGCCTTCCATTCCTAAACAAGATTGGACCAACTGCTGAAATGAAATTTGGAAATGAATAAGTGGACGAGTAAGCGGATTTGATTTCATGAGAATTTCCTGTGCTGCAAGGTAGGAGACATTTCAAGTCTGAGTGGGTGACGCTAAGTAGTGCGTTGAGAGGATTCTCGAAACAAAGTTCCGTATGATTCTCCTCTTCGTGGCACATGGCAAGTTATGAGAAAGTGGAAATTAAATGGGGTGCTGGAGGTGGAAGTAATTCTAGACTTGCAAAAGGAGTGTCTAAATGAGAATCAAACTTTCGGAGGGGTAAAATTCCGCTAATTTTTAGCTCGAGTCAATGACATGTTTAATACATATTAAAAGAATGGAGTTTGGGGTTTGTGGTCCTGGCGAAATTATCCAGTCGGAAATTTTTCATTTGCAACTTGAACCCTGCTGAATGAAGGCCTGAATTCTACAAGTCACTAAATCAGGAAAAAGGAGATGAAAGAATTTATTTCTTCCTTTGAAGGGCAAGAAAGACAAACCGAAATTTTACGACATTTACGACCGTGTGGACATGAACTTTTCTGCTCGTTCAACTCAAATAAAAGAAATCCCTCCCGGTATTGCGCTCGTACATGTGTTTTTTATATCGCGGACTTGTGTATCGCAACTTGCGATTAGGTAAAAGTCTTTAGGTAAAAGCGAAATTTCGAATGCTTCGGCTTTAGTTTTAACTAACCTCTGACACATTGCAGTTTATTAGCATGCCTGGTAAGGTTACATAAAATGACAAAGAACAAGGTCTAAAAATTGAACAAGAATATGTTGTATAACTTTGGATAAGTAAAACGCAGTTGTCTTACAGCACCATGGGGTGTTGTAGATCTGCCACTGCACACCTTTCTTGGACAGAACTAGATAGGATATGTACTTTAAAAGTGTTACGAGTCGTAGAACCATCGAATATCTTACATAAGGTCAAAATGAGATACTGTATCCGACATAGTTGAGAATTGGAGCAATTTTCATATCTTGTTAAATTCACCCTTTATGATTTTCAGAACTGTAAGCACGATACAAGAGATAATAAGTTGCATTGAATATTGGGGGATTAATGAACTTCTCAAATTGACTGGGGTGGTCCTGCTGCGCCAAGCTTTGTTTTTATGATCCTCTATTACACGAAATGAGTCGTTTTGTGAGGGAAATTAAATCCGGAATGACTCATCTTATTCGGTTTAGAGAGAAAGAAAATGAGAAAGTAGGTGCAACGACTATACGCACAGACTATGTACCCTACTAGCACATTGCCAGTGCTGATTTTGTACCGATGTGCCCCATTTCTCGGTACCGATTGTATACCGATTTCGTGCTGGTACAGGGAAATCGGTACCTTACCGGTACAGTTTAGGAACAAATTTTGGGTACTGGGACTGTACCTGAAAAACTGTACAAAAATGGTATCGGTACTATGTGTACGGTTCCAATGTACCAAAACTGTGCCGGTAAGGTACCGATTTCTCTGTACCTGCACGAAATCGGTATACAATCGGTACCGAGAAATGGGGCACATCGGCACAAAATCGGCACTGGCAATACGTACCGGAACCGCATAGGTTGTGCTGGTAGGGTATTTACTATATATGCTCCCCTCCATCGTAAGGCCGGCATCTTCTTCATCTTCCGTTCAGTACGGGTCGAAACGAACGAAATGCTCTATAAACATAACCATCTGCATGGACATGTGGGAGAAAGTCTCAGCTAAACTTGTCGTTGCCAGGTAGAGCCATTAAGTGGGTTTGTCAACGACAATGATTTTCATACGTAGTACATACGACTACGATAATAAGGATTATTGGATTAGTCGAAGAAAATATTCTGGGTTGGGATGTATGTGCGTATGTTGACAGAATTAGACCATATTTACACGAAGGGACTGATAAGAATGCATGACTCACTCATTCTCAGATATAAGTGCAACACGGTTAATCCTAATTGTGAAGTCCCTTCCCTAACAATGACTCATCGTCTGCTCAAATTGTGTTCAAAGTTTTTAGAAAACAGTTCAGTTAGTGTTTGACTTTCATCAAGCAAGCAGTTGTAATAACCATGAACGATAAACACATACAATTAAATGATATCATTTGTTACTACGAGAGTCCCGTCGACGAATTAACTTTCACCACGGCCACACCTGACTTCAAGTTTTAATAATCATTCTGCAGTGATACCTTCAGTAAGGTGGCCATTCAACGCCAAAACAGTTCCCATTGAGTTGAATTAAATTTCGGGACACACAATGAAAACGTGATTAAAATAATGGAACCAGAGTTTGGTGACAAAATTGGATTGCCATTTCCTTAACTTTTAGTTCCTGTGAATAATTTGATGTTTGCAAACAATTTTATCATTTCCCGTGTTAACTTTAATTGACTAATCTCCCACAATCGAAATTTAATTAAAAAGGAGAACGTCAGATTTCCTGATCACTTCTTAATTTCCAACCACTTTTCACCGCTACTGCTACACGATCATCACGTCATTCAGACAACCCGTATTGTTCCCTAAAATGAGAGGTGGCCGAAATTTGTTAAAAGCTTTAAGACTTGGTAGAAGTCGGAGGAGAGGTTCTGGAGACTGGTGGAAGTCATCAGGTCGCCGTCACAGGAACTCCAATGATTTGATAATTGTTGGATTCACGGTAAGAGATACTTTGGCTCAAAAATTCTTTAATTTAGATTTTGATGTAAAGATGGCAATTTAGATTTACATGCGTCCCTTGTTAAAAATCTCATACAAAGGAAACCCGGAAATTGACTTCCTCAATTCATTCTCAACCCAGTCCAATTTCCTTCCACTGGTTTGGTTGTTAGTCTTCTCTCTCGTGGAAAGATGAGCCAAAAGACTATTTGCGATTAGATTGCGAATTTCCGTAAAAATTCCAGTAGACTGCTACGTTTGGTTGGTTAACTCCCGTGGTGAATAGCGCATGGTGAATACTCTGGCACAGAATTTTAGTTGGTGAAGGGGAAACAGATTTTACTTTTGAAATGAAAATCATACATCCGAGTGAACCCATGTTAAAGTTGAGAACAAAAATATAAAGAATGTGTGATCATGGGAGCAGTTTACATGTGAAAGTATGACAGGGAATTGGGTTGGCTTGGCTTATTTTTTCCATCATGACATTACAATATAGATTATGGAGTTGGAAACAGGTCATTTCTTTTGGAAATACGTAATACAGATATTCAGCATAAATATAATTAAATTCATATCTAGTTTCTTTTACTTTCGAGTCTACTTGTACTTTCCCAGCTTACGTAAAACAGCATGCAGAACATCCAAGAATTCATACCAAACAGTCAATCTTCTTGGTGTGCACATGCATCTGCGGATACTACCGAGTAGGATTTAAGTACTAGTCACCACCAGAGTTGGGCAAAAGGGAAAACCGGTCTCACATCCTCGTCAGTGTTCCAAGGGTTGTCTGCAGGTGAAATGTGCTGCTTTCTTCGCCCGTTTGCCACATGCAACCACCTTTGTTCGAAGAGGTGAAAGTAGTGAAAGTTCATCAAGACCACGCAGAAGTACGAAATTTGTAACGAGCACTGTGCAAGAATAAACGTTTCTGAATATATTCCTTATCTTTAGTGATTCGAGGCATATTTGGCTGTCGAGGTCTTATTGATCCTTTGTCCTTTTCCGATTGGGTTAAACCTATTGGCTGCAATTACCAACCAAAAACTGTCACTGTAATTGAAAGTCTCATTTGTTATCTCTATTTACTCACAACTTCTCGGCTACTTTTGCTCTCTCTGAAACCATTAAACTTGTATTTTCGTGAAGATTATACATGGAGTATAACTTCCCAAGGAATGCAACGTCTCATTTCTTCCCTGTAAGCAGAGGAAACTTTGTCAAATCAAGTTTAAAGTTTGATCCACTGTAAATCCATCCAGAGTTGTTGATCATGTAAAGTCAAGGAAAGTAAAGTTAGCATGAAAAGTTAGCAAACTTTATATTCTCACATCCCTAAAAACTGACTGTAAATGGGCGTCAAGTTGTCTTTGCCCTTCACGAAGGAGACTGTTCATTTTTGCCCCCAGAACCAATTTTAGCTTTTTACAGGTACATATACATGCTCGTTTATGTAAAAATAATGAAAGTATTACTTTTTTCTTTGGAGTTGTCCCCCTCTTCATTTATTCTCCTTTTTAGCAAATGTAAAATTAATTTGTATTGTAGGAGAGGCAAAGTTTAGGCAGTCTTATAACTTGTAGCAACTTGAAACTATGCATAAATGATGGTGTAAAATCCAACAGGAGTCATTTTGTTGGTGTTTTCCAGCCATTGTGTTTTGCTTAACTCAAAAGTCAAAGGGAATTGTGTGAGTTTTACCTCTCATTCTGTGGTTCTTATTCGAATCCAACGTAGCTGGTTTTTGATGTATGCATGGTGTGCTTTGTGGTACGATTTGTAAAGCTTATAGCCAAAATATTACAGAAATCCCACAAATTCGTAATTAAACTTTGCGGAAACTTATTCGCACTGATAATAGGATCCTAATAAATCATATATCTCGAATTCGGGTATACATAATTCCAGAACTTTCTACTAATACGTGAAAGTTTTCCGGGGTACATATTGTATTTGTTTATGAAATACAGCTATCACTAATAAAACCCATAGCACAACAACACACCAGTGGTGAACATATTTAAGTATGTATTTGTACGTGGCGAATAAATCAACAGAACCAGATTTCTTTGAAGTTTTCAACGTGCTCACCGACATAAACCGTGTGGTGGTCGTGTGAGATTGGGTGTGCAAATTTTATGACTTTTCCATTTCCGATCGAACAGATCAAACTTTGGTTTTGTCCTCATCCGTAAATCCTGCGAATGTTCAAAACTGCAAACGTAAATCTGATAAAACATTTTTGGATCTCTGCAAGTTCTCTGGTTATTTTTTCCATTATAAAGTTCTGGATTTTCCAGTCAGGTCCAAAACAAGCGAATGATATTTTATATGAGAATTATACCAAATTCCATAAAAATTTAAATTATTTGTGAGCACTCCATTATGGAAATGTAAATGATCTCCAACCACAAAACAGTCCAAAGTGCGGTGCGAACTGGATGTGTGGAATTGATTACATGGAAATCTTACATAAATTTATGCAATGTGAATTGATTAACTTGTGACACATGTGATATCAAAAAGTTGTAATGGCTCTGTACTGGTACGTTAGAAGAATTCAGAAAGCGTCCAAAAAGCTGAAGGTATTACTTCCGACGTATGCATAAATATGTAAATACATGTGCATGTGTAACTCGTATGTGGTTATGATTTTTGGGGATGTGCGTAATTAATTATATTAATAAAGTATTATATTTAAACGACTGATTTTTGTGTGTAATTGCAGACGTTGCCACAAACCCCACTGACTGCGAATGGGTCCCTTCCAGCCACCTCCATTCTAACCAACGGATCTCACCCCATTGAAGTGGCGGAGACCATGCACCCCATCGCGGAGGAGAATGGACGCCACCGACCACAAAGCTCGCAATCATCATCCTCCTCCGCGAATGGGAGGACCCCGTGCGATTGGGACAATGTAAGTCGTCAAACTGTTGCCTACTGCTAAGTATCAGGCAGTACCGTAGTCGCTAATAAAAAATGCACTGCAAAAAGCCTCGATGCATTCTATAATCTTATAGGAATTGCGTTAGATAATGGGTCATTTAAAAATTGGACGTAAAATCACTGAAAACAGGCGCATGCATAAACATAGGCGATGGAATAAAGAAATGAGATTGCAGAAACCTCGCCGAATTGGCGTAAATAGGAAATATTGGCACAAGATTTTGGCCAATGATTAAATCATCATAATGATAAAGTGGGTGACATGTTGTAATTTTGTAGCAAGTTGAGTCGAGTGGTTAAGTGGATAAAAGCTTCCTATCTCATTTTAGTGGCATAATACAGTACATTTCTTGAGAAAAGGAGTTTCATGTACATACTTATGTGAGTAAATCGATGCGAGTAGTCACCTGAAATTCAGATTCGCCTGTTAATAATATTTAAAATACAGATAATTTACGTATAAGTATTCGTAGCGCTTGTTTTTTTTAGTTAAAGGTTCATTCACTAAAGTGTCCAAGTGTGCAGCAGAAGCTGTTGAGTGTTAAGCGAAATGCACACGAAAAAGTGGTTTGGGAAAGGAACAACCAGAAGAAAGGTGAATAAGTGCACTTTTTCTGGCTTGTCTGGTTATAATGGTTGTTCCGTTGCTTTATTATGTCATGTGCTAATGATGTTAATGATGTTCGCATTAAGCCATCAAACCCTTGCATAAAATATGATCCAACCAAAAATACACAGTCGATGATGTACAGTGCTTGTACTTAACGATGTCAAATCAAATAAAAAGTTATTAGCAGAAAGGTGGAAGAAGAGTTGAACGCAGATTTTTATTCTCTAGAACGCGAAGAGTAGGTCTTTCAAATTATTTTTAATGATCACCATTCTGTCTCATGACTGATGAATCAATGCGACACAAAATTCGCACGGGATGGCATTTACAACTCAATATATTCATTATTAGATGATGCTTATTCAAATTTTGTGTGTGTATTCTTTAGGCTCTCGTCTACCAAGACACCAATCTCGTCTCTGGGTAATAATCTTAAATCAATTAAGTAATTAAATAAGATGGCCATTTCACCATTCTGATTTCTGCAGGACACTGGACGCCTTAATCCAGCACCTCGTCCCCACACAGTCGTACTATCCCGATCGGGCGTATGTATTTGCATTCCTCCTCTCGTCCAGACTCTATATTCGTCCACACGAGTTGCTTGGCAGAGTGTTTCGACTCGCTATGGTCACCCCAAGCCATTCCCCAAAATACGTGAGTTTAATTAAAAATTTAACACCCTTCTTTAATTGGACTCATGTACGTTCACTATGCCGCGTGTTGTAATTGTGAGAGTTTGTTAAATATTCCTAGTTTGTGATTCTACTCTTGTTTGTGAAATGTGTAGCAATCCCTGAAGGAGGTGAAGATCGTGGGACACATTATCCAACTGATGGGGGAGTGGACCGAACTGTTTCCCTACGACTTTAGGGACGAGCGAATGATGGGTCACGTTCGGACCATTACTCAGAAATGTGTTTGTGTCGACCCATCGGTAAGTTGGTCTTACGTAACATGAATGACGGTGATAATTATGTCTCAACTACTACCAAATTAAAATTAAAGTGTCGTAGTGTGAGCAACATTAGAATTCAGAAGTAGGATTCTAAGCATTTTGTAATTCTAGAATTTGAATGGTTATTCTGAGACATTCAGAGGATTATTATGGAGGAGAAAGTCAAGTGGTGCTTATTCCAACCCACTTATGTACCTACTTGACTCTATTTCGTCTCCTTCGTCATCACCCATTTCACTCGTTGTCCTTACACTTAATTAAATTCGAGTTGATTTATTTATTGATTTGGTCCTGGTTGACATAATGGAGATGAACATTCACTTTGCGAGATAAGATATACCATTTATTTCCTTATTATTCCATCACAGATACGGAAGGAAGTGGGAAACTTGCTCTCGTCCCTTCTTGCTAAGCTCACAGCCTTAGAAAGATATGAGGACTTTCTCCATAGGATCAACACGGAAGCCGCCCTTGGCGAACCTGGCGCTTTGGTAAGAAATTATATCTTAATGATGATGCTTAAAATTGCAACAATGGTATTATGACACCACTCTGCTTTCGGGAATGGGAAAAAACTAGTCAATTTTCGAATCCAGTTTTTCAGTTTAGTTTCAGCTAAGCATGAAAGCAAAAATGTTCAAGTATTATTTGCGATACTTACTACAGCACATATAACTTGGAGTTGAAAATAGTCGCTTTTTATCTGTGCTCATATTCCTTGACTGTTGTTTTGCAGAGCTCTGTGCTGACAATGTGTCCAAGTCCAAGTATGTTAGCACAGCAGTTGACCCACATTGAATTAGAGAGATTGTCAAAGATCGGGCCGGAGGAATTTGTTCAGGTAATTTCTTTCTCATGTTTTAACATTGAAACTTATAAATAACTGAATTTGTTCATTAATATTTTTTTACAATTTGCAGGCCTTTGCTAAAGATAGCTCTCAAGTGGAGTACAAAGATATGAAGAAAACGAGGAACCTGGAGTCTTATGTGCAATGGTTTAATCGACTGAGTTATTACTGTGCATCAGAGATTTGCAAGATGCAAAAGAAGAAGACGAGAATTCGTGTGATTGAGTATTTCATCGAAACTGCTCGAGAATGTTTCAATATTGGTGAGTGATTATAAATTTACCGCATAGAGTAAAATATCCATATTTTGTATGCAATATTCCTGAATGAAAATTAAAATTTTACTGTGTTTGTCTTATTGCAGGAAATTTCAACAGCTTGATGGCGGTAAGTACTATGCATAATTTATTCTTATTTACAACGCTTTCAACAACTTTTATGAAAAATAATAGTTCATGGAAAGCTATGATTTCTACGAAATTCTATGACATGATGGTATTTATCCTTATTGTTGTTCTCTTTATTAGATAATTGCTGGACTAAATATGTCACCGGTGGCACGCATGAAGAAAACTTGGGCGAAAGTCAATCTGTCGCAGTTAGCCGTTCTTGAGCATCAGATGGATCCTAGGTACAACGATCTACAATTAAACTAAATATAATTTCAGTTTGAATACTTATCGAATTTTTATTATTGCTATTTTCAGTTCAAATTTTACTTCATATCGATCCACATTGAAGGTGAGTTATTGTTAATGTCAAATAAATATTTAAACTATCGACTAACCTCTTTGCTGTCTATAAAAGGCCGCCGTTTGGAGATCTGCTGGTGCCACGGACGAACGCCAAAGGATTGTAATTCCCTTCTTTTCCTTGTTGGTGAAAGACCTGGTATGACCAACAATCTAATTCTGCTTTTATATTGTCAAACATACTTTTGAATACTTGAGTACTTTTCAAATACTAGATATGTACTAATCAAATACTAGATAGGCTATATTACATAATTTATCATTTCAATTCCTATAATTCATTATGAAAATCATTTTTGTCGTATAAAACTGCTTGAAGAAGAAAGTGAAAGCAAAACAGAGACTAACAATGATAATAATCCAAGCCTCTCTTTTATGCATAGAACTTTTTCTGCACTTTGAAAATGCAAGGCGGATTGAATTATATATTACAGGCTAAAAAAATCCCCAATTTAATAAGATGATTAATTTTGTAGTAGCTTAAATGTTCATCCTTTACATAGTATTGTAGTGATGAATTTAATTGAAATGTGATACTAAAACATATTTCTTTTCATGTAACCTTCCCTGGACAGTACTTCTTGAACGAAGGATGTGCCTCACAGTAAGTTGATGGTTTATTTATTCAAATCCAACTATTTGGCCATGAGACACAATTTAATATTAATTCGTGTTTTGTTTCATCAGATTGGGAAATGGACACATCAATTTTGACAAATTTTGGCAACTAGCAAAGCAAGTAACCGAGGTTGTAGCGTGGCAGCAAATCCAGTGTCCATTCCCAAAAGTCCAAACAGTCCTAACAGCATTACAAACGGCACCTGTTTTCGGAGAAAGCGGTAATGCAAACCATAATTTGGCACTTGTACAAATCTGCCTATCTAATAATTAATGTATTGGCACACACAACTGCCAAATCCGAGTTCTGTTGAATTTATGACTCCAATCAGTTCATTAATTTGCATGTTTTATCGTTCCAGCTCTGTACTTGTCATCCTTCGAATGCGAGACGGCAGAGAACGCCCAGGAAAAGGAACGCGTGAAATACTTAAAGTCGGACGGCGTCAACAGAATCTCGGGCACACCTCCCAGCACAAAAGAAGCGAAAGGCAGCAAGTCAGAGAAGGAAAAATCTCACAAGTGAATGTCACAAACAAACCACAAATCCAAGTGGCTAATCTACCTCCTACAAATTTTACTTCAATTTATAACCTCTAGAGATACTCTAAATATTTATACATAGCTCCAACTTATAGTACTTACATACATACATCGTAAGTCTTATTACAGTATATATTGTGACTACATAAGATTTCGTAACATTGTCCAATTTAATGATGTCACGGTGCCTTAAAGGGCTTTTTCAACGGGACGACGAATTTTATCTTTTGTTAACGCACTTGCATTTCTAGTTATTACAAAACAATTGATAATCTTTTAAAATCAAAGAGTTAACAATACCAGGAAAACCATAATATGAACACCATTCTAGTCAGTCAATTGAAGAAGGAGAAAACTTTAACTTTGCTGTTCAATTCCATTTAGTGTATCTATTGGTATTTTGATAACATGTATTTTTATCTCCGCCCTTACACCATCATAGATCCACAATATTTAGATATTTCCAAACGTGTATATTTAATACTAAAACTTTGAAACTATCAACTAATTGTTACAAACGATATGTGTTCCTCAATTCACAGATGTAAAAGTATTATGTTCACAGACAGATGAAACATTAATGTAATTTAGTTTAGGATTTACCGCAAGTTTAGATATTAACAAAATGTCTGTTTATTTCGTTCGAAAACAAATAAATCATTTCATAATAAATATGCAGATCTTGAATAATTGTTGTAATGAATTTTTTATATGACTGGACTTTCACTGTTGTTATAGGACTTTCTTACCACTAAACCAACCAACTTATTTGATATTCGGCCAATAATACTTACAAAGTTTGTAAATCCATCTGGCACGATCATACGCAGTGATTTCTTTCATAGATCGATTCAAGCAGATCCAGAACTTGGTTTGGTCATTTAAAAAATGGGCCATAATTACAAAACACCAATTGACGATCTGTGGGCCGTCGTACAAGAAAGAAATGTCCGGATGGAAAAACTTGTTCGGAAAGCTGTAGAAGATATGAAAAGCATGGATGGCGAAAGCAAAACAATGTTCAAAAATACAAGCCCAATCGTATGCCGTCCTATTTACGTAGAATTCTTACATAAACATATGAATATCCGAATCTATACATTGTTATGGAGTAGATGTGAGTGTGGATTTTAAATTAGAGGTTGATTATATAGGTTAGCATAGATGACGAGTTGGCGAAAGTGGCGCATCAGAGGGTGTGTGAAAGAATGACATCGGAGTTGTTTGACAATTCGGAACTTGAAGTACATAAATTTGTGCATATTACATGGTTGATCATTCAATTTATGTGACATATTTTATTACTTTTCTAGACTTTGTGGAGAGTTTTAGTAAGTAATTCCAATCGGGGTCCTCGAAATATACCTTTGACATGGTGGAGAAGCAGGGTGGAGGGACCCTTAAGAGAAAATGGTGACCTGCAAGATCAGTTGCATATGGACTTTGTGCATTATCTAAAATCAAAAAAAGAATTGGGGCCGCGATATGAGTAAAATAATTTGAGATTTTAATTTTAATTCACAAAATATTTCGCTATATGTGCAATTTCATGTAGACAACTCCTAACTGGAAAATTATTCTTTACTCTGAAAATGGCTTCCGAACCAATAGCAAAGAAAATTAATCGTATTCGAACGAGTCTCGTTTTCCGATATATTTGTGATAGAAATTACAATAAATTTCTTCAGCTAACTTTGTACCAGCAGAGTAGTTTTGGCACGGGGTTTCTTACGGAGCAAGGTATGCAGCAGGATGAAATAATTAATCATCTTCAGTCAAGTTGTACATATCAAATGTTATTAATTTCAATTTAAAATTTATGCCATTGTAAATCAAGGTCTCATTAATTTTCTCCTTGAATACGAACCCTTCCAAGTGCAATATTCGAGGACAGCATTTCCAAATGAATACTATGTCATACTTGCAATCAAAAGATTCTTCTTTTTCCTCGATCCTCAAAGGACAGGTAAACTTAGAATTGTTGATATCATGGCTTCCGGATTGATTGATGAGATTCGAGTTGTTGAAGAAAATCAGGTTTCTGAGTACTTCAAGCTCCATAATTATATACTAATTGTTTCCAAAAATGCTAACTTTCTTAATAACGACAGACTGCCTCACTAACCGGTTGGGTTGATTGGTTTTCATTAAAAACCGCAAATAGAATTTACAATCACTTTCAAAGTCTGGATAAAGATTGCAAAGCTATGCTTAATCAACACGATTTCATGAAGTATGTGGAAATCTTGATTATATTTTTATAAAACTGCACATGCAAGTAACAACACCGGTTAATGGACTCGTGTTTAATCCCAAAGGTTTTCTCTTGACCTTCGACGACACAGTTGTGACGACCCTTCAAACCATCATCAAACCCAAATTCAGCTTACTCCTACCTTTGTGGAGAAGCTATTCAGTAGTGTGGCAACACTTAATAATCAAATGGATTTTAAAACTTTTACGGAATTTGTCCTTGCAAACACTTACATCGACCAGCCACAATCACTCGCGTACTTTATGAGGATTATGAATCGCAGCGATAAGGGGTACTTGGACGAATTTGATCTACACTATTATTACAAGGTAGGCCAAACTGAACATAATTTGTCTCCCGGATGATGTAATCTGTTGTATGCATTTACATAGATACGTATTTATGTACGTAATACATTTCTCTCTGCTGCTTGCAGGATATAAAAATGAGATACAATGGTGACCCGGTTGAATTTGATGACGTGAAGCTCGAAATCTTTGACATCGTCAATCCCACTTTTCCAGATCGCATTACTACAAAGGATCTCATAAAATGGTAATAATCATAAAATGTTTGTGTATCAGACCGGCAGCTAGTTTTACGTAGATGTGTGACATTTATTAATAATAAATGAGCCTTGATATTGTTTATTCTCCAAGTGGAAAAGGTCCTGCCATCATCCGAATGCTCTTGTCTGCAAAAGGATTCGAAAATTTTGAGACATTGGATCTCGGTTCTACGGGGATAGTAGTGTAGCTTCTGTTGCTGAATTAAAGGAAATAGATACACTAGTAAATCTGTGAATCGTCAAAGAAAACGACGATAAATCAAACTAAAACATGTTCAATATTTAACAAATAATTAACGATAGATAGTCTTTAAACTCTTTGTTACTAATAATTTGCATGCGTATTATTGTGAATAAAATGTGAGACAGATTTTAAGAAACTAAATTAACTTGTTTATTAGCCAGACAATAATTTCGGTTGCGTTTCTTATTTGCATTATTCACTTTACTGTAGTTTTCGAAGGAATGTTGATGAAGGACTCTAGATTATGACGGCATGGATTTAATATGGGTTACCAAATCCCAAGGAAGACCAAATCCCTGCTTCTCCATCGCTTAGTCCATGATTAGGTTCGATTTTCCATTCATTGGTGAAATACTTTCTCAATATCACGTTTATATGTTTAGCTCGGGATAACTTGCTCCCAAGATCCACTTTATCATATTGAACAATTTGCAGTTTAGTCTGATTGACTCCCGAGCAAAGTGGCCAAAACACAATCTCCATTTTCTTCGTTGGTGCTGAGGTTACAACGCGTACTACAACTTTCGACAAAGTCGTCTCGAGTGTGAACACATTTTTATACTTTTCCAAGCTAAAGATTCCTTCGCTGACAAACAATGCAATGCGACAATACAAAATACTTATGTGAATGAAGTATAAAATGTGCTTCTTTGGTCTTGAGTTTTTCATTTGAAAATTCTTCACCACTTCGAACCTCTTGGTGACAATTGAGGACCGAAAAACAATTACGGATTCTGAAAATCCGTAAGTACTTTTCACGGTATAAGTGCCACTTAGCGTTAATGAGCAAGATTGAGTGTGCAGAATCAAGGCACAAACCTGATTCATTCCAACACTAGAGCGAGCTGTGATTTACTTCCCATCACCAATTTTGTCCAGCAGGAAAGAGAGAAAGAATTTGTGGAGTGGTGATGGTCGTGTGGTAACAAAAGTAAAAATTAGATCACAACTTTTTCCATAAGTGTCTCCTAAGTTGTTGGCTGTGTCTTTGCTGCGAAGGAAGCCAGCCCACCACTCGGTTCATCCAACCATTGTCACGAACTACAACAAGGAGTCGTTTTTCAAGAAAAGTCTTTCTTTTTATCATCTCCACTGGACAACAGCGTGGGCTGAGCGAAGTAGGGCTCGAGCAATGAAGTGTGATATTTTATATGGAATCCTTTATTTCGCTTCACATTTTTAGGAACAGGATTCACATCCAATTGAAAACATAGTTTATGAAAACTCTTACAAGTTTCTAAAAATCACATTAGGATTGAATATACAGAAACGAAGAGTTGATAATCTGCTATCGTCACATCTCTTTATTTCAACGTTATTTCACAGATCCCTTCCAGTTCTTCCGTAATATATTGCACCCCTTTGTTTTGGTCGGACGACTTCCCTTGCGGTTTGCTTGAGGTTGGTACTTAGACTGGAAACCACGAACTTTGCCAAAAGCGGTGTATATACACAAGGATAAAGAAACCTATACGTATTGGTTGGTTGGGTGGGACACTTGAGCAGAATGCAGAATCTTTGGTGTGTGCAAAGAGAAAGCAATTGAGCTCTTGTCTCCAACTCCACCAAGAACTTGGCTCATTTTTAAGATTTAGGAATGAGCTGGCAAACAAGGAACATAAATCATTTTGCTATTTTATGAAGTTTAGGCCCGTCAACTGATTTACTTTACTGCGTTAACAGGGACAAGATGTTTTCATTTTTATGAGATTACTCGCATTAGGATCCTTCACGATAAACACGAGAAAACACATGAAAGAAAAAAAAGTTATTATTTTATGCTTCCCGAATCATAAACTCGTTTTCTGGAGGAATTTAGAGAATTCGAATGAATGAATTGCGTCAGTAATTTGTTTTTACAGACGGACGTAAAATAGTATCGTTTCATAACCTTATTTTATTTCATTTTATGACTACGATAAGGCGAATGCACTTCTTCCCATCCACACATCGGCTATTAATAAAAAATATGACAATGGTTTTAACGTCCTCCTTCTTGGCATTACATGACTGAAGCTTGTTCTCAACTTCTTACTCTAATTTAATCCTAAAAGCTGCTCTAATCTTTTACTGAATGCATGTACCCACCACTTGAGTTAATTTTCTCGAGTTTATGCGCCCACTCTAAACATTATTAGTATTAAAAGAAAGCCGAGCGTCTTAGCATCTCATGGTCTCTCACCTCATCACTTTCACTTTCATACTAATGACTAAGAACGATCTCACTATTTCATGCAAGAAAAAAAATACTCTAAACAAATCTGGTATGCATATTAACGTAGACCAAGGGAAAACCTTTTGCCTTGAGGCTGGATTCATAATTTGGTACAGTAAACAGTACGAGCTCATTCTACGAGCACCTGCGAGTGCTTTAGTTATTTATCCAAGTTTGATCACCACCGTCACAATTTGCATAATAGTTTGCAAATCATTAGAGAACAATACTGAACAAGTGGGAAACGTGGAAAGTGCTCGAGTTAGCATATTTCTTCTTGTAAATCATATCTGGCTTTATCTGATGCATGCAAAATGCAATGAATGTGTATGTGCTAGCTTTCACTCATCTCCTCGTTTGCCTTGAAACATTTACCCACTTTGCTCAGAAAACAAAGGAGATCAAAGTACGAAGAATCAAAGTGAAGGAAGTTGTACGATACTGCACAAATATGTACGCCTGCCCATTATGAGTGAGTACAAAGGCATAAAATCAAAGGATAAAGTGGCAGAGACATATGCTTGATGATGATAACAAGGAGGAGAAAGTGTGTGCAATCCAGAAGATGAAAAGTTGTGTGGAACACACCAAGTTTCAAGAGAACTAAACACTCAAGGTTGGACACTTTTTCGTCACTTTGGCTACTTTTTTAGGGGGATCACATTTCTAGACCTTGCAGGAAGTTGGAAAATATTGTGTAAAAATACAACGATCTCTTTGTTGACCATATTAGTAATCCGCACGTGCAATGTAGTTATTATATTACTTTAATTAATAATACGTAAGAATAATCGATGTACGATCACACGTAACAAGCAAAATGGAACAAAGACCACACGTACTGGCGGGAAGTACAAATGTAGTACGTACACCACACAGAATGAACTCTCCATGAAAGCGTTTCCAGCTCTCTGATTCCCATTCTAACTTATGACCTTATTCTTCTTTTATTCTTCTGACGAAGGAATTTGTGAACAGCAAAGCGCATCACTCACACAAGGAAAGGAAGCCAGATGAACTGAAAAAAACTGCGTTAAACTCCAGCCAGCCAGCTTCAGCGACTCTGCTTCTGCAGACTCTCTTGCTGCATAAAGTAATGAGAGCAAGAAGGCTTTCTTTCTTGGAGTGAAAGCCAAACGGCCTAAATCGCCTTCTTCTTAATGCTAATGCCCCTACTTACACAAATCCACTCTCCATTCGAATCAGCCCAAATGGCTCAAATCTCACCACCTCACCTGGCAGGAGGGGATGTCTGTCACAAAGGAAGCTGGAGCTTTCTAATAAATAAAAGTTGCTACAAAAATCCACGCAACATTGTGTTTTTTTAGTTTCATAAGCGTATAAGTTGCAACGTTGCCTGCTGCGAGAGTGGTGATGGAAATGCTTATAAATCTCCACATTTTCTTTACGTGTGCTTGTAGAAAATATATAAATAAGAAGGTTTGATGGAGGAATTTGTTTCAAAGAAAGTCTCGCATTTTATCCGTATATAAAAAAAAGTACGCAATCAACTCGAATTTTACTCATTTTGTCCTTGAACCAAATAGTGTAAGCATAAAATTACAGAGTGTTTTTCCTTCGTCTGTCAGCGAGAGTATCAAAATATTCAAGAATTCAAATCAAGGCTTTACATGTGTCTGTACACATGTTCTGATATGATAATGCATGTCATATTGTTTCCTTCGTCCTTATAATGAAAGTATGTAGTACTGAAAATGCAGTACGAGTCTGCTACGATAATGATGATGTTCAAGACATGAAAAATAAATTGATGAAAGACTCGTTATTCTGTTTTACATAACACGGTCGCCGGTCCACATTTACACGTAATGACAACATAGAGTTCTTACATACAAACTAGCAGGAATAGCTGACCCTACTATGAACATATTTATATAGGCAACAAAAATTCTCAAAACTTGAAAACAGGAAGTTGATATTATTATTTTCAAAATTCCTAAATTTTCCATTATTAGTTACACAACATTTCTAATTTCGTTCCTTAATCTGCATGCAACTCTGTGTCCGTCTGTCACCTCACCAGTCCTGTTTACAAAATAAGACTCGTTTAATTACCTTTGAGCTGGAAGACACGTTTTATTTTAATTTTATGGGGTGCTGCTAGTGAAAGTTTAGTACCTACAAACGTGGTTTTATAGTTTCTCACTCAGCACTACTAAAAACCTTATTTAATACGTGAGGTCGTGGTAGTGTGGATAGAGCAGCCACAAAACTGCGGCAAGACTTCTAGTCTGGTCCACAGTAGTAGTTACTTTGAAACCTCATAGAAAGTATATTCAGACAAGACAAGAACGTGTGAAGTAAGACATTTTACACTAATTTTGGCCATTTTACCAGAGTTCACATTTCTTGAAGCAATAGTCATGTCCACCGGCTGTGTTGGAGAAACAGACATTTCCCATTGGCTTTCACCACAAAAAAAACATGAAAATGACCATTATGCGTACAAAAAAGCTTGGCAGCCGGCACTCATAGGAAACCCCTTTCATCTTCTTAACCCAGTCACTTGAACAATGAGAAGGCAGAGAAAATAAAGATGAAATGGAAAGTGGAAATGCGTTTGGCTCCAGGGGAGAAATGGATAAAATGAGTGAGATCGAAATCCTCACAAACCTATACGAAACTCCCAAGCACTCGCAGCTCTGGGGTCGTAGTGCAACACTGGTCGGTCGGTCGTGGTGGATGCAACAACGAGATTTCTTGGCAAAACTTTCTCTCTCAGAATCCAGTTGGCTTTAGCGTGTCATCCGGGAAGCATCGCTGGGATGCTGGTGAAAGTGAGAAGAAACGTGTGTGTAAAGTGTATTTCATTGTTTTGTGAGTAAAAACAAACTGAACTGGGATACAAATAACCCTAGTTAATTTGTGCATAACTGCTTACCAAGACCACAAGCGACACTTAATTACTGGCAAATGTGGTCATTGATTGTATAAAATATGATGGCCTTCATGTTTTCCTGTTTCTAAAAGACACACCGAGATTAGTCATCGGCCAAAAGTAAGTTTATATTAATTTATGTATAATTTGCAGTCTCCAACTTTTCCACTCATTTTCAAGTAAAAATAAATAAATTTCGCTGGCTGGAATATGGTGGTTTCCCTGAATAAAGTATATGAGAGAATAGAATTGGGCTACATAAATATTATTTATGTAAAAGAGATCTTCGACCAGGATGTTTTTCTGAACCCACAAACAAGAAAAAATATGTATGTCGAACATGGATTGATATCCGCAGTCGAAAACCAATCCTGAGAACAAGTTGTAGAAAAAGAAATATTAGACCATAGAGATCGGACTGAGAAATCTGGTCGTAGTCGTTTTGTGAGTGATGTTTTCCAAAAGAGACACATCAAATACCGAAAATATTTTGCTGATTAGAAATTAAATTCATTGTTTTGCATACATCTTAATTTGTTGGATTGACAGGAGTGATTTAATCTGCTTCATGATTATTTAAAATTGTGAGATTATGTAAACATCTTATCTAATTAACAATTCCACTACTTAACTGAACTATGGAACTATCGTAGCTATCAAGTGGTTTTAAATTGGTTGCATTAATAAAATATGCTCAAATTTGCGTTGACACACATGTGGTTTGACAGTCAAATTATTCTTCCTATATTGCTTTTCGAGTATCTGTGAATACTATTTTCTTGATCTTGATGCTCGATGACTGCAAACGATATTGGCCACCGAAGTATGATTTAAAAGTGCCAGGTTTTCCTTCCTCGTTGATTTTTTTTGGTTTGTGGAGTTGCGAAAAGCATTGAAAGAGTTGCAGCATGTCAAACCAAAATTGCACTGACGTGAACACACATCGTTGCCTGTTACAAATTCCTTCTCCCAAGACGGAAAGGAGTTTGCACAAACAAATGACATGTTTCTTTCTACGCTCAAGATTTGTGGTTTACTTTCTGCCACAGGTCGTGTGGAGTAGCAACTTTGGTTGGAAGCCTATACAAATGTTGTCTCAAGTTGCAATAAAATTTGTTTTCTTCAAAAATTGCAATAATTTGACTCTCTCTCTCGAGTCAAAATTAATCAAAATGCGTAAACAGGCAAAAGCACATAGTCGTTTGCCAAAACCCTTTTCATTATGGAACGTACGCAGTAATAATCTTCCTTGAATCCCAGAGCTCCTTGACTGCTGTGGTTTGATTTTGTTGTCGAAGGTGGGTTACTTTTTCTGGTGGTTTTTCCTTGAAAGGAGAAAAGGCTTGGACGCAATTGGTTGCATTGGGTCCAATTGGAGAAAAATGTTTTTCTCTTCTTCGCAGCTGGGGAAAGCCAATACCTTTCAGCTGGAATGTTTTCTCACTTTTCACTTCCAAGATCTGGACTCTGGAAATCCTCATGACATAAAGATAAGAAGTGATCCCACACCAACAATGAAAACACTTTACCAAGAAAAAGACGGTTGGAGTAAGTGGAGCAGTAGGAGGAAGTAAAAGTGGGCAAGCAAGAATGTGGGGAAGGCATTTGTGCCCGAAAGTTGCACATATTAACTGCGGGAATGACTTGGAAAGGAAGCAATCAATAAAATGGACAAAACTTTGATGGACTACCGGCATTAAATTTGCTGTCTGTTCTTTGTAAATAAAGTTAATTGAATGTATACGTTTTTTTTAAATTTGTACGAATGGTAACTAAATAAACTAGTAAACGTTCAGTTAAATTACGTTTATTTATTTTTGGAAGATGAATGTGACGAAGAGAAAGTCTGATCTTGCATTATTCGCAAGCCTCATCTTATTTTATGGGTATTAACGCTCTTGTTACTCCACAGGGTCTCTTTAACTACAAAAAATGAGGTTTAATTCTAAAAGTTGGGCCAGTTCCTCGTACGTACGAACGTATAGTGCGGGTTTGAGTTGCCGTCATTCAAGTGTAATTCAAGAGTTGAAAGAGTTTGGGTCGATTAGAGTTCAAAGAAAGTGGGAATTTTAGGAAATGGGAAATTTAATGGGGTTCAAGCCAGGAGGAGGAGGTTATACGGAGGTTGTATGCACTGGTGTAAGTAGTAGCTGGTAATAGTGGCTCGTTGTTGGTCGCTTTGGGTGGTGTGTAAGATCCCTTTTGAGCTTTTTTTACAAAGGATTCAAGCCTTTGCATCATTAAACGTTCAAAGATTAAATGGAGGATTTTTTTTGTACTATGAAAATGCTAATCCAGTCGCAGTAAATATAATTGAGAAATTTCAAGATGAGTAAGTTCCACACGTTTTGGTAACCATTTTTCCTTTTATGTGCCATATGTAACGCCAATGACGAAATATCGAAGGCACAAGTATGGAAAAATGGAATTGCAAATGAGGTAGCAGAGTTAGATGTGACTTGTCTGTCATTTATCACTATTTTTTTTTGTCAAATTTCTGTCAAAGGCTGTGGCAAACATCAGTTCATACCAACATAACAGCTTGTCATCCAGGACAACGACCTTGACATGTGTATAGCTAACGAGAATATGTTACTTGTCGGGTTGAGTGTGCGAGCAAGCAAACAAAAGTTGAGGAATTCGAACGGCATCTTTTAATTAAACAGTAATTGATTAATGGGCGCCACGTGATAATTAATCAGAGCTAGATTAATTAATCGATAGTATCAAACTTGTAATATGGGGCAAAGTAGAGTAATTCGAGTGAAGAAGAAAGTTTGTTCAATCAGCAGACGTTGACTAGAAAATCAGAATATTCAGAATGGGAAACCAGCGACCAATTACCCGGCAAATGAGTTTGCTGTACTAATTATTATTTTATACATAAGTATAAAGGGCAGCATATGCCTGCAAATATACGCCTTTTACTTTCACGTTAGTTCACAAGTATGAATATTCACATGAAGTGACGTAACATTTATATGCAATAATATAATATGCTATTATCTACTTATACATAGGTGAACATTGTGTAATATGTAGTTAAGATATGGCTGGAGAAAGTCTGGCTCTATAATTTTTTATACTCGTCCCAGATTTGGGTAACGATGGAATTGACAGGGAAACGTGTTCATCTTGCATGAGGACCAAGTTGGTGTGAAGGGCAGATCCCATTTCACTTTCATTTTGTGCGTTGTTAACCTGGAAAGGAATCTGTGCGTAGTGAGAACACCTTATAATTACTTATGCCAGCAAGTAGGCAATGCTATCCACATCAGTAGTAAAGGCACTCATTCTTTGCTATTTAGAGGAGAAAGTCATAAAAAATTCCTATCAAACTACTTCCTCAGAACTTTTAATAATTTAATAAACACGGCCAATAAGCAAGATACCAACTTCACCGCAGTCTCATCCACTTTTACTCTGTACTGTAATCCTGCAAAATTAAATCGTAAAAAGAAAACCCAAAAGACTCTCCAAGCTTGTTCAGATTTTACTCATGTGAAGAGTCAAGAACGGGCAGGGACGAGGAGCAGAGAGCAGAGAACCAGAAAGTGTAGGAGACCAGCTAAAATTTCAGCTTTAGCACAGTCATCTTCATCAGCAATAAATTTTCCAAATCTCTTAACAAGATAAGTCTCCAAAGTTAAAAAGTTGCGACATACTATTGCTTGCATTGCTACATACATGTGCAACACAAGTACGTATGCATCCATTTATACACGTGACCAAAAATTGGTCAAAAAAATGCTCGGATACTAAAGTGATATTTATTTCTTTACGAACATGGTTTCACAAGTTTTCTGTATCATCCACAATCTCGTTCTGTATTTGCAGCGTCAAAACAAGACATGGCGAGGAAATGGCCTGATCCAATCTCAGAATCTCACAAGAACATTATCCTGCAACGTGGCACAACATGAGTAAAAGTAAAAAGTAAAGTGTTCCCATTTAAGTTTTACTTTAAAGTGTTTTCCTCTTTTTCCCATGAAGACCGAAATGAAAAGTGAGTGAGAATATGAACTCTGAAAGTGTGCAAGTCGTTCTGTTATTAGCGTGAGGTTAAAATGGCCATGTACTATTATGCCCGGAAGCTACAAAAAGGTTCTAAAGTTTCTCAACCTTGTTCCTACACGTCCTCAAGTTCGACAGGAAGATCAGCCGCTGTCCAACAGCACCAGCAACAACATGGAACCCTCACCAGGATAAACCCATGTTGTAATCAGGTATGTAAAATTAAGCAAACGAGGTATTTTTCAACTGGATGCAAATAAATTATTAAACATGTTTCATATCTCATCAGTCTTTTTGAAGAATTGGTTTCGTTTCCTGCCTCTGGGCAAATATGGAAATGAGCGAATTAACTTTTTTATCTAAAAAGTTACAGATAAAGAATTTTTTCTAACTTTATACGTGAACATTTTTTGCGCTTCTCCGCCGTTGACTTGGCTTTCCCATCTTCCACAAAGTCTAATCAATCAAACTCGAATGCAATTAAATTTTCTGGAAGGGAAACAACAGAGGACAAGAGATGCATGCCAAGGATGGCAAGGAATGTGGAGAAAGAAATCAAGCAGATGGTGAATGACGAGGAGCAAGGGCGACGTTTATGAAGGAAAAGTTGGAACAATGCGTAATATAATGCAGTTAGACTTTTACCAGAAGGGACTCAGGAAAAATTTCATAACTTTTCTATCCAAAAAGTACTACGTATACGTATAGAATGAAGGAAATTAAGAAATAGGACTGGAATTACTGCATCTGTTTTATTTTCTGGGTTGAATGAGGCCATAGGTTCCGCCAACGTAAATGCTTTCAGCACCAACAATGGAGAAAGGAGTAAAAAGTTGGACGACGTTCAAATTACAGAGATGATAAGTCATCTGCAACGACGACGACGAGTTGAATGATGGTTGACTGCGAGATAAATAGATGGTCTGCACAGTGTGCTACTTAAAAGGGGCAAAATTAAAATAAAAGTTACATAAATGGATGCCAGGTCTCATAATTAATTAATTAATAGGTTTAAAGATATAAATTGCAAAAGTTTGCACGTAGCAAATTAAATACTTGAATAATTTCTGATGGGCATTTCACATGACACAACATTTTCGTTTAGTGAAATTCAGGAAACTATAAAACATTCACTGGAGCTTTCTCCAATTTTAATTCACCTTTTAATTTCTGAGCTCGCTCTCGACTCAACACGACCGTACTCGTGTCATGAGACAGCACTATTTCTTGTGTGCGAGTTGAAGAGGGCTGAAATTTTGTGGAGTACTTTGTATTTAACTTGGTTTACTTGATTTCCAAAGTTTTCCTTTAAAAACTTTATGCACAAAGGAGAAGGCAGAGAGAGCCTACGAAGCGACGGTGTTTGTAAGTTTATGGACTCTTCATCTCTATATACATCAAAACAATGCATTCGTTCCTCATTGTGTTTGGGTGGATGACGTTTTCTTTCCCACTCTGAAATTGGATGCGAATGTTCTAGAAAGATCGTTTACCTCAGAATTTTATGTGATCGTGAGATACGTGTAAGAAAAAGTTGTAGGCGTATCCATAAGTTTATCGCCTTGAGTTTCCAAATCAATCAATGAGAGTGATCATTATCCTTACTAGCATTTTGTACATGCACATTTGTCACTTGTGTAAAAAGTGATGGGTTTGAAAATGTTGGATAGATTTAAAAAGTCAATTAATTTCTGGAAACTATGTTTTATTATTTAAAGCTTCATCACTTAACTTTGAGAGTTCAACTAGCTCGTTAAAAATTCATATCGGGGCGAAAATTCTCTTCATTTTTACATTAACAATGGCCAGGTGAGTGTGTGTTTTATGCCGGGTTTTATTAAGAAGGAGAAAGGAGGCGAGCCAGGTGCACTAAATTTGTGATGAGTCTCTTTTTGGTCGGAGCATGTCCACCGAACCACTGACTTTTAGCCGGTCTCCGTGTGTGTGGTTAACGAGCTGTCACTTTCAGCATGTGAACCATGTCAATTAGGTAAGCAAATTTCACGCAGGATGATTTTTCAAGGAACGTTTTCTTTCGTTAACGACATAAAAATATGACGTGGAAAGATTTGAGGAAGCTGCGGGGCTTCTGTTTTTTCACCGTTTCCCTCAAATGTGAAAATGATTATGGTCGGTTTGTAAGATCGTTCTCTGAATTGCAGGTTTCCAGACTTGTGTCTGATTACGTGAAATGAAATCGTGTTAATTGATATTTTCAACAGGCAGGTATCATTTCGGAGCACGGTTATCATGATCATCGACGAATCCTATGTATTTCGGTGCGTATAAATATGTAGCATCCTTCCAAGTTAGAAATGATTTGGTGTAATGAGTTCGACCTCATGCGATGCTAATGACGGTATCACATTACAAAATGATATTAACATGGAAGGTTTCAAGTGAGGAGAACAAAGATACCAATTCAATTCAACTCAATGGGATGAATTCTAAGTCGGGGGTAGCATATAACTCAAATTAATTCATTTAGTTGCCCGATCACACGCTGCGGTTCTCTTAGCAAAACAACGGGAATACAAATCTATTGTACTTTGTGTGTGAATAGAAGAGTTGGGTTGCTTACACCTGCATAAGAATAATATGAGTATGTAGGCCAAATTTCGTGAGTGGTGTTGCAGTACAATCGGACTAGATAACATTTCCAGGAAGTAAGATACATAAAGTAATCATTATGCTTATTCTCGTGCCTAAACCTTCGCCATATTTATTAAAAGTGGATTTATAAATGCAGATCATTATGCTGGAGAGAGAAATAAATGGACTAGTTAGCACTGGCTCGAAGTCAGGATCACAGAATTAAGTAGACACAAAACAGTTGGAAGAGACAAAAAGTAATTTAAACATATGGAATTCCGGAGAAAGTGCGGTAGTTTACTTTCACTCGCAACACCATCTTTCATGCTCACACTTTCACATTACACGATAAAAGGTACATTGCACATGTGGGCTGGAATGGACTCCAAACCTACATTGAAATGGGGTCACATGTAGTAATATGATATATAAGTAAACGTTGAAATTTATAGTTATTTTCAAAAAGGGTGCAAATAATTCTACCAAACTTCACGCTGCAAGTATGTAAATCCTCCAAAGCTGCATTGCATAACTCTCTCCAATGGAAATTGGCTGCTTCGCTTTATCAGTTGGTCAAATAATAGAAACACGAGTGTCGACTTTATTTATGGTTTCACTTATCAAACTAATATTGGATTGTACGCCAGCCCCCACGTTTTGTTAGAGTGGTATTCTATTTATCTGTCTCCGCTCTATTCTATAAGCATCTTAGTCGTCGAAATCTTAATACGAATCTTAATACAATATTCGTCTTTCCCTTTTCACTATGACTTGTGCTAAGTTTGATAGCATTTGACCATAAAAGTATTGCAACCTTGTCGGTGACAAATGTACAGTTGGCAAAATCTCAAGTTCAGATTTTATGTATGTCACCGAATGATTTGGTTCACTGATTTGTCACTTTAATGTTTGTGCTTAGCAAGAATTTATTGAATAAAACAAATATTTTCTGGATCTAGTACTCTAATAATAAATAAGTTTCTTTGAAATGTTTCTAATTTCTCCCTTTGATAAATTGAAATTCCTGAGAAGTATAGCTACGTATTCCCATCCAGCATTACGTAAAGTCGTGGTATTGAGTGTTTCCTGAGCTGATGGGGAAATGCCCTTTTGCTTTTAATGCACTATTTTACCAGTAGAAAGGCCAGGATGAAAACGAACCTCATTGAATTTGCGAATCAACTTCATTTTCTGCACACTGACTCCAAGCTCTTATCAGCCTCCTCTCCAGACTATCCGTACGTACGTATGTATGTATGTGCTTATATGTGGATGAACGGTCTCTGAAAGAATTGCGAAATCTAAATTCTAAATCCAAACAAAGGGTTTTCTGCTCCATTCTTCCGTCTGGTGTGAGTGTTGGAATGTGCAGGTTGGGGATGCAAAGGGTAAAAGAAGCAGTGGCCAGACTGCCTGAAGAGGTGGTAGATAGATGAACGTACTTATGTCCTTGTATGTGCATGGAAAAGGTCTGTGTGCGGCGCGTGGGAAGCTGGAGTCTTTGGTCGCAGACCCCGACCGACGAGTAATGAGATGGATTTGGCAAAATAATCATTAGACCAAGATGAAGAACAAGGGAGGAGAAAATGTGGACCAACATGCAGTTCCTCGAGACGAGGAGAAGGAAGGCAGGGACAAAAACAGGAGAAAATGAACCAACGACTTTCCTTCCTTCCTTCCACTCTTCCATCTACATTCTTGATTCCAATCCAAATAAATGGAATGGAGTAGAATTATGTGAGTTTACTGGAAATTGTGTGATTATTTCGCTCAGGGAATCCTTTCCTCGAATATAAATTCTGATTTTAAACTCGCCCAAGAATTTCTCCGTATGGAGAAATACATAACATGCTTATATGCATACAGACGACTTATATATAATCATTTTATCCACTCATTCGTATTAATGCATTTGCAAACGTATTAATATGTTTGTTGTTGAATTCGGAAGGCTAAAGCGGTACAAACTTGTTAATGAAATGCATAATTAGTTAAATCTGATGAGCAGCAAAGTTAGCAATGCTTTGCACCACCAACCAGCATCACACGCCGTGTTAAAGTATCTCTTTCACTTTGTGCAACCAAAATAGGCTTTATTATTATCATCCATCCCATCTCTCGTCGTTTCACGGTGGCACTGCATGCATACAACTCCGACGTCTCTTATTCTTGAAATTCCGTTTGTCTCACTGTTTGCTTTCTCCGTCTTTATCATGATTTCGTCTGAAAATGTTATGAACAGTTGAGTGTCTCAGCAGCTGAAACCCACTCACCGCACCCACCAACATCCGCTCAGCCTCTTAAGATCCCCAGCGAGACATGATGTAGAGGAGAGAGTCACACCAGCGTGGCTTTCAGTGTTGTAGATATGTGCTTATGTATATGGATGGATAAGAGAAGCGAGGAGGAAACGAGATAAGCACTACTACTTACTAGCAATGTAGACAACATCTCATCTTGTCTCAGAATTCGTCAACACAGCAGAGTCGAGATTGGCTCCGTGGTTGACGTGATTAATTATGTCGCTTTGGTTGTAAAAGAACTTGGAGAAAGCAGTCTAATTGTCCTCATTCCATTATCTTTTGGCCTGTTTTGTTTTCTTTGTTTATCTTTATCGACACTTTGGAATGGGTTCTTCACTCTGCTCAACTTTTCTCTTGTTGGTTTAGCTCCCTTAATTTAAATTACTTTGTGCCTTTTGAAATGAGCTAAAAATTGAAGGTTTATTTATCTCTCTCATCGTCTCACCCTTATGTTTTTTCAGCAAATTCTTCCTCCACCACCGCCGCCGTCGAGATTGATGTCAAGGCCAGTGCGAGTAGCTTGCAATACTCAAGTTCAGTGTCACCCTCATCCCCACCATCACTGCCACCACCACTCACATTCCTGCTGCCAAGTTCCCACCCACTCTTGCTGTGGGTGTAGTTTTCCTGTTCAGAAACAATGTCCATGTCATGAAAACCGGGTTCAAAAACTGAACGCAAGTCTTTCGCATAGTCGATCTCTCCGAAGTTTAGAGCATTTGGAATTGAATGGGAGTTCGAACGGGTCGCCCAGCCTCACGAAACGACCAATCCCACTCCACCCCCCTTGTTGCTCCATGCTGCACAGGAGCAGGAGTGAGTCGCAGTATGACAACGTGGACGGATCACCCTTGGAGGAACTGGAGGACCACTATCACCATAATCATCATCATCAAGAAATGTACAAATACGGATTCGAGGATGATGTTGGCAAAGATCAAGGCGAAAGCCACAGGGAGGAGGAGACGGGGGAGGAAGGCGGTGGTGGCTGTTTGCCACACCACCGAAATGCAAATTCTGAACATCAGAATCATTTACAAATCAGACTGCAAAACTCGACATCTACTTCCACACTCACAGAGGACCAGTTTCAATTCCAGGAGGGAAATGATGACGATCTTGACCAGGAAATTCAAGAAATTTATGCCGGGAAGCGGGAAGTAAAGAAAGGCCTCGTTGGTTTTCAGGAAAATTATCATCAAAACAGCCCCACCACTTCACGTCAGAGGAATCTCATGCAGGTCCGTTCTTTTGATGAAAGTTGTTTCGCAAATTAGCGTTTCCTGTGAACGTAGGGGCCGTGTCATATAGTTGAAGTTTCTATCGTGTGCTGGATTATGTGGTCCATGTCATATTTTATAATCCTACATCCCATTGATTAAATCATGCCATACTTTCTGCTCCATATTTAGTATAATAATTTACCTATATGCTGACGCACAAAGTGATATGCGGTTAATGTCTATGAGAGTCGTACCACACTTTAGTTTAGATTCCTTCACATGCAATTTCTTCTAGCCTGCCACCAAGCTGAGGATGAGTGTAACGTCACGAGATCACACGCACAACCTGCAAGCTATGTACATATACATATAAATGCACAGCTTAAGTGTACCCGTAATAGCGAAAATACATAACTACATACACACGGATACATACGCATGTAATAATAAGTATGTAAAAGAATGCATTTTCAGAAAGACAGAAATTAGTTTCCCATGCACTTTAGGGTTTGTACTCCTTGTCAAATATGTTGAGGATTAGGGAGCGTCCATAAATCACGTGATCGATTAGAGGGGGGGAGGGGGTCTGAATTATCACGGGGGGGGGGGGGGGTAGATGGTCAGATGTCACGTGACATGAGTAAAGTTTTTTGCCAATAAATGTTATGAGAGTTTATATCGTGCGTGTGGTATGATACCACACGCACGTTATATAAATTTGATTTTCATTTTGCATATTTATAAACTTGCTTCGACCTAAATTCTTATGTCTGACTGGCGTATTAAATAGTTATTTACACATGTGTGTAATGTAGGTCTAATTTGATTAATGATTTAAAAAATATTGTTATTCCGGACATGATTTAATTTGAGCATCATCTCGTGTCACGTGACCGGTGGGGGGGGGGGGTAGCGAAATTATCACCACCGGTCACCAAGGGGGGGGAGGGGGTCAAAATTGTCCAAAAATCGATCACGTGATTTATGGACGCTCCCATATCTTGATGTCAGTTTTATTTTTCCACTTGTAGCAGGAAGCGGGGGCAACAGAGGAGGAGGACCACCACTCCCTCTGCTACAACCAGAAAGGGCAATTAATCTCTGCGAGTTGGGACGCTCTGTTGGAGAGAGTAGTGATTCCCTGGGTGGAGGACGACGGCTCGTCCAACCTGGTGGACTCGGATGAAGTCATGGAGGCCTTTCTCCTCTGCTCCCGGCTCCACAATCCGCCTCATCTCACCATCGCCTTCATCTTCAAGCATTTCTCCACGACCACCACCAAGGATAAGCCATCGCCTAATGGAACTCATCAAATTGAACCCTGCTATCAGGAGGAGGAGGAGGGCTCAGCTGGCGGCTTGGTGAGAATAAATTACCAAATCATCAATCTCGTGCTAGTTTTTGCAGGATAGCCCACATGAGTCGTGTGATGATGACCCGTCCTTTCTTCCCTTTCCCATCCTCCTTCTTCGGCCGCAGGGAATAAAACTTTCATTTTATAAGGCAAACAACTTTTCTACACCTCACTTGACAGTAATGCTCCAATGATATCCTAAATTACCAGGACGCATGCTGATTTCCAGAGCTTAGACAAATTACTTTCTCGGATACACCCCAATAAATCTGCAATATGTATAAAGTTGTACCTTGCTCTGGAAGTACTTCTGGCTTCAAATTATTCAAAATCGCTTGAAACAAACTTTTCCTCCACTTGTGCAGTGCAACCGTCAATGAGAAGTTAACTTGTAGGAAAATATGTATATATACATATGTAAATATACAGTTTGCGGTGGCAAAGTGTGATACAATCGTAATTTATTTAATTGATTATAACAACATATACCTATTTCTGAATTATTTGGTGATGCAAAGTGATGGATGGTGTGAGAATAATATTTTTCTAGTGGGTCCATGAACAATCCTGAGCTCAAAGTGAATAAGACAATTCTTACATGTTTCGAAAACAGATTTATTTATGCAGAATAAGACTACCTCATCAAGCACTCTAAATGCACTAGAAATTTTGTCAGCATCAATACGCAAAGTCGGGGAATATATTATTCATTCCATGGCTTTGAATAGAGTCATTGTTGTGGTGTGAATGAATTATCGTTTCAAGCAGGATTTAACTATGATCTATATTCTGCAGGATCGGATGGCCCCTGGAGGAATTCTCCAAAGTTGGGTTGGCTCATGGGATTAATTCCTATTTCAATCCGATTTCGATTCTGTTTATTTATGGCAACGTGCATCACTTACTAATGTGTTTTCATTTAATCTTTGAGCTCTTATTCGTGACGCCCAGCATTCTGGTGGTGGAGTTGCATGGGCACGGATTTCGTATATGTACACAGCACCGATGATTTTATTTAGTGTCTTTTAAATGAGAATAGAGCACAAACGCTGCCCATTCTGAGATCGAGCCATTTCCCCACTGTCCATTCTTTTACGACTTTACGAGATTATTACAAGGATTTGCAATTTCACACGAAAGGAATACTCGTCCTCGTCCTCCGTGGGAGAGAACTATGTCCCACACACGCCAACCATTCATACGTATATTTTGCAGATAAAGATGAATGAGACCAAGCAGATCCACTTTGTGCTGTAGGAAGAAAGTGAAGAAACAGCAGCGGGGAATAGGTTTCATTCCAGCAATAGAAAGGATTTGGCCAGGCTGGAGCGTATGTATGTAGAACATGTTATTTATTATTGATTTAAACTAGGATTTACGTTGATTTAAGGGTTTCGTTGAATCCTGAATTTAATGGGAAATCGTGAAATCTGCGAAAATGTGCAGGTGATTAATGGTTTGTGCCATATTTCGGGAATTGGCCGAAATTCGACGAGAGAAAGCACTGAAGCTTATTTGGAGAAAATCCATTTCCCTCGAACTTGGGTCGAAAAAGTATCGAACTCTCTCTATCCGTAATGTCTGGAAAATTAAAAAAACGATGCAATCTGTGTACTCGCATCTTGATTTCAAATTTTAAATGCAGTAAATTACTGATGGAATGAGTGAAAAAAATTACTCATAAAACTTTGCTTTTTCACGCTGATCTCGAGTTTTTTGGTTGAGAAAGTTTTAATAAGCAACCGCCATGTTCATATGTATGCATACACCAGTAGATGTTAATACTTGGCTGATTTTTCTACTGATACATTCCTAATACAGTATGAATCAGTATGGAGAAAGTTTATAAAATTTTGTGTAGAACAATCTGAATCATGTAGCATATGTACCGTTCCATATCGGGAAACCTTAATCTGGAGTAAGTTTATACGTGGGTATAAAAACGAGCTTGTGGTCTCCAGTCATGCATGAATTTTATGCTCTCTGATATATTGCCAATTACGAATATTGCTTCTCTCCTTTAGGTTGTATGCACACTAAGCATTTTTACAGTTATTGTTCTTTCTTACCAGTTTTCAAGACTTTTACGAGCGACAATCTAGATTAAATTATAAACCTAATGGACCATTTAGAACCCTAATCGGTGGTCTCGTATACACTTTCCTGGTGTGCAAAAACAAAAATGAATTGCAACAAATGCATAATATGAGAGTGCCCCATTATTGCAATAATTAAAGTCAAATCTCCCAAACCTCGGCAACGATTATCTGTTCCTTCCTCCAAAATATCTCTGGAAAAATGCGGATCAGAAATAATGGTTGATGGAACATACATGTATGACTGACTATTATTCATACCCCACAACGATAACTCCTGCAAAACCAAATTTCTCAGGGCTTTCAATCCAATTTCATCACATCAAAACATAACTAAAGAGAACAACGAAGAATAATGTGTTCCGACTGGACAGAGTCGAGTGTAAGACTGCCTCCTTTTTCAGCAGTGCACAAAAAAGTAAAGTCACGTCGGTTCAAATTGAACTCTGACGACGATAATATGTGTTCGGCAAAGGTCCAATTGTTATACTGGAAGTAAGTAGCCCTAGTCGCACGTTGAGAGTGGAAGGAGAGTAGGCAGCGCTGTTCGGTTAGGTTAAAGAGCCCGTTGGAAGATGGTCATCCTTGCGTGTCATGACCCACTCTTTTGCCCGCTCATGATGAGACAAACCGAGTCGGACGGAACAAAGTGGCGTAAACTTCCTCTCTGAAGGGGAATAAACCGACCGGACCGAACAAATGGATTAACGTCGAATTTGATTACCGAACCACCGAGTTTTTGTGTAGTTTTCTATTTCTTGAACACACCAATAACTTGTGATTCAATCATGTTTGATATACAATAACCCAAGCGTGTGTGCCAACTTAAGTGCAGATACACGCCACAATGCGATGCTTTTTTTAAATTTATTGGATGACGTAACGCCACCAATTTGGTGGGCTCATCTAAATTATAAGTTCCATAAAGGTGTTGGCATCTATTTAAAATGGGCAGCACAACAAGACCATTGTTAGCTCTAACAAACTATTGATAAAGTGTGATAAGTTATAACTTTCTCTCTCTCTGGCACTCTCTTGGGCTCCTTCCACTTTCGCCACCTTCTCTCTGACTGCTACAAAATGGGAAGGAAAGAAGAAGGAAGAAGTTGGGTTGGATTAGGTCGTGATTTGAATTTTGAATTAGTTTCTCTCACTTCATCATTTACGTGTGAAACTCTACGTCCGTCCGTCCGGATATATTGCTCCAGTTTGCCCTCTCCCTCTCTCCCTTTTAGTTTAAGGGAGAATAGAGTGGTGGAAATTGTGATGAAGTTCTGAAATCAGTGGAAAACTTGAAGGCAATTGCTTTGGTGTGGACAGACTGGTGATTTGAGCCTGTGTAGAGGAATGTCTGACTCTGCATAGTTACTTGTTAAGAGTAAATCAGACCGCAACCGAAACCAGACTCTGCTGGGATAGTTGAGAGGAGACGCTTAGTTGGTGTTGTGGTGGGAGTTAATCCCCTCGGATAGAAGTCGTTAAATTTATACATTAGTTATTGACGTTAGATCTGTTTGTTATTGTATATGCGTTGTGTTGTTATTACTTTGTTTCCTCATGTGTGTCTTGTTTGTCAGTAATTGAAATGGAATTGGACAAGTTGAGAGAAAGTTGTCGACTTTAATTTCTATGGATGTGCGGAGCGTGGGTACCAGTTGCGTAGGGTTTAATCATATTAAGCTGATTGAGTTGCATAAATGTACAACAGCAAATATATTGGATCTGTCGTTGAATTGAGAAAATATGTCAAATTGTCAATGACGTGGTAAGCAGATGCCATTTTTATTCGTACCCGTCCGTCTTGTCCGTCGACACTTTATTCTCAATCCTAAATCATTATCAGATCGAAACGTACATCGAAAGTGTCGACGCATCACTGGCCACATTTCTTTGGCAAAGCCACTTTCACCACTCAATACTCAGAGATGATTGAAGGGTACTCTGGAAAGGATTTACCACTGCCATTACCAACCATTCATCACCTCCAAGGGTCGCCAGAAATCTAAACCGGGCGACAAGACCAAGAGCATTATGACCGAATTGGGGATATCATATTATAGATATTTCTGTACATGGAAGGTACGGACGTATTCCAGCCCACACGGTCACGCAAGGATGATTTTACACTGTCACAAGCACACCGGACAAGGAACTACACACACATCCATAACAGCGCCCCCGTTTCGTTGTCACTACACGGACATGTTATATGTTTTCTGGGTAAGCTGATCCAGATAGAGCAAAATGTCACCGACAGGAGAAAACGACATTTTAAAAATGACAGGAGAGAAGATGGGATACGGTCTTCCTGAGTGGCTTGCTACCAACAATACCATTCGTGTGCTAGTTCCTGATTCAGTGCACAATGTGCTTTTACATGCCACGACAAAAAGAAAGTCTGCAACAGTTTTAGAACTCTATTCTGTTTAACAAATCGTGAAGCACATCCATCTAATGCTGTTGGTGGCAGAATGCCCCTTGTGCAGTAAAAAATATTGGAAAAAGTGTAAACTGCTCGTGTTTTGTTCCTGTATAAATTGTCAACTGTTGGAACGACAAGAGTCACACGGGCTTAGAACATCCAGCTTATTGAAGCCGTCCTAGTGAATGAATCACTTTACGAATTCCACATTTGATGTCTACCGCCTACGTTATTGCTTTTTTTGAAAGTCGATCAAATCTATTCAAACGTCTCTTTCTTCAAAGCCGTGTTACTTTACGTGTCATCTATGTCTTTCCATGAGTTGATTTGTCACACTTGCAGGCCGTGGATGGATGGCGACAAATAAAACTGGTGATAGTAAAGGAACTTCAGCAGGGGATGCCCAAATTGAAAATCTGCATATCTCGTGCTTTCCAAAATTTTCACTAGCTTTTGACTCCAAATTTTATAGGTAGCCAACTAAAATCGAAATTGCCTATGGCGGAGGTGTGCATACAGTATATCGAGGGCCAAGATAAGTAATGGATGGATATCCCTCAGAATTTCTTGTCGGTACAAATTCCATGTCTGTAGGTTTGAGCAAATCCTTGTTTTGAGCCAAAATGCTCGAAAAAGTTTGAGTGAAGTTGGTTGGGTTGCAGCCAGTTTCGACTAGAAAGTTCATCCACATCTTTTTTTTTCTTACCATCATCACCGACCAACCGATCAAGCTAGAATAATGTCAAAATTAGGATAGTTCTTTCACGAGAAAAGGATATGAGACATAACCTTGGAGGTCGTATGTGCTACGCAAAATCGATACGCATCGCACTCATCTTGGCAAATACTTGTGCAATTGAATTTGGTTCCCTACTGATGCCTCACATTTTTCCTTTCAATTCCAGTGTTTTATTCGCAAAGTCCGGCCAAAACATTTCCATTCTTCTCCTGAAGAAGGGTGGCCGGCTATAACGAGTTTCCGATATACGTTTTATAGATTAGATGGCAGCTACACCCAACCGGTAGGAGCATTATGAAGTGATTAATGCCAACGACAAAAGCACAAATGTAGGACACCCAGGTCCATTCTCAATGATAAAATAATTGGTCCCTATGCCTTCTGAGCTTGGCAAAACGACAAAAATACTTTTGTGTTTTGTCTTTGGGGTGTATGCAACGGTTTTTGTCTCCTTGCTGGAAGTAGCGTGGAAACTACAAGTGTCTATTTGTGTATACTTATTTGACGAATAAGCCTGATTGGTTAAAAATGAGTGAATTTGTTGTATAGTCTGATTAAGTGACGTCCGTGAAATTTGTCTTGGTATAAAATTATTTGATCCGAGCGAGCTCAATATATTTATGCGTTCTTTCTCTCAATAAAAACCTACATGGAAGCCTTTGGAGCTTTCTCCAGAGAAACTTGGCATTGTCCAGCGTAGCGAGCGTACATCAAAGTGGAATAATATAGGAATTTCTTTGGTTTCTATGCTGGAATGGTGACCGTGTCATGTCGAACGTCCACCCATTGTCCAATTCCATTGGGAAATCCGTTCTTTATGGGATTTTATGTGTCCAAGTCTAATCTAATTCTATTTGGGAATGTTCGGCTTCATTCCGCACTACTTCATTCCCAAATACACAAGACGTCACTTTCTTTCTGTTTACGCATGTTTGACGGAATTAAATAAAAATTACGTCAACTGTTCAATCTATTTATACGTAGATGTGACATTCAAGATGTGGCCAAGGTTGATCTAGCTTATGCCAAAAATATAAAATTTTTGCAGATGTGTCGTATCGCTCGAGTTCGTACCCTGAGTGGCAGTTTAAATTCCAGATCTCCCAAAGTATAGACGTCAAAGTGAACGCTTGTATGTATAACGTATTTGTAATCACTTAAAATCATGCTGTGAGTGTAAAAAAAATGAAGTTTATGCTTATTTTTTTCTGATGGGTACTATTTAGGATGAAATAGTTATGTATATTTGTATTTACACCTCACGTTGTTTCTGAATATATAATACTTTAATCTGTGAATAACAAGAGTTTTTGAACTCTTACATAATCAACAGATTGAACTTTATGCTTGATGGAATGGATCAGCATCAAAGAAACAAATTTATCCATCCGAAATCTTCGATGGGGAACACAGCTTGAGAAGAAGATGGTCGAATATATTCTACCAAATTGGTCTACGGTGATGAATTAGGAGGCTTAAATTTATTCCTCCCAAGCGAGGTCAACTATTTTGGACGTAAAGAAGATAGACTAACTGACTATATATTTTTCTCTCCCATAAATTTCAGAAGGTTCTCTGTGCTGCTGAAAGTTACACTTGCATACTTTATCTGAACGAATGGCACCACTTTATTTTTTGTTAGGAATTTAATTAAGCCAAACTCGATACTTTTTGCAGAAACACGTTTTACTACTTGAGTTTAATAAATAAGTGCAAGTTTATGAATTCAAGTTCCTCCTTTCAACAAGAATAATGTATCCCAACTTTCAATCAATTCTACATTCGCATAATTGAATTGAATCTTTTTTCCTCCTTCTACCATTCCATTCCTTCTTCTTTTTCTACACTTTCAGACGATCGTTTCTTCGGTTCAATTCTTGTGGAATAAACTCAAACTGCATCATAGCTCGTAGGAAATGGTGTACGATTTCATTTTTAGTGAGGATGATATGCATATATGTACTTATGCAGTAATAAATATCCATCTACAGCTCACGCAACGTCCGCATCTACCTATTCACTGAAGAGGGAAATATTTATCTGAACCATTTCTATTTTCTTTGCAGACTAGAAATGGAACAAGTTATTCTCCAATTTCAAATTTCCAAAAGATTCCGACCGTCCCAACTTTAAATCCGCTTATGCATACTTCAATTCCTTGCATGACACATTCCACGAGCAGCAGCGCCATACAAACTTTGGGCACGCATGCATGAATGCATGAACAATACTAAGAGATAGAATTTCCAAACATAATTTTGACCAACTCTGGATCTTCCGAGACTTGAGATATTTTTACATGAAACAATGAAAATGTGCTAGTTCGAGACAAGAATATGGACAGAGTGGAAGCAGGCATATTGAATTTTCTTTATTTGGATTTTCCATGTATGTGTCATCCTCATGCCAAGTTCCGCTATGAACTAAAAGGATCAATTTTGTTTCTTTATCGGGAATTCGTAGACAGGTCCAAGTCCATATTTCGTACTTAGGATTTCACCATTTCCGAAGCGAATGAAAGTGGTTGATGTTCTTTTCTCTCCCAGACGCCCTACAGTGTGAATCAAGCTCGGTGAGAAAATGCTAAACATCATTCCGACAAGGCAGGAGAGAGGAAAAGTCTTCTCCAATAAAACCAAAAGTAGAATAAAGTCATAAGAAAGAAGCAGCATATCAAATCAACCATGTAGTGCAAATATGGCTGACTTGTCAGATGAAAAGTAAAAGTAAGTAAGTTGCAAGGTTGAGTGATCTCCTTGAGACGATACCCTCAGAAATTCCAAAGGTCTGTTTTCCCCGATACAATCCCATCTTCTCGGCAATATTTTGTGTACTTATAATCATTTTTGTTTCTTCAGAGTGAAGCTCGCAATGGCAGTTTGTTTCAGCACTCTCAGCCAAGTTCAGTTTCTCTTATTGCCAAAGTTCTCCAATTGAAATATTCAGAGAGATGGTTTGTGTGAGGCATAGTTTTTGAAGCAAATCGAGTAATCGACATGCAAAATAAATATAGGCACATAATCCAAACACTAATCTAAAAGCATTCTCTAACGTAATTACATTTCAGTTTAGAATTTTCATGTTCTGGCTTTCATTCAGGTCTCTAGAAAAAATAGAGAGATTACTCCACCTAAATATTATATCTTCGAAATTACACGGCACACGTACTTGGAGAGTGGTTGAGCATTGGCGTAAACGGCATCTTGAGTAGAAAGAAAGTAAAGATGTTCCACTTTGTGAGAAATTCTCAAATGGACAAAGTTTTTGTGTGGAAGCTTTCGTTTTTTTGTTTTTACTCCAGTTGTACGCATTTTGCCAATATTCATGTGAAAAAGTCGAGTGCTTTATCCATTCCAATCGAAAACACCCACGAGCACAAACAAGTGTACTACTCACCCACTCGTTCACTTTATGCGAAACATCACATCAACTCCTATTTCCGAACAAAAGCACCAACAGAGTTCACGTACTCCACTTTTCACAAAAGCACAAGGGGGGAAAGACGAGTTCTGAAATAGGCCGTACATAAGTAAGCGGAATCGCTAAATGGTGTGGAAGGGAATTGAGAGTTTTGCAACAAGGCCCCTCTGAGAATTTGCATGAGACTCGCTGGTAGGAAGTCTCTATAACCTTTCGTACAATGTGGCTAATATTCTACATCTTCACGACCAGAATAAAACTGCACATATCGTCCTTCCTTCCTGCTTCTTCATATCTTGTCCCTGTAAAAAGAGCAACTGATAACATGCAAATGATGCTGTATGAGAAGAATTGGATGCACATATTTTTCTTCCATGTGCATATTCTCTTATCGTTCATTTGCAATTGTACATATTTGCATTCCGAATAAAATTGAATCAATTGTTGCTGATCTTCTAGGACGGTGACCTACAAGTGGACGAGTTGAATTTACGGAAAGATCGACTCCATCAGCTCGCTCGCTTTGTCCGATTCTGGACAGAATTACTCCCCCAAGATTGTAAGCGTCTGTTTGTACTCGTATAGCATCATTTTTGATACGATGTAATGCTCTTCGTGTTTTTTCCACTATTTTCCAGTCTCAGATGATCGACTAATGCAGTACGTCCGTACCCTAACTCGTGTTTGCATGGATGAAGAGTCGGAGGTAATTATTCTATATGGGATGAAGTCTGCCCATTGTTTCCTCTACAGCCTGGCTTTGTTTTACTGCTTCCCGGGCACAATACGCAGCCAGAGCCTACGTATCTACTTATATTATAGGACTGGGGATAAATATTTAAAATTTTATGAGCGGAAATGTAACGCAATTTCTCTTTTATGGGATGGAAAGTTGTAGAATTTGAATGTGCTTCGATATAATTGCAATTTTATTGTGGATGAGTTTACGCGTCCTAAATACGAAGGATGTGTGGTCTTGATATGCAGTACAGGTTTCTCTTTATGTACGATGCAGGTGCGTGAGGAGGTTTCCACTCTTTGGACGAATCTCGTCTCAAAACTAACCGCCTTGGAAGCCTTTGAAACAACGTTACGAAGATACAAGACTGAATCCTTAATTGGAGAACCGATTGCAGCGGTACAGCCCCGACAGTCGTAACGGCATAATAAATACACACTCAGCATAGCATGGATAAATTTATTATGGATACTTACGTAGTGAAGCCTTCTGACAATTGCGCCTGTTTTAATTTAATTTCATGCCCATTCTTGTTGCATTCTTGATCTTGTTTGCAACATGGGCGTTACAGTTTAAACCAAATTAAGGTTTCAGGACAGTGTGCAAAGATAATGCAACGGCGGATTAATTGGCCGTAACGAATTATCTTTCCACTCGGATTTGAAAGGTTGGGTAATTTATTTAAGATGGGAAATGCATGCGTGAGATGGTAATGAGATTCTTTAGTTTCTTCACGACTGCATTAAGTCCTTATTCTTTCGTCCTGTGCAACTAATCACACAGGTTCAGCAGGGAAAGTGTACATTTATTGGACATTGCTGGGTTTAAACTCGACTAAATTTAAATAAACTTTTCCTCACTGCGTGTAAAAGAGAATACAAAGTTGAAGAGAGCCATGACCATAAAACTGAACGTGGAAAAGTGGTCGTGAATCGAAAGGGAAACAAGTAAGCAGAGGAAGACCAGCCGGAATTACTGCACTGTTACTGCAGAAAGCCGCACCATGATCACTTTCACTCAACTCATGTACTAAACCTAACGCTGCCAAAGTGCACATGAGAGAAAGAGCTGTGGCAACTAAGGACGGCTGTGAAAATGATATAATGGTCTCGTATCGTTACTTTATATTGTATGCCATCGTGTGGTGGGTATGGATGATGAGCAAGCAACTTTCTCCATCGAAACTAGAGCCTGACGCCGCCAACTTGAGGCAGATTTTTAAGCGCCGATTTTAAGAAATTTTCGAAACTACTTTATTTCTCATTCGAACCCGTTAATTATTAGTTCATTCCAAGAATAACCAATGCATAGAAGTTTATTTTTAAAATTCATGTCAAAAACTTTCGAATTTTCGATCAGGTCATTCTATTTATTTTATTGGGTAACATTTCTTAACGCCGCGAAGTATGTCGGCGTGGAGCTCTGTTTAAAATTCATCGTCAGTTCAACTTAGACATATTTGCATGCCATTCGGAATCGTGGTGATTCACGGAGTAATTCACTCTGAATGCAATGTTTATGCAGATCTACCTATCTATGCACGTGACTCAGTGATACACACATATTATACACGTGTAAATTGCATGACCTGTTTATTTGTTTATGCACCCTGGAATAGGAAATTGCAATAGGAAATAGTTAGAATTTTGGTAAGAAAATTGTCCACGGATCGGACTTGTTAGCTTCAGATATGTATGAACTGACGACTTTAATGGTTTTAATGCAAGTGGCTTTCCTCGTATCTCGTCGAACTTAAACTGGTTACTAGACATTGAATTATTTCCCAATATTGGTTTTGGCATATTTTTATGGATATAAATTGTGAGTGTGAATGATGATTGTCGATTTGTTCCCTTCCAGCCTTCTGTGATTACTATATCCCCAAGTCCACTGGTTCTAGCTCAACAACTGACCCTCGTCGAATTGGAGCACTTTTCTTTCCTTGGAGCACAAGAATTGGTCGCTCAGGTTGGTCAAAGCCTTTTATTTACAAGTGTATAGGTAATAAATCATTAAGAAATATTTTCTTCTTGCGAGAACTAAATGTTCTTCCAAATACCAAATTGTTTGGGGTTACGTACATATGCTTTTGACGGATTTGCAAGAGCAGTCCGCCTGTGCAAACACAACTACAACGATAATTTTGGGCATTTCTGCAAAACTGGGTTAACAGTATTGAGTTTTTGCTGGGGTGACTCAAAAGGGATTTTGTTGTGAATATTGTGATTTCTTAATACCGTTTTATTTCGTTCCAGTTACTCAGAAAGGATCGAAGCCGAAACAAAGACTATTCCAAAACGAATGGGTCCGTGCCTTACTCCAGAACATTATCAGGACGATGTTCTACAATTGGGACGGCCTACCAGGAGAAGAACATCCAAGAGAAAGTACAACTCCGGGACAAGTGTTGTGGGGATGCAGTCGCCTCTTCGGGAAATACTCAAAGGATGGAGGCAGAGACATTCACTCGAAATTTGGATAGTTTTATCTCTTGGTTTCGACGCCTCGCAATGTACGTCTGCACCGAAATTTGTAAGGTCGGTGTATAATCTATTGTTGTTGGTAAGGGTGTCAGAGTAATTGTACACATAAGGTCGTTCATGTGACTCAAAGAGAAGTGCCGATGCTTTGTGGCATCGAACTAGTGAAAGTTGTCTTGTCTCCAAACAAATTACAAAGCAATACATCACGCAGCATTACACAAATTGAGAGAAAGCTAAATAATTGCACAAACTTTCACCTACATTAATACTTATTTGCCTCAGTTTTGGCATTTAATAAAAGATGTAGCACGATTCAGACACCAAAGTACAAGTCAAATAACTCGTTATACAAAAATATTATTCGGCTTACTCGAAATTTATAGTAGAAATTTTGCAGGCTACTTAAAAATTACACCTAAAAATTACAGGCAATCATGATGTCTGCCGTTTATCTAAAGTCTTAACAAAATTCCAGTTGTCTCCCGATTTTTCAAACATTCTAGGACGCCAGGTTGATTTGCCTTCTTCCCGCTCCTTTGCATCTAATCTTTGGCGGTCTTCCACTGCCATTTTCGCCTTAGACGCACCTTCGACATCATTGAACCTAAATTTGTCGAATTTTAGCTTTATTATAACGTGAATTTTGTAAAAACTAAAATACTAAAATGTTCAAGCTTGATCGTATAAACATCTTTCACATAACTTGAAAACTTACTTTAGCGCTTTTGTCACATGTTTCCACAAACGTCTTGACTCGTAAGGTTCTTGTTGAGCTATCGGTTTTGTCTTTTTGGTCTGAATTTTCAAACTATTTACGTCCACAAATCCACGTTCGGTTCTACCATCAGCCCACTTTCCAGACATCACCCCGTTCCATTCACCATCAACAACCAGAAAAGGCTTCTTCTTTTCTTCAGGGCCAAAAACTTGCGCATTTATCTTCGTTTAAAAGAGTGATGCAGTACAAAAGTGAATTTAATCATGCAAAAAATATATTGCATTGTGTGACATGTAATTTACTTTGTTTCTTTCTCCACTGAAGAAAAGTTTTGTCATAAACTCCACCTTTGCATTATATCCCGTTTGGGCACACGAAATGGTAACGGGACCCCCGAGTTCCACCCAAGGAACTGTTAAAATGGAGCGAACATAACCATTTGGAAAATTAAGGACATAATCTTCTCGTGGTCCATTGAGCAAGGTCAGAGTGGCATGTCCAATATTTTGTACACCTGTACGGAAAATTAGAATTATTTCGTTGTTGTCATCATAAAATTCCAGAAACTTTGATTAATAAATGTCTACTAATTGATAGTCCGAGAAATTTTGATTTTGTCCAAATATGTGCGTTTAGGGATATTTTCTTTCGAGGATGCTCCGCATAAAAGGCAGAAATTGGAGGATGATGTGACACCTGAAATAGAATGAACGTAATGAGTTCCATATTCTGAGTAATGCATACATTACAAAATAAATCTGCTTGTTTTTGTCACTTGTTCACCGTAGAATACCAGCGCATCTGAAAATCAAGACCAGAAAAAGATAAGAATACTAACAGTTAAATAAATCATTCATAGATTACTTTGCAAAAATATGTGCAAGTTCATTTATTTTACTTGGATCGTCCACCCATGGGAAAAGTCCAGTTCCGTTAGCATGAGACGACGATGCATCAATTGTTAGCTGGGATTCACTCTCGGAATTTGTAGCCTTTACTTTAGACGGCTTATTAGTCGATTTTAACGACTCCTCGTATCCCTTTAAATGCCAGTAGCAGTGAAACGTCTCACCCAGAATGGGATTGTATGGTTTTTTAGCAACTTCTGAGCGACGCCCGGCGTGAAAAGCTCCGAGATACCATCTAGTACGTGCATAGTTGACATTTAGACCGTTAAGTAACCAATTATGTTCCGGGGTTTACTTATAAACGTAAGGATAAACGCATACCTTACAACTTCGACTATTCGATCCTTTGGAGTGGTAGCATCTCGTCGGCCTCATTTTAAATAACCCTAAGTGCAGTCTCGTCTCAATTTTAAATAACCCTAAGTGCAGTCTCATCATAATTTTAAATAGCCCTAAGTGCAGTCTCATCTAAATTTTAAATAGCCCTAAGTGCAGTCTCATCTTAATTTTAAATACCCCTAAGTGCAGTCTCATGTTAATTTTAAAAAGCCCTATGTGACATATAAAAGCGAGTAAAAACCCCTAACTGCAACTTAACTTTCAAATCATGCATAATTAATTAGTTGTGATAAACTACGGTATGTTTTTATAATTAGAACTTTTTTCTTGAATTTTTTGGTATGTAGATTAAGTGGCCGACCTTCTAATGCCAAATACATTGGAAATTGACATGGTCACCAATTTGTCAGTTTTTGACCCATTTTCAAAGTTTTGACCGTTTTCTAAGCCTCCTACATTTCTACGAAATATATATTTTCAGAATTTTCAAATACGACCACACCCCCTTGAAATGAGGGTCACAAGTTAAAAAACTATGTTAATTACTGAAATTGAGTTTCAAAGCGGCAAATTCTAATTGTATGGCGAAAAAATAAACCGACACCTAGGTCATCCTCCTCAAGGTTGAGGTGGTCACATGCCCCACCTCAGTGGGTGTGGCTCTCCGCCTCTTTTCGACTTTTATAAAAACATGGGTTGTGATATGTCACTTTTCTCACCTGGATGAGGAGATCCCCACGCAATAAATAAAATTCACGAACCACACCCCCAGTGGGTGTGGCTCTCGGCGACTTTTCGACTTTTGTCAAAACATGGGTTGTGATATGTCACCTTTCTCACCTGGATGAGGAGATCCCCACGCAATAATTAAAATTCACGAACCACACCCCCAGTGGGTGTGGCTCTCGGCGACTTTTCGACTTTTGTCATAACATGGGTTTTGATATGTCACTTTTCTCACCTGGATGAGGAGATCTCCCGGCAATAATTAAAATTCACGAACCACACCCCCAGTGGGCGTGGCTCGCGGTAAATTTCTGACTTTTGTCAAAACATGTGTTGTGACATGTCGTTTTTCTCAGAGCAATGAGGAGATCCTGATGCAAAAATTAAATTAAAATTCACAAACCACACCCCCAGTGGGTGTGGCTCTCGACGACTTTTTGATTTTTGTCGAAACATCGTTGGCCTAATTCTTAAAACCCCTAAAAGTGCAGTCTCATCTTAATTTTAAATACCCCTAAGTGAAACTTCTTCCTAATTTTAGAAATCCCTAAGTGTTGTTGCTCGTTAATTTTTAAAACCCCTAAGTGTATTCTCGCATTCATTTTAAAAAGCCCTATGTGAAAAATAAAAGCGAGTAAAAACCCCTAACTGTAATTCAGCTTTCAAATTATGCATAATTAATTAGTTGTGTTAAACTAATCAGAGTATCACACAGTATCATTATAAGTATTATGCAAAGCTTCACTCCTCAGTGATGCTTTGCATAATACTTTAAAAATCTAATTTGTAATCATAGAGTATCATACAGTGATAATGATACTGTCTGATACTCTGATTAGTTTAACACATGTCTTGACAAAAGTCGAAAAGTCGCCGAGAGCCACACCCACTGGGCGTGTGGGTTGTGAATTTTAATTATTGCATCGGAATGTCCTTATCGAGCTGCGAGAAATGACATATCACAACCCATGTATTGACAAAAGTCGAAAAGTCGCGGAGAGCCACACCCACTGGGGTGGGGCATGTGACCACCTCAACCTTGAGGAGGATGACCTATTTGTCGGTTTATTTCTTCGCCATACAATTAGAATTTGCCGCTTTGAAGCTCAATTTCATTAATTAACATAGTTTTTTAACTTCTGACCCTCATTTCAAGGGGGTGTGGTCGTATTTGAAAATTCTGAAAATATATATTTCGTAGAAATGTAGGAGGCTTAGAAAACGGTCAAAACTTTGAAAATGGGTCAAAAACTGACAAATTGGTGACCATGTCAATTTCCAATGTATTTGGCATTAGAAGGTCGGCCACTTAATCTACATACCAAAAAATTCAAGAAAAAAGTTCTAATTATAAAAAACATACCGTAGTTTATCACAACTAATTAATTATGCATGATTTGAAAGTTACGTTGCAGTTAGGGGTTTTTATATGTCACATAGGGCTATTTAAAATTTAGATGAAACTGCACTTAGGGGTATTTAAAATTAAGATGAGACTGCACTTAGGGCTATTTAAAATTTAGATGAGACTGCACTTAGGGCTATTTAAAATTATGATGAGACTGCACTTAGGGTTATTTAAAATTGAGACGAGACTGCACTTAGGGTTATTTAAAATTAGGCCGACGATCTGTTATGCCGACGAACATGTCTGGGTGTGCAAAAAAGTCTGCATACATCTCAAGCAATGATCGACGTTCTAGAATATAAGTTGGAAGAGTGATGCTCGTCAAGTCCATTCCAACTCGAAGTTGAGACCAAAGAAATGAAATGACGGATTTTTTCGGCTCTTCAGAGCCAATGTTTTGGTCGCTATTGTTGTCATCGTACAAGGCGTCCCAGTCAAAGCTGGCATTATTTAGAGAATTGGATGTGGGACGAACAACCAAGGCTTCTGTATTACTAGACAGCGAAGCTATCCCGGATTGTGTCGGGTCGGGTGACTCGTCAATTACAACAATGTTGGGGGAAGGTGCACCCACCGAATTTTTCTTTTGGTTCATGTTTTTCCTATAAATTCAGTCATAATGAAAAATTAGTCTGAATTACAGGGAATAAAAAATGTAGACTAGACAAATAAGTCTCATCACCAATTATTATTTTACTTTATTTCATAAATGTGCTTGTCAATAGAAATCTTTTATTTCACTTACTTTGACGAACAACACCCACACATGACAAAGCCGGCTCTTGAGTAGAATATTGTAATATTTATTGTTTGATTCCTAGTCGTTGTTAAAACTTAGAATTATCTCAGATAACATTATTGTTGATAGAACTCTAGCCAATTGATATCCATGCAACGTTGCCAATATTATTTGACACTTTATCATTCTATACATGTTGCGACAAATGAATTGTTTCCAACACAAATTTTCATTTTTGAAGAAATTAAATTTTAATTATTATGTACTGATAAAATGGTGTGAGTGGACCGTTGTTAAGTTGGAGGATTGAGATGACCCCCTAGGTCAAATCTGGACCAAGTGATCTCACACCCTCCGGTGGGGTGTCAATCGATCGGTCTAGATAATACGATCAGTTTGGTATATTATAAAATTTTGTGAGATAAGAATTGGCTTCGAAATTCCTGAAAAACTTATATTTTGGAGATATTCTTCAAAATAAACATTTTAATTTTCGAAATAGTACACTCGAGATTTTTAGCTTAAAAAATCAAGCTAAAAATTAGGATGATTTCATCCTCAGGAATTAAGTCTCTTTGTCTGCCTATTCAAAAGTTATTCAAGGTTAAAGTCGTTGGGGCAAACCAAAGGACTTTTGCCCCAACGATTTAAAAAATGAAAATTTTCTAAAAAATAATCCATTTGTCGCAACCGTATGGGGCACCACCCCATAGAAACGATGTCAGTTAATCGTGCAACGTTGCCAATTATTTCATATCAAGGTAAATGTTCAAATAAGCCCCAGCGTTACTTGGATACCGTTATTATTATATGTACTTTCTGGGCGTGGTTTTATATTTCATAGATTCCTAAACGGGTGAAATTTTGTAAATCAAACATCTGTCACGACGCTGACGTTTATTTTTTAGCATTACACATATCACAAAAAGTAATTTCTTTCTTGGTGACAAACAGCTGAAAATTTAAGAATGCTCTTTGCCCATGGTTCACGCGAGCACATAAGTAAGCAACTCTGGTTGCAAACATTTTTTAATGGAATGTAATATTAGTCCATATGCTAAAAATAGATAAATAATAGAATGAAAATGTGGTAAAACACAATGCAAAGCTGAGCAAGAATTCGGAAAAAATACAGAAAGTGGATTTTAATTCCATTGCTCTTTTTTCATTCTGTGCATGTAGGACGCTGCATGAGCAGAATGACAGAGCAGCAGCAGTGCTTATTTTTCACAAGCTAAATGTATAATCGGAAACAAGAAAGTAGAGAACAAGAAAGAGAAAATAAGAGTCGAGACAGTCAGAATGTAGACTTTCGTTGGTCGAGAAAGTGGAGAGGATTAAGTAATATTGTCTTCATGACGGATCGCCTTTCTTATATTTGCTTCCTTTCATTTCGACCTAATAAACTCACCTTGCTGTCAACTCTAGCATCAACATAAAAATAATCGTTCTTCTTCCATGTCCCATTATTATTATCCTTCCGCTACACGGCTGTCTCCACGAAAAAGCAGTGTGCATAATCCTACAGAAACATACTTTCTTCTTACGGCTACATAGTGCTACAACTACAGATGTGTACTTATGTAAGTAGATATGTACATACTACTACGATTCTGTTGTTTGTGACCTCATGCTCCATTTCATACCGCAAAACTTTCTCTTCCAAACATTGTTCAATCCGTTCCATACTCTTTTTTTACTCATAGTGCATAACAGGGTGCATCAAAGTAACAAATCCAGCAGTAGTAAAATACTTTCACTTTGGGAACTGGATGATAATTTTGTTCAGCTTTGGCGTTGGTCCTAAATCTTCAGCATATGTATTTTGTTTTGGGGGATGAATAAAATATGATACGGTTTCATGAGATGATAAGGATGGTCGCGTAACGTAACCACAATCAAATAAATACAAGAGAACAACTGAATAGCTCACGTAAGATGAGAAGACACACAGATCCGTGTGGAATTTCATTTCAATTTACATTTTAAATTCAAATCGTACTAGAACCTAAGAACTGGTACGGGTGGGCATGGCTAAAATATAGCTAAGAAAAAAATATTTTGATACGATGGAGAAAATTGTTTACAAATTGATCATGCAGAACAACTCTTTTCTTGGTTTCTTTCATGTCTCGTCTTCCTTTGAACTTGACAACTCTTCGTTGTTGGTCGACTCCGACTGATGCCTTTGAAATCGAATCTTTGCTGACGAATCTTTTTTATTTGAACGAAAAGATGTCCAAGAAGAAATCCAGAGTTCGCGTTATCGAGTATTGGATCCAGGTTTGCAATAAATACAACTTGTTGGCATTCAAAGGGTTTCTGGTTAATATAATTTTTACCATTACATTTTGTTTTGAAAGGTTGGGAAAGAATGCTTCAAAATTAGGAATTTCAATTCCTTACTTGCCATTCTTGGCGGATTTAGCTGCGGACCAGTTTCGAGGTTAAAGAAGACGGTAAGCATAATAACGTATTATTTGTGGAATTACTAATATAAATATTTACCTATTATTCACCACTTTACTTTACATTTCGATTTCCTACATTGTAGTGGAGCAAGGTAAATTGTGCAGACCTTATCGAACTTCAAACCGCTATGGGTAAGGATATGTATAATAAACGCTGACTCCTGATACGAGTCACATCTTAATGGGTTTCATATTTTTGTTTAGATCCGAAAAATAATTTTTCTGCATATCGCACAATGTACAAGGTACTAATTAATCATTTCCTAATAAATAATTAAAAATTTGATTTATGAATGCCTAAGACTTTTTGACTTTTTATCCAGACTGCAATGTGGAACTCTCTCGCAATTCCACAAGGAGAAAGTCACAACTACAAAATACTGGTGCCATATTTTGCACTCTTGCTGCGTGATGTCTATAATCTAAACTCTATTTATCCTTCAAAGTATATGCTCCAATTCTCCAATTATAAATAAATATTTATTAAATAAAAAATATACGTGCTTATTTGGCATTATTTGTTTTCAGAATCAAATCCAATAATCACATCAACTTTGAAAAATATACAAGTATGACCAAACTCATTAAGGAAATAATGTCGTGGCAAAATGTCGAATGTCCGTTTACAAAAATTCCGTCAATTTTCAATTCCGTCCAAGCCTTGCCTGTCTACACAGAAGAAGGTACTAGTATGCACGCATAAATTGTGAAATGTCCCTCGATAAATAAAATGCGTCATATTTAACATATTTAATTGTTGAAAATATCCCATTTTCAGAAGTTACATGCGCCAGTTACGCATGTGAAGCTCCCGATAGTTCGGTCGAAAAGGAGCATTTCAACCGCCTGAAGAGGGACCAGGGTCAACGAATAGCTCCATTTTTGTCAAATAAAGGCAGTTCTCCAGCACATTATTTAATTTGATTTATTACGTTACATTAAATGTGTAATACATGTGCTCGTATAAACGTACACATATATTTATGTATAATAAGCCAAACAGGGTTTAGTTTTGTATTTCGAATAAAGTAACCAGAAACCGAATTTTTCACGGATTTGCGATATCCTCACACACATATCATACTCGGCGCAATGTACGAAAATTATTTGGAATTTGTTAATATGAATTTATGTAAAGTGGTGGTGATCACAAATGTTGGGATCCATGCTGCGAAATTTTTAATGCTGCAAATTTGTTAAAATACTATTCGGACCAGAACATATTTATAATGACGAATTAAATGCACATGTTTAATTATAATTCGTAGTTATCCAAATCTTGGCATTGGGAAAATGGGATCCTTTAATCCGTTGACAATTGTTTCGTTTGAAAGTATGCAAGACTTCGTCAGAGAGAGCAACTCTTGCTTGACATCTCCAACTTTGAACTGTATCAGAATGATGAAGTAGGTTGTGATTGCTCCCAATAACTGAAATTCAAAACAGACAAAGATGCATCCCATTTAACTCATTTAAATTCAAGGATACGTGTAAATTAAGTTAGCTCTATTACAGATGTAAGAAGACCTCGATCGATTGTAAAGTATCCAGCGGCAGATACTCGGACGGCAGAGCTGTCCAGTGCATTCAGAAACATTTGAATTTGCATCCCACACTCTGGCGACACTCTCGCGATGGACACTCTGTTGAGCATTCTTTTGGCTTGAAACACCTAAAAATAAATAATTCCCCATTTTTTAGTCACAAGTGCTGTTTTTCATAACTTACAAAATGTAATCAAGTCTTACGAAACAGTGAATTCTTTGTGCGAACAAAGACATCATAAACAGCTTTAACAGAAGAAATCCCTCAAGAATAGTGACAATAGCATAGTTGGAAACTGAATTATTATAATCCACGTAGAGGATGATGTAAGTATACAAAATTATTCCAACGGTTGAAAATAGATAATCACGAGCCAAGTGAGAACCAAAAAGCTGACTAATTTCACAGGAGAGAGCACCCATTTCCGTGTAAAGGAGCCGTAATTTTTCCAAATGTAAAGACAATTCTGCACCCCCAAAATCAATTTGAGGGCTTTTCTCGTTATTTTCTATTTCTTTCCCGTAATCCCAGTAACCGCTGCACGCACTGTACGACGGAGTCACTGCCTCCAACTTGGTTTCCATAAACTGCGAGCAATACCAATCAGATTAGACTCTTTTTTAGACGAAATGATGGATGATAAGGTTGAAATGGAAGCACACCTTGTTGAAGTGAAAGAGTCGGATTCGTAGAGCATGCAAAAAGAATATCAAAATGGCCGTTGGGATGAGAAGCGTCGTGCCAGCCAAGGTGATAATCGGTGCCATGATAATATCCGTGTAGCAAACACGTAGTCCTGCTCCACTGGGTTCCAAAATATAGAATCCGATGTATGCGCCAAGTGTCCCAAGGAAAATTATGACCAACCAAGCAAGCATCTTCCAGGCAAACCTCCTTAATTAAGAAAATGGTCATGCATATTATGTATTTGCCTAGAAAATCCCAGTAAAAGTAACCGACCGCTCGTCGCTGCGTCCATCGAATCTCAATATTTTGTCCAAATGAGTAAAATGGTCAATCAAGGCCAGCAGAGCTGCATTTGCAGTTGGGAAAGTTAACAAGGCCATGATTCCATGAGCCATGATGATATACACGACTGCTATGCTGACGTAAAAGTCTGTTGTGTCAGTGTCCCCATCGCTAGCAAGCCTTGCTAATGCAGACGGGGGTTTAATAGTGCACATCACTCCACCTCCAGCCATTACCGACATAATCATTCCAGAGTAGCAATAGTCAAGTATGTGTAGTATCTGCATGCATATGTCCATACGTATTTATTGAAAAAGTGCGAATATCTTGTAAAGATAAAAGAATGGAGAAATTAATCTGGAACTCACATTCATGCTGCTACTCTGTTTTAGTGGAACAAAGGACAAGTCGTAGCGTGGGAATAATCCAAAGACTTTTGCAAACATGGCCAACGGTTTGAAGGCTTGTCGAATTGAGTCGGGATCATAGCAATTTTCCTTGTTCGCCAAAGTGCAGACGTCGTACCCTTCTTCAACAATGCGGGCACTTCCTGCTCCCACCGCTGACTTTTTCCCAATTCCTAAGTGGGTAGAAAGCTTACCCTTTATGCGTTCCATAATTGTGACAGGAAGTAGAAATGATCTACGATGCGATGAAGAATAAATGTCGCAGTGTTCCCAACGACATTCAGAAATGAAATACATCCGAATCGTATGAAAAACTAACTAATTACTGAGCCATGCGGGTACCTATCTGTAATGGTCGTAATTGCGTTATCTGAGTATTTTTGAGTGTCGGGGTCGTCACCTAAATTGAGCGATTTTTCATGCTTTCTCTCACTGTCTCGCAAAGAAAACCAATAAGCATCAGGTTCATTTCTGCAAGGTTAACTAAACGTTTGCAAAATTATGTACCAAGTTGCATAAACCAGACGGGCAAATCACATTACGATTACAGAGGAAATATTGAATGAATCAAGCTGACTGTATTATGCATGTGCTTTTTGTGTGTCGATACTATCCCACCATTATAGTTTTACTACTAATTTTGATGTCGAAATATAGCCATATGGCTGAATAATGCGCATCACCGACTACACAAATGGGAAGAATGGATAGCCTTCTCTCCAATGATTGCATCATGCGTTGTCTAATTGTCTTCTGGCCATTATAAAATTTCGAATATCTTTTGTTATTATAACGTCGATACTAAATAAATATACTCATTTCCTGATTTTTCACGTCATTCAGATAGTCCAATTTTCATGCAATGTCCAACGCAAATAGTGCATATTATGAATGCATCATTTTTCACAGCCAAAAATTACAATTAAAAAAGGTTTCATTCAATCTCATCTCGTATGTTTCAACTGAATGGATCAAACGGTAACAAAACGGATGTTTGACCAATTACCTCGATTCTATTCATTTAATCGCACAACAATATGTGACACTTGTCCGTCAGGGAGATCCCATTATGGGCCAAAACAAACTATCAGTTTTGTGTATTATACAATGGTCATGCAATAGTGAGAAACAATCGCGGAGATTCACTGTTAATTTAACTACTAAAACTTTTGCTAAGTAAATTTAATTTTAAACTTGAAATTTAAAACAGCATTTTTATAAGAATGTGAAAACAAAATGCGATCCCATAATTTCATTATTGTGAAGATAATAATAGAAATATTATTCCTTGACGGTCTCATTCAGGACGTCCTAGGAGGACTGAAATGTCCTGGAAGGTGTGTGGTCGATCCGGCATCATGCCGACTCCTGGGTGGAAAAATTATTGGCTATTGTATCAACGGGCAGGCCTGTTGTGATTGTTAGTTTAACATCGTGTCTTATTTCATTAAAAATCATTTATAGCGAATTTTGTTTTTACATATTTATCTCTATTTATGCAAAATATTCATGCACAGTAAGTCAGATGGAAGGAGGGTCATGCGACACGACGGTAAGAAATGCAAAGGTATCTTATTTTATGTCTCCCAACTATCCAAACGAATCTGGTGGCGATCTCATTTGCGAACTGAACCTGGAATTATCCGAGAAAACATTGGGAGTGAAGCTCGATTTTGTCTCTTTGCAAATGGACAGTTTGCCGTTTGATTTGGCTGATTTTGCTGTAAGTCAAACTCCGGTTTGTGGCTCGGACATGCTCTTCATTAAAGGATTTCAGGGTTGGTCACCTGACCTCAGATGTGGAAATTTGACGGGATACTCCAGTATGAATTTAATAATTTCCCAAAATCTGAAAATATGTGGATATGTATGTGTGTCATTGCTTCCTGTTGAACAAATTTGTGTTCTAGTTTTGGTGGAGACAGAAAAAGGTCAGAAAAAATTGAGCTTAGTATTTGTGATGGCAAGTTCAATCTACAAGTGGAGGATTCGATTGACCCAATTTACTGAAGATGATGTCAACTCACGGGGTAGTAAGAAGAAAAGTTTATTAGAAAATGGTGAATTTGATATGAAAATATGTCTGATTTAAAGAATTGCGTATCGTACGTAGATTCCATTGTATCCAACAAAATAACCAATCTGCATAATACTGACGACCACTCAAACGACGGTAATGGAATAACCGGGTTTCAAAAAAATTATGACGATACTGGATATGCAAATACAATTCAAGAAGAAAACAGCGAAGGAGAGCCGATGTTGAGAATTGCGGGTAACAATATGCAAATTATTTTACTAGTCGAGTACGAGTTATAGAATTGGTACATACTTATCTACACATTTACATGATGATGGATTTTAAGGTGGAGAAGATGCTGAAAAATTTTCTATTCCGTGGCAAGTTTCCATTCAATCCGTGCAGGACTTTGAGTCTCATCTTTGTGGCGTTCCCGGAAGAAATATGACCGTTCATCTTTGTGGAGGGTCGATAATTGACGAGAGAACTGTATTGACTTCAGCACATTGTTTCTATTCCCCGTCCGTGATTAACCAATTCATAAATAAACAATTAAAAGTTTTGATGATGATTAATCTTATATTGACAGCTTGATGTAATGTAAACAGATCAAGATTTGCACACCCAACTTTGTCCGTCGATCAGATAAAGGTGGTCGTTGGGGAATTAGATCTGTGCCAAACCAACGAGACTTCCTTCACCAGATCGTACTCCGTTTCGCAAGTAATTTTGCATTTCAATTATTTTGCGAAAGAAATCTTGAATGATTTGGCCATCATCAAGCTGAAAGAGCCGATCGAGTTTAATCACGGAGTGAAACCCATCACATTAGCTGATACTGGTATATCTTGCACTAAATTTGTACACTTATTTGTACTACTACTGATATTGCGCATACATATCTATTACCACCGGGCTACTCAATTTTGATCTGAAATTTCCTAGATTTTGAAATATCGGACAAACCCACATTACTCGCTGGATGGGGGTCGTACAGCTTAGAAGAAAATATGACGTACCCATCCACCTTACAAAAAACTACAAATCTCGTTCTCTTTGCCGAGAAGGAATGTGTTGAGAGACAAACTGCTTATTTGAACTATAACAAAAACCTCACTAACCTCTCCAAAAAGTACGAAGGGGTTTTTGACCGTGGACTGTGTGGTAGGGGTAAAAGTAAGGAGGTGGAGGCAGGGTTTGGAGATTCTGGCGGAGGGCTAGTCGTCACATTGGAAAAAAGTTCTCCGATTCTTATTGGCGTTGTGAGCCATATGCGTGCAGAAATCGATTTTAAAACTAATGAAACTTTCCATCTTGATTATTTTGTAAAAGTTTCCGCGTTCAAAAAGTGGATCTTAATGGGAATGCTTTGAGCACCCTGTTTGAGAAAACGCGAGTTTCGAAATAAGAATGTACAGTTTATACATATGTATTTGTGTAAGCATGTATGAATGTGATATAGAATATAGAGTGTGCAATGTACAATACGGAAGAAAAAATATTTTAATTTTGGCTTCTAATTTAAGTTTACATTTTGACTCATTAATTTAACTACTCAAGTTTGAGTAAGAGTTTAAGCATTCAACCACATTCAACCACATTCCTTAGTTGAATAGGCAGGTACGCTATCATCTGGATAATAATAAAAATACTGATTACTTTAATGGATAGGAAAGAGATTAATTTCAAATTTCAAAATAAGAATATTTTTTAGTGATTCATGAATCAGTGTTTAATTTTTTATTTCAAACAAGTTGATTCCTTCGAAAGGAATTAAACGCCAGATAAAATTGTATGATACACTTTGACAAGTTTTTGTAACATTAATATCTTGCATGCTATTCGTGCTTGTTACGCAAAAAATTGCCAGAAATCAAGTTTTAAGATTCTCAGAAGAAGTGGTAACAAACACAACTTTCGACTCGAAAAAATCCCTCTGGCAAAAACGTAACTGAACAGACTATATGCGTCAGTGTCTGTCCATTACAGGAATTTAATACAAATGTATCATGTGTGTGTATGTATCTCATACCTTTTATGACTATGAAAATTGACTAATCTTTTGAGAACCAGTAATACTCGTTCACTGGATAATGTTGTTTTTTCATTAAACTTGTATTCGTTATTCATGATATCTTCTTATGTCCTCAAATAGCTGCGAAAGAACTGATTGATTTTTGACACAATGGTACGTAGTCTAACGAATAATGTTATAATAAATCCACAGAAATGTTACCAGACAATTTGGTTTTATGACATTGCTTGCATGAAAAACTTGATCGACAAAAAACCGGTGAAACAACTAATGCTTAATTTGGAATGGTTTAAACGAGCCTCGCAAATCGGTTTAATATAATTTACGTAAATATAATCTCATCGTGTATAAATTTCGTAAACTATGTATTGATGATCCAAAAGAGTAAAAGCCCCACAATCTGCTGTAAAATTTAAGGAGATTACTTCAGCGCAAAATAATAATTGTAAATGTATCACAAAATGTCTTTAATTTTTGTAAGAAATGAGTATTTAGAATTTTTTACACAGTTCGCGCATACCTTAAAAAGATGTACAAGTTCGCAAGGGTTATTTAGTCTTGGAAATCTAAAATTGGCATACACCTTAAATTGATGTACAGAGTTTGTAGCCTCTTCAGCAAAAAAGGCAATAAGACAAACTGAGCGCGTCCTTATTGTAAGTCGTTTAGCATAGTTTTTGGGAAGCAGAACCGCAATTTCACGGTCCGTGACTCCTCTGGCCAAGGACGCAGATTGGTTGCAGACGATCATAAAAATGTCGAATTGCTGACGTACACAACTAGTTGTTGAACTCGACTATTGGGCTAGGTTAAGCTCAAGAAGATGTGATGTGGGTAGCTGATGTTGTTTCGAGCGTCACAACTTGACCACTGAAACTACTTTCTGTCTAAGCACATGCATATTAGTCACCCCGTCTTTCTGTGAAACCTGAGAAAAGTGGCGAAAAGCCTGTATATTCTCAGACCTGGACTTCGGTCTTTGACTGGTGATGACGAGGTTAGGCCAGTTTTTTGTGTTCGTGCGTCCTTTGATCTCATCATGTTCACCGCTGGTATAAAATGCCATTCAGATTCTCACTCACACAATTGAAAGATGAACCGCTGGCAGACAAGACCACAATTTTTTATGTAGAACTTTTTTTCAATTTTGCACCAACCAAATAACCCTAAACCCAGCGGTTGCAAATTGCAATACCTCTGATTCACAGTCTGTGCGACGTTCCATTGTAGGGATTATAATGCATAGTGTGTTCTAATGTATGGTGATAAAGCATGTACCTTCAGCTTAAAGTTTCCTGTTACTGTTACTTTCGCATTCTTGAGTTAATTATATGTATTAACTTTATAGTAATTTCAATTTAGAAGTTCATTAATTTATGGATCTTCCGATACCAGTATACGAGTTGCTTCTATCAGATTATGTGTCAACAGCATTAAAAATAAAACAATATTTTTACACTAATTCTAATTTATTTTGTTTCAATTGCATCGACAATTTCCAATCACAAATGATTTACGTATGTAAGCGTTATTAAAAAAGCATTCCCACTTTTTCCACGAAAAAAACATCTCACTCCAACGTAAAATTTATTTGTGTTTTTTGCCACTGTAACAACGGGCAATAGCACGATACATACACTATTACGAGCTACATAAACGATGTGAACATGCACCACTTAAATTGATGTACGTAACAATCGTCTATCCAACAATTTTCGGTTAGCACGTACAAAATACGAGATGAGGCACACAAACAATCTTGACATTGGGTGCATGTGATGAAGATGGAAAAGTTAACCTGGCCCATTGATTACAAGAACTTGGTCTCTAAATCCCTAGAAAAGCTCGGTCACTTCAGATTTCGCAACATTCAGTTGACTTGTTTCGTTTGGAAAGGACAGAAGTGGTATCATCACGCGTGGTGATTGTTGCTCATGCAGTTTGGCTAAGACTACAAAGGAGGAAACGGTGATAATAAGGAAAACATCAATTTAAGTTGCACTGGAGGCAGTATGACCATAAATAAGCGTTCGTATTGACACCGGATTCGTATTTACGGCTTATGTACAAACAAAAGACGAAGTTGTAAATGCATTTCTGGTGCGATATTGGCGACTTGAGCTCATCCCAAGCTATCAATTGAAAGACGTGTTTCAGCAATCCATGAGGAAACTCAGGTTAGATTCTCTGGGGTTTTCAGTTTAAATTGTTTTCAGTTTTTAAGCATGTTATTGAGAACGGTTTTTTTGTGATGGAATTTGAATGATTTTTCTGTAGAGAAACTCCAGACTTTTGTTGTCACTTGCGGTCAAATAAGTACATATTTGTTGCGAAAATGTATTTCTGCATGCCTCTAATTTAAATATTACAGTTAGGCTCCAGCAAAGCTCATCATAAGCGATTATGGGTAAATATAATTAGAGGATTGTTGGTTCGCTTCCCACTGAGGTAACAATTTTTGTAACCTTTTAGCAATTCCATATTAATTTTATAGACTAACACTCGAAAATTAAAAGTTTAATTATAAGTATAATTTGACAAATATTTATGAACATAATTTTGTTTTAACTCAATTGTTCAGTAATGATCAATCATAGCGAGTATGCATAATCCATCGACTATATCAAAACCAACTCCAATTTACAGCAAATGGTTTTGCGGTACAGCGTATGCAATTGTAACCTCTTTTCCATCTCCAGCCTGTCAGTCATCGAAAAGATGGATCTTTGTTTTTAATGTTTCCCAACATTATCGGGGGTTTCCACACTTTACTCACACCATATCATCATCAGCCACGAGCGAGTTCTCATAATCACAGTTACGTTTGTTGGCGACATGCTTTATCATTTGTGGTCAATAGTTTATAAAGGGCAGCGTAAAGAGTTTGTGTCAGTCAACCCAGCACACACGTCGAGGTCGTTAGGAATATAAAAATCGTGAGTGGTACCAAATTTAGAGAAACATGACGTTGCCTTCGGCTCCTTGTGTTTTGGCTCTGGTACTGACCACAGTACTCGCAAATAAGGGTAAGTTGGCCCACGTGATTTGTACATATCAAATTAACTGGTTGTAATTTTCAGGAAAAATAACTGGGGGCAGCGACGCTCGACTCAGAGAGTTTCCTTATTCTGTGAGCCTTAGAACATACGACTTTGAAGGGTTGGGTCACTTTTGTGGCGGAGCAATTGTGAGTCCAAGTCTTGTGATCACTGCTGGTGCCTGCACTGATCCAGCCAGCCCAAAAATTGATGAGATAGTTGCTGGAACACTGAACAGGGTGATTGCCTATCCTGGCCAACAAGTACGAAAACCAAGGACCATAGTTCCACACCCTGGATACACATTTCCGCCATACAATGACATCTCCCTTATCTTCCTTGACGAACCCTTTGTGTTTCACGAAAATATTTCTGCAGTTGCCCTGCCAGAAGTTAATCAAACCACATATCCAAGTATTCAGGCAAAACTTCATATTAGTTCCTATTGTGTGTTTGTGTCATACATATGTAAATTCAGGTGCACTGCGTAAAAATGTGCAGATATACATATGCATACTATTTGTAAAATAACATTTTTACCGTGCTTTTATAGATCCGGTTGTGGTAAATGGCTGGGGGGCCGAGCAGTACGGTTTACCAATGTCAGAAGTGCTACAACGTGTCACATTGGACACTTACAGTGACGAGTATTGTGCTGAATTCATGAATGCAGAGGTTCCTCCGAGCCTTCTCTGCGCTGGGACGAATGAAGGTGGGATTGGCGCCTGCATTGGGGACGCTGGTGCTCCAGTGACTGCCACGACCGACAAAGTATACTTGGCTGGGGTATTGTCGCATTTTGGATGCACTGATTCCCAGTGTAAGTTCTTACAATAGAATTCCAAAATGTACAGATGATCAACAGTAATTTAAAATTGCAAGGCTGCGGTTTTCCTGGTCCAATGAATCATAACCCGGAAGTTGTACATTACCTGGAATGGATTCTGCAGCAGAACAGGATTCATAATGGGGGCTTGTGACGACTTTATGCAGCCTCGCAGTAATCGATAGCTCACCTATTTTAAAACCAGCTTCAATTTGTACTCAAATGTAAATAGTTGTAATTTGACAGGGGTAGCATGTGCATAATAAATGTCTAGTTAAGTAATTGAATTGAAGATATTTCGAATTGAATTTGATAGTAGTACATACCACGTGAATGCATAAAGTACCAGTTTGCGTTGTCAATGAAAGAAACACAGATCAGAAAATATATTTTTTTAAACTAGTAGAAGCAGTAGTAGCATTGCCCACTCTTTCTATTTCATAGTACGACTTTATTCCATCAAAAACAATTCCAGTTAAGTAAGTTGAGCATCGATATTTTAAGTATTTTAGTAACTCATCTCAGGATTAAATTCCTGTCGCATCCAGTTTTAAGATTATTGTCCTGCCGAACAGTCCACCTTGGCGCAAGAGAAAACACTTTCTCCACAACAGCCCCCGCTTAGCAGGCAAGTCGAAGGTGATCCGCAGTCACAAACTTCATCTCCTTCTACCAATCCTGGAAACAAAACACATTAACACCCGAAAGCTGTCTTCATTCACGGTTCACTTGCACAAGCCTGCAACAAACCATTTCCGCAAACCGCTTCATCATGAGCGCCCTTGAGGCAGTGAGCATTCTGCGAAGTGAGGAAAAGGGCCATCCCATGTCGCGCACAGGCTGAGAATCGGTGAGAGGCAGGTCTGAGACCCATATTGAGATAAGGACGGGGGTCCATGACGGGTGGGTCGAGGAATGCGCGTTCTGTCTCCTGTGTATCGACATGATGCAGTCCACACTTGCCATCTACTAAATTTTCATGATCAGCTCCCAAAATATGACCTATGCTGTGGAGAAGATGGCGAACAATGTCCCATGTCCCAACTTTACTTGTCCCATAAAGTCCAGAAATGAGAATCAGGTTATTAATTCGGTCACAGCCACCATCTGCAAAAGAATAAAATGGTATAAAAACAAAATGTTCAATTATTACCTCACCCTAATTAATATATGCGTACACTCTACTTTTTGTGGATATTGAAAGTGAGGGGGAGATATTATGGTAAATAAAAGCTAATCGAGCACAGCAGCCTGTTAGTTCTTCTTGCGCCCTCATTTGTGGAGCAATTCGCGCAAAGGTCTCTTTCGCAGTGACTGAATAAATCATTTTGGAAAATGGGATTTCCTCGAGTGGGGCGTCCTCCATCGAAGTTGGTTTGCGTGGGATGGGAATTCCAAGTTTCATAGCGTCGTTAGGGTTGTCCAAAATATGCGTTGGATAATCAGTATCAACGCTCTCAAAAGCGAGGTTGTGGTCGTAGTTTGAAGGGTCAAATGCGGCAGAGTCCTTCAATGAGCGCTTATTTTTACGATGGGTACTACGCATCAATGGATATAGTGGGCCAGACTTTGCATCGTCCTTCTCGGCTTGAGTGGGTTTAAGGTGGATGGTATCTGAGGTGAAAATAGTTTTTATTTTGAGCCCAATATTGTCTGGCAGTCCATCCTCATTGAAATCTTGGCTTCTAATGTAGATAATATTGATAATGTAGGCAATTGATTTTGCAAATGAGATTAACAAATAAACAGAAGTCCCAAACCTCAAAAGCCAATCAGTTAAACGGACAATTTGAACGACTTCAGAAATTCCGTGTAGAAGCCCAGATTTTGCACCGAATGAGGAAGCGAAATTGGGTTGAATCCAAATGCACAAGGAACAAATGGGATGTGCGGACAATGACTGGCTGAATAATGTTTCTGATTTTGACCAGTCCTCGCCAGTCAAGTCCAACTCATCTGCAATGTCCCCCGAAGGGAGGAGAAAATTGAACAAGTCAAGATTTCGTCTCACTCGGCTGTTATTCTTGGGTCTGGGGCGTGGGGTGGCCTGGGTAGAGTGGAAAATAGGGTCACGTTTCCTCCTTAAAGTAGTGGAAAAAGAGCCTTCAGCTCCAGAAGAAGTTGAACTGGATTTGTCCTCAGGGTCAGGTGGGCTTGTTGATGTCCTCTGTGACACGTTTATGGTCCCAAATGTAAGCACTGAATTTACAGGCTGAGATCCTGTTACTATTGCTGTCGAGTGGAATGGCAAATCACCGAACTTGTTGGTGTCATTGGTTTGTGTTTTAAGTTCGCCATCTGAAGAGAAATTACCCATTGATGGCTTTTTGAAGTCTTCATAATCATCATCGTGTGAACTTGTTGTAGAAGTGATATTGCCAATGTCACCAACACTAAGATTTGCTTGGGGAGTTTTTGTGACAAATGATTCCGGCATATGGCCCGACGACTCTGGGGAGACCAATGTGGAGTTCTCGTCGTCATATACTTCAGGAGGATCGGAAACCTCTGAGTCGTCACTCGTACTGCTAATGGTCAATAAGGCGGTTGATGTGGTCTGGGACAATGAAGAGTCGAGCGGCGACGTTATACTGGTAACGCTTTGAGTAACTGATGACGTGGGTATTTTATCAACAGTAGTGCTTTGCTGAATGTCGTTAGGATCAGTCATAAAGGTTGACTCCATCGAACCTATCCCCATCGAATCTGACCCCGTAGAATCTGTCGAGGCATCGTCGTCTTCAGTAGAAAATTCGACAGCCTGCTCAGCTTCGGGCGTGGCCTTCAACGATTTTGTGGAAACATGATAATGAAATTCAGAATTAAAAGATATATCTAATTTTGTTCTCAGATACCGACACGGAGGAGCTGTGTTCCATAATTGTTGAAGTTGTTATACTACGTGTTTTGAGGTTAAGTGATGTTATTGAGTGTGATTTATTGGTACTCTTAGGGTGATGATTATGGGGTTTGGGTATCATTTCAAAGAGGATTGCATTGTCACTTTCCATCCGGGCGATGGGTGAATCAAGAAATCGAGTGTTATAAAGTGGAGCGTTTTCTATTGGTTCTACGTAGAACGCAATGTGATGACCTCGTCTTTTATCCACTAGTTTTATCCAACCATAAAATTCGTTCCTATGAATGAAAAAAATCGGGAAAAGTCAAACAAGTCACATAGTTGTGTATACTGTCATATAATGCCATGCCGGTTACCACACCTTTGTGAAATGTGCCCATGGACAACAGAACTTGGATAACCAACCAAAAAGCCACGGACAGGTTGGATTTTAGCATAGAGTTGTGACGGAGAAAGCCTTTGATCTCCAATTGTGATTCCCGAACCCTGTGAAATGTGGAGATTCGGAGAACAGAAGAGGAATGCAAAAATTATAAGTTCTAGTTTGTGAAACCTGGTGGAATATGCTTTGCAGTTGGATTGAATCGGGCTGGATCTTAAACAGACACATCGTTCGAGATCCCTTTTTTCTGAATTTGGTGAGTGTAACAGAGAGGGATGCGCCACATGGCTTGGCTCCCGACAACTCGGACAGGATGGTGGAGAGCTGGGATGGAAGTGGAGGAAGCTCGGAGTAAGATTTAGCGACGTGCGTATTCAAGGTGGCAAAGGTAAACTGGGAAGAACGTGACCGCTCTTGACCGACACGACGTCGACGATACAGTAAATGAAGTTTTTTAAGAAGGAACGCCGAGGTGTCGCTACCCTCAGCATTTTCCAGACAAAGAAAGATGACTAGTATGAAGTAAATCCTGTAAAATAGGGATGATGATTTTGACATGATATTGTAGTATGATTAGGTTGGTGTGATGTATATTATTGCGTATTGGAAATATGTCCCGTCCGGCTGATCCCTAGATCTTAATCTAATTTAGGACGATTCTATAACAACTTTCATACAATAGTGGTATTCACCAGGGCGCATAAACTTTTTGTTGTCCGTGGTTTCTCTTAATTCATGGGAAATTCATGGGAACCATGAATTCATGGGAACAATCAAATTCATGGGAAAATTGCATGCAATTCCCGAACTTTTAATTTTTTAATTTTTTAGAAAAAATGCTCATCCCTGCATCACCCCCTTAAGGTACCACAAGAGGTTGAATATTTCAATTTTTTCTGGACTTAGCAACATGACTTTTTAGAGAAAATGAGTCAAGACATGAAGTACGGCTCCGCATAACAACAAGAGCATTTGGGTATTTTTAAGAGCTCCCCGAGATGGAGGGGGTGGACTTTGAGGTCATAATGGTTGTTATTTGGAATCATTATATATTTCTGCAGGGTGTATAATCCGTTTATGGGCTCACTTGTGTCAGGTGATGAGATGTGAACCATTTTTGTCCTCAGAAACATAAAATAATATGGAGGGGCAAGTATAGAAATGCTGTTTCGGAAAGTATGGAAGAGAATATGGAAATGAGACCCGTTATGCTCCCCAAGTAAAACTATTTCGCACGATGTGGGAGTCGTCCCACGTTTGTGCTCCGTATGGTTTTGACGCTAGGACGTTTTAAAAAAAATTCATCATGGTCGACTATTTTGGCTATAAATACGTAAGTATAAGTAACAGCAAAAGGGGACATTTACCAAAATTTAGAGCAGTAAATTTTTTACAAAATTTGTATTTGAACCAAATTTCTACCTACTATAATTTCTGAGAAAATTACAATCAAAGTTAGTGGTATAATTCCTTGCCAACTCTCTTGTGGTACCTTAAGAGAAACCACGGACAACAAAAAGTTTATGCGCCCTGGGTATTCACAGTAACCGATTATTGCGATTATAATCATTATCGATTATAATCACCCAAAAATTCTCTATGGGGAAAAATAAACCAATGTGATTATAATCGTCAAAAAAATAATCCTCTCCGAGGACGATTATTTGGATTATAATCCTTGATAAGTCTCGGACGCCTATCCGGATCAAGTAAAGGTTTTCCCAACCCACCAACATCGGGTTTTTCCTCTACTCCCCAAGCCAACTAAGTGTATTTCATAGTTTATCAATGTTTATGTTAATAAATGCGACATTAATCCTTGATCCAAATGCAACTTTTTTAAAACGTCCGAAAAAGTAGCCGTTGCTATGATACTATTTAATGAATCCTGCTGGATATTTTAGGCAAAATAATCAAAATACAACAATAATCTGGTGCGTTCATGGTATATGATTATAATCGATTGTGATTATAATCGTCCTCACGATTATAATCGGTTACTGTGAATACCACTAATATAAGGATCAACTTGAATAAGAGCCACAATTTACAAATAAGTTTCAGCATCGCAAAGAGAACAAGAGCAACGTACACACAAGTTGACAAAGGCACGATTGACGGTGATTTATCCTTTACTATAGGTGCTAATTATTAATTCCAAACCCTACTTCAATATGAATAATTTATTATTGTAATTTACAATTTATAAATATATGAAAATTTGAAGTTACACAGATTTTCTCTTTACACGAACATTGAGATTCAATTAACATTGAAAATCCGACGTATTTTCATTTTTCTAATAAGTTCATTTTGAACTTATTAGATCTTTGTATACTCTCGTTGTTTAATCCATTCTTGAATTTTAGGGAGTGACTCCACTGCTTGCTGTTGTTTCTTTAGATTTTCATAAGCTTTCAACAGATTTTCGTCATCAAATATCTCTTCCCAAATGGCAGTAAAGTTTGCCAGAAAAAAGTCTGTCAAATGTACGAATTTTAGCTCATAAATACCACCCATTTATCAATGATTACCTGCCCATCGAACTTTCTCTCCACAAATGAAGTCACCCCTTTCTTCCTCCAAAATTTGGTCCATATTTTTTAAATAAATCCAAAACTCGTCATCCAAGAGTTCTTTCTTCAGCTGCGATAGTTTGCTGCAACCTTCTGGATCAAAATATTTCGCAACGATGTAGGGCTTCATTCCTGGCCCAATAAAAAAAATTATGAAAATTGAGCTCATTTAGCAAGACTTTGTCAAGTAAATACGAATCAACTCACGCATTCTGAAGTCTTGAACAGCATCAACAATCATGTCACATCTCGCTTGATCCAAAGGGTCCGTTGGCATGAGTTCAAACGTTGGGTATGAATTTGCCAAGTATCTGCAAATAGCTGAGGTTTGAGTTAAACAATAAGTTTTGCCATTCGAATCAGTTGTGTGAAGTTCTGGGACTTTGAGCCACTTGCAACCTGCATTAAAACCTTAGTTAATAACGTGTATAAGATCCCTTATGTTGTAAACGGATGCAAACTGTATAAGAAATTTCTCACTGGTTCGGACTTGCCCTTGCCATTCTGCAGGATCAATTCTGACATCTTCAAATTGGATTTGCATATATTTGAACAACATACGAATGGGTTCTCCCAAAGTTCGTAAATTAAAATACACTAATTTGTATTGCGTAGTATTAGACATGGTGTCCCTATTAGTAAAACTGCTTATTATGTAAACCAGATTTCAGTTAAAGTTGACACGTTAAGCCCAATCAAACCAAACCAAAAACTTTTGAAAGTAGCCGAGTATTTATATAAACGAAAAAGATGTACGTTATATACCTGGAATTGCTGAGAGATATTTTCTTTCCAACCTTATGCAGCAGTTACAACGATTGTGACATTGCAACTGAGGATTGTTTTACACAGTTGGGTAAGAAAAATAGCTTTCAAAGACCCATCATCACCAAATTATTGATATAAAATAAATATGGAGATATATACCTCCGGTATTATAGCTACATAAACACATATTTATGTATAATGTGCATGTATAGATGTGTATGTGTGGGGCTTTTGTACATATTATGCACACCATGATATCTATATATTTCATATGTATGTAACACAGATTCCCTGCTCGTTTGTGCCTATCTATGTCAGATCCGAGATTGTCCATCGCAATTTGACCTTGTTTAGCATTATATATAGGTAGCTGTCATAGTCTTGCATTTTAATCACGCTGGCGCCATTCTTTATTACCGTCAAGATTATACTTTAAATGTTAAACTTATCAGAAATGTTGCTGTGCAGGTAGGGAATGAACTAGGGTTTTGGTGATGTTTAGTGTTTAAGATTATACTAAAAATGGGTTATCCACACTCGAAACAAACTTAAATATTTCGCCTTGTGTGACACATTTGGGCTCATGCCTTGTAAAAATGCATCCCACTTCTTGTTTGTACTTTTTACGAACGGCTTGTTTATCGCTAATTTGACGCCAACTAAAATGATGATTGATGAGTTCATAACCACTAAAGTCATAATAATGTTGAACGAGTTTCATGCCTGTCACTCTTGCACTTTTTCGGGGTGTGGTGGGTACTTGATTTAATTAGGAAGTATGCATGTAGAATAAGAGAGCGTCTAAAATTGGACCTCAGGACAACTAGGCCATAAAATTTCCGTCACAAGTTTTAGGTTTTATTTTATGACACAAATCGGGTCCCAGCTACGAAACTTTGTACCAATCTTTACGACGTGGTCAAGTATAAAATCATCTTTTATTATGCAAATGTTTTTCTCACATGTCTCATCGGCAACTTCAGCTTCTGTTCACATGTCGACTTTGTTGCAAAGTGTGGCCCAGACATATTACTGTCATACAAAATGGACACATTTTCTGATTTTTAGTACTGCCAATCTTTGAAACAGTTTGCATTATATTGCAAGCGCAACAGCTGCATTAAGTTTTCTTAATGGGGTAGTAAAGTTGTGCAAATGTCGTGGCAGCCCCTTCTCAGCCTCATTTTAGCATTTCCACCCCAAATGTTGTAGCACAAACCTATTTAGAAAATCTACATTGTCATAAATTATAGGTAATGTTGTCTTCATGAGGTTGCAAATGCTTATCGGGACAATTTCAACCAGTAATATAAACAACTCTGAAAGAAACACCGACAGCAGCGGCTTAATTTTAGAAACACTGTGATGCTCAGTTTGGAAATTCTAAAACGGAACATGGGAGAACATGATTGGAAATATTTAAGTATAATGCAAAACGAATGAATCTCTGGAATCAACTCAAAGTCAAAAGAAGGACAAAGAGTTCAATATCTTCCACTTTTCTAGAAACTGTTTGACATTCAAATGAAAATCAATGTTTATTTTCACAAAACAGATTGAAATTGAACATGATTGGATGTGATGTGATGATAACCACTTTCGTTTGTCAGATATGGTTTTCAAATATCTTGTACCCAAATAATTTTAGGAATGTTTGATTCCATCCGTCAGTATTTTTAAATCCTTCCCAAGTCTTTCCAAATTCTCTTTGAGTAAAAAATCATATTTGCAAGTCGACTGAATAACTATGTTCGTAATGAAAGCCGAGTTTTGCAAGTATCTGAAATTCAGATTCTGAATCAACAAAATTTCCGTTTTCAGTTGCTCTTGTCAACTTGTCCACTCCTTGGATCCATTGACGTCACTGAAAGGAGTGAAGAAAGAAACAGTGTATCAGTGGAGGTCATAAAATTGTAATATGTATCTTTGAAAAATAAGTTTTGGCATTGCAAAAAGGAGTTTCCCATAAGATGGAACGAACTCGAGTGAACTAGGCAGATATGTAAGATGCATCGCAAAATGTTACTAACTGGTGCATGCATTCTAGATTTTGGATAATTTCAATGTGACATGCAAATTTATCAAGCAGATGTCAAACGGTCAATTGAACAATTTGTCATTTACTACTTCTAAATCTGCACGTCAATACCTAAATCCATGTAGATACTTCAAAATCCTGTGACTAATCTTCTTTTCCGCATATAAACTAATCAATAAGACAAATTACTGATGAGGCTAGCTTATAAAATCATTCGTTAAGTCGTCATCCGTCAAATTGGATGTTAGTCATCCCCTCAAACAGAAGAGTTCGTTTTCAGCCAAATTAATTAGCCTCGTCTCGTCTCATTTTTCTGTCCTTTTTCAATTCCCCTTACACGTCTCGGATTTGGAATTAGTCATCTTTCGTTCTCCTTAATCGTCATCAGATAAAAACAGAAACCTTCCCTCGATCGGATGTATGTATGTATCAATCTTCCTCACAATGAGCATACGGCGTTCATTGAACCACCAACAACAGTGAACATACACAACATCCACATTGAAATTACAATAATTTACGTATAAGTGTTCGTAGATGCTTATGTGATCCTCCCCATCACAATCAAATCGCTTTACGGATACAATTTGCCGAGCCCAATTAAAACCCTGTTAAGAGTCAGTCAGTATTATTATAATTCTCTGAACTCATTTGTGCTTCATCCAACTTTTTCTGCTATGTTGGACGGAGCCAAAAAGTTTACATTTTACAGTACACTTATTTTTCTACGGTTGCGTGCAATATGAGCATGAAAAATGGTCCTCTTCAGGTCAACTTCTTAGGACTCTGCCAAATTATGTTACAAACAGTAGCAGATATGTATACGCAGCGATTTAATAATGATATTAAATCGCTATGATATGATATTATTTCTTTCATATCATGGTGCGAAGTAGTGTGAGCTTTGCAATAAATTAAAACCATGTGCCAAATATTAGGGTTTCGGTTAGTGCATACATACAAAAGTAATCATGAAAGCAACAAATCTGGTTGCCCACTTTTGAACTCCTTGATGTTGCCACATGATAAGTTGAGGCCGACAAGTACCAGATCTAGATAATTTCGTTGTCCCAGGATTTCCTAGAACGAGAAAATCAAGAACACCAATGACGTCAACCATCCAAACACGTTGGATTTCCCATCAAACACTTTGCCGACTAAGTTAACAGAGTCATCAAAGCCAATATATTTATATATCTAGTAGTGACTTCATAGAGTTGATTTACTTACTTGCAGATTACTTGCAGTAGAATCTAATAAAACACACTTTTGAACATTGGACTGTTACATGTTATATATTTCAGAACTGAAATTAGATAAATATTTGCAAAATTTCCATGATATTTACTTTACTGGTACTGGCAAAGCAATGTGTGTGTTTTAAAGTAATTTTGAATCCTAAGTTGTATGATATGAATCCATAAGTTTGAGACCCAATTAGTTTTCAGGAATCAATTAAACGAATTAAGTAAATACAATTAGTACAGAAAACAAAACACGTTCCACTAAATCTTAATTATTTCATTGAGTAAAAAGTCGACATAAAAAACTGTATCTATGTATTTCCCTCCGCAGTATTGCCATGAACATGATCAGGTCGCCGGAATTGGTTTACAATACCGAGAAACGATTTTCCCCTTTATTCATTCGGGGATTTCATCAAGTGGGAGCTGGACGCAGAGAGATGATCTCTGTTCTGTTCCCTCTCCTGTTCTTTGTACGTAGGACAGGACAACTACTCGGAACGTACGTACGTTTCGAGTAGTTGACGATTTCTTTCTATCCGATCCGATTTCTGCATAAAATAAGAGCATGATTTTAGTTTTCGCTCAGTGTGCTTTTGGCTCTTACATAACAAACAACTATAAATCTACATACAGTCGAAATATTCTTTCGAGTCAACACATTTTCTCAACGCCATCAAAACAATTGCCGAAGATTTTAATTTTCGTGACTCAGTTGTGTGACGCATAACTAAATTGGTGAAACTTCGAAAATAGTATCGCAGAAATTGAGACAAAACTTGCAACTTGAGTTTGAGCAGGTAAGAAATTTTATCCGTTGTCTCAACTTGTGTTCCACGTATAGTGGAAATTCATATACCATATTTTTAAACAGGAATCGTCAATTAAACAGGATCCTCAATAAGCAGGTGTTCATGGGTTTACCCGAAATGGCTCGATATCTAGAAGTTCCGCCATCTCACTACAGAACAGAATCCTCACCAACTCCATCAACAAAGTCAACATCTTCAGCGTCCACTTTTAAGCTCCATTCACTTCAAGAGTTAAACATGGAGGAGGAGTTCACCATCCTGAAAATTTTATCTGAAGGCTGCTTCTCCAAAATAATCCTTGTCCGACCAAACGCCCAACGGGAACGTCTCGTCCTTAAAGCAATTCATTGTGAGGCCACGAGTGCCGATGAATTTGGTCGTGAACTCAACTACAACTACTTTCTTAGCCCGCATCCATCCATCCTCACGTCGTACAATGTAGCCTTCTTGTGGGACAATGCATTCGTATACGCTGCAGAATTTGCGCCATTTGGAGATTTGTCACGTCACCTACGGAAAGATGGACTTGGAGATGAAGAACGTGTCAAAAGTGTTGCGAGCCAGCTAGTTTCTGCAGTGGAATTTATTCACAGCTTTCACCTGGTTCACAGAGACATTAGGATGGAAAACGTGCTCGTTTTTAGGAAGGACTTGAGTCTAGTCAAACTTTGTGATTTTGGACACACTCTGCCCACTGGAAGCTTAATTGTAAAAAACAAATCTGAACTTGGGGCATGCACCTGTTATGGAGCTAGTTGTCCTCCAGAGGTGAGATCAAAAATCTACTCATATGATATGCACATATAGCCTGTACACATTACGTTAACCTTAATTTTTACTAATGATCTTCATGTGTGGTGTTCAAATATAGGTTTCTGAAATCGTGGTTCAAGAGCGGTACTACACGAGCTCGGCGGAAGATGTCTGGTCACTGGGCATCCTGATCATCACCTGTCTCACGGGAGATGCTCCCTGGACCTCGGCTGAGATTTGCGACCCTTCATACTCTGCATGGCTGGACTGGCTCAAGAGGAAAAACATGAAGCTAATGGAACCCTTTCCCAGTTTCACAGCTCGATTCCTTCGCCTTCTTAAAAGGATCCTGGAACCAAAAGCAGGAAAGAGGAGCAAGGTGGGAGAGATTTCCAAGTACTTGGGCGACGAGTGGATGCTGGCCAAGGGCGTTGCAGGGGCGGTGGGACGCAGAGTCAGCACTGCGGTGGGACTGGAGAGAGTCGAGTCAAATGTCACCTCAAAAAGTGGTGGACTTCGGAGGCCCAGCAGGTACGGGGCATTGGGCAAAAAGAGGTCAACAAGGTCGCTTAAGCTTGACAATGAATTGGAGACTGCAGAAGAACCAGTGGCCGAAAGAGTCGGTCGGTGGGTTGTTCAAACCACTATTAATACTCCTACGTAATAGCATTAGAGCTCATTTAACAGATAATTAATTAATTGGAAGCAGAACTAGAGGCGGCAATATCAACGACTCAAGGCGTGTATACACATGTATATGCAGACCAAGTGAAAGCACAACATTGTTTTCCACCAGAGCGCCAGACTGTCTGCTTAATTCCAGAATGATCTTGTTTTTTTATACTTTTCTTCTTCTCTCACTTGTCAAATGTATTTATAGTCACGTCGAGCAGTTGAGTTTATAATTAATTGAGGTTTACGCCATCCACACCCACGCGCTCTACATATGTCGCCCACTTAAACACAGAAGTATACACATGTAAACTTTCCTTTATAACTCAGTTGGTCGTTCGCTTGCAATATTGCTATTTTCGACTGTATGGTTTCAGACTTGGGCTTTAAATAACAAAAGGGCCAATGTTTACGAATATATGCAAGAGTTTATTATGTTTAAGCAGTGTAGTTAGTAATGAGGTCAAAGGGCGGAGTAAAACTCTGCAGATTTTGGTAGCTAATACATATGTATGTGTATAGTGAGTTTGCTCTGCTGGACTTATTTTTAGATATTGGCGATATTTTTGGAACCAACTTTGCCCAAGCTGTCACTCACTCGGTATAATTACTTTTGCTTTGTAACCAGTGCTGTGCTGTATGTAAACTATTTTAACTTATTTCTGTTAAGTAAGAATTATTTTGACGGGGTCTTCAAATTTGTATGTCGATCAACACTAGAGTAAATTTAATCATAAGCTTTGAAATAAAGAGTTTTATACAGAGTAACAGTCATACGGGAGAAAGCATTCATTTTATTTGACTGGTTCTACACGCAAGCATGCAGCGATACTGTACTTATTTAGTGACTCATTTCATTTGGATGTGCACGACATGTTCGAGTGCCCTGTGTGAATTAATTTCCGGGTTTACTATGGGAAGCACTTGTTCGGTTTGTATGCATATTTATGCATGCATGTACATTAGGGCGAACCTTTCCGCTTTTCTCTTTCACGCATCCACAAACAACTCATACAAATGTCAAACTTTTATACGGTATGATTGTCCAATTACACCTTTTTGTTATGAAAACTGATCGCGAGTGGGGCAGCAACTCCTCGTTCAGGTATTGGCAAAAATACGTACGTATTCTCTCTGGCATATCAATTTAAGTATTTGGCTCTCGTCCCCACTCATTTACTTTTCCGAGTTCCAATCGATTGAGTTGTCCATTACTTGTTGCCAATTCGGACAGTCGAATTCTGACCATATTCGCAGCAACAATGTACAGCTATTTCCAGACAATATTGGAAGAAGAATTGGGCATAGTTTGGGCAACTCTTCCCCCCATCCACTTCCGGTGGGCTTCACTGCTGGACCATTCGTCTTCAGAGCTCATTCAATTTTGCCAAGCCAGGCAGGCATCGGAGGATAGAACGATGGGTGTCGCAAATGAAGAGGGACATCATTTCCAGCTCCCCCTCCTCTTTGGACAGTTGCCTCGGAAGGGAGTGGTTGCAGGAGTTTGGGTTTGAACTCTTAAAAATTATACCACCAAACTCGCCAATAAACGTGCCAATAAAAATCTGAGCAACAAACGAGGGTACATAAAATATTTAAAATAATCCACGATGTCGAATAACTAAATTATATTTTGTAACTTGGTGCCCCTTTCTGTTTTTGTATTATAGATATGCATGCAGTCAAGAAGGAGTGTATGAAAGCATTCAACGCAATCTGCATAATTTTCATAAGAAAATACATATGTATATGTCTGACGCAACTTTCTTAAGTTTTACATGAATAGCCTGCAATTTTGAATACAGTTAAATATTTGTTTATATAACTCAATATGAATAACCATTTGTTTTTTGGAATAAACTCAATACAATTTCCATTACCATTATGCAAATCTCAGCATGTGTGATACACAGATAAAATTTATTAAAAACACAAATAACAAGTGACAAAATCACAGTTGGAATTTGTTACAATTCTTTAATCTCTTTGCGTGGTTGAGCCATATAAAAAAATAAATTAGGGAAGAATTGGTGCGTAAATTTACATTAAACAAAAATAGTACGACTTTCGCTTTCTAATAACAATATGCTCATCGGAGTTGAATCAGTTCACTCTGCTGGATCTCATTACAATTTAAATTATTGTGCATGTTTATGTATGTTAGAGAGTTACGCAATTTGGTTGGGCCACTCGCTCTCTCTTTACTGGTATCCTCCTCGGGCAGGTTGAGGTTGAGGGGCTGGGGCTCCGTAGGAACTGGACGGACCTTGGCTTGGGGGAGCACCATAACCTCCACTGCTTCGTCCCTGGCCTGAAGACTGACCCTGCTCGGTAAACGAGCCTACGAGTCGAGCTTTCAAAGATGCAAAAATTTTATGTCAAAATACTACCGAAAAGTTAATTGCATCAATATGACTAATTTCCTACCCATTTCTGGGCGACCTAGTTCAACGCCACCACCACCTCCACCACCTTGTCGCTGTTGAGGGGCTCCGTACCCACTTTGGGGTTGTGGGGCGGGGGCAGAATACCCTCCTGATGAGCCACCACCACCACCACCACCAGAATACCCGCCTGATGAGCCACCACCACCACCACCTGCATAAGGTCATCATATATTGAATGTCTTTAAAAGAGTATGAACTATATAAAGGCAAACCTCGGGATGGAGCTCCATAACCACTTTGGGGTTGCGCGGCGGGGGCAGAGTACCCACCACCTCCTCCACTTCCTCCACCACCACCTCCGCCACCACCCCCACTTCCTCCTGAAACACACGGAAGAACATTTAGACAACATTGCACCCAAGGAAGCTAAGCCAAGAAGGTAGAGAAATCTCCAACGTTATAGAATTCTAGTTGGGTTGTGCTTAATTACCTTGAGCAAGAATTTGAGCAACTCGTTGAAGAAGAGCTAAACCATACAGATTTTAAATATTGAATAAAATTTCAAAGTTATATATACGATTTTCAAAAACCTTCATCTACGATCGATGCTCCTTCATTGGTTTGTTCTTCACCTCCTCCACCGCCGCCGCTGCTACTCCCACTGAACCCCCCGCCACCACCACCGCCCCCACCAGAGTACCCACCACCCCCACCCCCACTACCACCCCCTCCGGAGTATCCACCACTTCCACCACCCCCACCGCCTCTGGAAGGAGCTCCATAGTTTGAAGAAGGAGGTTCAGCCTGGACTTGGATAAGGCCCAGACAGGCGATGATGACCTTTTATAAAGGAAAATTATAAAAATGCTTCCAACACTTTTAAAATTTGATCTACTAGAACTTACAAATTTAAGCATTATTATAGACGAAAGTTGTATCAGACAGTTGACAATATAAAGTTCCAGAAAAAAATGCAATCTTGTTGCAAGCACTGCCAACTGTGTGTCAGATGAGGTCCTAAAACTGAGTGTGACTTGAAGAGGAGTCTTAAACCCTTTTATACTGCTCCTGCGACTTTTGCCAACTAATTATTGTTATTACGTGTGTGCCTATTTCATATCAACAAGGCACTAATAATAGCAAAGATGGACTTACGAATGTAGCTATAGCTTAGGACAAGACAGATTTATCATGAGACCAGCAACAGGTACGTACATACGTAGAAGCTGCATGGTTTACAATAATGGCTGAATCGGCATTACCTTGCCATCATCATCATTCATCTCCCTCGATGTCTGAGTTTGATATGAAATAATATAAAATTGAAAAGCTATTTCTGCGCCTGCTGCTATTATTATGGGAACAAATCTACAAGTGAACCTTCGCCTCTTTTTTCCTCAATCTAAAAGAATAGCAGCTGGATCTCCACTTGTGAGCTAAAACCAACATGGGATTCAATTAATTCAAATTGACAAATTATTTGAACGCTGTGGATGAGTGTTTAAGACGATGCATTCAATTTACGCCATGCATGCATAATATATGGTGCTAGACGTTGTGCATTAACATCTGCATACTTGATGATAATGTGCTTAGTGTAATTACATAATTGATGAATTGCAAGTGGTCACCACCACAGTTTTAAAGCAAGTCGTATGCAACCATTTTTGCAGGTTCCCACCAGTTTGAATTGCTTTGAAAATATTTCATAAAAACCTATGAGAAATGTGTATCAACTGAAATCAGCTAAATAATTGTTTCGAGCATGCATTACAGAAATTAAATGACTATGAATTTAATAAAGACGCGCATGCCCTCCATAATTTCAATGCAAGACATTGAATTTTTGACAAATGCCAAGCCAAACAGTGCAAGCAAGTAGCTGCAAAAACCTTCACTTATTAATATGCTGCATTTTACAAATTAAATATACATGCATAGACATGAAATTATGACTTGCATACAATTATATGTAGGTATACCTGACTGAAGACACAACAATAGTTGAAATTTTTGCAAGTCACCCGCAAAAGGTGAACTATTGTTAAGAAGACACTAACATTACTGATAAGCAAGGTAGATAAATATTGGTGGTTTAAATTACGTGTGAGCATTGCATTCAGTTTTGTAATAAAGATGACTTTGGAAGGTTACTACATTGTTTATCATCTCCCAAGCTTTATGTATACACGTACATATTTGTGCACGTATATGGAATGGCGGATAACACACAAGAAGACTAGATGCGACACATTTACAAAATGTACTAATTAATGCGGGTTTAGAATTCTGTAAATTGGTGTGATGCATGGTGCCATAATATTTTAATGCATTTTTATATCATTAATTGTTAAATGGTCAGCAGCACTACATACATACTTATCCTTAGAATACGTGCACAAGTAGAAGTAGTGGCTATATTTGGAAGCCATTTTTAAAGATTATTATAGCATCAAAAGTTCATTATTGTCCCCACATGACACGTCGTTTGAAGCTGGGTCAAGACAACTCGTACTTTTTGTTGTCATTTTGTATTATTTATTGTGCGCGTTATTCGCCATGCGGCATCATTATAATATGACACGGTAATTTTGAATTTTGGAGTTTGAAGAGTAACAACGTAACAATAATGGGCGAGTAAAATAATAATGGATGAGTTGACATAATAATGATGCGGCGTGGGGTGATGTTGGTGTGTGGTGTACTTAAGCAGTGTCAGCGCAGTGGCGTCGTCGCTCAACAGCCGTTTGTTTGGTTTTGACCTATATTGAATTCAAATTGGGATTGAAAGTCCAAGTCGAGGTTTTTATGTTGCGTGACCAATTTTATTTTGCCTGTATTTCAAATGAATATAAATTGTTGCATGTTCTACGACAGGTTGTATGGAGAAATTATTCGTTTGTGCGGCATTCGTATGTGTATACATATTTACATACTTGTGTGAATCGTAGACTTTTGAACACGTGATAATGTGTCAATGGATGTGGAAATTTAAATTATTTGTAAATCTTGATTCACTCGTTTGAATTATTTGTTGTGTGTTACATCACATGTTTATGCATTATCACGGAATTTTAGTTTTATATTTTCCGATAATACTTGAATAGCTTTTTCACTGAAGAGGCCATCAGTGATGGTCCATCAGGATATAAATATGTAATTTGTCGCCTTAAATTTTCCTGAGATAAGAAATAAATAAAAAACAAGAATAGAAAAGAAATTAGTAATGACGTAAGTTTGCTGACTGTGGTGAAACACACATTTTACTTGGTCACAAACTTTATTAATCAGTTAAAACATTAGATTGCCAAACTCTATATTTGTTCACAATGCGCGTTTGAAATAATAACAACGCCAATAAAATTAATTCTTGACCCAATAAAAGTTTTCATGTGAGATATATTGTTTAGTTTTTATAACTCGTGTCAAACCCAGACCAGTTTATTTTATTTTTAAAACTGTTCACCCCAAATTTGAGGATAATGCAGAGGAATAGTGTTTGTGGAAACATAATGCTTTACGTTGTATGTACTGAAATATCGTGACTTTTGTACAATGGGAGAAATTAAGACTGTTTTTAACAACATTCATAAAGCTTGTGTGTCATTAGTGCTTCTTTGATTCTTACAAATTTTGCAATACTTTGGCTAATTAATATTGATATTCAATTTTGGAACAATGATGAAAATTGTACAAACATAGAATTTTTCTTAGTTTAGAGTATATCCATTTTTAACGCGATTTATGTGAGGCTATAATATTGCACAACTTTAATCACTACATTAGATTCCCAAATCATCAGCACAGGGTTTGGGATACACGAGTGTGGTGTTCAAATTAAACAAGACGTTGGAAGCTAATCGATTTTAACTTTTGTTGCACTGATGACATAATGGATGTGTGCGTTTGCTTTAAAGAATAGCCAAGGATTCGATGGGTTATTATGATAACACAAGAAAGTAAATTTCGAATGGCATGTGTCCGATTCCTGCTAATGAGTAATTTATAAGTGCTAGTTGACCATGTCATAGGATTATTTTTAATTCAAACTTATTCAACGATTAACTGCAGTTTGGGATATATGTATACTTTTGTACAGATTTATTTTAGCAACATTGTACAAAAATGGTCTCATTGATCAAGAAATTTCAAAATGCATACAAAACACAAAATAAAACGAGAAAAAATAAATAAATTTTCATAAATTTCCTGAAATGAAAATTTCACTTCTGAGCAGTCAGTTAACACAATTGATGATCAAGCATGAATGTCACTGCATGGTATTGTACATACGTACCCGCATATATATATTTCATGGGAAGATTTTGAAAACCTTCATCATTTTAAGTTTCATACATTACTTTCTTGTAATTTTAAGGTCACTTTTCCTAAATCTATGGAGGATATGGAGAAATCAATTTTCTCCATATTGGGTCAATAGGGGTCGTCCTCTATGCAGTGTAAACCAATTTCCTTTTCATAATCAACAGATTCTGAAAGCTATGAATCTGCAGCTTCTAGAGCTGTGAATTGAGAGCTTATTCCTAGACTGACAATGCATCTGTGACAGTCCATCTAGATGAACTTTCAAAATTAAAAAATCTATTCTGAAAACTTAATCTTTGGCAAATTCTATTAAATAAGATGTGTTACCAAAACATGTCAAGTTTGTGTATCTTTTTATGCATACTCATGTGCAAGAAACAATGATGCATAAATTCCAACTAACAGACCAGTAATTAATTACGGATGATTAGCCGCATTTAAATCTCTCATTATGATAAAACATGTGTGCACTGTACAGAAGTATGGACATATACGTAATTATTATAAGCTTGCATTTATTTCTTCATAGATTATTTGTGCAATTTCGTATCAGTTAACAAACAAACGGGCAGTATACCAACATAATAATATGCATTAATGAATTTTGTATGGTTATTGTTTCGAACCAATTGAAATTAAGACTTTGCCGACAACAAAATTCACATTTCGTGTGAAACCATGCATAACTTGTGATATGATTAATAGCACAATTGTATGAGCCATGATACAAACAGTATTAAAATCATAAGTATCTAGTGGCACAAATCAGTCTCAAATATGTGTAACAACAAATAAGTATGTATCGCTTTCTATTATTATAAAAAATAATGATTTTTACGAGGAACTGTGTTGGGGCGTGTATTTGGTGCTGTCAACAGTACAATTTGAACTTGCAAAATTTGTTCAATCGTATATGGAGTAAGTAAAGCATTTACTCTTCCTTTTTCACTTCCAGAGGGACTGGACTCGTCATCATGATGAACTCATCCTCGTCCTCCTCCTCGCATTCTTCACTCTGTTCTGGAATCCGCTTCTCGGTGGGGCTCGCTGGTGGAATGGGTGGTGGAGTTGGGGATGAGACGAGGTTGCCATGCTCGTCCTCGGAAAATTCAGAGCCGGAAATGAGAGTGCTGGAGCTGTTCTTTCTGGAAAAGGAGTTGTTGTTGGAAATGATCTTTGTCGCGAGTTCTAATTGTTGCTTTTCTTTCCACTCCTTCTTTGCAGGAGAACGTTTGAGTCCACCATCCCAGTCCAAATCTATAAGGCCACCCTTCTGGGCTATTTCAGCTTTGACACGGTTTGCAAAGTCAACGGCAGACTCCTCTGGTTTGCGGTACATTGGGGGCAAATACCTACAACGCAATGATGAATAAGCATGTAAATAGTTGCCAAATATTTCCTGGAATAAATATTACGATTGGTTGTTGACATATTCTGTGCTTATGTAATTGCTTATACTCACCACACGTCGCAAACGATAGCCCAAGATGTCATCATTCTGTACACGTAGTGCAACATCCCATGCTTTGCACTGTTCCAGAATGCATCGCCGAACCTGGGATCGTACTTGATTGCTATAATAATTCAACAACTACCATAATAACAATAATTTAATAATTAATCGTCTTTATCTATTTGCTAAGTTTACCAATCGGGTAGATGACGGAATCAACCTCGAATGATCCTTTCTTAAACTGCATCACTGCAGAGTTGTTGATACAAGTGCCCTCTGGGAAGATGAGGATTGGTCTGAAAATTAGAAAAGTAGTAGGTAAGTTAAATTTAAGAAAGTGATCACGGACATTGACGGCTTACGGTTTTGTGGGATCCTGCGCATGAAGTTTTAATCTTCTTGCAACGGCTTTTCGATCTTTCATTTCTGACCTGTTTGAAAACCAGAATAATTAAATGAATGTTATCTATTTCCCTTGAAAATAAAAGTGGGTTTAGCTCCGAATATGATTATGAAATACACGAACCTATTGAACCAAATATGTGATGAGGCTCTTGCCAAAGCCCTGTAAAAAAGATTTCAAATGATCAAAACTGCATCCAATTAAAAATTATTGATTGATTAAACATATTATATTCCATCATAATTTTACCTTTGCATAACGCCCAAGAAGCCTCCATGACTTTGGCCAATAAGGGAAAAACTAGAATTGCACGAAAGGATGACGACGTCTATTGGCGAAGTGTGGTTTGCGACGGTGATCCCATTTCGATTGGGTTTAAACTGTTCGTCGTGATATGTGATGATGGCAGAAAAAGCACGACTAAAGATGCGAAAGGAAACTCTGCAGGCCCAATCGTTGAGGAGAGGTTTGATTTTCCAGCTTCCAGGAATAGGTCCAACAAGACCGGTGAGAAAAGTCATAGTCACCGAGCCCAGGATAAGAATTACTACGCGAAGTGGGAGTAGAATCAGGTAGCGGATATAAAAACCAGCGACCCACAACAGCGTGAGCTTTACAGAGATCCACTCATAGCCGTGATTTGTTCTGGTCAAAAGGTTCCATGACTGGAGCTCTTCTGCTTCGAATCTGTAAATGGTTTGCCGTCAGTTTTATCTTTCTTGTTGTATGAACATGAAATTCTACCTGTGTGTGACCTGGTCCTGCACAATTGCCTGAATCCCGGCTGAAATAATTGAGATGATTATAGTTTGGTTTTTGGGGTTGCGTAAATTAAAATATATTCTCATATAAATTTACCCATTGCAATGTATTAATGTATGTAAATGTCTCATAACGGACTCTTAGACGATTGTTCATATTTATCAAACATTATCCCTATAAAATTGAATGACTATCTCACCTGTAACAAGCTCAAAAGTGTCTGACAATTCGAAATCAGGACTTGGACCTTCCCTCTCGTTGTACATTGGCGTAATGATGCCATCGTCATCGTCTTCGAGATCGACTTCATCCAGCAAATTCATCTGGGATTGGCGACGGCTCAGCGTGTTTTTTTCAATGCGTTGCCGTCCCCTTTCGAAGATGAAGAGAAGCAGTTCTTTGTACTTTTCCCTCACTCCAAAAAGTTTGTGGAATATCCCGAGAAGGAACAAGGTCAGCGTGGGAACAGCAAAGATGACGAAAAACGTCGCAGAAATTATAAAGGGCAGTTGCATCATTGTGATGGACTTTTTACAAGAAAAGCCAAAAAGCCGTCTGTCAAGGGGAATAAAGTTATCAATTTGTGTAAAACTCCAAAGATGCACGCTCAATGTGCTTTCTTATCAAAAGTCATGAAACCTGAACAACTCTACCTTGTTTAATGAATCCGAATTGAAACCAGTCAACTGAAATCCACAGAATCTGTTTACTCTGTCCAGGTCCAGACTTTAGGGCAACTACTGCGAAAACTATGCAAATATAAACTTGCCAAACAAAGTCCAGAGTGAGTGGTCAATTAAAGACTTATGTGAGCACCAGCACACAGAACGGAATGACAATAGGACTTGAGCACGCGAGGCGATGCACTGGAACGATCTCTAAATTCCACCCCACCACCAGCTAATCACCGATATTAAGATATTAAATGGACGATAATGCACTTGCTCTTTGCACAGCATGCCATAAACGGAAGAGTTGGTTGGGTGAAACACCGGTTCAACAAGTTGTCAATTCGTAGAGAGGAGTGTATCACTTGAGCTTGTTAGTAATTCCATGCAGATTAGAGCTTATCACACTGAGACGAGCAGCTCAAGTCCAACTTCGCCAGGCCAAGTGCAAGAGTGACGAGAAAACTAATCCTTCTGACGAGCTAACCAAATAAACTAAACTAAATCTTTGTGGCGAGTTGTGAAATTATGGACCGGGCAAAGTGTACAGATATTGTGCTGGACTTTGAAACATCACCACCATCACTGCTTCTTTGGAGGATTCAATCACGATATGGTCATGCAACCACTGTGTTCTATTTTGCTTCAAAGTCATGCACATTTTGCTCGTGTTTTTTGTACATGCCGTCGTCGTAGGTAGTAATTTGATCAACGTACGTACGTAATAACAACAAGAGCTTACAATAAATTTTAATCCACACACATGCAAAAACACACCGAACCGTGAGAGCGAGACAAGTCGCACAAATTATTTAGGTTCCAGTTGGTGGAATGTATTGTTAGGAATTGTTTTGTTTTTCTCGGTGACTCGCTTATTCTACGAAGCATTAAATAATAAATTATAGGGTAGTAGCATCCTAAATTGTTGCTGTAAATCTGGTACAAGTCGATGCTGGATGGATCTGCAAAGTTGAGAAATATCCAAATCAATTTATGTAATTGATATATTCAGCTGAGGCAATTGGGGGAGGATGAATAAAAAGAGAGATGCACGATATACGATATATGCATCGCTACGCAGATAATATGTATATGTCCGTTTTAGAGGTTAATGTTTATAATTTATAAGTGCATTTATTCATCTCGCTGGAAGATAGATGTATGTACAGTCAATGGAACAAGTATTGGCAACACCAACACAAGCTAAATAAAATTGGCTATAACTTTGGCATGCATTATCAAATTAGCATGAAAATTTGTACGCATTTAGCAAATCTAATGTAGTGTTCGATTATAATCATGTTTCTGATTTAAATCTAGTAAACATAACACAATCCTGATTTTGACCCCAACTAGTCAGATGCAAACCTGCAAAAAGTATTGGCAACATGTGGCCAAATTAATTACTCGAAACAATTTTCTTAACCATCTTCCACATTTCGTTATGGTAAGTTAATTAGGTGGCAAAATATGAGATTAGCTACATTTTAAGTCTACAGTTGTGTTGTCTGGAGCCAAAATGGCGACACCAAACGAGCTGTATTTGGCGCGGCGAGAAATAATCATGCCTCTTTCACAAAAAAGCTTTACTATCGAAAAATCAAAGAGAAGACATACTTTTCCATATTTACTATTGAATACGTAGCAAAGAAATATAGAATGATAATCTCAGTTTCTGCTTTTCGATGATGCGGAGGAATTAGGTCACCTACGCCCAAAATCTACTGATGAATCAAGCAACATGTCACTTGAGATCGGAAGATTTTAGCCCCCAAATCCATGTCGAATTGCAGTACCAACTGTGGGGCAAACATATCATTCAATTTGGTGATCAATTAAAAATTATGCCTTGGGGTTTCAGGCTCCAGTAGCCCGACCGATGCGAGAGTCCCCAAAGCGAATCACCTCAATAAATCGGAATGGGCTAAATATCGCCCTAAATAGAGTTCCGATCAATGAAAAAGGGCCTACTGGTCCGACATAAGCATATTTTACTTATTCGGAGCTCATTAATTGGTTCAGGTCTGGCGGATGCAATAAAAGGCTCAGAAATACTAAAACGTTCGTATGGCAGTTTAACACATAGGAGGATCGATTATGGTTTGGGGTTAAATGACTAGGTGGCGGCGTGTTTACCTGGTCATTATCGATAAAATTATGACCAGGAAGGTGTTGTCAATCATTCCAAACTATAATTTGAAATCATTTAACAAAAACCTGACCTAGGAAAAAATTTCATATTCCAAAAATGCAGTGACCCCAAACATGTAGCCAAATTAACGATGGAAGTTTTTGGAGACCGAAAAGGTTAAGATTCTTTCGTTGGCTACACAGTCTCCTGATGTGATTCTGATTGTCCGGGTTGAGAAAAGAGAGACCGATGGGAAACCACTAGTCGAAAAACGAGCGTGTCAAAAGTTTAAAAGAACTGTGGGCAACCATATAAAAAAACGTTATATAGGAACTTGTCGAATAAATTCCACAGCCTATTTCTGCTCTTATTGCTTCGAGGGGACGTGCCACGTAATACTAGAAGCACTTTGTCGCAGTAAAATTGTCGTTTCATTGCTCAATGATTTTTTAAGTTAGAGGGTGCCAATACTTTTTGTGGGTTAATTTCGCAAATTTTCCAGCAAATTATTTAAAACCTGCGTTAATCTAATTTTAATCAGTAAAACATGATTATAATCGAAAACTACATTAGATTTGCTAAATGCGTACAAATTTTCATGCTAATTTGATAATGCATGCCAAAGTTATAGCCAATTTTATTTAGCTTGTGTGGGTGTTGCCAATACTTGTTCCATTGACTGTACATACTCTGCTTCGGGTTAACCACTATCATCAAGTGAAATGTGATTACGGATGAGATAATTGAATGATACGGGTCTCCTCAACATTTTAAACTCTATTTTTAATAAACGCTTTGAAAAAAACGTCGTATTATTCGGGCTTTGATTTTCAAGTTTGCAGAAGCAACAGTAATAAGAATGGCATGAAGTGTAAGTAAAATATATATTTATAAAACAAGGAGTTATAAATATATAGTGCAATTACATATATACTTTTGCAATACGGTTATATGCATCTATTATAATAATTTTAATATAAAATCAGTCTCGTTTGACCTCATCGATCATTTCTTGCCGACTTTGACGAGATTTTATCTTATTTAATTCCTTATGTAATAGGTCATGATGGTGTGTGTGGTATGGGTTTAGGCCCCCAGTTAACCCCTCTTTTGAGGCAAACGGAGATTAATCTCAAATTCATCGTTTTCCAACAATGTCTTGTTTCTACGCCCACGTTTAAGTGAGATCTTCCCTTAGCGTTGAACATACAGAAAAACTTCGCCACAGGGTTAGGATATATATAGGTTAGATATATTTTGCTAATTCTAGTTGTTTTCAGATCTCGTGCCCGTAGACTGACGGGCTTTTTCCTACTTTGTTGGATTTAAAGTATGCCAATATCGTTCCTGATGCTCTGCTGCGATAGTTATGTTCACATGCACAGTTTCTAGATAATTCCAGAGTGTATATCGTTGTAAATCAATGTCAAGCACACGAAGCTCAGATATGTATGCATAGCAGCTCAATTGAATGTACTTTTATGAGAAGTGTTCTGAAGTGTTATTTTGAAATAAAGTTACATCAGTAATATAACGATAAAATTAAGTAATATTTGTCTCCCAAACAAGAGCTGTCAATTGTATTTTTGGCAATCCTGAATAATACAGCAATGTCCCGTCTGTCAATATTCCAGGATTCTTTGTTAGGTATGTGAGCAAAATTTGTTCACTAATTCTAAGCTTTGTTTCATGTTAGTATATAAATAAGTAGTTATTTATGAAGTTTACTTTCAACCACTTTCAATTGTCCAATAAAATAATAATAGTATTCTTGAACCAGTAATTGCGATTTTTAGCGAGCTTTTTTATCATCCAACAACATATCTACGTACTTTGGCAATTATACACGAGTTCGGATATAATTATCCCTCCACTGGGCAAAACACTTTCCTGGCCACCATGTTTTTAGTGTTCCGAATCCCAATTGATTAGGCATATTGCACAAGTGTTACGAATACATGAACGATAATACGATAATATGAAGAGTTTAAAGACTTAGTTAATATTTAATTTAACTTGGTGGTATTTAACGAGCTAAAGCAAGTTTTGGCATTTAGAATAACTAAATCCCGTACTTGAGAAGGAAGCAAATGAAACTGAGACTGAAACTTAATTTTGTCTCATCTAACCTTTGACTTGAACTATCTAGGAGTTCAATGCGATTATGTACCAGATAGAAATGGATTGAGAAAAGAATAAATGTGGTGTGAGTTTACACTGGTCTTGTTGGATCTGATTTACATAATGGTCAAGTTCACAGTTATGATGTATTAATTAAACCAAATCATGTCATTCGCAGTTCCATAATATAATTATTAAAGGTGTATAAATAACCATCCGCCCTGAGTAAATTCTATAAAATCCATGGTGGGTCAAATTTAACTAAATATTAGTAAAACTATGTAGCATATCTAATACAGATGTTAAAATGTCTTTTTGTCATGAAGTGAATTTTTTTCAATGCCAATACATACAATACGTTGTTCATATTGGTATTTGACATGCGACAACTTTTTGAATTTGAATATTGGTTAATCGCTTAATCTGTTTGGCATATATTTATGTTGTCGTATTCTACCAGGAATAATAAAAATATTCTTCAATTCCATCTTGCTGAAGTAATCATGCAACTATGTTGATTGCCAATTTCTGGTAATTTGCAATGAATTTATTATTTTTTAAGAAGCTTGCAACTACCTTTGTTGTAATGCTGGCTAAATACAAGTTACAAGAATTCTAATATTAACATCATATTAATATCTTAAACATAATAGCATGGATATTAATACTTTATAATTTTCGTTCTAAAAATATCAGTTGAACATAAACGGTAAAATTTAATGTTTATTAGTAAAATGGAGAAAATACAAAATGTTAATTATTGATTGACTGTTGTCGCTCTGTGACAAACTAATTAATTATACTTACTTACGAATGCATAATACTTGACTATTAATTCTAATCCTACACTAAAACTGCAAATTCTTGTGTGGAACAAAAACAAATTTAATTAATAGTCTCACCAAGTTAATGGTAAATATCTTCTAAAAACTTACAATCAAACAGGTAATGTCTGCAGAGTTATAACAACTGTCTGTTTTTAAGCATGCGACTAGTGATTGAATAAAAGTAAATGAATGACATTGTCTAAACAATTTTAATGGCTATTGACCTTTTTATGCTATTAGCATAGATAAATATAAAAATCATGCCAATTACCAATTTAATCATCATCATTCCATGCCCATGACTGAGGATGATTTAATTTAAACTTTTTAATTCGACATCTAGAGGAAAAAATAATGAGCGTTTATTAAATCCCCAAATTCTCAAACGACCTTGCCTTTCTTGTTAATGTTGGGCTGCAACAAAAAATACGAAATAATATATCACACCAGAATATACTGGCTAGTGAATATTTGTAAAGTGGTTTTGATAAAGGTGCTAATAACTGATGCACTAACAACAAGTTAATTTGCAATTATAATGTGAATGCAATGAGGAATATTCGGCTAAACAAACCAACATTGCAGAGTGACAGCACAATATCACCTGTCCATTAATAATTTGCAAACGTAAAATTTGGCACATGATCATCAAATTAATTTTTCAATTTTCACTAAATCATAAAATCAAATAAAGTAGTTTTTGGTTTGAGTAGTGGGGGGGAAAACCCTGGTTGAAAACTTCTACTTGAACTGGACAATCCAGAACAAACCCTTGGAATTTGACATATTTTTAAAACTAAATAATTTCTTCAATCGTTGTGAACCTGGAACAGTTCTCATGATTAATTCCGCATTCCCACGCGACTAAACTCATCTCTGAATAGGAAAATATGTTAGATGAAAAACATTGGATGACCGGTGTGAAGTATTTTAAATTCCGTTTGACCGTGAAACGATTCTATAATGCCATTTTTCTTGTTGGTTGATTTTCAATATCTCCTGTCTTTAGCATAATTGCAAGAAATTAAATTCATGGTTGTAATTTGTAAAGTAAAATTTGCCTTGCATACTTCTACAGCCATCTTATAACGTCTGAATCAATTTATAAAGTTGACAAGATGACCAAAACCCATGCCTCCTGCGACAGAAGGGCCCCTCCTATTTGCTGTGCCTCCACTGCATTGATGTGACATTGCTGACTTGTGAGTGTCAGGGGGCAGTTCCTTATTAAGTTCCACCTTGTCAAACAACATCAATTCACACATCTATTATTCTTCGATGATTCATTTATGAGTTTTTAATAAGGTATTTTCTATATGTGGATTTTTTAAGTTTTAACAGAAAATTTGATGCACTCGTTAACCTCATATTGCATAAAATATAATTTCCAAATATTTTTCCAAATTTTAAGATTTTTATTACACGCATATTATTATTTATGTATGTACAAGCTGCCGTTCAAGCTAAAAAAAATCTGCTTCTTGCAAGATAAAGTCATTGTAATTTGATGATTTACTACTGTTTTAAACAATAAAGTGCAAATTGTGTAATAAAGTCGAAAAGAATTTATTTTTATTCTAATCAAAGTCCGCATTTGTACGTAGTGCGTAGGAAATTATCTTGCCATATTTTCTAGTGTTTGGTAATACATGTCACACCGCGTATGCATTTAGTGCATTGCGAACATATTTATACAAGTCACAAGTAGGTAGGCAATAAACATAACGGCTTCATAGTTGAACAACATAAACATTTTATTGACAATCAATCGTGACACCCAACAGATTGACTGCCTCGATGAAAACGCTAGCAAAGTTCATAATGAATCAAACGACAAATTGCACTTAAAATGGTAATGAATGTTAAACCGATTGATCTACATACATAATCTCAACAAGACCACACTTGGGAGGAACAAATTGGTTGGAAGAAGAAAAAGTGGGCGGCTTTCAGCGTTATCATATTCAACTTGGACAATCATTTTAATATATTTGTAATTTAATCACTAATTCTCCGCTCAATCGTAAAATACCGAAGTGAATTGGCTTGCATGAATTGCAATCCTTACGCTAATTAAAACAAGTGTGGACTCGATATAGCTCGAGCCATGCGGTTAAATTTCTTGGGACCAATTTCTTACAAAAGTGGTATTATCCAAAACGAATATTCTTCTGTCCTCCTTCACTCCAATTTTGAACTGGCAATTTCAGAAAATTGTATCCAGAGAAAAATCGAATAATATACAGCAAGTACCTCAACCAATATTTTATTCATTAATTTCCATCAGCTTACAACATCACTTTCTCAAGTTTATGGCAACTCACCACAAGATAATAATCTCTCTCATGTGTGCAATGAGTAATGTGCATAGTTGACCGAGTTGTCATAATCATTTTCATTGTAGAATGTTTGTATAATGCCAGAATATAATTAATACAATGCAGGCAATTAAAAGTAAAATAATGTATAGCTTTGACAAACTGCCAAGATCGCCGGGTCAAAATTTTATTGTTTTTCAGATTATTTATTCAGAGAGAAATAAGCTTAAATTGTAGTATGACATTGAAAAGAGATTTTGCAAATTAAATTTTGCAAACAAATTAGATCATCCATGCCCACTCATCTAAAAATATTGCACATTTATAAAAACGGTATGCTTGGGAGGATCTTGTGCTTCTAGTCAAGGAGACTGCAAGCCAGTGGCATGTGCTAATTTCAAATTGACGGTCTGATTTTACTCAAACCACAAATTTCTTTTGGCATTGTTTCATTCTGACGTCAAATTATTTATGATGAGTGCAGCCCCAGGTAAAAGATATCAGTATGCATATTATTATTTTTACCATTATTATTATTCTTATTATTCACATTTTATAGCGTTGTGAAATGGGTTTATTTGATCGGAAATCATGATTGATCATATAATTTTCTCACATAAGCAATTACAGAATAAGAACACTCGGCTAATTAATTCAGTGAGATTAAGATTTAAGAAGTGTATAACAAATCGTGGATTTAAATATTTACAAATGGCGATCTATGCTAATTGTTTCTTTTAAAATCATTCTACTGATTGACGAGGCACATTAAGGAGAACTCAAAATATTGAAAGATTGGCACAAAGCTAAATATAGGGCTGTCTGCTCCAGTTGCCTTTACAATTGTTTAGTTGTCAGCCTGTGGTTAATTGAGCATAGATGATCAAAATGCTTATTAATAATTGGACCACATTCCCAAACGAAAAAAATGACTTGTCCCTAACCCTTAAGTTGCACAGCATTTATCGAATCTGCTATCAAAGTAACCCTTAAGATAAGGTGGGAAAGGTAAGTAACCTGCTGGTTTGATATGCCGTGTGCCATCTCGCCTCACACAGAAAACAAGTGGATGCATTATTCCCACAGAACTCGGCCAGATAATTTTTGCATTCCTTGGAATTAGAAGAAGGAGACCTACCTGCCTTCAAACTAAATAATAATAATCGCGTCTGCATTAATTATCCAACCTATTTATTCCTCTATTTTCAGAGACCTAGTTGGCTCGACGTATAGAGAAAAACCACGCAAAATCAATACAAATCCCTTCAACTTATCAATTGGTGATGATACCATGTTGGCTACGAAAGGGGTGTTGGTTGGTTGGTTGGATGGATGGATGTGATGCATACGAACAATAATTACTCACATTCATGATGACTTTGAAATGGTTCAATATTATTATATAACACTACTTTCATGCCGTGTTTCGCTTTTATGTATGTTTATCTTCCTCTAGACTCCACCTCGTCCCTTAAAATTGTGCTAGCTTAGAGGTATTGGCTACGGTGATACTTATCCACCGTCTGCGTAGGCACTTTGAATCGCCCTTTTATTTCCCTCAGTATGGAAATTTCTGTTCAAGCAAACTTGTAATTGGTATAAAAGGGTTGGGTGGTTATGAGTCCAGGTGTAGTGTAAATTTGATTTTGTGACTTGTTGTGACTGTTGCATCGTGTAAGGATTTCGGATTTTTACCATCATGAACAAGTTTGTAAGTCATTTTTGGATTCAGTGTTTTTGTAGTGATGAGTTTAGCGTCAAGTTATTTACACAGTCATTAAAATTTTGGTGTTGGTGATTTTGCATGTCAAAGTTCTTGGAAAAATGTGTTGTTTCTTATTCATCTCACACATGTGTATGCATCTAATTCCAATGTAACTTAATAACCACCACTTTTTCAGGTTATTCTGTTTGCCCTCGTGGCCACTGTCACTGCAGAGCCCCCAGTAAACTACGGGGCCGTCCAGTACGATGCCCCTGTATATTCGTACGCCCCAGTAGCAGCCGCCTACGCCTACGACGGTGGGGATGATGGTTCCAGCTATGTGGACGACGGTATTACTCAGTTCCCACAATAAAGGGAGGACCCGGCGTAATCGGTCTCATATAATCCTATTTTCTAAAACAGCCCTGTTGGCCAGAGTTGCACAAATTTTGGAGCAGAGCGAAGGAGCCGGCTATTCCGGGGGATATGCTCAATACGGCGCCCCTGCCAGAAGTGGGGGAGTTCTCCTTGGACGACCCGAACGCGCCCACAGAGTATGAAGAAAATTTCAGAAATATTTATTTTTGGCAGTTGTAAAAATTTCCAATAATTTCCAGGTTGCTGAATTCGACCTTACGGATTCCCACTTATCCACTGGATATGGATATTAAATTTATGTTACGATTGTGCCATACATATTCATACACGAATGTATGTAATCATTGTCTAGTGCCAGATTATAAATTCTTAAACAAATTATACACTAGATTTATTTATGTTGTTCGAAAGTATTTATGCTACGATGGGTGCAAAAATGTGATTATATTGAGTCAATAAATTATAAACACGTTTTTCAGTGAAATATTTCGTTCTAAATGAGGCATATTCTTCCAAGGGGCAGAATGCATGCTTATCTCTCGCGTCACAACATCGCACATAATTTATGAGAAAAGAGAGAACTTGAACTTTACATTAAATTTTTTGTCATGTATAATTATGTTGTAGTTGCGTAATTAAAGTGAATTTGGGAGCACGCAACAAGTTTTTTTTCTTGTAAATAAAAGAAGCACATCACTTATTGAACTGGAATTGACGAGGTGGAATTATGGTGAGTCAATTCAGTGCAAGAAGATTGTGCTATGGCGTGGTTACCATTATTATTGTGAGGGCTTGAATGAACTGCAATTTATTAACATTTACCGCAGAGATGAATAAACACATTCATTAATTTTGAAGAGTTGATGAAGTTAGCGACGCAATTCTTTCATTACTTGCAGCACATACATACTTTCATGCACAAAGCCATCAAACCTAGAATTGGGCCACGCCAGAAATGCATAATGTGGATTTATATTGTATCAAGATATATCAATTACAATGCAGAAGGGTGGACTACTGGACTGAATATAATGCGTTGCTCTAAATTAGTGATCGGCATTTACTAAGTGTGCAAATATCATATGTAATAAGCACAAAACTTGTTTCTTAACAATGGCACGAACAATAAATCAAGATCATTGGCGTGGCACATGGCACACGTACGAATGACAATTCCATCATCATATTACGAAACAATTCCTGGCCCACAAGGCATTTTACACGATTAATTAATTTGGTCATTTATGTGCAGTCAAACACATCGGACGTACGCATATCAAATACTAAATTTCTCCAGAAGTAACTGGATCATCATCTCGAAGCCAGAAGAGTACTATTCCATCAGTCGCTCTACTCCAAGATAACCGTGATGAGAGGTGACCGTTTCCACAATTCGTAACTTCAAGCAAATGACTCTCGTTTTCATGAATACAAGTTTTTTTGTTGGAATTCCGAAGGGATGAAGTGCATATTATCACCTTGTTGTCGGAATGGAAATTAATGTCGTTCTCTCGAGTTAATCGAGCATAAAAAAGATTTATTTGTTTTATTACTGTTGGGGAGACACGCATGCGAATGAATTTAACCTACTTTACTTTGGACTCTTGTCGCATGTTTTGTTAGTTGACGACATTCTACCAATTCACATGACGTACTTAAATGAGTTGTTGTCTGACTCTGAGTTGTTGTCAAAGATCCTCATGTCTTGTGCAGGTTATTTATTCTCCTCTGTCTAAAAAAAGCTCACATGCATATATTATTTTTTGAACCCATAAACTTGTCAGTATTTGTAATCAAAACGTAATAATTTTTAAAATGTCATAGTTCGAATTGAAGTATTGAAATAGCCGCAAAGCCTGAGGGACTTTTAGGCACATTAATGCATGGATACATATTTTAGCAATAAGGATGCATCTTGAAGTATGTATTCCTTTTATAAATAAGTAACGAGAGTTAGACAATGAGACGGTCAAACAATTAAAGGAAATTGCATTACTTTACAACCGCGTTGTACATAATTTACTTCCAATGACAAGAAAATGTCAGAATTGCTTATTTAACTTAGAAATAAGTGCGAACTGCCAAAGCTGAACTAATTACTTGAAATGTGCGTATACAATTTTTCACAGGCATAAAACCACTTTAGTTAACAGATACACATGTGTGCATACAAGGCACGGGTGCAATTTACAACTTGTAATTTTCTATATAGCAGCCAATATATAAATTGATGTGGATGTGGATGCAGGAACAACAAGAAGAATTTAAGGTCAATTTTTATGCTTATTGTCGGCATTCTGAAAAAAAGTAAACCACAAGGAATGAAAGTAAAATAGATACATATACAAATTGTAATAAAATGCAATATAATTAAATTTAAATGTAAAAAGTTTCTTGTTTTCATTTTCTTCAAGGTCGTCTCAGACATCCTCACATCGCATCATGTAGGAGGATTTGATTCAAGGAAGACACATCGTCCGTCTGTGAACAATGCTGATAAAATAAAATGGCGACATTACCAAATCTGAATCTCTCAAATATAATGTTTTTAAGATGCTGAGTAAAATTCATCTAGTTGCATGTTAGTTAGTATGTACATGATTATTCAAATATGGCCCAGTCATAATCTTTAAATATAGTTCGGAGTTCACAAATATATCAAATACGAACTTCCGGAAAAACTGGTTCTTCATTTTAGGATAAGAAATATTTAATTGCCCAAATATAGCCCAAAAATTAGCAATAGAATGTTATTCTATTCTATTGCCCAAAAGTTGTGTCACTGTCAGTTGAGATAACAGCAAGAAGGAAGACTTCCTGCATGTAGACTGTCCTCTTTGTCATCTTCTGATACAACTGAACCAAGCAATTTGGGAAACTATTGATTGTCGTCAATATAAAGTTGTCCGCAATGAAAGACCAAGTGCATGCCCATTAATTAATATGACGCCATGAACAAAGGAATAAAGCAAAGAATTCTAATCTTAAGAAAAAAATCCAGTTTACCTCTACCTCAAAGTAAAATAAAAAGTCAATTCACGTACATTAATACAATTTAAAGATTGACATTGATTTGTATATTACTTTCAATCACCTTAAAATAAGATTAAATTTTAATGTCATCCAAATAAGATTAAATCAAATAAGGACCGCCATTTTATGCCCATATTTTCGTATTGTCATGTTCATCAGTAAGTATTGCTATACTTGACATGTATTAAATAACGGATTTATTTTCATCAACAAAAATAATTGTACTACAAAGAATTTCCAGTAAATTCTTCAATTTTCGGAAACATTATTCCTTACCTACTTGGCTATTAAACTTTATATATTTTGATTGCATATGAGCTTGTAGATTTTACCAGATTAATTTCGTATTAGTGGTTTGCGCAAACATTTTTATTGTTATGATGTGGTGTTATTTGTATTTTTTTTGTTAGGATCAGCAACATGCCTTCTTTAATATTTATGCATGTGCATATATCTTACGGCGTCACGTTTGGTAACAAAGGTTATAAAATTATATGAAAATTGGAAGGCAACGGGTCAGGTCGTATTGTTGTATTATTAGAGTTTGTAGAACAATCACTTGCTACATATATGCATATCCTCGAGGATGATGATATGTATCACTCATATCGTATCTCTGCCATATCTTGGCCATACGTATAATGAGGCAGAATTAAGAGAATCTGATGTGGTCATCTTTGTTTGCAGTGTGTTGTGGTGGCTTATGAGCTATACGAATGACATGGCATGTCAAGAAGAGGTTTGGGTAATAAAATGCTAATAATGCAGTTTTTTCGCCATCCTATTTTGAGTATAAAAGGAATAAGGGTTAAATTGAAAGGTATCAGTTGACTCTTCTTTTTCTTGAGAATCATCCTCAAATACCACAATAATGTTCAAGCTTGTAAGTAAAATATTTCCCAAAATTGTGAAGGAATTTTTGTGAGAACATTTTATACACGCTTTGCAATAAAACACAACTAATTTTCGTCTATTTGTTTTGCATATTATAGTTGGTCGTCGCTTCTCTCGTCGGTTTAGCTGCAGCTGGAGGCAGCCACGACGTTGACGATGCCTTGTTGGCCAGGTAAAGACAAGTCGATGCACGCACTTTAGAGCTTTAATTATATTTTAAATTTATTTGAATTCCACCAGAGTTGCCTCTTTGTTGGGAGATGGTGGTAGCGGTGGTGGTGGCGGTGGTGGATTCGGAGGATACTCCGGAGGGGGTGGCGGTTCTTCAGGATCAGATGGCGTTGATGACGCTTTGTTAGCCAGGTAAGCATGACCTTCCAATCTTTAAAATTTTATGAATTCTTAAAATCTGACAGATTAACGAACCATTGCTTTGTTTATTTTATTTTAGAGTTGCTCAGATCATTGGAAACGAGGGTGGATCTTCCTCAGGCGGATCTTCTGGATACTCTGCTCCATCTTACAGCTCCGGTGGTCAAGGAGGTATTATTTACAAACACATGAACTTTGACAGAATAGCAAATTTAAACTATTAATTTCTGGGTAATTAAGGTTACTCCGGTGGTGGGCAATCTGGTGGATACTCTGGTGGTCAATCCTCCGGAGGTGGTGGTGGAATCCGAATTGGAAACCCAGAACGATCCCAGGCAGTCGCTGAATTCGATCTTGGAGGTGGATCATCCCAAGGTGGTCATGGAGGTAATAATAAACGAGAAATGTATGGCTTAGGATCGGTTTTTACATACCAACTTTCTGGATTAGGTTATTCTGGCGGTGGCAGCTCCGGTGGATACGCATAAGTTTGTCATGCAATCAACCCTTACGCCCCACCAACAACCAACAAACTCAAATAATTCGACGTCGTAATGTTGACTCATCTGTAACAGCATAAGAGCGATGATGTCCTAGTCCTGTCATCTTTAAGAAATTAAAATGACATTTAAATTGTTAGTAATTTTAAGCGTATTTAATTGGATCAAACCTCATCCCAAATTTGTTGTTTTATACTTATTTCTGTATATTAGCGTAAAATAAAAGTGTAGCTTTGATTACGAAACAAAGATTACCAAGTTGATGAGATGATTTTACATGATTTTGGAAAGTGAATGGAAGTAATTATTTTCGTAGCCCTCAATTTACACAAGACCTGTTCTACACCCAGCACATACACGAAATGGGACTCGGCCAATAAGGCCACCTCAGTCAGCATAGTTTAGTTGATACATACATGACATCCATGACAGTATGTGTAAAATAAAGACGAAACGAAAGATGACACAATATAATAATTTACAGTGACGTTCACTTTTAAACCTGATGACACCACTGCATGTGCATTCATTCCATACATTCATGTCATATGAAATGTGATGGTTGGCTAGATTGGATGAAAAATTTAAGCAATTCATCATATTGAGGAGCTGGCCTTTGTCCAAATTAAGATTCCGAATCAACCTAATTTCACACAGATGAGGCATACTTACAATTAGACGAGAAATTCTAATTAAGAACCTGGGTGGTTGGCATCATCGTTTAATAGTCTCTTTTATTTACATTTTCTGTGTGTTATCCTAATTTGCGGGGTGCATAGCTGACATTTCAACATTCGCAGCTGAATAATTATAACCACTGTAGACGAAACATTAAGCGAAACCAATAAAAATGTCAAAATCAGTTGATATCCTGAACTCAGTCAGTCCATTAATATGTATTGCCAAGATGATGCAACCCACATTAGTTTAAAAATATACAATTAGTTGATTGCATTTTTATTTCAACCTTCGAAACTAAATAGTCGCAGCTAACAGTGGCGGGGGTCGGCACAGAGAAAGAGCAAGCAATTAAATGTTTAAATGTATTTCACGATTGAGATCAATATAAAAATTGCAGGACCAAATAATGCAGTTGGAGTAATCCAATTGGGGGGTAATCTAAGGAGGAGGAGTAATAATAAGCATGCAGATCAATGCATTGTCATGTAATTTAGTTTAAATTGGTAGTAATTGTATCAGATGCTTCCTGAGCAGAACTCTGCTGAGCTAGCTTAGTCACGAAATATAAATATAATAAAATTAAAGCCAATGGAGATTAAAACATATTGCGCTAAGGATGTGGTTGTGCGGTAAAGGTTCAGGTTTTAATAAAAATTAATAGTAAAATTGCAAATATGGCTCATTACGAGTAATTTCACATATATTTCAGTATACAAGCTGCTCACGACGATGTTGCAGAAAGATCAAATTTATCACAGGCAATAATAACCCACTATTAAATATATGCATGCATATGTGCATAATACGCAATCCTTAAAGTAGCGAAATGCAAAATTTATTAGACAGCAAATACATGAAATTGAGCAACAAAGTCGATAAATCATTGAATACGGAATATTCCTCGAATAAGTATTTTAAAAAGATGCATACACTACCAGTAAAAATCAGTTTTCTGCATTTTCGTTGTCTGCATTTTCTTGGCGTTGTCTCGAAAAGAAAATGCACAAATTGTGGTTCAGTTTGTTGAGTTTGTCAGCAATGAAGGGAATCACCCATAATGAACCTCCAACAACGAGACAAATCCCGTAAAAGCAGTAGAGACTCTCATAAGCCTCAGAATCGGTTGAGAGGATTTTCCCAGAAATATTGATGAAGGAAAATTGAAGAATTCTTTGAAAAATATAATTTCATAGTTAATGAATAAATATTTTGGGCTTGATAGTAGTAATTTCAAAGTTATGATTTTACCCGTTTAGCATCATGCAGAAAGCATACCCTACCTGCAGAAAGCATGGTTAATAAAATTTCGATAACAATTTTTAAATTATTTTTGTCAAATAATTCGCTTAAATTAAATTATTTACAGGAAGCAAAGCGATGCCTACAACTTCTGCCAACAGTGCCCCAAAAATTCCAATATGTAGACCACATGAAAATCCAAACATTCCACCGAATGAACTGAATTTCAGAAAGGTGTCGGCCATCCCAATAAAAAATGACGAGACCCCAGCGAGCACAAGTCCAGAAGCGAAAATTACTGTCGGGGGAAGAAATTTTCGGTCATAAATGAAAGCACCAATGAGCCTTGAGCACAAATCCGATAAAGAGACAATCAAATACACAGTGCTAGATTCCGCCTAAAATCATCGAAAATATAAGTATAATAATTATTAATACTAAAACTAAGGATAGGCCGGAGCCCTCCAATCCATGACATTAAGTAATTCAATTAATAAAAGCCAGACTTTGGAAAGGCCCCGATGTTCTCCAAGAGCAGGGATAAGCAAAAGAATGTTTGTTGTGGCAATTGCTGTAGATGAGTTAGAAAATAGAAGGATCAAGTACGTTGGAGATGAGAGCGGCGAATTTTTTATCCATGACAAGCATCTGGAACAGCAGTTTCGCCTTTTTTCTGGAATTATTATTACGCATATTTAGTAAAAACACCATTGACGCGAGATTACCATTTTGCCATACGAGGAAATTTTATTTTGAATTCTTGAGAAACATGCTCTCCATGATCATGCACATTTTTCCTTTCCTCTTGAATCTCATCTTTAACAGATACCGTTAAAGTCGAGCTAAGTTTTCCAATTGGCAATCGTCCTTTGGTAAGATTATCGTTTGACCACATGATCACACAACTGTGGTCCAACGACATGATGTAAGGCGGCAACCTTTTTGTAGAAACTGCTTGTGGCGATGGGGGTTCCCTTCTCTGTATTGTAAGAGAAGCAATTTCATGGTTTGATCCCACCTTTGATTCAGCATCAGAGTTTGCTAACAATGATTTTACTTCAACTCACATCTTTGTTGAGCTTCCTATTTCTCAATTCCAAGTCTGCACCAATTGTCTGAGAGCCAGTTTGACTTTGGCGAAGAAACCCGGACGGAAGTTGTTCTGATTCCTGATTTAATTTCGTTGACGAAGGTGGAACAATTGTGTGACATTTACTATTTCGCGTAGGGGTTGCTGGGGGGAAAGTAAATTTACCACTGGATCCAAGGTGCCCAGAACCACCACCGCTTCCTACTAATTAAATCATTGCGAACTAGTATAAAATTTGTCCAAAATGGCGTTTAAAAAGAAGTGTGGAATAGTTTATTGAAACAGATGCCCTCGAATTCACCTTTTGCATTACGTTTAACGAGGCCAGTAGTGTACGGATGAGCTATTATTTGATTTTCTTGCACATTGTGTGGATGAATTTCTGTTTGACTAGCTTTCGGTTCAACGTTTTGGCCCATCCCACTCAATTTTCGCATTTTGCTTGAGTCATTTTCTGGTTTTGTCCAAAATGGGGGTCTACTGAGGACTTTGTGTAATTTTTCCGGAAAACAACGAGTTTCCTTGCAGTGTGGGTGCCCATATTTTTCTAAAATCATCAGATATTACATATAAAGAAAGAATGATTTATTCAGTACAATTTAATGCTTTATTATTAATGAGGAACCATTTATTTTGTACACGATCACTGATCCAGTGCTGAGAGATGAGACCCGTTTCTTCAGTTTATTTTGAGATTTAAGACCCATTTCGTCAGGTATCTAGAAAAATCCAACAAGTTTGACAATAAATTGTATATAACGAGTTGAAATTAAATATGTGCAAATTAATGATTACAAATTCTGGTCCACTCGACTCGTCACTCTCATCTTCTTCAGGCCCCCTGATTACTTTCATGCAAGAGTCGTCGCGGTTGCTGTTTGCCGGCATTTTATTAAAACTTGCAGACCTCCCATGTCCTCGCATCACTGGAGAAGCAGGAGCAATCACCTTTTTTGGAGGTGGGGCGCGATATGGTTTGTAGGAAAGTGTGCAAATTACTGCGTTCATCATGATTCCACCCAAAATTAAGAGAGCTCCTCTGTAAGTGCATGCACACAAAATAGAATTATAATCGAAATAAATGTAAATATGTAGGGAAAAAATTACCTGCAATCCAAGTATTGAATCAAAAAATTGAGCATGTAGGGCATAATCATTCCTCCGACAGGACTTCCGGAAACCACAACACCATTCGCCATGCCCCGATTCTTCTGAAAGTAATTTCCTATCAGAATCAGTCCAGGTGAGTAAGTAAATCCGGAACCAAGTCCGACTAAAACACCAATTCTAAATGTTTCGAGTCATCAAAGTTGTTGCATTGGTCACAATGCAAAAATCGGATTTGAGACCTTATACAAATTGTATTTCTCTTACGAAAAATATAAAAATGTGATTGAAGTGGCGAACCAACTCAGCATCAGCCCTACGGACACTAGAACAGTCCCCATGAAGGCAATCGAACGTGCAGTAAACTTGAGAACTAGATAACATGCTAACGGACCTTCACAAAAGCATGTGATTTTTTAAGAAATATATTTACAATCGAATTCATTACACACTTAAAGAACCTCACCCGCGACGCAGTTAAGGCACGATGTGATGCTAACAAGAACAGACACATGGGCAGGAGTTGCTTTGTACGATTTCTGGACTTCGATGATGAGAATTCCCAAGCATTTTAGGAACCCCATGACCACAATGTTTACAAGAAAACAGCAAATGACGATGCACCAAGCCTGACTTCCATACTCTTCGCCTCCAGTGAGGATGGTCAAGTTATGCGAGGCTATGGAGGCCGCTGGGGACGAGGACCGGAACTTGCTGTCTCTCCGTTTCACCGGCGTTGTGTTGACTTTCAGATTGATAGACGTAGATGTGGATGTCGTTCCACAACTCGTGTCATACGTTGCAGATGAATATGCTGACTTGCTAGTCTCATCGTCCTTGTTCTTAACCATCTTACTTTTCACAAGCTACTTTGTCTAAAAGGCGAAGCAGCAATACAAAGAAGTAGATATTAAGAATCGTCTTGGTCGAACGGAACCACGATAACTTGACTATTTGTATTTACATTGGCAACACTTGAGACAAAGTAAAAAAAAATGTTGCTTTTAAATGCTGAACAGAGTAATCAGGCAGGGACAGTGGAATTGTTGTTTCTGATTACGGAGTTACCACCAAATCTCGTAATGAATATTATTAATCTTATTAGGCTCAAAGTATTTAAACAGCGTTGCCTTGTCTCCCCTGCATTTCTCTGGACATTTCTTTGCTTTGAATTATTAGTCGATTTAATTCTTATGAAGTAGCAATCCGATAAACTGTACAGTTCATTCTCATATGTACATATACATATGTACATATATGGATTTCATGCTTTCACAATTATAAGCATGTTTATAGACTATGTTCAAAGCAATTCCTAAATATAGACTTCAAGATAATCAAACTAAAGATTAAATCCACATTATGCATATATTTGTAGATGCATACTTGTGCCTTTCCTCGGCTGAAATTTTCCATCTAAATCATGCAATATATTAAAACTTTGTACAAAAGTTGCATTTATTCATGTTTTTTAATGTCCTCTCAAACCGTGCAAGCTAACACATTTCATTTGTATATATTTATGTACAGTCTGCATCCTGTTTGTTTTGTTGTAGAAACACACCGAAACATATTTACATGTATGCTGCAACGCTTCAATCACGCGTCTAGCACTGTCCCTGTGAATGTCGAATCCAATAACATATTTACAATTACACTCTGAAGATTTGGTAGAAGCAGTTTCGAACTGTAATTGGAAAATGAAGAGTTTGCATAGTTAATAACTGGCCAAAAAAACTTGTTCAGTCGACCATTTGTTCCACAGACATTTTCGCTCAAGTTGAGCTCTGATGTATATTTTAAACCCCAACCAGCCTTGACCCGGAGTAGCCATTGTCCTTGTACGATAAAACGCGAATTAAAATTCCAGAAACCTGAATCTTTTCTGCCCTCATGAATAAATAATTTTGATCTAGCCAGTTGGTTACGCAATTCCTTCCAACTTGTTATGTACATAATATGATTAAAATCATGCTTTGTTGGCTGTGAAAACCATCAACAATGAACTCGCTGTTGGGATGTAACAAGTGACAATTACTTGTAGTAATTTATTGCTGTAAAATGGTAATAACAGCAAAAGTACAATATTAAATAGAATCCAATGAGTTCTTCATGATCGCGAGCTTTATAATTAAATGTCAGTTACTAGATAATTTCTCAAAGCTCGCAACAAATCTACAACATACGAGCATTTTGAGTTGTAGGCAATTTGTACTCAATTTGTATCTCCTAAACTAACACTTAAAGTCTTGTTACCCGTCGAACAAATCTACAGATAATTGTAAGGATTTTAATATTTTGATATGCGGGCAACTAAAAATGGACAAAATCTTCTTGGTAAACCTTTGGTCTACCAAAGTATGTGTAATATAATTTCCATACAACTAGAAAAAAAACTAACATGAATTGTGTTGTGGTGTGATGCTCCTTTCTGACCTAGTGTTTCCTAACTAATAAGTGTCTACAAAAAAAACAATAAATTTTGGGAATATGTACAAAACACAACAAGTACAAAAGCTTGCGAAACAGTCGTATTGCACACGATTATAATTCAGATGTCTGACTTGAAAGAATTTTGGACTCGTCAGCCTGCACATCCCATCAGCATTGAACTTGTCTTTAAGACTAAAAATCTCAAAGGCATCAAAGGTCGTGCAAGACATTATTAACATGAAATTAACACGCTATTATTATGCCTCGCTTGATAATGTTGAGCAGCTTACTAAATGGTATGATGTCATCATCAGGAGATTCATGGTGGGCATACGTGCGACATGCATACAGCATCGTATGATTTTCAACTATCTTTATGAGGTTTGGATTTTAGCAAGTAAAAAACAAAATTAGCAGCCACGAATCTTTGTGTGTTTCAGATCGTGGCATGATTGATCATAATTAGCAACCTTAAGTTCATCCATGAAAAAAATGTAGCTAATTTTTTTTCACAAATTCCTTCCGGTCTCGACTCCAGTAAAAATGGGAAGACCATTTACCATGTAAAACACTTTGGATGACATGATCAATGCCAAATCTATAAATCTATGGGTGTCGAAGGTTTTCTTACAAACATGCAACATTTTAAGGCTGGTCAAATTGTTTGAAATATTTTTCCTACAATTGTGTAAATGAGCCTTTTATTGAAATATTTAGTTTGTATATTTGTCGTATGATGTATTTATGTGGTTATGTTGTCCAATAAATATTTCACCAAAGTAGAAACCATACAATGTCAATCTCATCATATTCTTTGATCCAACCGCATTTTCGTTGCTTCTTCTAATTCAAGGCGAAAATATTTAATAAATAATGAGGTAATGTTGAATTATGAGCCAAATCCAATCACACAGTATACATCTTCTATTAAATCAACAGTGTTATTGTCCCACAATTAAGATAATAGTTGGGCGGATTAATAATATGGCCGTGATCCGACACAGGACGTTTTTTTGGACGTATGTGCATTTATTGCATTTCCTTTGTGTGTAATCTTTAGAATTTTTGTTTGTATAATCAAATGGTGGGAGGTTGATCAATGATCTCGCAATGATCCATTTATCACAAACTTGCGTATAAACATGAATCTCTCGGGTACATACGCAAGTAATACCATCTAATTTCGGCAAATTATAGCCTCATTACCAACACTTACTGAAATTTTATGACCATCGGAAATTATTGTTAAGCTGCTTGCCAAACAAACAAAACGTCCAACCTTACGTACAGAGTGTGTAGTAGATATAAATCTTTACCACATAAAACTACTAGCTGGGACTAGTTTTCCACTATAACCTACATAATATGTAGATGAAGATGTTGTACACAATAACACGAATGACGGACTTAAACAAATCGTGTAAAAGGGTGAAAAGCCAGAATTGAACAATTGATACCATTTAAATTCGAAAGATTACAGAATTTGGGACAGACAGTCACAGATACGATGATTTCATAAATCTTGTGCCAAACTTGCGATGCCTGAGAATTTTAATTAAAAAATGTTACTAGTAATTAATATGAAATTTTTGCAAGCTAGTTCATTACCATTCTTCTTAGCACTGACTGACGGCGATAAACTAGATAGTTGCACTTGACCCTAGCTTTTGTTGTTGTGATGATTGATTCTAATCTCATCTGATTTGATGACCACCTAGCAAATTTCACTAAATTGTCTGATTGAATTGCATCAAATAATACAAACACTAATTTTTAATTAAGCACTTTTGATGCTAAGCTGCCTGTCAACGCAATCTAAGCTATGACCACCAGAAGCCAATTCGTGGTCGATCCATTACTTATCTGCCCAATTAACAATTTCATCAAGCTTTGGAGGTTCGACTATCCAGTGGAATAAGCTATATACCCGATAACCTTATAAGTAAATATATTATGCACACAAGGGTGGTGTTGAACTTTTATAGATACACAAGAAAAAGATAAAGATTAGTAAAACACGATTATTATTATGGCGATTTTAACTAACATCTTGACATGCTCATCTTCAATATCAATTTACTATTTTATCAAAAAAAAGCACCTCTAGCAAACTCCTTGTCCCAAAGCTGCAAATTAGCAGTGAAGCGTCAGTATTTTATTGCATATGTACATACATATTCATGTATATATATGTACATGTGTACATATATATGCAATATGTACATATCTATGTACGTATTTATGCATGCTTGAAGGAAATGACTGATTTGCACATTTGACATCCTGTCCTACTCCTCATCCTCATTTTTACATAGAAAATTGTGGTCTTTGCACATAATTCCATCTTTTCCACTTGAACGTAACATGGTGACTTGTTTCATCCCTTGTCCTGTCGACCATCATTTTGTATTATCCCGTCATGAATGTTGCATTATAATCAACATTAGCATAAATAGCAAGTCTCAAGATTCCTGAAATCTCGTCAAAACTCACAAGCCCACAAAACATGAGCTCGAATGGTCTTGAAGTGGATTGGCATAGCTTAATTAATTAATTCTGGCTTGCTGTTGATGACATGGACAACAATTTATTAATATATTTGCTCATATGTTATACGGACAAGTGGAATTTAATCAGGTAAAATAATGCTAAATTTCCATAATTCACTATAATAATTCTACCATAGTTCCATAGTAAGCATATTGCAATGGTGCTGAACGATTCTCAATATTATCCTTGTCCGCATATGAACCAGCATTGGCTATGACATATGGCACGATGCAGCATTTATTTAATTTGTAGTGGTGGGTCAACACTGCTCAACCCCCATACCACGCCAAGAACCAAATAAAACCTACCTAGGCCATTGGATCTTGGTTTTGGATGAAAGCGTGCGAATTGAAATTGCGAAAAAAATGAGGGAGGAGGAGGATGGAAATAATGACGTTTGATGATGGTGATGAGCGTGAACTTATAGACTATAGCTTCTCTAGGTTCATTTTTGTTGCTTGTTAATATCATCTTCTTTGTGCATCCCAGGTACGTCCCATAAGCTGTTACATGGCCCATGTTCAAGAGTTTCAATTCCAATTCCTTGTCTGCAAAGGTTACTTCTCGCGTATAAAAGGAGTCACGGCTCAGGAAACAAATCAGTCTTAAACGAGTTCCTCTCCAGCAAATAACAAATTAATTCGGAAACTTCCTCGCCTTCATTTAGAAAAATGAACCGATTTGTAAGTCTTGATCTTTTTATATTTTGGCGATTCTATGTTTACTACCCTGTAAATATTTATAGATCATTTTGGCCACCCTTGTCGCCGCTGTGGCGGCTGAGGCTCCAGTTTCTGGAGGATATGGCGGAGCTGTTTCCGCTGGAAGCAACTTTGCCAACTCTGGTGGGTTCTCTTCCTTCGGGGGAAGCAGCTCAGGCGGTTCTGGAATCAATGAGTACGTAGATGAAGCTCTCCTTGCCCGCGTTGCTGCCGTCATTGCCTCAAATGGAGACGGAACTGCATCCGGTCAAGACAACGAAGGATCACAATATGTTGACCAGACCATTCTTCAACGTGTGGCATCGAGCTTGGGTTCCGATCAAGGTTCCTCCTCTCGTGGATTGTCCTCTGGATATGGTGCCCCAGCTGCCCCATCCGGCGGCTCATCCAGCCTTGGTCAACCTGAACCTGGTAAGCAAAACCACACCCTAATAATAAACACATTCGTCAGCGCATATGCAAATTATGTAAACACTTATATTGAACCTGGAAATACTGACTAAATTTATTTGCACCAGCTCAACGAATCGCAGAATGGGACCTTTCTGAGCAACGCCAAGCTTCCTCCGGCTCCTCTGACGGGGGTTACAGCAGCGGTGGCTCATCCGCCCCATCTCGAAGCTTCTCTTCCGGTTCATCTTCCGGTGGCAGTTCCTTCGGACGACCTGAACCAGCCCAGAAAATCGCAGAATTCGATGCCTCCCAAACTAGTGGAAACACTGGATTCTCTGGATCATCTTCCCGAGGATCATCTTCCGGTGGATACAACTAAATAAAATGAGCTTAACGTGACCACCTAATACTCTACATATGCAACAACAACCATCTTCAACAACGAATTAATTATGAGAACCTCTATGGTTCGAAACTATTGTCAAACTAAATTGTAAAGTTATTAACTCTTGGCTTATTTAAATTGCAAATTGTTTTATACATGTTATGAAGCTGTAAAACCAAATAAAAGAAATCACAACGAAATCCAGGAAAATTAATCATTATTCATTCTGTTTCTATTCCGAGTTTCAGTCGGTTCACTAACACGGCAAACTCAAAATTGCACCTTACTTGTATATAAATATATTTGGGTATATTGTAACTTATAAACCAAATTGAAGCATTTGAAAAACGATGGGATATGTATTAAATTAACTATTCTTAAACACATGCTTTCTTTACATACATTAATGACTTGCATGCGAAAATAACAAGAAATGAGTGAGGTTATTTACAATCGTCATGTTTCGCTTTCAAAACACCAATTTTATACATTATACATTAATGTGTATTACAGATATATGTATTTCTGCAACAGTGAAGGTTCCATAAGGAAACTTAAGTAATTCATGGACATGCTTATTTGCACGTGTCCATTTTCAACCAGGATTTTCAATGTTGTTAGCCAAATCATTCTTAACGAATTTCTTCTGTCCCTTGCAACAGTCCAGTATTCTCAAAAACCACGAGACTGACGAACTTCGGGAAGTTGAGGAGTTTGTGTGACAATGTTTCTCTGCTACCTGAATGTCTCAAATTAAATGTGAATAAAAATATATCATCATATGATCAAAATTGACTACATTGACATCTTTACTTACATAACTTGGTTCACTTTTCGGCACGGACAACACTTTGTATGGATTAGGTGTCAATGGGAGGAAGGACTCGTTCCTGAGACTACCAACGTAAGAAAAGGTCGGTACGACGACAACCGGTGAGGGCGGTGAAAGTCTCGAGGCGTCCTCCAAATTCATGCCGCATTGCAGTGATTCAAGAGGAATAGTGCCCAAGTTCTCGTATCCTGCTTTGGGCGCGGAGAGTTTCATGACTTTTTCCATTGTGGGAGAAAAGGTCTGTATGATTAACGCTAAGAGGAAGAGTACAATAATACAAATGTTCAGAAAAACACTGATTACATTATTAGCAATAAGTGAAAAGATTACCAGGAGAAAGAAGCTGTCCTTTTCAAGTCCAATATTCACCATCCCAAGATTCCTAGACTCTTTAAGTGTATTTCGGTGAAGTGAATTTCTTGAAATCTTATCACTGTCCCCAAAACAATTCATTCAATAACTCATAGTAGTTGCCAATTAAGTATTATGCGAACTGAGGCCTCGAAATATTCAAGAAAAATGCACATATCGTTTCAGCGTATCTCTCCAGCTTTACACTTGTGTTCCTGGAAAAAATCAGTGTCCAGGGTGACAGAGTAAGACGGCAGATAAGAAAATACAAAAAATAACAGAGAATCCTACTGAGGACTGGTAATCTTTATTACGATAAGGTAAATCTTAATATTTCACATTCTGATTATAAATGTATGAGATCAAAACCTTCATTTTTGCATAGCCCAAATATCGTGACATTTCTGCTGTACCATTCCTTTCAAACTCCATTCGAATTGTACAATCCATATTTTATAATCATACAACTTCTGCAAATTCGGTAATACATAATTACTGAAACTAATTGTAATTATACCCTGTAAGCCAGTGTGTAATAAAGGTAAAAAGTCAGTGGCGACAAAATCGTTAATAAATAGCAATAGAGGGTATTTTTGGAAAGGGCTGACAAGAAGTCACCCGTGTCGCAAGGGTTGTCACATATCGTTCCATTTAAATTCGTAGTCCGTTTCATTTAACTACTTATTACCCATAGGATGTTGAAAATAGGAGGCCCGGTGTACTAAATATTTCTTACGAAATTCAAGGTTTATTTATTGACTTAACCTTTTATTAACCTTTTATTAGCAAATTAGATAGGTCAATTTTTAAGATCCGTGTTAATGCCGGAGAGAATTATTCAAATGAAATATATTTCTTACTTGAGTTGCACAAATCATAATAAAAATAAATATATCTTGTCAATTTATATGCAAAATAATGAAATGAAAATGTGTGTGTATTTCAGTCCCAATTCTTATTTTAAATCAACAAGAATGTGACTTCGTGTGTTTAACTGGCTTGAAAAACGTCTTATCAAAGTTGATTTCCTTGAGCTTTGATGATGACATGCAGTTGACAGTCTTTTTAATTTTCAGCCCATCTCCTCTGTCAGCACTCGTTTTCTCAAACACAACAATGATAATTTGTGATACAAATTGTATAGTACAATGCGCAACAGTTGTATATTTTTGTCGCAGAATAATATTCACCCCGATTTCTAAATAAATATTTAAAGAGTCATTAGGCAACTACGAATAAGAATTACTGAATGATATAAAGTCCATGCTTATTCTAAACCATTTAATTCTCACGATGATCAATTCAAATAATTTATCGCTTGTCAAAAGATGTTTGCTTGTAATTTGAACTATTAAGTTTCTTTAATACAAGGAAAACAATGCAAAATATATCAATGGCGTCATTAAATGAACAAATATATAAGCATTTGTGAATACTATGATTCCAGTAAACGGGAAGGCATTGTTTCTTACGATTGGTTGGATTTCTGGTATTGGATCACTTAGTTTACATGTAGGTGTTACATTTCATGTCATTTGTAGTGTTACAAAAAAAAGATACGACTGAGTGACCACTATACCTCCTGCTCAAGATCACTTTTTATAATCTAAACAAGAAAACAAGGAGCATCTTCCTGCGTACATATTGTATTTCTGAAATTTTATCACGTTCTTCTTTTTTTCACATAATTTCATTAAAGCTCCAAGGACAAGAACTCGTGCTCACTTCAATGCGTTACATGTATGTGTGCATGCATACGAAAAGATAGGAATGCAAGAGCAGCAGTAAGTAATTAAATTTTAGATGCATCAATTGTAACAAGTCAAGCACAATGAATTCATGAAACATAATGAGTACAGCCTATGCATATTTAAGGGGGACCTTAAAATTGCTGTACTGTAAATAAATACTATTCGTATTAAATATCTAGATCCATTATTTAGTTGTAAAAAAGTAAATCTTTAACACTACTTATAGCAAGTTGCTACAATTCTTAAATTTGAAAGTGTAGGCAAGTTCCTGAATTTGATGACTAATAACAGGTTCGATTTGATTTGTATTCAACATTATTATCAATCTAACATGACACTTGTACAGATAAATGTGTCACCAGACATACATTCACATAGTTATGTAGGGTTTGTTATGTTCTCAAAAGAAAACAGCTAACAAAGAACATTTTGTGTTTAGCTGCTTTAAATTAAAGTCAATTAATCGGAGTGCACAATAAAGGTTGAACGAATGCAATGATGGCATCGTATGCATCCAGTAGTTCAATGTAAATATGCATGTAACAATTAGTTTGATATATATTAATTTAAAACTTTGTTGTGAGTTGAGTATGTAAAATGGTTCGTAACATCAAGCTATTGATAAACACAAGTTCCGGGAATAAAGCTTGAAGAGTGAGACATTTAATTGTCGCTAGAAATATACATTGAAAATTCCTGTATAGAATTATCTGCATCATAGTCTAATCCTAAGTGTTATGTCGATTTTTAAGTAGTAATATTTTAGAAAATTTTCGCAGGTAAAAGGTAAAAAGCGAAACCACCAATTTTGTGATAATCAGAATTTTTTTCGTTTGTGGAACACTGTGTGTCACTCATTGAAGTCGTTCTCATCTGAGTCTCGTCTATATATATTTGTGGTACTTGAGTAATAGAATAAAATATTTTTATTTTTATGATTTCCTACTTCACTTGTTGTTGGGTAGCTTTGTTAAGCTACGTGGAACAACAAAGTTAATAATTTTTATCGTATTGACATCTACATTTAGTGCCATATTAAGTAGTTCGTCTAATTCTGGTTAATAATGTGCTTAATGGAATAGTGATTCACTGTTAACTGTAATATTTGTTAAGTTATCAGCACATTAAAGAACAATAAATAGTTTTATATTTTGCATAGCAAAATTGCACATTGGGCTTCATTTGAGGCTAGATGCAACTATTTTGTCATTTAATATTAGAAATTTTTTACTAGTATATACCTCACGGTTCGAATGATTATCAATTACAAGAAACATGTCGGAAAAGCCGAATATTAAAAACCATAACCTTAAACAACCTTAATCTAAGAAATGAAAAAAAAATATTTTGCCATTTAAAAACTTGTGCCAATTTTTTTGCCTCCACATGAAAATGAAATGCAGGACTGGCGACGACGACGACAATGAACGACCCGATAACTTCCAAGTGTATATTATGCTTTCGCAATATATGTTCTATCCAACCTAATTATTATGAGCTATCCTTTCACCCATTTGCCTACCAGTCACTTATTTCCAAAAAATTGGCAACGATAACACAAACGAAGAAGATGATGTTGATGCATAGCTCAATAATAATTGTATTCCTCGTCATCTTGTGTGTCATGTAACGTATGCAAAATCAACAAAAGACAATCACATCGTAAGTAGCATCCTAGAAAAATTGCAAATCCGTGCGACCCTTCAGCCAGCCAGCAAGTCACACAGATTACCAATCACTCGTCCTCACATTAAAATTAAAAGTATACACATATTTAGTTGCGTTACAGTCAACTACGTATTTTCGACTCTGTATTGCATGACCTGTGCATTCGAGTGCCCTGATCTTGCCTTTCAAAAAAAGAGATGCTTATCGTTTTAAGCTTGCCAACAGTTAAGAAGTGACGCATTTCATGCTGCGGGTTGGTGGCTTTGTTCTCAACGTTACAATTTGCTCATTTTATTACACACTGCATTTTTTGCGCTACTTGTTTTTTGTCATTTCCTATATTGCTAAATAAACATGGTGAACCCCTGCGTGATTTTTTTTTCTGTGTGCAAAGGAACCTTAAAAAATTTAGAGACATCTTCGAATATATTTGCCTGATAGATAGGTTTATTGGATGTTCATGAGATTACAAGAAATGATTTCGTTTGGTTATTAACAAAATTCGCGATTTTTTCTATATTTTAAATAGAATTGCACATAGGTATATATACGATATTTATGTTGGTGGTGTATGATATACTGGTCATCTGAGTAATCAGTGTGAGTAATAAATCCCTTATTAGGTTGACTGTTGTTGTAAACTTAACATAATTTGCAGACCTACGAAGCGAATTAGCTCTTAGGAAATTGCATGCATTTATTTAGTTATCATGAGCATGACGGGATGGCCTCTCACCTTCAGCAAGAGATGTACATAAACTATTGAAAACTAACACTTTTTTCATTTGCTTTCATTATTGCCGATATTTTAATAGCATAACGACGTGAAAAAAGAGATGATCAGGCAGGTGCATCATGTAATCTCATCATCACAACATGTTCGTGCACAAAAGCTCAAAACAATGACAGGATATAAGAAGCTCATGAAAAATGAATAAACACAAGAGTGTATAAGCGCAATAAAAATGTAATAGGAACCAAAAATGCCTCTTTATATCACTGTGTTCACCCCAAAACTGCCCCCACAAAGCGAGAGCACCTTACATTGTCATATTTGCGTATTTATATTGCCGGTCTGCGACGCCATCCATCCAACCAATCTATTTTTGCATTGTGATATATTGTCTGGTATGATCATGCGTATGTATGTATGCCCCATGTATATTTTTAACGATACAATTTAACAACATGCAAAACTATGCAAACTGAGAACCCAATGAGAAGAAGATTTTACAGCTCACCTTATCCAATTAAATAGCGGAGGGGTAGTTATCAACGTTGCCGTATAAAAGGGATGATTGCTGCAATCCCTTGATCAGTTTCAGGTCAGCCTTGTAAACTTCAACATGAAACAATTCGTAAGTTGAAAGATTCTGATAATTTTGTTCCCGTGTGCCCTAATTTCTATTTTTTCTTGTTGATTCAGATTATTTTCGCCACAGTCGTCGCTGTAGCTGCAGCAGGGAGCAGCGGGCATGTTGATGATGGTAAAGATTCACAGGACAAGTTTAATTGGTAAATTAATTGAGTTGATTATAAGTACAAATGTGTGTTATTTTTAATTTAGCCTTGCTCGCACGAGTTTCGTCCCTCTTAGGAAATGAGGGTGGTGGTGGTGGTGGCGGTGGTGGCAGTGGGTACGCTGCTCCATCTTATTCGAGTGGGGGTGGTCAGGGAGGTAATTTGCAGAAGAGAAATTATGACTTGCAAATACGTAATTGTTGACTTTGTCTGGACAAAGGTTATTCCGGCGGCGGTGGTGGTGGTGGATCCAGCGGCGTCCGAATCTCGTCCCCAGTTCGAGCCCAACAAGTAGCCGAATTCGATCTTGGAGGTGGATCTAGCGGAGGTCATGGAGGTAAAAATACTAGGAATATACGGCTTAGGATCATCTCTTAAGCTACCAATTGTTCGGATTAGGTTATTCTGGCGGCGGTGGTGGGCAATCTGGTGGATACTCTGGTGGTCAATCCTCCGGAGGTGGTGGTGGAATCCGAATTGGAAACCCAGAACGATCCCAGGCAGTCGCTGAATTCGATCTTGGAGGTGGATCATCCCAAGGTGGTCATGGAGGTAATAATAAACGAGAAATATATGGCTTAGGGTCGGTTTTTACATACCAACTTTCTGGATTAGGTTATTCTGGCGGCGGTGGTGGACAATCTGGTGGATACTCTGGCGGTCACTCATCCGGTGGCGGTGGTGGCGGTATCCGTATCTCCAGCCCAGTCCGAGCTCAACAGGTAAAATACAATTTTGATATTTTATAGGATTTTCTTAATGATAAGTTATGTAATTTGTATCTTTCTTGTTTTATAAAGGTTGCTGCTTTCGATCTTGGAGGTGGATCCCAAGGTGGTCACAGCTCCGGTGGTTACGCTTAATTTTTTGTACTCAGCCATCTTTATCTGGTCATCTTCATTATACTTGTTAAATAAAAACGCATTATAGGAAATTTCGAAATGACCTTTCTAATCAATAATTGCAATTTTCATCCATGAGAAACTATCGCGATTTCATATCAGAAATTCAAACCAAATGGGTTGGTGTTAAGCAAAAAAATGCCTGAGAAGTCTTTTTTGATACTTCACCTTTAACAAACACACTTTAAGAGTCATATGAGGTTGAGTCACATTTAGAAGTTCCTTACTTAAATATATTTGCATAAAAAATGTCTCCATAAACTGCTCCATGCCATATTTAAAATAGCAACCTTATAAAATAAAATGACAACCTCACGCTCGTCTATGTCCTATGGTACACTTTATCCAGAGATATACTTAATTTCAAATCTGATTTGTTGTCTACAGGGTACAGTGCAAACACAGTGCTTTATTAACGGTATTAATAAAGCATTTTAAAGCCCTGTCGCATTATGAATTTTATTAACACATTCACCATTTTCTTTGAAATATATAAACTGCCCCCATGAATTTTCTTCAATCCCGGGTTTCCGGTATTAACAATATGGACGTTTAACAATATGACATTCGACTTTCAGTAATTGAATTTTGCGTCCCTTTTCATCCTCTACATCCTCGGCAGGGGCGAAAGGCGGGCTGAAGGATGGTCCATCATAATAATCCGAATGGCTAAGGCATTACCTGACAGATTTTGTCCGTAGCCCAAGTTGCCGGATAAATGATTTGATTGGAACTTCGACAACTGCGCAATGTTCTAAGGTTCGAGTGTACGAGTAATATGCTGCCATGTTAGACGTTAAAACTTTTAATTGCAATTTTCAGGCGCTGAATACTGATTAACATTGTCAATTTCCGGGTAAGCACTGGTTTTCCCACATTGGAATTTCCCTTTCGCCCCCCTTGTATTGTTCTTTCCATTACTGTCTGAATAATATAATTATGAGGACCCCAAAAAATAATAAACCCTGGTTCGGGATACAAATTTATCCATCAATAAAATTCCGTGATCTAAAATATATTTTCAAGCTAGATGCTGAAATTTTGAGCAGATTTTCGAGCGCTTTGCCTGATAAAGACTGGTCGATGGTTGTAATTCTTGTGAAGTTTTTCAAGTTATTGAAGTATCTAACATATTCTAACTAATATCTAACATATTCCTCCTCAAAGTGGGCAGTGCCGTGTACTCTTTGCAGAACGCGTGTGTTGTTACACATTTTGGAATTTAAACGTGGCTGAATTGATAAATGATATTGAAGAAACAGAATTGTCAGCCCAACCGCTACTTCTATGGGTCGTTGGATTTTTGATTTTCAAAAATTAGCCCCGACAGAAAATCACTAGTAGGGTTTGTATGCAAAATTATTACTGGCATCGATGAAAATCTTTTGAAATCGTAGAAATTAGTGAAAAGGTACGAAAAGAGAACGCCATGGTGACTCAACGTTCGTTAGAGACTAGACCGAATGTAGTATTATCTAAAAAAAAAACGAATGTATAGCAAATTAATTCGATTCTATAAGAGCTCGCCAGATTCAATATAATTTACTCAGTTTTAAAAACTACTCGCAAGAATTTACTGAGACACTGAAATCATTATCAGGCGAGATCGGAGGTACGCGTTTTACGTCAAACATTAATTTTAATTTAATTGGCATTATTTCTCTATTACAAGTGAACCCATATAGAGAGAAAATATGTTACGAAATATATATATATAGAAATATGCAAAGAAATATATGTACATATGAAATATATTTTACTTGAAACATGATTTAGTTATATTTATATTTCGGTCTGTTTATAGGACAATGTCAACTTTGACTGGTGAAGCAGGGAGCAGTGCAACGAAGGGGGATCAGTCGGTCATCAATCAATCAGGTGGATCACAACCCCCAAATCCCTCAGGTCATCACCATCATCATGTTCAAGGTAAATACTTTGAAACAACGATGGATCTGAGAGAGTCGAATAGTTTGAAATAATTTACTAGGACTGACAAATTTGTATGTTTTGTAGCCACCGAAGTGATTCATGGAGGAATCCAAATCGAGTCTCGATCATTTCATGACACCGATTTGGGAGGAACGGAAGGAAAAGGAGTCGTCTGCTGTAAAGGAGTGTACATAGGAGTCGGAGCCGTCTTCGGTTAAATTAATTACTTTAATTACTTACTTGTATGATATATTTTATTTTATTTTATTTTATTTAAGGTACCATTCTTCTCGCTTGCGTCATCATCTTGATTTTTTTCATCGTCCGATCTACCACGTAATCCGAGAGAAGAAACATTGTTCAGCCATTTTTGTACAAATTCAAATTCCCTGTATGTCTAAAATGCAGTAGTCTACACATATTATTTGGAACCTAAGATCTGAAGATGATCTGGGAAATAAATTTTTCGGCTTAAAAAATTGAACAAATATTCTGTGGTTGTTTAGAAGATGATGTCAGTCAGCACAGGTTTAGTCAGTTTGGGATTAAGAAACACAAATACTTTGAACGTCTTGGATAAATAATTTGCAAATAGCTATTTGATGGTATAATGTCAACAATCAGCATAACAGTATTACTCGCAGCATAATAATATCAATAACGTAATTTTCACCTTTGCACTTAACAGATCACATCACGTATTTTAGTTTTTGTGTTGGATATTAAATAATCTTTAAATAACAAATGAGATGAGACATTTTTAGAACAAGAAGCAACATTTAATTAAACGCACATATGTACATCAAGTCACTCTATAAAAGGTTTGCAGCAAACTTTTTGATCATCAAAATCATTGCATTTTGAGATACTAAATCTCATCGAGAATAAAAGTTGTGGCGTTGAAGGACTCGATGGGACTCGAATTACATTTTAGGAGTTATCTTACAATAAATATTATACTATTCTAAAACCTTTCATTCTTTGAAGATTTTAACCGACTATCGCAGTTTCAAATTTGTTAAATACATGTGCGTCGTGTCCACTTGAAGATGTTCCTTGAACTCTTTACGTTTTGAGCGAGTTTGCCGACTAACATACATGAGTTTGCTGACCACTTTATTTTAGATTTGTATGTAATTGTCGGTATCCTTCACTTGTTGCCTTTATTTCAGTCAATTAATGGAACAGAACAAGCGGCATCCCACATATACCGCATGTGACAAATACCTAAGTACATTTTGACATTCTGTGATGAGCAATTATGCATATCGTGTCTTTGCAAGAGAAAGACGGATCAATTAAAGTTTCAACAGTTCTGTAATTATTAATTAAACTATCCTTCAATTATCGTTGTATCTTGCAAATGCAAATTTTTAGGAAGACAACCATCTCCAAATTTGAGTGCGTGTCTCATAAATTGATAAGCACCATGTGTGATAACAGATCAAGAACTAAATATGCAGTGATGATGAGGTGGGTGGCATTCACATAAATAATGTTTGTATTTGCGTACACAAAAATATTTACTTGCGTTTGTCACAACGTTCTCAATTTTAATTGCTGCAGATCGTGTTTCTCTCTAAAACTTCTATTTCATTATAGTTTCGCAGGAACTGTAAATGCTGATCAAATGTTCATTCACCTTGATTTATTAAATGGATGTGAATGATTGTATGGAAAATAAAACACTCAGCATATGCACCTTGATTAGCATAATTTTATGCCACAAACCAAGGAAAGACAATTGCATATTATTGTAAAGTTTAATTTTAATCTCGCAAATCTCCTGTCGACTCCTTTTTCAATTACCATTATAAGCATAATGGAAAAATGGGTGCTTATTTATTTATTTGTTTATTTTACTTAACACTGACCAAATTCATCAAGAAACTGCAACAAAAAATGAATATTAGCTCATAGCCATGCACAATGAAAGCTGTGCCCTGTGGTATTCAGCAAATCCTTTTGAACCATTATTTTATCGCCGATCTGCAAAACTAGCATTTAAGTACTCAGGACTTTAGTACAGTATAAACCATTTATTTTGGTCATTAATCAATGCTACCTATCACTCATTTGAGCCTTGTTACCCTTTGCTAAATAATTTCTTGTGCACACAAACAACTGCAGTTGAGACTGAGAGTCGATTACCCTACATTTACCGAAGAAGCAAGGGAAACATCGCTGATGGCTTAAATTCGCATTGGGATTGTAATAAAGCAATTAATTGTGTTTGGCAGACAGGGTGACTCCACGGACGGCCCTTAATTGTGACTGACAGGAGATCTACCACCACCTTCCTCAACATGCTCAAATTTTGGCTATCGATAATATGAACCAATAAATAACGCAAACAGCCAGCATCGATGCATGTATGGGCTACTGAGCAAATAAATAAATAAATTTGGCTGGGGTTGAAGTACTTAACACCCAATAATATATGTAACATTAGATGTACGCGAGAGATGAACGGCCAAGTGCTGATTTTATGATATCATTAAGGAGGTGATTTGCTCCTTATCGTGCACCCATGCACAATTGACAGTGATTAATTCCGGTATTTATTTATTTCCTCAGGGAACGTCACAAGAAGACCACTCGTCCTTCACGTGCGGTGAGTGGTTGATTTTCTTTGTACGAACAACAGTACAGAGTTGAGAGTCGTGTGTGCATCACAAAGTAAATTTAAATAAATATGTATTCCTTGTTGCTGTTGAATACCTCAACTACTTATTAAGGAATTGGAGTGAAATTATGTTACCAGTAATTTCCAGACATTTCCAGACAACTCTTGAATTCGCTGGTTTCTTTAATTTTTGAACTTTTTGTACCAAACAGAATTTTTATAGACAAATGAAGTCGAGACTTACAATTAGCGTTCAATCATTTTACAGATATCTTAAATTTTATTCAAACAGAAGGACTAAATAATTTGCTTTGATAAAAGGAACAACATATTTATGCACTTAAATTAGACTAATAAATTCGTCTTCCACCAGTTGTAGAATGCTTGTTGATGATGACATATCAAGATCAAGTCAATATACACTACATATGCAAATTATTGGCAACGTATTCGCTAGACGCCTTCATAAATAAATGCATTTATGCAGTGATCAGAAAGTCAAAGAACGCCAGATCTTTTACGCAGATAAATAGTTGAGGGAAGAGTGCTTTATCTCATGACTGCAGCAAAAATTATTCAAAACGTCGTTATCAGGTAGCTTGTCTGACTTCCCACACGCTGTCATCTATCCATTTACACTTGGTGCCAAGAAAAAAATAAATTGAAGAGATTTATAGAATGAATCAAATGTGGATGAGACGGAATGTGCCACGCTCATCACACCACGAAAGAAAGAGAATGCGAATAAAGAGCACATTATTGAGCCATATTTTATTGATTCAGTATTCTTTTCACGATTTTCCCTCGATTCTCAGTGTCTGCTAAATGGATGAAGGTTAACCTGTCAGATAACGGACGGACGCCGACGGCATAGTGACACGACTTCTCACGCATTTGGTGTAAATAAAATCAAATGAACTAAAAACTAAAGGTCTGTGGCACTATTGGTCATTAACGAGTTCCACGTTGCACTTTAATTTTTCCTAGTCGTACAAATTAAACGTGCAATATAGTAAAGTATTCTTTTTTGGAATACTTAAATGTTGAATCGTAGTGACATAGTTGGAACGATAGGCTCGAGTGATGGAAAGTGATATTTGTATTTGGAACACAATGCATTTATAGATTTTACATTATCTAAATATCTGAATTCAAGAATGAAGGGGAAGTATGAGATGAATCACGAGTTTGATGTTTATAAAGGCCTTAATTTCTGCTTCATTTGCTTCCGATTAATTAATTATATTTTACGTTATCTTTAATTATAGGAAAATAGGAGAGAGATTTGTGTAAATTCATGTAAATCTTCTATAGTATGGAATCCATACTATGGATATGACATTTCAATAATCTACTTTTTCATGATTTAAGTAATTCGCCACATCTTCTCACGACATGTGTGGAAACTTAAGTATTCTACAAAATCATTGTGACATGATGCTGAGTCTGACAATAACGACAAGATAACCTTGTCAGCCTGTAGTAATATCATACCTTGCACACGTACTGGACTTGGGAGTGGACGGAGGGGGGTATCACATTTCAACAGTAAATTAGCAGACATGAACAAAATTGTGATTATGGGTGGCAGAAGATCTTCCTTCTTATTTCATTCTACTAATTTTATTCCATTTAAAGCCACACGCGAGTAAAAATACATGAATAACTTGTACACTCATTACACTTTGGGAATGTTTTACTATTTTGGCTTTATTCACACTATTTTATAAAGTGATGTAGTACATACGTATTTGCATACAGATTTATTTATTCCGTAATACGTAAACATTTAGGAAATGCAGAAGCATCGACTAGATCAGCATACATAAGCTAACGTCAATTTAAAGAAAGGAAAATTAGAGGCAAGATGGAATAAGGAAGAAGTTTGCGAAGAGAATTGTGATCGAATGCAAACAGTTATAAAATTGTAACAAAGAACTAGGTTGATTTTGTCTCACTTAGGATTTTTTTTGCACAAAACTTATAATTTTCTTTCTTGTAAATCATCAAAATTTGCCATCGCAGACGTGATCGCATGCATGCGTATAATTTTACAAAGATCAGCAATAATTTAGGAGGAACAAGTTGAAATTCAAGATGTAGTTTACCTCTAAATTCTCAAAAACGCTCGTGGCTCTTCATTGATGAGCACTTGAGAGATGTGTTTTGCCACCATGAAACTTATTAAACTTATTTATACAGTCAGATTCAACGCATAATATTTATAATATTGTGAGTATTTAATCCATTCATTTTCTCCCAGCCCCAACTTTTCTAGTTGACGTGAATGAAATTTTGTTGCTCATTGAATTAAGTCAACGTGGAATTAGTAAACTTATAATGCATAAGAATAATGGAAAGGAAGGTTCATCCATATACGTTTAAATTGCGTATATGGAATAATTATGCATATTGCAATTGTTAGAACAAATAAAGCACCCGTACAAATCCCGATGTATCAATTATCTAATTATAAAGTAAATTCAAATTAAATTCCAACTTTTCATCGTTAAATCCAACCCGTTAATATCCTTATCAAGCGATAATGATCAAAAGACCATACACTTATTAATTTTAAACTCATTCGTTAAATAATCAAATACGTAGTACAAAGCCAGTAATTATGGCCATTGTTAGAAAAACTTTAAAATTAGTATGATACACATTACTTATTTCGCATTTTCATAATGGTTTTTTTATCCTAGTTTTTATAAGTCACAGTAGTTAGCAGATCAGTCCTCCTGACTTTTAAATCTATCTGCGCAGATTTATATAATACTGAATTGTCTGCAGTAATTATACCATGTGCCATTGTAGTGTGAAATCCATATAATGGCACATTTCAAATTAAATTGCAGTCTTACATTTTTAGCTTTGCACCTTCATCGTCATTATTTCAAAGATAAAATGATGACCATTGAAATGCAACAAAGTTGCGATTGCGACATGGACAACGTTCCGATTCATCCATTCATTTTACTCCACACATCGCCTGTCGTGGTCAACAGACGCCAACACACCACTCAAATTGTCGTCACTAACAAGAAAAGTGCCAACAGAGGAATCTAACAAGAAAGGAAGAATAAAGAACGAGTAGGCAGTAGCAGAATGTATCTGGTAGTGGGTTTTGTTACACCAAAGACTTTGCTGATTAAGCAACAGTGGCTACGTTTTCAAGATCAGCACCATAAAACTGGTCAGCAAATATTATTCATCTTTCAGTTCACTTGCGTAAAGGACGCTTCGTCCACTTTGCCATCACTGCTTCTTCCCTTGCAGCGAGAGCTGTGCGTCATCAAGTGCTCTTTGTTCTTTTGTAATCCGTGGGGAAGTCGTGAGCATTGCCAGAGCGCAAAAGCTACTCGGATCTGTTACTGCTCACAACTTTCAAAGTGATCTCCAGACAATTTTTTTTACAATATGAAGAAGGTGAGCATATCAAAAAACGAACGTTTTTTTTATTTTAAAATTTCCACTTAAACTGTTTCCAACTGCTTTATAGCTTTTGTTAATACCTGGATCCTCCATCCTCACCCTGTTCATTCTAGTTGTTAGTGCAGAGCCCCCAGTTCACTCTCCGTATGGGGAAATATTGCTAAGAAGGCGTCAAGAAACTCAGTCACCAGACTCAAAGATAGTTGACCAAAGCCTCCTGGACAGAGTTGCGGATATAATTAGTGCAGATGGTGATGGATCTGAGGATGGCACTCAGGAGAATGAGGGACTCAGCATAGTCGATAGTGAACTTTTTGCAAGAATTGCTAGAATCATTAGTCAAAATGAGGGACAAACCTCACCTCCGGCGCCAGTCCGAGATGGTACGAAATTCTTATAGTCGCCGACACAAGTAAATAAATTAGATAATAATTGCTACTTCGTCGACACCAGGTCCCGCGATCACTCCAGAATACGGAGTACCGCTCGAAGTGGGGTCGAAATTATTGGGTGGAAACTTCGAAATTGGGAAACCAGAGCCGGCCAGAAGAATCGCCTACTTTCAGCTGACTAATAAGAACGAGGTCAATGGAACTCAAGACTTCGCCAGGAACGCCTACCCTTCGGCCCTGCCAAGCAGAGACGGCAGCAGTCAGGGGAACAGACGCGTCATGTTGCTCAATAACCCCCAAATGTCGGAGAGGATTGCTGCCTTTGAAATCCCAGAAACCACCGCCCCACAAGTAAATCGACAAGGCTACTAAGTTTTAATCAACAAATTTGCCTTAATTAATTAGCATGTTAGAAATATTTTGCAATATTATTGTAAGAGGGGTTTACGTAAGTATGTTACTTGAAGTTGCATTTAACGAGAATTGCGCGAGTATTATCTTTGCGTCTTTACGTCGTATGTTATGAATATTATTTCACTAGTTACATAATATAGTAGATATATCGTCAGTTCAGCTAAATTAATTGATTGGTCTGCATTGTGAGCAGTCTGACTCTCCTGCGAGCGAGAATAAGCCTGTGTAACTAATTACTTTATTTGGCGTGGAAATTAATATTGATAAATCAAGTGTGGTTATTTGACGTTAAACTTTGTACACTTGTGACGAAAAATCAAAGTACAACATAATAAAACAAAATAAACTAGAATAGCAATAAAAATTACAACTTAACCTTACTTAAAGCCACGCATTTTACACCAGCAAAAAAAATCAATAGTCATATAATGAGTCGAATATAGAAGAGTACGCTGAGCACTTTCAAGCCATACCGTTTTCACTATTTTGGTAATTTATAACAATCGTGATAATAAAAAATTAGTTTATTTATATGAAGCATAAAGATCGACATGTGAATGCATGTCCTACATAAATAAATGACAGGTCTTTCCTTCAGTCGATTCAATCAAATTGTTGAAGAAAAGTTAATGTTGTTTTGATGACCATTAGTTCACCATTATTATTATTAGTGGAGATAGTCCATCGTCCATCGTCGTTCCATCGTTACCGTTGATCGTTACAAATCATAAAAATTGTACCGACGCTGTGTTACATGTTACACTTAATATTAGCTTTTAAGTTTTGGAGTGTACATGAATTAGCAATGTCGTTTGGTCGTCGAAATAACAAATAGTCTTTCTAAATACTTTCAGAATCTACAATAAGCAAGTAGTACGCTCGGGTGTATATACTCAACTCACATTTCACAAATCTAATTTCCCCACAATTCGGATTTATTACTCTATTTATTACTTTGAACAATCTCGTAATGTCCAAGATTTAAAGTACGAAGTCGATATGTAGATATGTGTGGTTAACATTATGTAACACAGGCAGGTATTATAGTCATGAGTACGTAATGTTGCACGAGTACATACATGTTTAACAATCAATTACCTTAACAAGTTTGACAAAGTACAGTTTGACACAATTCCATGTTGACCACGTGTACGAAACAACGCTTTCTTATCTTCACAGGTTGATATCAATGCATGAATGTACCATTAGGACCACGGAATAACAAAGTCAGGAACCCAGGTCTTCTATAAATATTAATATTACTAAATTTGTTATGCAGTGGGTTATGGTTTCCTTCTCATAATAACATACAACAAGCAATTTACCACCACTCATTGACTTGACAAACATCTGCTATTATTGGTGGAGATATGACACATGACATATCTGTAGGACCTTTTAGGTGAAATAAAACTGACATGCATTTACCATATCTTTCTTATGTCACGTCATTTCGTGTACCCCAGTCGATACAAATTCGCTTAATGAATTCATGCTGTTCAAATTCGCTTAATGAATTCATGCTGTTCTTCAACGAAAAGCTTCATACTCTTCATTGTGTTAATTTATTGATCGACATTGGTATGCAATGCATCAGAACTTTCATGAAATAATAATGGAGCGAAAAGCCAACAGAAAACCATGTCATAAATCCATGCCAAGTCTTCGACATGGCTTTATATGCAGATCCCAATACTTTTACTAATTTGCATATTAAAAAATTATCATGATGGATTTTTTGGAGTAACGACTAACTAGTTATTTTAAAGATCATGGTAAATATCAAACCAGTTTTGTCACAGATTTATATTGCAAATATATTACTACTCCTTGTGAAACATTCTAATCCGATTTCGCTGCTTGATAAACTTCCAAGAAATTCGGACATTATTATGTTGTCTGATAGATTGCAATTGCACAATTCATTAAAGAAATGTAACTCTGATGATACAAATTTCGACTTTTGTGGTGAGCAATTACTTGTATAAATGCACGTGTACGTACATAAATCCAAAATCAACATTCGAGATAATAATAAATAAGTACCAATGTGCATACAGGTATCCCGATCAGCCTTGCTAAAAAATCTGAAGATATTGGATACATTTTGAAGAAAGTTCATTCTCAAATCAGCAGCAGTTTCAGTTTTCTGGCCTTAATATTGGACAACAACAACACCACTTCAGTCTTTCCAACGTTGGAGTGAGTTGTGTATTTGGTGGTCATATTTAATTGTTCGATTTGGTTTTTGGCAATGAACTTCTTGCCACTTGTTGCATTTCAGAGAAATTTCCAGGCTTTATTCCGACGAATCAAGGCTAAAGAGACCCTTCAGCGTATTCCTGCTAACCTATTCTCCCGATGAAAATAATTTGTTGCAACTTGAAATATTGAAATCGACTGTGAAGAAGCTCCCGTGGCAAATTTCACTATTCGTCTGCGAGCTGGACTTGTTACACGACATTAGGTCAGTTTGGGAGCTGATCACTTTTACTCCAATGCCATTCACAAAACGCATCCTTTTGACTGACATTGGGCCAGATTTTTTCTTAACTATCCTTAGTCGTAAAAGTACAGAAGATTTACATGGCAGTCTCGTGAGAGCACTTGCCATTGTGAGTAAATACTGCCGAAAACTAACAATAAATATCTACATTTGCTAAATATTGCTAACCAATGTTAAAAACAACTAGGATTCTCCGGATGAACGATACAGTGCTGAATTCAACAGGAATAAAAGCATACCAACTTTTATCGAAGGTGGCTACACCGTTAGTTTGCTCAACGATTTGAGGGATGCTTTAAACTTCTCGTAATACTCCTGTCTCAACAACTTAAATCAATCATTGTCGCAATTTGGAAACTAATACGACTTGCTTTTAGCGTTTTAGCTGTAATTGGAAAAGAGTACATTACCGACCAGACTGTTAATCAGACCGTTGGGGGAATTGGGGCTCAATTGCTGAATAATGAAGCAGATCTAATCATTTCAATGTCGTACGCCTTAGAATTCCGTGTTAAGTACCTCAGCCCCACAGTCGCATTTAATAAAGACAAGTAAGAATTTTCAATGATGGATTCCTACGTATGGTTTTATATGTAACTGAAATACTGAAATACGTTTTCAGAGTTATGGTATTTTTTCGTCAACCGAGCCTGTTTTTAAATCGAAACGTATTCCTCCATCCTTTTCAAGATACGGTCTGGATCTCTCTCCTTGTAACGCTGAGTCTAATTGCAATTTCCACTTTGATGACCATCAGAATTCCAAAGCATTTTATGCATAAGAAACATCCAGAGGATCAGCCATATTTTTGGATTCTGGGAGCTCTGTGCCAAAAAAGTAAATCTCCAGCTTGTTGACACATACATTAATCTTTCTTAATACCTATGCTTACTACCAAATTACCAAATAATTTTCATGGTGCCTTGATGAATAGGCTGCTCATGTGAACCGCATAAAATTCATGGGCGAATCATTCTCTTGGTCACATTCTTGATGGCTTGGATAGTGTACACGTTCTACTCGGCGTCAATAATTTCGCGGCTAAGCGTGTCCTACAATCCGATAACAACTTTGTCTGGATTGATAAATGGAGGGTTCAATTTGCTAGCCGACCCGCTGGTCTCATACTCGAAATATCTTCAGGTACTCATTACTATTCGTCCAATATATTGTGAATTTAGATAAGAAAATAAGTATAAAAGATGCGTGAAATATTTGCTTATAGTTTTCGTCCACGCAAGACTGGGAAATGACATTTGTGAGCGAAGTGGACTCAGTCTCAAAAGTATTTAACGGTGGCTACGGCTTTATAAGTTCAATTGATTTGGTAGTCATTGCTTCTAGAAATTTACAATTTTCTGAGCAAAATATTTGCGACACTTTGTCATCCGTATCTCTAAACATTGTGATGCCGCTTCAGTTTTATACGAGAAAAGGCTATCCATTTAAGGAGCTTGTGAATCGCAAGTAAATAAATTATCGTCTGCTTGCACATGAACTAATGCTAATCTATCTAATTTTTACTTTTGCAGGCTTTTGAATTTGATTGGGAAAGGATTTAATGACAGATACCTCGCAGAATTCTTATGGCATACGAATCCCGTTTGTCCAGAAATAGTTCAGACCACGTTTGAAAGTCTTGGATTTACAGATCTCTACTCTGCTTTCTTTGGATTAGCGTTTGTTTATGCATTGACACTAGCAATTTTATCAGTGGAAAAGTCGGTGCATAAATTTCATGAGAGATCAACGTTCGAAAAAGTAGCAACAAAATGGTATAATCGTATATTTAAGAGGGCAACCACTTTGTGTCGTTTAACAGCCAGCAAGGAACAAATAAATATTAAAGCGTGAAAATATTCCCAAAATAAAGTTGCTCGCTGATATGTAAATGATTGTAATACGGTTGGTGCGACAGCATTGCATAGCATAAATGTCTATTTTGAAATGAGGTAACAATGTAACATTAATAAGATCAAGATTGATTACACTATCTTCTCCACCATCATCCAGAATTTGGAAAATGATGTATGTGTGAAACGTAAAGCTTCAATTTTCAAATGTGTAAAAAATTTTGCAACATTTTATGTTGCAACATTGAGTAACTGTCGCAAAAATCTGTTTCCAAAGTCTCAAGTTTCCCAAGAAAATATTCATATTTTATGCAAGAAATCAAGATTATTTGACACTTTATCAATCTATAAGGTTACGACAAATGGCCGAGTTACAAAATAAATTTTCATTTTTAGAAAACTAAAAATTGTTGAAAATATGCCATTGGTTACAGTTTTGGAAATGTAATTTTGTAACCGTCATGTCCGTCTGTCTGTCCGTCTGTCTGTTCGTCCGATCATTTTACGATAACTTTCGTTAAACTCGGCCTAGCGACTTTAAATTTGGTATACATGTAGTATGTGACAAATGAGGAGTTAAGTTTGAAGATGGGCGAAATCAATTAAGTGGTTGACCTGTGGTGGTCATCTGGGTGGGTGGAGTATTTCAAAATCCTCGTTGAAAGCTGTAAACTGGCATTGAGATTGCTAATGGTGTCTAATTGAAGAATATGAATTTAAATTGGGAAAATTTCCGACTGGAGGGACCCGATACCATACCGATTTTTGAAAATTATCCATCGAGCTGAAATTAGTGCAGAGATTGCTAATGGCCCCTGATGAAAGAATATGAATTGAAATTGGTACCATTTTTATGTGGAGGGACCTTTAAGGGGGTGACCCATATCGATTTTCAAAAATTGTATTAAAAAGATGAAATTAGACACTCGTAGAAGACTGAAATTTGGCACGACCCCGTGGGGGTAGACCAGATTGAAAAATATGAACTAAATATTAAGATTTTTTCCACAGAGATTTAACAAGGTGACCCACGCTGCTTTTTATATTGGTAGAATAAAAATAAAATTCGGTATCATGGGTAAGGGCACATCAGACTAAAGAATATGAATAATGTTCATATTCATCGAATATGAATATTTTTGTGGGCCCAGCCCAGAAGACTGAGACCCGTACTGGTTTTAAAATTGGTCAAGGAGCTGAAATTTTGCATGCTGGATTGTGGGAACATTTTTGCCGATTACGAATAGTAGTTGGTGCAGGTCGTCTGACTAAAGTTTAGAAGCTGACACTGACCCTGACTCGGGCTAAACAAACGCTGCACACTGGGATTTCAAATTTAATTTTCGAAATAGTACCCTCGAGATTTTGATCTTAAAAAATCAAGCTAAAAATTACGATGATTTCATCTTAACGAATTAAATCTCTATGTCTGCCCATTCAAAAGTTATTAAAGGTCAAAGTCGTTGGTACACACGACCATGGGACGTGTACCAACGATTTAAAAAATAATTATTTTATTTGTAACTCCACCATTTGTCGCAACCGTTAAAAGACACAAGAGTTACCTAGATACTAAATGTCAAGCAATCGTGGCAAGAAATACATATAAATCATCTTTGCTCCGAGTGCATGAAAGTAAAATTACTTAGCTGCATTGTATAAAACTAAATTGAACCCTCAAATTAAACTTACATAATAACGCCAGTCAACAAATTTGGCAAGCTAGAAGAGACGGAAAAAGTGGAGAAAGTACCTGCCTGACATACCGGCGAAATCGTGTTTTTGTGGTGGTGGTTTTCTTCCGGAGATTTTAGAGTAAAAAAGTAAACACATGGTTTCTAGTCGCAAGCAGCAGAAAGTAAAACATAAAAACTATTATGGATTCCGGTGTCTATTGAAATCAGAATGTTATAGACGATAAGAACGTTGAAAGTCACAAGTGCTGTTGCTGTTAGTGTCAACAATATACGACAATCGAAAGGAAGCAGAGGACAAAGTAATGCTGAAACAGCTACCCAAAGAGTTGAGGGATAAGGTACGGTCAGGATGTACAATTGTCACGGTGGCGCAGTGTGTGGAGGAGTTGGTAAATAATTATTCATAAAATACAAATTCGTATTAAAATTATTATTAAAATTATTTTATTTGGCCGTGTGATATGCCAGGTATTCAACTCTATCGACGCAGGAGCTACCAAAATGTATGTAGAAATAAACATGAAAACTTTCAAAGTCGAGGTGGAAGACGATGGTTGCGGCTTATCTAAAACAGATTTAGAGTTGGTTGGAAAACGGTGAGTTTTTAAATAGACTACTACTAAATTTCATTTTATCCTTGTATTTCTTAACGGTTTTCACTTTTCATCCAGGTATGTGACCAGCAAATTGACAAGGCTAGAAGACTTGCAACGTATCAAAGACTATGGATATCGAGGAGAAGCCTTAGCCAGCATAATATCAGTATCAAAATCTGTAAAACTTACCACTCGACCACGACGCAGTGATGTTGCATACATACGCTGGTTTCGACATGGTCAATCATCCGACATTAGGATTGAGGAGGTAAAAAATTCAACCAAACCTCCACCAGGATTTGCAATCACTGTTGAAGGTCTCTTGGAAACGCAACCCGTACGACAAAAACGACTTGACAGGTCCTTCCAGTTGGAAGATGTACGAACTACGTTGGAACACATCGCTTTAATCAATCCTAATATCAGTATTGAATTAAGAAATGAGTCCAGCATATCACCCCTTTGGACCTACACTCCTTGTTTTTCGTATGGGGATGCATTTGACAAGTTATACTCTACAAAGAAGATGGACAGCTTCAGTTTCGTCACTGAGAACCATCTACAAGATGGATTAATGTTTACAGCCACCCTTGGACGCCAAATGTATAGGCAAAAGTGTTACCAATTTGTCTTTGTTAATCGAAGATGTGTCGAAAGGCGTATGAAAATTCATAAAACGATGAACGACTTGTTAACGCAAGTGTTGACCAGCAGTGACTCTCAGAAGGACAAGTCGTCGGATAAATCATCATCATTTCCAGTATTTATTCTAAATATATCGTGCTGCTTGGACAAATACTATCCACAAAGGGATTCAAAATTTGGGGTATCGTTTTGGGATTGGGAATCATGTCTGAAAGGAGTTGGAGGATTAGTTCTCAAGTTTCAAAGTAGGGAATTTCCATTATCCAACCCTGTCGATGTAAGCCTTCCTCTATCATTAAGGAAGGATATTCAAGCTAGTCAACGGAAAAGTTATACAAATAATAAGAAAGCTGTGATTACAAAAAATACAACGTTTTGTGAGAAATCTTTTGGACACCACGACATTACTACTCACGACGTCAAAAATGTTGTTCATTCCAAACGTGTGTTTCGTGAAGAGTCACAAGAAACTTGTTCCCAGGAGGATTCCATAAATTCTAATGATGATGATGATGACAGTCAACCCCGTAATCTGAAATTAGGATCAAATAAAGACCTGGTGAACAGCGATGAAATTATGAGTACGACCTATTCTGACTTGGTTGATTCCCCAAGTAAGTTTTATGATCAGAAAGTGCTGCCTCCACTACCACGCAAGAAATCTACCGCAAAGCACGTTGTTTATACCGTTCGCCGGTCACCACGGACAGGTCGGGGAAAACAACTTCCCACCAATGGAGCCCCAAGAAAAGATATTGTGGTTCCAAGAATACCACAGCCACCAATTAAATCAATTCTTAATAAAGATGTATTTAGCAAGCTTCCTCAATGGGAAAACAAAATCGAATCACAAAATAATGCTATCAAAAGAAAAATTGGTGTGGATCGAGTGGGTACCACTAGTCGCCTCCCTGCAAAAAGACCAAAGTATTCCAATCTTAAAATCGAACCTCGTGCGGCGGTCAATAAAGTCCCCAACTTTGCGTGTAAAGATATTAACCTATCAGCTGCCCACAGTTTACTTCCAACTAGACGGGTAAGTAGTTTCAGCCTTCTATTTTTTCAAATCATCTCGAGTTCGTATGTAATTTTAAAAAAATTATCACTGGATTTCCTCAGACATTGCCAGATGATTACCAATTTGATGACAACGAGATAAGCGGTATAGACTGGAAACTTAAGAGATTCATATCCGATTCTCGTAATTCTAATTTAAGTCATGATGACGACGGTGTGGAATACCTCGCTAAAGAGGATGAGGTGGAAGACTCGGAGTATAACTCGGGGGATTCAAGTTCAAGAACTCCACCATCGAAGCCCAAAGTTGAAGTAGCTGAAACGTCACTGGCTTCGCTTTCTCTCGGACCTGAGAAATCCACAACATCTTCAAGAAAACCAGAAAAGCTTAAAAATCTAAAGAAGTACGCCCTGTTACAGACACCACACGATAGTGACAATTCTGAGGACGTTGACATGTTTGGAAAATTAGTTGTCCAATCTGCAGACGAGTTCGTTGTCTCCAAAGGACTATCCATCATGAATAATATTGAGAAGGTGCTTGACAGTGACTTTTTAAGCCCTCTTGAAATGGACGAACAGAATCCTATTGTCGAACAAGTGGAGGAGAAGGTTAAGAACCAGCAGGAGGACAATAATAGTGAGTGGGATGTTTGGGAGGTTGATGTTATTTCAAATCCAACTGGGAGTGGCCATGATTGGTTAAAAGTCGTTGACGGAGGACAAACTATGTTTATCAACTTATCGAATGGAGATTTGAGTTATGATATGGTGAATGTCGTCAAGTTGAATCGAGGAACCAACACAGGTCTAACTACTCACAATTGGTTACGCCATTATTTTCCAAAGGGTATGTATTTTATGTATGTTTATGTATATGTTTAAAAGTAGGTACTTTAATTATTTATTTGTTTCGAAGGTTATGATCAACTTTGGAAACGTGATGCATCCGTTAAGCCACAAATAAACGGAAATATAGCTGCGTCAACAAACTATTTAAGTGAGGAAGTTAAAGAGTGTATTGTTAAAAGCACAGAAGACCCTGCTGAAGTTTTTGATAAATGGAGACCTGACGCAATAAGCAATTGCAATTCTCAACCTCCTATGGACACGTCCGAGTACTTTCCTACTACTACTACAGTTTCAGAAATACCTCCCCAGACAAATTTCGCTGGGAAGTTGGAAACTAAATTATATAACACCAAAATAATGAAATATATGAAATTCAAAAAAGATGATTTGCGAAATATCAAGGTGATTTCTCAGTGGGATAGAAAATTTATAGTCGCCAAACTTACAATAAACGAGTTCGATGCGAATAATGATGGTATCAAAGGATTGAACGAAGTATTGGTATTACTCGATCAACATGCAGTTCACGAAAGAATTCGACTAGAAAGATTGATCAGTGGTAAGAAAGATCAAGTTCTAATCTACGACTGAAATAAATAAAATAAATGTTAAAGGAATTGGCGTTGCTAAAATTGTGTTGCTTTGTTTTCAACTAGAATTGTACGAGACTGACAAAGAAAGTGGACAAAAAAAGTTTATTGGAGTTCGGATTGAGCCTCCATTCAAGTTAAATGTGTCGGAACACGAAACACGGATCCTGGATAGCTTCAATGAATCCTTCAAGAGAATTGCACTCGATATACAGATTATCAATAGCACTTGTGTGAATATTCGCTCTGCTCCAGTGTGCATATTAAAAAAGGCTATGATGGAGGTTCGTATCAAAAATGTTATGTACATACATTTACATATTTACTACACGTTCAAAGTCAAACATACATAATTCTGTACATTATTTCATTATCATTTTCAGTCAACCTCTCTAGGCCACACAACATCATTAAAAAATATGCTGAGAGAATTAATCCAAGAAGAAGTTGGGAAAATGATGGATACAAAAATAACTTCGGTCGATGCCATCCCCAAAACCATTTTCAGAGTTTTAAGCTCTCAAGCATGTCATGGTACGATGGTTGAAATATTTGTATATTTACTCGTATATACATATTATTATATTAAATGTTTAAATGTGCGTGTGGGATTTACATTTCTTGGAGTCGTTTATTTCAGGTGCTATCAAATTTGGCGATGATTTGGAGTTGGCTGTCTGTGAATCCATGATTTCGTCCTTGCAAAATTGTCGAATGCCATTTCAGTGTGCTCATGGACGTCCGTCTATGGTTCCACTGATGGACCTTTCATCGTTTGTTCACAAGAGTTTTGGCAGTTCGAGAAGCAGGGTAATCTACCTTTTAATGATAAAGTTCAAGATTTGGTAAAAAATTATTATTATTTTAATTGCATTTAATTCTTACAGATTTACAATCACGCTTTTGATGAATACCCACAATACCAATCCACGGATTTCAGCTCGGATTTTGCTGATATTACAACAGAGTTGAAACAATCGGTTTATTTCCAGAACTAGTAAATTGTATTTTCGTAGTATTACTATTTTGAACTTTTAACCCATAATCTAACTTGTAGATTATTAAGTATTATGAACGTTAGTCGTCGCAATAAAAAGGAACAAATATTTACAGATTTAGAAACATATGTACATACATAGGTACAACAATGTTTTTATAATTTTTATAGTTTTTACCAGTAATGTTTTCTCCATTTATTACCAAAGGTAAAATATTATGTACTTTCCATTTACCTTCAATTAATAGTTTAAATTAATAAAAGTTGAATCTAGAATAATTATTGCTAAGCTAAAATCCCGTCATATTTGCTAGTTTAAGTTCATAGTCATACTTCATTCGCAAATTTGACGACTCGGGTATATTCTCAACAAACATACCGTCCACCCCCAAATTGAAGTAATAGAACATTTCTTCTTCTTTGTTTGTTGGGTCACATTCCAGCGCACAACCGCGTCCTGAACTCTCCCTCGAGTCCGGAATGGTGAACAGGGTCATTTTGACACCGTGACGATGCGCTGCTGGCACGAATTCATCCGGGTTGTAGAATCCACCAAGTGAATCAACGAGGTCTGGGTCATACTCCCACTCTTTTGATCATTGTCAAACGAAGCGTTTATTATTAGTGCTCAAAAACTATTTGTCCCATCACATGTCATATCTTACAGTTTGCAATGTCGTGCTCACCTTTAAAAATAATCTCTGCATCCACACCGGTGTACATGTACTCTTTCCATAGGCAAATATAGTCGCTAAAATTTGCAATTTCCTCAAATCCTCTGGGAGTCAACAGATAAACGTCGGGATGGATCAACGTCATAAGTTCCACAGTAGGAGAGGTAGTAACCGTTGACAAGTATCTTACAGCGTTCTTGTCAAAGTTTTGCAGAATTATGGGGCCGCATGAAATCATTTCAACTCCATTATAGGAACAATTAGCGGTGTCGCCAGGATTAAGAGGGTAACCGTTGGAACGTAAAATATCCAAAACCAACGTCTCCATAAAGTGATCGATGTGGTTAAAAACTGTGTTATGAAATTGAGGATGTTTCATTTCGGGAATTATTCCTGCAAGGCAATAATTGTTTTTGAAGCTGAATGTAATATTAAAACGCTATTATCTATAAACCAACGGCTATACTATATTTTAATAATAGTCAAACAAAGTAATTACCAATCGGCTTCCCAACTTTCCAAGAAATTTCATGAATTGAGTCAAGAAATTCTTGGAAGGTGCTTATTTCGTACAACTCATTAAAATCTTGAAGCCTGACGCCATTCGGCTGCTGTTGAACGCGAAGAGTTTTGAGTTCTTCCAAAGTAAAGTGAATCGCCAACCAGTCGTCGATGATGGTTTGATCCTTTCCATCAATTATAACACTGTGATTTCCCCTCAAACCAGCAAATTCTGGATGTTCTTCAACGTCAGTGGACCGTTTTAGAGCGAGGTCATGGAAGCAGACAGGGATGCGGTCTTTTGTTAAGACAATATCTGGCTCAACGTAGTCGGCCCCTATAGATTTCACATGCAAACACGATTACATATCGGAAATTTCCTATATTTCCGTGATTTTAGATGGGTGAAACTCTGAAGTATCAATATTTTTAAGTAATTTGTTAAAGGCGACACCTTCAATAGCTGCAAGTTTGTAAGAGCCTGTAGTGTGTTCTGGAAGATAAAATTTTTCTCCCCCATGACCAAAGAGCAGCGGAGGTAGGCCGTCCAGCGTGGGCCATTCTGCAACAGGAAACTGTTTATGCAACAAAGACTTTGCACACGACGAAGAGACGAAGAAAAATATTATGACAGTAAAAATCGAAACCATTATTTATGTGATTGCAAAATAGCAACTATTTCGCTTTGACCTGTGTGTCAAGTGTGTGGCAAAATATTTCTCTTGACATCTCTTGTCCAGCCCATAATCATAATTGTTTTATCATTGCATGGTAAGTATGATGGTTATCAGTTCGTGTGCAAGGTTAATTGATTATCATATGTAGTTAACACTTGATGCATATACATACTTATTTATACTTGTTGAAGTAAAACATTAATTTCAGGTTTGTAATATATGTATCACACAAATAAATCGAGTATTTTTACTTCTGCCGATGCAAAGGAAAAGATTTGAAGCTCATGAAATATGCACATTTTCCCATTTATGAAAACATGCAACAGAAAGACTAATGACTGCTATTGTTACATATTTCTTCTCTGGCTACCAATCAAAGTTGCCTAATTGTATCTGTAATGATAAGCAGGATAATGCCAACCATGGAACAAGATGTTAACATCTCATGCATATCAAATATACATAAATTTACAAAGTGCAAAGCTGACAAAAAATTAGAAGTTCCATTTCAGCTACTTTTTATTATGTTGCTGTATCAAGCAAAAAAAAATGATACGAGCTGTATAATTTGTACCATTACATCTCATTGCACAATAAACATGAGAATTTTTCATATATCCATATTGCATGAGAAGAAAAGAAAAAAAATAAGATTTATAATTTTGGTGCTGTAAAAGTTATTACTATATTTAGTTGAATTTATTGTTGCCTAAAAATTTGGTTACGATTGTACATGCGTGTTCACTATTAATTAATCAATTAAAATATGTCACACAGTTATCAATCCATAAAATCGTAGAAACTGATTACCAATTCGCTGGCAATACACTGACGAATTAATCATTATAGTAAAAAGTATGTTTTGGAATTAAAATCTTGCGAAGTTTAGTTGATTCGTTTAGTTAGTAAAAAAAAAGTTGCGAAAGTAAAATGCGTAAAAGTCTCATATTGATGATGCATATTGTGTACTGATATTACTCGCCATAAGCTAAAGCCATTCCAACGGACGTGCCCACCAAGTTGATTTCGCAGCCACTCTCGATGTGTTCCTGACATGCTTCACTCGTTTGAAATTTCTGGGAACATCGGTCGCACTCGAAGTGTGTTTCGGGAGATAAATACAAATTGACTCCTAAAACTGACTGGATTTCTTCAGGATTTAAAATTGGAGTCATCCTCATCGTTTCCAAGAAGTTTTCAAGGTCTTGTGACATTTGTGTTGGTGCATCTTGTACGTGGATGCCTTGTGGTAAATTTTCTTCGCCCAGTAGAATGTACTCGTTCCAGGGATTCCTATCGTATATCCTCATGCAATAATTCTCATTGTCATCAATCACCTTGATCAAGTCTTCAAAAGTGACGTCTTCATCATTATTGCATGACGGATCCTCCAAAGGATCCCTCACATCGTATGTATTTGTATTATCGTTCATTGCATTGCTCTCGTTTATCATCGTATCAAAGTCCACTGAATGTGTAGGGCACAAGTGAAAATCAGACATGTTTTCGAGTGGAGTTGCTGGAGATGGAGGTGGTGGTCCGGGGGTTAGAAAATCCTTTTTGGGAACGTTCAAACTGAGGTTATTAGTAAATTTCTGCGTAACGGCTGCGTCCAATCGAATTTCGGAATGCTGTTCAAGGGGGTCAGATGGATGACCATTGTGTGATGTATTATTTTCATTCGGGGCAGAGACTTTCGATTCCTCAAGGGGTTTTAATAAATCTGAATCGTTATCATCCTTATCATCAATGTTTGAATGAGTAGCAGTACTGACACGATTGGCATCATCTTCAGCGTACTCAATGGGTACCGAAGGGACATTAATTTCTGCAGGACTTGGACTCGTCACTTGGTGAATGACATCCGTTTGGATTAATCTCTTCCTGATTGTTTGTTTCGTTTTCATTGAAACATTACTGTTCGGGGTGGTTTTTGGAGTGCGTATAGATCGGCGTCTAGGGGTGGATTCTACGGGGGTTGACTTGGGAATGGCAGACACATTGCGCCTTATTCTTGTGGTTGGAGTGCCGAAGCTCGGACCAGTGACGGCCATTGGACTCGCAATGGAACTCGAGGGGACATTTTCAGTCTGAGATGGGGACAATCGCTCCTCTTCAAGTTTTGCTTTCTTTACCGATAATCGTGTCACCCGCCGGTAATTATCAGCCAGTACAGGAACCTTTAGTAGCACACATAAAAGTAAGTGACAATTGGCAGGTCCCTTTCAGCATTTGAAGTTAACAAAGTGAGACAATGTTACGTACATTTCCTTTGATGACTTGATCGCCTGACCTGCGCTTCAACCCACGGCGTCCACCACCGGCATCCGACATGGGTGACTCGTCCTGTTATTAAATAGCAAAATTATAAGCAATGCGCTCCCCCAAAAATTGTACAGACCAAAATTATTACAGAGTTTTTGTAAAAAATAAACCTCTCCATGATGCACTTATTTCTGTATTTAGTTTATGAAACCTTGGATTTGATCAACAAAATTTAAGCTGGACAAAGAAAATAAAATGCCGCTTATCTTACCCGTATCATGCTGAAGATGGAAATTGACCCCACCGGATTCTGTTGTTAAGTCTCACAAACTCAAGTAACGATCCCAGAAAATAATGAAATTCAATGATCAATCGCACATTAAAACTAATGATTTTGGACAAAATACACAATTTTAATAAACCACCCGGTCCTCAGAAAGCGAAATGCTTCATTCTAAAACAACCTGAATGAACCTTGCTGCCTATTTGACATCTACTAATGGCATGTTATGCAAATAATAAATGACGAACCCGACATATTGTAGAATTTTGCAGTATGCAAAATAAGGGTGATGCATGGCATTAACATATTAACATTTCAGTAGAATGGTTTGTTTGCATTGATCGAAATGTCATTTATTTTAAACCTTGATTTCTATGCTAATAATATTGAAACCAATCTTGTGTTTGCTGGATCGTCTTTTGCAGAATTAAGCATAATACACAATGGTGAGATCAGTTAGATAGTAAAATCTTATCAAGTGGAAACAGTGTACATACATATTTCTTATACCAGAAGAGTGCAATTTCTAGTACATGTTTACTACTTTAATTACTACAGAGAAACTAGTAAATGACTGATGGAAAGATTTGCGATAATTTGTAGATTTAAATCTGAAATAATATTGCAAAAATTGAGACCACATATTTACATACAACAATTAAGCAGTACGTTGATCTGATGATGGGTCGATATTCGAAACTCTTTTACATTTTACATAATTCGTTAATATTTACTCTTGTATTACATGTTAAATGTTATTAAATACATTATTGAATGACTGTTGGCTATATTAATTGTATTATTTTTTGTGCAGTTACTCAAAATATATGTACCAAAACATTAAAGAATCTTTGACCTGTATGTACCACATTTGACAGTTATAAAGTGTGTTGTACTTGAATTGTAATTCTTAAGTATGATCAAAACTATTTATTTATTACTCACTACACTGACTGACTGTAACTTATGTAAAACTCAGCCCTGCCAATTGTTCTTCTTAAATATTTACCTTAAATTTATAAAAGTCGATCGGATATGTATGATGGTTTAGTCACGTAGAGATACGCTAAAGCACGATTCATGATATGTTTCGTTTTTAATATAATTAATTAGTAACGTTAATTGGTTATAATGAGTACCACTTGGCTGATTGATTGATATGTTTAGTTGCGTCTTGAATTTGCAGTGTCTTTAAAATGTGACGAAATACTGTATTTTTTAGTAAGTTTGTTTGATTGGAAAATATATGTAATAATAATCAGATGTCATAATTTCGGCGTACGATTGCCCAAATTGACCACGACATACCTCGTATTGGTAATACTTCTAATAAATGCGAGACAAATGGCTTTTCTGAATGTCTGAGGAGCACCACAAGGTTCCAGATTCATTCTAGTTAGTAATTTTTACGTAAAAACAAAAAAATATTCTTGATATAAATACACCGCGTATGACAACCTTTGGGCATCTTACTTATTTTCATATAACAAAATATAACGATAAAATCTTGCTAAAAAATAAATTAATTCTTAAAATACATCCAGCCTAGTTTTCCGGCCAACCAAAGTCCCTTCCAACCATTTCATAAAATTCATAGTTGACCTTTCTGTAGAACTGTCTAAGAGTGCGGATAAGTCCAACTTTTACCACGGGGTGCCTTCTCCCTTTGCTGTTAATCCAAAACCAACAAAAGTGATGTAATGTCTAAAAAATGTACCATAACTGAAATTAAAACGGATATTTGCTTATGGTTTACCTGTCATTGAGACAATGAATTAATTTATTCAGACTTCGCCAGCAATAAAATCCCTTTGTGTTGTTGAAGTAAAAATAATCCCTCTCCAATTTGTGCTCAAGCCCCAGAAACCTTTCTACATCTCGCAAAACGTTATAAGGGTCCTAGGAGAAAATTGTGTTACTAAAAAGTACTAAAAACACATGAAAATCTATTATGCAACGCAGGTTAATAAGAATTACCCGAATCAATGCATCGCCATCGATCACGTGAATTTGTTCTTTTGGAAAGACATCTAGCCATCTTTGCATATACCTAAAAGTGGCATGGACAATAATTCAGTTGATACAATTTCTTAGACGTGGTTAACGATTAAGAGTAAAAATTGGTGGCAGAATGGAGAGTTAAATTAGATGCCTCACCTGGAGTACATGGAAATTCGAATGGCTTTGTAGTTTGTATTGACATGTCCAGACGGGGTGAGAACGAGTTCCTCCAAGGAAGGCTGTTGTTGTTGCAGGAAAGAGTTTGCGGCGGCGGCAGTGATCGTTGTCGTGTTCGAGGGGGCATTTGCTCCAGGAGACGGGGACTGTTGGAGATAGATTTGCGTATAATCCGAAATGACACGAGTTATCTGAAATTCACAAATCAAATAGTTTATACACACTGCGGACTAGGTCAGATTTTTTATTTTTTTCTAACAGGTTCTCGAACAATAAGTAGAAGCTTGATGGAAGAATTCATCTCGTAAATACGTTCTGAAATTAACAGGCAATATTTTGATGATATTTCTTAAACTATAAATTGTTCTTTGCATATTGCACATACCAGGAACTTCAGGAGTGACAAAGTAGCTGTAAACAAATAAATGGTATCAATTTTGTAATATTATCCAAAAGGTACATTTTAAGATTAAAATACCTCGGCGACTTTTCGATGGCAATTTGACCAGAGAAAGTTTCAGGCATTTGAGACGCGTACCATTCTAATCCCTTGATGTAGTTTTCATCCCGATCGAAAAAGTGGATCTCAAGTGGAGACTTTTCCACCTTTTATGTACATTGCAGAATTATAAAGTATAATTATAACATAAATCATTGATACTTTGATCATGTAGAGGGAAGGAAAACTGAGCAAGGTGCCATATTGGAGCATATTTATTTACCTGAGGATGAAGATTGAGCATGTCGATTAAAGCTCGCGTTCCACATTTCCTGACGCCGATAATAATACAACCAGGCAAGTAGTGACCCTTTCCCTCGGCATTTGAACTGAAGTAGTCTCCACTGAAAAAACCACCCCCCGAGGCGGCTCCACCCCCACCATCACTGCCATCCAACGAGGACCCCTCCAGCCCCCCACCCCCACCAAAACTGAAGCATAGGAAGTAGATGGAAGCCAAGGTGAAGAGAACTAGGACGAGCAGTTTTCTTGGTGCTGGTGGCCTCTTGGAAATTTTGCATTTGGCCACATATTTTGACAACTGTGGGAATAATTTGGACATCGGTTATGTAAGAGATAGGCTAGGAATATAACTCTGTGCGGTTCACTCTACTTCTCCACTTCAAAATGGCACCTTTCATGATATGCTTATTCTTGATTAATGTGATACGAGATAGGGTTAAATGGATATATACATATGTGTGCGCTTCTAGTGTAAAGTCATTTTATTGGTATGTAGTAAGAAATAATAAGCTACCTTAATAAAACCTTAACTTTAAATAGTATATCAAACTACCCGCTTATCCGAACTCTTCTGCAGTGGATGTGAACTGCAGTTGATGGTGATGATGATATTGATCCGATCCGAATGTAGAATTCAGTGCGAGAGTGAAAGCAGGGAAGGTGCGAGAGAGAGAAAAAAAAACCGAAATTTCGGGGTTCTCTCCATTACCCCATGCTTGATACTCTGCTGTAAACTCCACGATGTAACAAACGGCGAATTGGTTGACAAATTAATGATTTCCAATCATTATAATTCAGAGCAATTTCTCCTGACGTAGGATGGTGTGCTTTGCCGTCTTAATAAACATTGCGTACATTTAATGATGCGTATATGTATCTATGTATTACTGGCGTGGAGCATGGAGAATTTGGTGAAATAGAGTGAAACGAGACAAATATACTAATCCAAAGAATGAGAGACTCCTGGATTTGCATCCAGGAGTTGTCACATAATTAAAATTGGATATGAAATAATTCCATTGTGAAGCACGTTGAAGAAGCAAATTTAGCAAATTAAATAAATGACCTGTCATGGATTGTGGTTGTCTTTGTGTTTTGTTTGATGTCAGTATTAAATTCGCAATTTGCATTTTATAATTACTTCCCGTGTATTTTTTTATTGTTTTTCTAATAAACATATATAACTGTACTGCTATAATCGGGACTTGTATCCTTTAGAGTCCTTCTAATACATATATTTAGAAAATCATTGTTAACCAAGGGGTATTCTCGTCACAGCAGCAATTATTGACAACAATTATTAATTTAATTAGTAAACCATTGTTAACTTTATTGCTATTATAACCATTAAACCGTAACCGGAAGGATGATGAAATTGTAGTGTATGGAAAATTATTCCACAATAAATCAGAGGCAATTGTAGGTACGTGAAAAACTAAAATAAGAAATTGTTCTCGATTCTAACGCCTCGTTAATTAATAGTTAATGGTTGTTGATTATGTGAAATAGTGGGAAACACAGAATCAGAAGCTATGAAATGCATAAGTTCATGCCTGTTGTTTTGTTGATGAGACCATGTAATGCGAATCCACTCCACTCGACTTGCACTTTCTTTTATCCATCAATATATTGGACATGATTAGAATTAATTTTGGAAGATTCTGCACCTCAATCGTGATACTTGTTTACTTGAATCAATAAGCGATGAGATAATGCATATCTGGTTTGCTGTCAGAAGAACTCTGTTTTTGTTTTTGTAAAAATTTAATGTGTCCTTTTAGCTCATTCACTCCCTGCAATTAAATGCAACCACATCTGCAAAGCCAGCGAAATATGCATAGTAAATCATTTAATGTATGCATGCATTTAGTATTAATAAGAAGACATTTCCTTTAAACATCTCACTAAATACCACTTTCGGTTTCCACCATATCGCATTTTTATCCTAGTGTCTTCATTAAATGCATCAAGTTTGTTGTTTGGCTCGTGTAATATGATAACCGGTTCAGGCTCATTCAGCTCAGGTCGCAAATGGTCACAAATCATCAGTGCACCTTCAAAACATGTACAATCACAAAATCACTTGAGATTGAGCTGGGAGGCGTCAAACCATCCTCGCGCAGAATAGCAGACGGTTCATTAGGTTAGGATGGGAAGCCCAATAACAATTTGAGTGAAATTTACAAAGACTTCTTGGCTGCTGAAACTATTATTTTTTTGCTTGGTGGTGTAATTCAATCTATGCAAAAGTTGTAAAGATGATGAAAAACTTGTTACGAGAGCGAATGTTTTTTTCAACCTTTAAGCCATACGTTGGTAGTAAGTAGCTAGTTAACTTTTTGTGTTGGGGTAGTCGCCCCCTTCCTCGTTTAAGGTCAAGGGCAAAATGTGTCATATTGGATGTGGTGAAGCTAATGCAGATGCCCAAGTAATAAAGAGAAATTCGAATACCTACGTGTGTACGTTTGCATACGTACGTAGATAATAAGTAAATATGTGTGAGAGCGTATACAGGATGTCCTCACATTCGAATTCTTGATAAGAATAAGGTGTGTGAGTTTTCTGGTAGAAAATGAAAGTGGTAAAATGCAGGTTGATCAGTCGTGTTTAGTTCAAAGCCGTTGCACATCGCGTTGGTCAGGATGGCGGACATCAAAATGTGTGGTGGAGGTGGTGGTGGGAGGAGGCGGAAAAGAAATGTGCACAGTTTTATGGCCAGACTTTCATTAATTTTTCTCCTCTGCGGGTCCTGCTCGAGTTTTTTTATAGACCTCGAAAGCCTGGGGTTTTCGACAAGTGCAAGTGATTTGGATGGGGCTGGTGACGATAATAAGAATTCTGGATCCAATAAATTACTTATTGCAGCCCCCAGTGAAACCCAACAAGAGATGGTTGAAATCGAGTCCAAGTCTGATCCCACCAAATCCGTCAAGTTAAGTAAGTCACTATTCGGATGCTAAATTTCTATGTAAATGAAAATGCAATGTACGAGTGTGATGGATTTTTTTCTAATTTTCTAATTATTAATTTTAATAAATATTCAGCATTAGCGGAACTGAAGCAATTAGTTCTTGGCACAGTGAAAGATTTGACCCCAAATCCCCATCCTATAAATATCCAAATCACTTCAAACAAGGACCGCGCTCCTACAACTACCACACCCAAACCAAAAAAAGTGAATAAATACAAGTACAAGCAGGACTCCATGTTGGCTGCCTATGCCAAATCCAGAGATCCAGAGTTTAATTCAGATGAAGAGTTATCTTGGAAACGACCCCAGTCGACCTCCTTCATTCTGCCACCCTACGATGATGACGAAGGTCTTGGGGAGCATTATTTGGAGAGCAATGAGATCACAGACTTTAATGGTGGAGGAATTGGCAGTCTTACAAAGGTCAAGGGCAGTGGCGAAAAGGGGTGGTTCGACACGGCTAAAGCTGTTTTTAGAGCCCCAAATCACGTCGTGAACTCGTACTCTAAAAGTTTCAATAGGTATGTGACAAGCATCCGAAAGAATTGGTTGAACTTTGAAATAATATGCGTACATAATTTCAGATGGAGAGGTGGTGGAAAGCCAAAGCAGCCGCAACAACGCCACCGACCCATCGCCGACATTACTTACTCACCAGAACAGCGACGGAGAAACAAGCAGCGTCCGCCACCCTCGCGGAGTGGCCGACGGCCCAACAGTCGCCCCAGAGGACGTCCCTACCATCGTCGTCGTGGACAATCGCAGAAACCTCACAACAGACGCACTTCATACTTTGACGATAAGTATGACACCAGTGAGTACTCGTCGCACCAAAATGGCGGAGGACGCTACTCCTCGTCCTCCTATTCCAACGGCTATTACGGTGGGGGTGACAAGGCCTGGGACAGGACGGATCATCTGACCTCTGTTGGTGCCATATTTGATAGCACGATGCCTCAAGACGACATGCCGTATAATATGAACCCTCCTATGCCATATTGAGAATTTACTGAACGGTCACAAAAAAATCCACTCAAATGAGTCTAATCAAACCAGCAGAATGCCATAATTCGATGATGACAATGCCATTATTCTCATACATCTCATTTCTTGAATGGAAGAATAAGAGTCACCCATTTAGATCATTCTTATGTTTTTATGTCATGCAACTTTGCACCGTTATGACTTTACCCACTATATTTACATTCACATATAGCCAATTAAATTATTTGTAGTGTTAGGAAGATCAAACTGTAAGCACGAAATATATACGAAATAAACGTTAAACAAAACTTTTATTCAAGTCACGAAAAACTCAGGAAGCGATTTCCCTTTGTTCAATTTTTCCCTTTTTGCATTAATAATTTTGAAATGTGTTTAAACGAGTATGCAACTTATCCAACCTATCAAAGTCAACAAGATACGGCATGTGTTTAGAAATAACAAGTGCATCTTGATTTATTGGACGTTTAATGCATAAGAAAAATGTAACTACTTATCATGAATTATTTATTAATATTTTAAGGATTAAAGAGTTAAATGTATAGAGCATACGCACATACGCGTTATTATTACAATTAAGTAGATGCAAAACTAGTGACGAGATAATGACTTTCGTAAAAACTGTAAAAACTGGTAATCGGCCGACGACATGAAGCACGCCCTTTTTGGTGTAATTAGTAGATCTAAATGTAATGGAGTCGGTAAATAATTTCTCACCCATGCACTATACGTATTCGTGCTAATAATTATAACTCATTTATTTTTACGTAACTGATTCATTTTTTCTGACGTAAAATCTACATCGGATTTATTAATTTTGGAAATACCAAACTGTGCTGATGAATTTGTATTAATACGCAATGTGATTTGCATTCAAGCTTTATAAGTTGTCGCATGAGATTCCTGCGGGATGTTAATATACTTGTTGTCAACGTCCATTCCATAATCAACTGCAAGGATGGATTTAAACTGTTCTTTATAAAAATCTGGAATGTTTCCAGACCGTGACCCCATGTATGCCATACTGGTTTCTTCCAGCGTGTCATTGTGTATGGAGCATGCAACCCACAGTATAAAATTATTGTCGAAATACAGGATGGTAGCATTGCTGAACAAAACTGAAAATAATCCATTAAGTGTAATTGCGCATACTGGCTGACTACTGTGAAACACGGCATTGATAAAGTTCGAGTATGCATATTTGTATTACCAGTGTCCCTGAAATGGACGAGATACCCAGGTCGGTTGGTGTCCAGAACTTTCGCAATTCTCCAGTCATCAAACATCAATTCGCTCCCCTCACTATCAATCATTGACCCATAGGTCCACATTTCGAAGGTGTCATCGGCGTTAGCCAAAGTCCAAGAGGAACCCATTTCGACATATCGTAAGTCCGCAGAGGGTAGATGGTAGTCGACAAGGCCGCTTACTTGCCATGAACCCATGAGCTAATAAATAAATACATAGACAGAGAGACAGCTAGTACTATTAGTTGTTTCTTTTAATCTCTACATATTATTTTAACTACAACTTGCATCTTGAAAATTCCAGATCGGAGTAGGAACGAATCTGCTGCAATCAGCAGAAACGTGTGAATTTCCCCAAGTGAAGAGAAATACAAGAAATACACTTTTGAACATTTTGAAAATATTCGCAGTTCTGGTTTTCTCAATTAAATGATTTAACTAAATAAGCTAACAAATTGTGAAATAATTCATTTAAACCCGAAACATGGTCATTTATAAATATTTTGCATTCCGCTTATCTCATTTCAACGATTAGTAATTGCGTCAATCCTTGATAAATTGTTTCCCTTCGATAATATTAATTGATTAATTTGATTTACATTGATTGATAACAAAAAATTGTAGGTGTACCAAATGCTCTTGTCACATTTAAAAGATAAAAATGATAGGAATCTGCCACTAAAAACTGTGAAGACTTGCCCAAGAGTCAGTCATTTTTATTCCCTTTCCGAAAACCTTACCCTTGGTTTATCTTTCAATCCCTTGACATCTTACTATCGCATCGGTGTTGTGGATAAATTTTCCCATGCAAAATTTCAGCCATTTCCAACCAATATTTCAAAACAAGTATGGGTAACATTATTGGACACCCCTTATTGGTACAAGATTTCTCAAAATTTACTTATGTAGATCTTATGCGCACCTGCATTTAACACCAAATTTCATACGACAAAATGGCCTTTATCCAACCCGACTTTTGATCCCAACCGGTCAACCACCATTTCACCTATCATGCTTATCTTCGAATTTGACCTTCTGCATATGCCCTGCAATACATGTTAATAATAAATATTAATTGTAGCAAACGTATTGGTTGCCCAAAGTGGAAAACTTATTATTTATGCTTGTGTTTCGTGGTAATCACAATTCGCAAAATCTTGGCAGACGCAATTAATGTTTACGTCCCCGACAATGTCTCGCATCTTGTTTGTGTCTCGCTTATTGAAAGACGTCAAGAAACGTTTATATGCAAACAAAACCTTTCTCACTTGCGCACAACTGTCTTATCAAATCTTATCCCACAATGCTTCTAGGTCATCATCGACTGTCAACTCTTCCAACTTTCCAAGAACCAAGTATTTATTTCATGTTACTTTTTAGGTACCCAAAATATATAGCTGTTATGCAACCTAATTTCTTATATATTCGTCCTTTTGGAAGAAATGAAGTCCATGGATTATACGTGTCTAATATGAAATTCTTATCGGATGATGCAGCTGAGTTAAGTCTTTGGTGAGTAATCACTGCGCTGGAGTCAAGTTACATGCACATTTACAAATATGTAGTTCTAACGGAAGCTCGAGCTTGACACAAGATTCCGTATCACGTTTCGCTTCACAACATAATAATTGCAGCCCTGTTCATATTACATAAACCCTTATTTTTCATCCCTTGTCATATATTTATTTGTACGCATGCCATGCATGACTAACTTATTATTGACAAAATTGTTGAGAAGCGCAGATTTGTACTAAGCTAATCAATTAGATTTTACTTGTTTGGAGGAAGCAACAGAGTTCTTCGTTTTGTGAGTCAGTGAATCTCCGGCCTTCTTCCGGTTCATGCTGATAATTTTAGTCAAAGTCTTTGCAACACTGATTGTTCTGCAAAATCCTAATTCGAAAAGCTGAAGAATTCTTAAATCCATTGGCGTTGCATCGTGGTGTTTCAAGTAAGAACCTACAACACTTCGCAAATCAGTATACTATTCGCCATTGATGTTTATATACATTTACATTGAATTCATTGAAGTAACATGGAATTTTGATAAACCTGTGATCGTACTCACAGCTTTTGGTTTAGTCTTAACACAGTTTGTCATTAATACTCCAAAATATGTAAATGAATGTAGCAAGTGTTTGACATTTGCATTTCATTTGAAAATTACTAAGCAGTTAGGTAGGAGTGCATTTTTAAAAGTTTGTTAACTACACGGACACAGTTCATGGTTTATACATTACACAAGGTTTGGAAGTTTGATTTGTTTGTTGAGTATACACTTTGTTGTGCATGATTAATTAGTTTGCAGTTGTTCAACGTATAATCGATTGGGTTTTAAAATAAACTAACTTGCCTCAAACTATTATTACATTAATCAATGATTGTTCGTAGGATTTCCAACACAAGTTGATTAAAAAATAATTTTTGAATTTTTGAACAACAAAGTTAGGGAAGAAGAGAGAAGCAGGATAATCAAAATTGGCGTTTCAAAAGTTCAAAAGAAGAGTCTGGAAAATAGTTCTAATAATAATTTTGTAACAATCCAGTCAAACAAATAGGTGCGCAATATTATTTAATTTACTATTTCCAACACGCACATGCATGCAAAGATGCATGCAATTTGATTTGATCATCGTATAGTTATACACGATTACATATTAACACTAAGATTTATACTATCACAGTATCATGAGTGAAATAGTGTTTGCTTATATTTGTATAATTATACGTAAATGTACATATGCATAAATGTCCAACTGTTTGTCCACAATTCAGGGTCGAATTTGTTGGTGGGTCTGGAAAGTCACAAACTCTCAAAGGAACAAAATGTCAGCATGGAATTTTCTTGGATTTCTTATTTTCCTCTCCAACTCTCAAGCCCAAACCTTATCACCAACGTATCTCACAAAAGTGTCCATGGGGGCTATCGCAACCGAAGTTCAAGGTCCAGTTTTGTACGAGGGATTCGTATCTCTCATCTATGAGTATCAAGTTCCGGTGTACAACAACCTTGACATCACTTTGAGAGATTGGCGTAGTAAATGTGAAACTGATTCATACACTCCAAGTTACACTTGTCCCGTTTTCTTCCACTTTGAACGTTTCCTGGAACGTTTCGAGAATGAGGTTGTGCCCAAAGCGTGGTACGACCCAATCACCAACAGGACAACTTCACCGTCCCCGATGCTGGATATGGACAACGATTTTTGTAACAAAATCCAGGGACACTTTAAAGGTAATTGCATAGTAATATGTAAAAGCACGTCTGCTTTTTTCCAAATATATACAGAAACTCAATATATACAGTAATATGCAGGAACCAAATCTGACAACAGCAACTAATAATTTATGAACCCATTTTTACTGAATTTTATTTTACTTTTTAACCAGGCTCTCTTACTCAGGAGTTTGGTTTTGAAGAATACATAGTCAAATTAAAGCAATGCCTTCTAGGAGTGGATAATACTGCAATCATTGAGAGGCAAATTACCGACTACATTTACAATATCAAACCATTGTTCAAGAAAATGAATGAAAATTATGAAAATGAATTTTCCAACAAATTTTTTGGAGAAGCAAATAAAAAGATTGGCCCAGCATTTTACGTCAACGCTGTTACGTCCCATCAAAACGGGATGCTACTTGCTTATCTTATGGAAAAAACGAGATGGTCGGCAGCTATGTCCGCCTGCCAGCAGCAGCGAGTTCCTGAAACGTTATTGACGCCCCAAAATGTGACAAAAAACTTGAAAGATTTGAACCAAAGGTAAGAGGCGATTCCCATCATTGTACGCAATGGGTTTGCATATGTGTTTGCATATGTGTATGTACATAAATTAAAATGATCAAAATAGTGGCACAATTTCTATATTTTTTATGCAGGCTGGCCATTGGGAACAAAAAAACCTCCGTGAATGTGAACGAAGTGTCGGCAATCTTCAAACTGCCCTTGACGGATTGTAGCTACATTGAACGCACGGGTCACTTCGTGGTTCGCATTCTAATTCCCGTGGCGAGGAAGGACATTGATTTGTTCAAGCTGTACAAAGTGAGCACTTATCCCTTCCTCTTGGAGGACAAAATCTGCCACCTCTCCCTTGATTCTGAAAAGAATGAACTGTTTTTGTACGACGAGACCACAAATAATCTTCTACGTTCCGAGTGCACCAAGTCCGACAAACTTTGTCAAGTGAAGGAGTTTGAAAACACGGTCACCGATTTCTGTTTAAGAGCGATTTTCCTCAAAGATCATCTCGCCTCCAAAAAGTATTGTGGACAACGTTTCCAGTGCTCTGAGATCGGAAAGGACAACATGAACAAGCTCATCAAACTTCCTATTGTTAAAAAAACATACTCAGACTCATGGATTGTACTAGGAACTGGAAGTGGTGAGTGTATTTATGGATATTTAAATAAATTACAAAATTACATTCAAGGAAATTCTAAAATGACTATAATAATGAATCTTAAGACTCCCTATACGTTCATTCATACTTTAATTGTTGTTCTTATTAATTAATTGCAGCATCAGATAAAATGACCATAAAATGTGACATTATCGAGTGGAAAGTTGACCTCATGCAGAAAGACCTATCCGGAGCGTTGGAAATTCGACTCCCTTGTCATTGCCATATGATTTTCAATTCTGAAATTCTCCACCCCACAAACCCTTGTTCTCATGAGTACTCCCAACCTCCAGAAATTCGACAGATTTTACCACCGCAATTTCTGAAGGAAGAATTTCTCTTGACTCCACAAACAAATGTCACGCTGAAATCGTTTGACCTTCAGTTCCTGAACGAAGAATCAAAGAATGAGCAATCAGCACAAACTCAAGAACGCCAGCCTCCTCAACAACAACCTCGAGACGAGAGTAATAAGCGTCCGACACAAGAGGAACCACATTTAGGCATTTTGTGGACTCTGGTTATCTTTCAACTAGTCTTAATTACATTTATAATAGTTTTTGGGGTGTATCGGTATTCAAAGTATAAAAAGGAAATGACGTACAGCAAGGAACGGTTGGTGTACAACATTTACGCCTCTCCTAGTGACTCAAATATTCCAGAGTCGACTAGTAATGGTAGTTCTGGAGCTTACAAAGTCAACTCAGTAACTCCAATTCCGGATTACATGAACCACGTTTAAAAAATGAATAATTAAGCTGTAAAAACACATGAGAAAAAAGAATAAAACCAACATTCTGAATTGTGTTATCCTTGCAAAAACTGTTCGTATATATTTGAAATCCACAATTTGTACCAATCCACTATGACTGACTAGTCTATAACATAATCTATAATCATTCATGATTAATACGAAACAATCTAGCAAGAAATTCAGTATTTTTACAAAGTTCTATGAAATTGCCAAAGTTAGTTCGTGTTGTGTGCGAGTGTGCAAGTGATGTGATTGCCTTCTAGGAAGTGGGTGGAGTTTCCTGGTTTGATTAACCCTTCGCCCCCTCCTTCGCCATTGGCATAGACGAGGAAGCCGTAGCCCTTGCTGAGCCCGGTATTTCGGTCGAAAACAACGCTGGCATGGGTCACACGACCAAACGATGAACCAAACTGACGCAGCTCGGTTGTCCCCACGGTCCAGGGTAGATTCGCAACAAAAATCCGCGTGGCATGTCGTGCAGCGGAAGAGGACATGGTAAATTTCTTCCTGACAAATACAAAATGTTTTTCAATCTTTTACAAAGTCATTTTCCGATAAACATTACTAAAATTAAAAGTTATGCTATACCACAGGTATACTTACAAGAATGGAATTGAGTCAATTAGTAAGTGTTCCTCGTCAAACTAATGTCCACCAAAAACGGTTCTAAAATTATATTTCTATTTTATTTATTTTTGCAGGCAGAGTGCACACACGGTGTGAAATGGGTGCCGGTCACTGCAGTGGAGGAAGTTGAGACAGGTTTTGAGTATCGTGTTAGTGAGTGCCTATTGTAGTTTGTGCATATGATGTGCTATAGTAAGTTGTGGTGGTGGTGGAAGAATGGCCGTCTCTTCCACTATTATTTGCTCCACTCTGATTTCTCGAATATCAAAATAATAATAACAAACAACAACAATAGGGTTGACGGTAATGCAGAAAAGTTAACCCCGGAAGTAATAAGTGCCACTGTTCGCAAGAAGGGTGAAGGAAACAATATTGCGAGGAGGAGAAGAGGAAAACGAAATCAGCTGTTTCGGAATTTTATAAACAAATTGTATTCTACACAAACACAAACAATGTAAGTTTCTAATTTTTCTGTAATTTGGATAATCTGCGTTTATTGTAAAGAGAGCAAATTGAGGTATTACTAATAACTTGGTAGGAATGTAAAATCAAAATCTTGTACTTGTACATTCCTACATTTAACGTCTCTTGAGACGTTAAATGAATGTGTAATTTAGTGTATTAATGAAACTCGTAGATATTCAATACATATGACATTTGTAACGTTCACCGTTACCTGGAATGGAATCTTGGAACTGGTTTGATAAGCAAGAGATAACCATGTATAAGCATATTAGTTAACGTGGTACGATATCAACTACAGCAGCAGCCCAACAGGCTTCAGTTATCTATTTGCTCTATTTAATCTTTGGTCAAATATTAAATGTTTATTTTAGTACTAAATATTTGATACGATTTAGATATTGATTTAATTTACTTATATGCACTAGGTTATAGTGAGAAGCAGCACGTGTCCGAATGAATACGTGTAAATGCCTTTTCTGTTGGAGCAGACGAATAATTGTAAGCGTACTGGAAAACTATGCAATTCATCAAGACTATTAATACCACCATCCATATATGTAAAAATACTTGTACAAAATCCAAAAGACTAAGGGTAAGATTTTTTCAAATTTTAGTAAAATAGTACATACACCGGGCCACTATTTCTAAATTCAATAATCTCTCTTTCAATTACAGCAGATGATTAAATAAATGGAAAAATCCCTAACTAAAAAGGAGCGACAAGAACGTGGCCATTTGAAGAAGAATGGACAACGAAGTAAAGCCACCGAATCCGAGCCCCCCTTTTAGATTTCGAAGACCGTGGGAAACTCCTCCTCGTGAAGATGAAGAACAACCCACGTCTAACCCAACTGCTCATGCTGTGCCAATTACTGTAATTAAACGTGAAGATTACTCTTCCCAGTCTCCAATAGACAGAACCAAGGATGTACTACTACAACAAATAAAAGTAGAAAAGGAGGAAAGCTCAGACGAGGTTGAAGTTTTCAGCTTTGATAGGGAGAGGTTGGTGTTAACATCAGAAAAAGTACGAGTAAAGAGAGAATCAACATCAACCGAAATCACAAATTCGCCATTAACATCTTCATCCATTGATGTGGAGGGGTCCGCAAGTTCAAAACAGTCTTCCGGAAATTCCAATTCATCTTCCTCGCGATTCATGTGTAGCAGTGAGTCCTCATCTGGGTCATCTTCTTCAGATTCAGATGACCGGAATCGCCGACGAAAAAATAAGCTGAAAACTAGACTACGTCTAACCCGAAATAAAGCTAGACAACAACAAAAAGAAAATGACGATAAATGCCACAAAAACGATGCCAGGATTGTTCCTCCGCCCAAGAGTATTAAAGTAAAGGTGGAGATTGACCCACAAGAGGCCTTTGACGATGATGAAATTGAAAATGACGAGTTGCTTGATGTCAATGACAGCAACAACAGCAATAGTGAGTTGGGTGATGATGATGATGAGGAGGATGATGATGATGAATTTGACGGGGATGAACGTGCGGTGAAATTGAGATTACCGGATTTTCCAGATGGACGAAACCGTGAAAGAAAAAACAGCAGATGGGCAGATTACGGAGTTACGCGAAAGTCGAGCCGCTTGAGATCTACAAAAGCCTTTTGCAATAAATCCCATAAAGCTCAAGTCTTGAAGAAATTGACATCCTTGCTGAAAAAAGACCCAGACGAACTAACTGAGGAGGATAGGGTTAATTTGGCAGCATTTCCAGAACTGGCCGAAGAGGCCAAGAAACGACTTAATAAACGCCACTTGGCATCTGAGCGGATGAAAGAGGAAGAGGATCCTAGTGATCAATTAGATAAAAAATGTGACCGCCTTGCCCAAGTGATATCACGGGCCAAGTATGTTGTTCTCTACACCGGAGCTGGCATATCTACTTCCGCGTCTATCCCAGATTATCGCGGTCCAAACGGAATTTGGTGAGTCTAAGCATTTATTTGTAACTGTTTGTAATCGTCTCCGATTAATTATTTTATGGTTGTTGTAAAACCAAACGAACTACCAGCTTGAAAGGTTCTACTTCTTAAAAAGATTGGGTCGTTGCTTAAAAATACTACTACTGTGGTGTAAATGAAATTTGTATAAAAACTCAAACTTTAATTTTACTCACATCGAGCAATAACAAATCAATTTATTTAATTATTTCAATTTAATTAAATACTAGACAAAACCTTTACTCTTTCTTGATGCTCTCTCGCATACATACATTTACCTACTCACTGACAAAAGAAAGATCTGGAAAAAATGCTGATACCACCAGCGCTCAATTTAAATTCTTGGGGAAAAATAAGACTATGAATTCAAACATCCTCCCACTTCTTTTGGGAGAGAATGCGGACAAAAGAACAATACTACATTCATAAAAATTTCACATATTCACATAAAAATTACACTCCAAATCTCTCAGGGTTCCTAATCTGTCTTCCAAATCTTGTACGCACATTTTCTTCTTTCTTGGCGTCGACTGACTCCCACACTTGCGCTGATATCTTCACTCTATTTTGAATTTGGGGAATCTCTTCAGTTGACACCTCCAGGGGGAACAGTCTCTGCAAAGGTCGAGTCAGCAGTCCATTCGCCGTCTTGAGTTTGGCTACTCTCACATGACCGTCCCTTCCAACAATCAGTTCCAGAATTCTTGCCATCGGCCAAATGATCCTTCTCTTGTCATCTGAACCGATGAGCACAACATCGCCGACTCGAAACTCTGGCGATTTCTTCTCTTTTCCTCGTTGAACCAGTTGAGACAGGTACTCTTTAACAAATCTTGACTTCAATTCTTGTCTCAATTGGCGTAGATCTCGATATTTGCTCCTCAGTGCTTGACCATCCAATAATTCCTCTTCAGGGAAATCCGCTTCGGTGATGTCGTGAAGAAACATCGCAGGCGTCAGGGGCACTAAGTCATCTTGTTCTTCTGACATATAGGTCAGAGGACGGCTATTGACTACCGCCTCCACCTCAAACATACACGTCTCCAACTCAGCAAGGTTTAGCTTCTTGCGTCCCAGCATTCGCTTCATAATATCTTTGCAACTTCTTATTAACCGCTCCCACCATCCGCCCCACCACGGCGCTGCGGGTGCGCTGAATTTCCACTTAATTCGACTCACTCTGGACTCCTGTTCAATTCTCTTCCAGTCCATCAGCTTAATTGCATTATTCGCACCTTCAAAATTGGTGCCATTGTCCGAATAGATGATGGCTGGTCTTCCTCTTCGACTGATGAATCGGTGTAAACTTAACAAAAAATCCTCCGTTGATAATGATGACACTAATTCCAAATGAATAGCTCTGTAAACTGCACAGGTATACAGCACCATCCAGGCTTTTGACCCATTTTTCAGGAAGAACGGTCCTGCTAGGTCAATCCCCACCACTTGAAACACCTTCGCGGTCGTCGTCACTCTGTCCTCGGGAAGTGGGGGGCACGGAACTTCTGATTTCTTAGTGGTAAAACGGCGACAGATCACACATTGCCGGATCACCTTCTTAACTTGTTGTCGTAAATGGATTATCCAAAAACGCTCCCTTAACTTGCTCATTGTAATGCTTAATCCTGCATGCATATTTAGAATATGCTCCGATCTAATTAAATGCCAAACAACAGGATGATTTGATGGCAGCAAAACTGGCTTTCTAAATGATTCACTCTCTGGCATGTTCGTAATCTTGGTCTTAATTCTGAGCAAGTCGTCTTCTCCTCGAACAACTTGTAAATTTTCCACCACATTTTGATTAAGGGGAAAAGATTCTTCTTGTATCTTGTGGAACATAAAAGTTTCAGCTTCTTCAATTTCTCGCTGTTCTAATTCGCCAACTATCTTCTCTCCTTTAAATCGACGGATGCTGCGCTTCAACATCGCAACAACACGAACATTCTTCACAAAAGAACATGACATCTCTCCATACCAGGGCGTAGATGGCAACGTCGCAATAAGTGACACTTTTGCCACTTTCTTCATTTCGGCACGAACTTGATCATCATCCGCTTCTTCTTTACTTGATGGCCATTCCGATTTTGGTTTCTTTAGCCAATCCGGGCCCGCCCACCATTTAGAATTGATAAGATGAGAAGGACTGCATCCTCTTGAAGGTAAATCGGCTGGGTTGAGGACGCCCGGCACATGGTTCCATTCCATGGAATTACTGAGGGAACATATTTCCTTAACTCGGTTTCCCACAAATGTTCCCCATTTATCATTGCGCTTTATCCAAGCCAGCGCTGTCGTCGAATCGCTCCAGTAAAAAGTTGGGGTCTCCTCCGCGGACAAGGCCTCCTTCACTGATTTCGAAAGTCTGGCAGCGATGGTACATCCTAATAGTTCCAGTCTCGGAATTGTTACCTTCTTCATGGGGGCAACTCTCGCCTTAGCTTGTAACAATTGGACTGAAACTTGTTCATTATCTTCAACTCGTACAAAAACGGCGGCGGCATACGCATGTTGACTTGCGTCACAAAGTACATGAAACTGGCGATTGCTTTCATAACTTGAGCAAAATGCCCACCTCGGAATTTTCATTTCTTTTAATAGCTGAGCCTGAGTCCACCAATCTTCAAATTCTTTCTTAATTGTTGAATCCAACTCTTCATCCCATGAATTCTTCTCCGTCCAGGTCTTTTGCAATAACAGCTTTGGGATGATGGTGGTTGGACTTAAATACCCCATCGGGTCAAAAAATTGTTTCACTTTTGACAACATCACTCTCTTGCTAATATTCTCAATCTTTTCTTCTTTCGGGACGGAGACTGATAACTCATCCTTCTTCTTGTCCCAGTTCAGTCCGAGCACTACAGTTGTCTCTTGACCATTTTCATCCTTATCAAACTGCTCGAAACTGATCCCAGCGGCCCCAGAGGAAGAACGTTCCCATTGACGAAGCTCCATCCTGGCGTCGCACATCATCTTAAACTCTTGAACTTTTCATATTCTTCTTCCGTGTCAACTGACGTGACACAATTGTCCACATAAAGAGAACGCAGGAGCTTATTTGCATACTCCTTTTCTTCTCCAGTAACCTGGCTCAAATGGTACTCGATAACAGCTCCGAGTAAGAATGGGCTGCACTTGACCCCAAAAACGACTCGCTTATGTCGATAAATCTTCATTCTTGGATTTTCTTTATTATTCCACCACAGGAAACGCTGGAAATCTTGATCCGGCTTCGCAACTTCGATCATTTGAAATGCTTTTCTAATGTCAGAAATGACACCAATTTTCTTTTCGCGAAATCTCAACAGAATTGCAGGTATGAGCTCCAATAAGTTCGGTCCTTTCTCCAACAAATCATTCAGTGACGGGTTTCTTCCATTCTTACAGGAAGCGTCATAAACGGGACGAACTGGAGTTGTCTTGCTCTCTAATTTGTAAACTGGACGGTGGGGCAGGTAATGACAAGGCCTGTCCACGCCTCCAACTACTTCTTCAATTAATCCTTCCTTCTCCCAATCTTGAAATACTTTATCATAAAGTTCATAATTTCCTCTCGTAATTTTGTAGTAGTGGAAATTAACCTCTTCTCCGCGACGACCTTGTTGTCGGGAATGGTCCTTTCTTCATCAACCCAGGGAAGCGCCACGGCGTATCTTCCTTCTTGAGTTCTTGAAACTGTTCTCAAAAAATGCTGTCTTGCTTCTTCTTCCTTTTCATTCTTGGTTTTATGCTCGGTTGGATCATTGATTCCAAGAGTCTCGAGCTTCCATAAATCCTGGACACATGCTTCTGCATTGAATAATGAGTGATGAATCGTCATCACTCCCATGCTGACTTCTTTTCCTGGGACAGGTCCACTCAGGGTCCATCCAAACACTGTCTCCACTGCGACAAGACCACACGATAACATTAACGGTCTGCCACACACAAATTGTCCCCAATAATCACTTCCGATTAATAACTCGATATCCGGGTGGTCCACATGGCTCATCTCAAAATCTGACAGAAAAATCTTCCTCTTCTTCAACTCATTCATCCACGGACCGGCGGGAATTCTTGGAATGTCTCCACAAATAGTTGCGGACTCCCTCAAAATTACGTCTCTCTTGAATCGCCCATCGAGGCTTTGAACTTGCACTTTAAATTTCTTGATTTTCCTCGGCTCCGTCAAAATTCCACCAAACAGAACGTTACGAGTCCATTCTTCTCCCACGAGTGGACTTCCGATTGCAGAGATCGTCCTCTGACCACCGCTGCTCTGCTGGTTTCCCTCGTCGAACAGCAACCTCACTATTCTTGTTCCTTTAGGACCAGCCATCTTCACCAACAACGTCTTCATTAATACATCTTTGCTGCAAGAATGGTTGGCATTTGCTGCTGTCGCTGGGACATCACTGTGTACCTCTTCTCTTCCGGTATTGTTCCTTTGATTTGACGGAAGTCTTGCACACATTGACCTTGCATGGGGCTCGCCACATGATGAACATTTCAACTTAACTTTACAGTCTGATTTACGATGTCCAAATTTCAAACACCGATAACACAAATTCTGGCTTCTTATCAGGTCACTCTTCTCTGACCAACTCATCCTATCCGCTCGATAACACTCGGTACTTGGATGGTTGGATTTGGAGCAAAACACGCAATTGCTGATCTGCGCCACTAACAATCCTGCTGCGGTTGGGATTGAATCTTTCTTCTTCCATGATTTTCATATTTTTCTTTCTTGGACTTGCCAGAAGAATCACCTCCAATAAACATCTTCAGTTTTGCTTCTCGTTCCACTTCCTGTCGGAGGAATTGCATTAAATAGTCGAGTCTTGACTTTGGTGGATTAACTTTCGCACCATCTTCCTGGTACAATGGAGATCGATACCAGGCATTAAATATTTCCTTAGGTAGACTGGTCTCAATAATGGGGCGAAGAAACAAAGTATCTCTTTCAGACTTCACTCCCAACGACTCCAACGCCTGCAGCTGCGTTTGAAGACGATCGTAAAACTTCTCCAATGATAACTTCTCTCTCTCGAACAAAAACTGTGCCAGCTCTCTTGTATACAGGTCAACAAGGATGTCTTCTTTTCCGTACCTTTCCTTTAATGCTCCAATAGCTTTCGGATAATTTGCATCCGTCTTCGGATAACTTCTGATAAGATCAGCGGCCTTTGACCCGCTGACCATACTCTGCACTAAATAATGGAACTTGTCCGTCACATGTAAATCTTCATCTTCATCAATCTTCTTAAATTGCGCCCACCACTCCAGCCAGTTCTTGATCTCCCCGTCAAACTTCATTAACTCGATCTTTGGTAGCTTATAATTCTTCTTAAGAAGTCCTCCACTAGCAGTGCTGTAGGAACTATTTGTCGGGCTTGCTGATCGTTCTGGACCAAGGAACTTTTCAACTTTGTGGCGCACAAATCTACACTTATCATTGTATCCTTCAATTGATCTTGATTCTTCTAAATAATCTTCTTCAGTAAGTTCTTCGTTGTCTAGAATAGCATCCAAAACTTGCTTATCCAAATCCAACACGGTGTCGGTAAGCTCGATCAACTTCTTCAACTTCACAATCAGGACGTCCTTATCTCGATCTTCTTTCGTCATTTCCTCATCCAGCTCGTTGACCGTCCTAGTCATCATGGCTCGAATGGGTGTGCGCTGCTTCTTTAGACGATCCATCCTGTCTCGAACCGAATGAAGCCAGCAAAGAAAAAACAATTAGTTTAATCTACTCTCAAATTCTCCAAAATATCGACGATCCCACCTAGGTAGGCTACGCTCAAGGCCGTAGCAAACCGTAAATTCAATTTTATTATTGATGCAAGATCCACACGGGTTGCTCCTCCCACTCGACCTCTGAAATCAGTCCTCGGTGGTAATGACGGGGCGGTCCACTCTTGTCCTTCTTGCTTAAAAACTGTAATCCTCCCACTCGTCCTTTGCTTCCTCGAGGGGATGATGAATGCACTCTTTCACTTTACACTCACAGATAACTTCACTGCACTTTAACAACTACCTCAATCACGTCGAGGTCACCAAATGTTGTAAAACCAAACGAACTACCAGCTTGAAAGGTTCTACTTCTTAAAAAGATTGGGTCGTTGCTTAAAAATACTACTACTGTGGTGTAAATGAAATTTGTATAAAAACTCAAACTTTAATTTTACTCACATCGAGCAATAACAAATCAATTTATTTAATTATTTCAATTTAATTAAATACTAGACAAAACCTTTACTCTTTCTTGATGCTCTCTCGCATACATACATTTACCTACTCACTGACAAAAGAAAGATCTGGAAAAAATGCTGATACCACCAGCGCTCAATTTAAATTCTTGGGGAAAAATAAGACTATGAATTCAAACAATGGTCATGTACGAAATGAGGTTAACACTAACAGGCAAGTGTGGGTATTTAACATTATGGTATCGATAACACCATAATTTATTTTCCACAGTCTTTGCAGGCACATGTAATATGTGATAATATGATATATCTATATATGATCATATCTATGTTCTGTCCAGCAACAGATAATAGTAACTATTTTATTTTGTACTCATTATTAGGACTCTGCTAAGAAAAGGCCAGACCATTGCAGATGACTTGAAGCAAGTAAGTAAATTCAAACTAACAAAGCGTTCAACAAATTAGTAACATGAACATTTTAAGTTAGTCGTTTCTGTGTAGTTTTCTCCTGACTTGTTTAAAATTACGTCGCTTTGCATTAAATTACCATAATATTAATCAACCTTTCTTTCAAGTTTCCGCAATCTGCTGATCCCACGTTCACACATATGGCCATCAAAGAACTTTATGAAAGAGGAATGATTAAGCACATTGTATCTCAAAATGTGGATGGACTTCACCTTCGTTCCGGGATACCAAAAACAGCGCTTAGTGAAGTGCATGGGAACATGTACATTGAAGTGTGCCTAGAGTGTCACCGGTGAGTATGACATAGTTGTCGTTGCGAATTTCTTTATTTCGTTCCTTATTCCATTTTGTTCCACTTGCAGAGAGTATGTTCGATTGTTTGATGTCACCGAAAACACTAAACGTCATCACCACAAAACTGGAAGGTATTGCTACCATTGTGGAACTCCATTGAAAGATTCCGTTGTTCTTTTCGGAGAGAAGGGTTCTCTGAGGTAATTTAAACTTTGTAAATTGACATTGAAATTTTAATGCATCGTTCGTATAAATAATAATTATCATAAATTTTAATTTGATAATAATGTATCTTGAATAGGTGGCCCATCAACTGGGCAGGGGCAGAATATAATGTGGACAAAGCAGATGTGATTTTGTGCTTGGGTTCTAGCCTGAAGGTACGTTTTTCGTACACACATTAGGAATATAATGGAAAAAAAATTAATTTCATTGGTAATTTTTTGTAGGTACTTCGTAGATATCCGTGGTTGTGGTGTATGAGTAAGCCTGTGAAACAACGCCCAAAATTGTACATTGTGAATCTACAATGGACTCCAAAGGATAGATTTGCAGCCTTGAAAATTAACGGTAAACAAATCAAATGGGTTAATTTTGGTTAATTCTTCGTTGACTTATGACAATTATTAGTATAATCTATTATTTACTGAATGAATCAGGTCGATGTGACGAAGTGATTGCAAAAATCATGGACAATCTTAGCATCTCGGTTCCTATATACAAGCGTGAACTAGACCCAATATTCTCAATTGCGACTCTACTCCATTCAACGGAATCCTCCACAAAACTTTCTAAAGATCTCAATCTTCCTGATGGTGTTGCATATCCTCAGAAATCTACTGATCTCTGCAACTACTTTCGATTTGAACCTGTGTTCTGCAAGGAAGTCAGAAGTTTAAACGAAGTTAAAAGAAAAGTTGTAGATGGTGAGAAAGAGGCTGAAAAGGATGGAGTTATAAATCCTAAAACAAAATTCTGTGGAATTGGATGGTTAGGTAATGCCTTGTCTGGAAAACCCAAGAAGAAGAAAGTGAAATCATAATTTGACGAAACTTTGTACGTATTAATATACTCAATAATAATGGTTATGGTCTCGTTTTTATTTGTATACCCATGCTTTTAAGTCGTCGTCCACACAATTATTATTCTATTTGTTTTTTAGTATATGTAACTGCTCATTTTTTAATATTATTATATATTTTGGACACCGGGTATTTTTTATGATACTCTTTTATTTTGTATAGCACAACAGTCAGTATTTTTTACATTATTTCACTCTAGCAAAATGTTTCTGTTTTTTATTATCTAGATGACGAAACGCAAATATTCTATTTTACACTTAGACGATTAATGAAGATTACTACATGTTTTGGTTGTTATTATTATGCTACATTGAAGTCATATACATATGTGTATGTACTTGGGTCATAAAAGTTAGTGAGAGATAACCTTACTTTACGGATAGTACTTTCATACTTTCAGTTAGTTCTGAATTTTTTGTCCATCGGTAATTATGTATTTGCGCATAAGCGATTCTGGTATTGTGTTAAATATGAGGGAAAAGAAATATGCGAAATCACTAAAACTCGCAAATAATAATAAAAACTGATCTATGCAAACCGTACATTGTTTTAGGAGTTGTCTCAAGTTTTACAAAGCTCATATCCACAACATGTATATTACGAGTGGTGAGGAAAATGAGACTAGATTTGTTGGTAGAGAACCATCCACTGCCACCTACTCAGCTCTTACTCAAGTAAATCGAGGGGCTTCTCCTGGGAAGAGTTAAATTGGCCGCAGCATTGAACACGCTTTCATCAATCCGTGTTCCTCTCGTTCCATCGTTCAGGGAATATTCCCGTTTTTCATCCTGGATAGATAGTAACTGAAATTTAAAAACATGGTAAATCATAGGATCCCCACGGTCCAGAGGAAGACCTACGTTACTCCAAGAAGACCCTTCGAAAAGGCTCGGTAAGTCTATTTCATCAAGTTTTAGCCTCCATTATCGCCGTGTCTAAAACTTATTTACCGGCAGTTAATATGGTCAATGAATAGAAATTGATGGCAATTATCCATGTTTATCTAGTTTGGACCAGGAGCTCAAGATCATCGGAGAGTACGGTTTAAGGAACAAACGAGAGGTATGGCGGGTCAAATACACACTGGCGAAAATCCGAAAGGCTGCTCGAGAACTGCTTACCTTGGATGAGAAGGAACCTAAGCGATTATTCGAAGGTGAGAGTAATATTTGAAATTAGAGAATATCATCCTTTTCATTTGTTGTAGGCAACAAATTACAGCAGTTATGTGATGAGACATTACTTGACACCTCTTGTATGAGGCCGTATTTTATACATTATGATTAAAACTTTAATATATTGTTCTGATAGTAAAAGGATGTGTAGGAAAAATATTCTCTACAATGTTAGTTCGAAATACTTTCTAACTTAAAGACTTTTTTTGTGCAGGGAACGCGCTTCTTCGTCGTTTGGTACGGATTGGAGTGTTGGAAGAAAGCAAAATGAAGCTCGATTTCGTCTTGGGTCTCAAACCTGAAGATTTCTTGGAGAGACGTCTCCAAACCCAAGTCTTCAAATTGGGATTAGCAAAGTCGATCCATCATGCACGCGTCCTCATCCGTCAAAGACACATCCGGTAAAGAATTAAACGAGTAAAAATGCAGAAAACATGATTAAGGATATTAGTTTACGCAAATGAGTACCTCCTGAAATTGCGTTAAAATGGTTGGAGATATTTTGCTATCCATGACCTTATAGCTTTTCAGGCAGATAAATGGTTCTGGTCAAAGTGACGGCTAAGATTGTTCATACTTTGACCGACTCATAGTCCAGACACAACCAGAGCAGATGCTTTATCAATATATTTTACAACTTTAGTAGTTGTACTAATGCTCAATTGTCGAGTGGAAAAAATAATATTATTATTCTTTATTTTTCAGGGTACGCAAACAGGTGGTCAATATTCCATCATTTGTTGTTAGACTCGATTCCCAAAAACACATCGACTTCTCTTTGAAGTCGCCATTCGGAGGAGGTCGAGCTGGACGAGTCAAGAGGAAAAACTCGAAGAAAGGACAAGGAGGTGGAGCGGCTGAAGAAGAGGACGAGGATTAAGCCATTAGTTCTCCCTTCTTTTGATACCACTACATTGTATTCCTCAAATTAAGAAACTGGGTGAATAAATGGCATAACTGTTGAAATTTAGTAGCCTATGATGATTGCGTACAATAATTAATTAAGTAATCACATGATCCGCCCATGCATAATTTATAACGACATCAACTAAACTGTTTTAGAATCATCTCGTATGTGTTCATAAAATAGCGTTTATTGATATTGATTTTATAATTCATTAAAATTAGATAAGTATCCAAGTAAAAAGTCACAACGGAATGCGTTCAAAGTGATCGAAATTGGCAATAAATTCTGACTTCTTGGTGACAGTCTCTGTGGGACCAAAGTCCCGTACTTGACCGTCCTCTAGCAGCAGAATTACATCACAACGAGATAAGGCTGACATGCGATGTGCAACGAGAAAAACAGTAGCATCTTCAAACTCTGTTGCGAGTAAACGATCAATGACTGCACCCGTTTCAGCGTCGACACTACTTATTGCCTCGTCCAAGAACACTACTTTTGCATTACGAAGGAGAGCTCGAGCCACACAGAGGAGTTGCTGCAATAAACAGAAAACTCGACAAAGTTTTTTTATCCATAATTATTCCTTACCTGTTGACCTAAGCTGAACCCCATCTCGGTATCCAAACTTTCTACAACGTCAACCAGCCCAACCTTTCGTAACACTTCCCACAGTTTCGCATCGCCATGTTCTTCCCCTGGGTCCAAGTTATGGCGCACGCTAACTGGGAAGACGGCAGGTTCTTGTGGAACGACGCACAAGGATTCCCTCAGCCTTTTCACCGGCACGGTTGCAATGTTAACTCCGTCAAGGAAAATTTCACCGCTCCAAAGTTCATTGAGACGGAAGAGAGCGTTGCCCAAGGAAGTTTTACCACAACCTGTTCGCCCAACGACACCAACTTTTTGGCCAGGCATTACCTCAAATGAGACTTGATTCAGGGCCGGTCTGGCATCGGACGAATATGTCAACGTCACAGCGTCATATTTAATTCTCCCAGAGAACGGCCAAGTAGATAAGAGTGGATCGTCGTCAGAGGAGGAGTAGTTTGCATTATTACTATTGTTAGGATAGATATCCCTCCCTTCTTCTGTGGGTATCATGAGGAATTTGTGGATTCTACGATTATATATTTGGTACTGAGTTCGGGCGCATAAAAATTAATAGTGTATAAAATATATACATACCTTTCCACTGATACAAACTTTGCTTCTGTCTCTGAAGCTAAACGCACAGTAAATTGGAATACCTTTAAATTTAATAAAATTGATATTTAGAAATTGCTCAATTAAGAATCTTAATTGCACAATCCCAGTGCAAAGTAATAAATAATGATTTGCACCCCAGAGAGTTGGGCCGCATAAGCGAGTGCGAGGCCGGCGGCTGCGGCGGACACGGATCCGTGGAAGAGAAGGACCAAGATGGCCGTTAATCCGGTGACCGCTACGGCCAAGCAGTCGAGTCGAATAGCGAGCCAGCGGATGGCGCCGGACGACGTGTAGGCGACGGCCTGAAAATCGTCAACCGACTCTTCGAAGGATCTGGTGAGCAGGGTTTGCTTGCCATATGACCGAATAGTCGCCAGCCCCTGAATGGTTTCCCCCATTTTGGAGAAAATAGGCGTCTTGGCTTCTGTTTCCACTAATGAAATGATAACATTACATCAAACATTTTATAAGCACGCACTTCCATTTGTAGTTCATTTCCAATTACTATTTCTTGTGTTTGCTTCATGCACGTTATTAAAATAAAAATTACCCCGTTTTAGAACTCGTATTGCCGATTTGTAAATGGAACGGACCCATACGAAGATGAGAGAGAGAATGGCAAGGGGGGCAAGAAATATGGGGAAGACGATTGATACGAGACAAAATATTGCCAAAATAATGAATACATTTTGTAGAAACTGTTCCAATGTGGTGGGTAAACTCCAGTCAACTACAGAAAATTGTTATATTCGTAAGCGAAACTTGTGAGGAATCTAATGAAATTTGTCCAAATACCTTCACCAATATCCCTGGAAAATAGGTTAACTAAGTGACCAAATCCTAAACGGTCAACCACTTTGAGGCGACTCCGAAAAAGATGCAAAGACATTTTTTCATGAATTGATTTCGAGGCTTTAACACATGTCTGCAATATATAAGAATATGCATTGATTTAGTGAGAGTTGATAACCAATTATCTGAATTATGTGCTCCTCACAATAGCAAAAAATACGGCGCGGAACAAAGCTGTGATAAAGATGACACCGATCATGGCTGCATACACGTTCCGATACATCACAAAGCGGTTATCGTCTTGATCCGCGCTTATGATTTCTTCAGGCTGTTGAATTATCTGGCTGGGAGGCGTTGAACCATCCGTTGCATTGCTGCACATTACAAATATTGTTTGATTTATGCAGTTCAAATTATGAAAAATTAATTATGTACGGGTTTATATATTTATGTACATATGTACTTCAGCATAATCGGAGGGAATGATGGAGTTCTGAACCAGTATTTCAACCACCAAGAGGAAAATGCAGTGGATCCAATGGAGATGGCAAAAACGAAAAGAAGAGCCAGCATGACAAGTATGCCACCCGCTCCACCCACCCAGAGATTTACCACTGACCACGGAATGGACCCTTCATTGCTAGCAGGCCCCTGGTGGGGGCTATCCCTTTTCTTTCGTAGTGTGGAACACGCGTCGATGTCAGAGAACGACTCAACTTTTTCTTCCAATCTACATGAAACACAATATTGAGACTACTGCGACTAAATAAATTATGACCATTGGACAATTATTTTATGCATACGAATATGTGAACCGACTCACGAAATATGAGAGCTCTGAGAGTGAAGAAGTTGTGCGTAGTTCTTGTGTGGCGACGTGGTCTGACGGAGAATAAGTTCTTGATGAGTTCCTGACAGAGCAATAGTTCCTCCTTGGAGGAGGACGACTTGGTCACATTGTTCCAGAAACTGGGGTAAGTGCGTGGATACGACGAGTGTATACTGTCGGAGAAGCCCTTTGACCACACGGTCCCAAATCGTTATGGCCACCTTGGCATCCAGTGACGAGAAGGGGTCATCCCACACAAAAATATCACGATTGAAGGAATATACTGCTCTTGCAAGTGCCACTCTTGAGCGTTGTCCACCGCTTAGATTGCTCCCATTCCCATCAATCTCTGTGAGATCTCCAAGGGGCAGACTTCCAAAGTCTGGAGTTAAACAACAAGCATCCACCGTGTTGTAATAACGTATGGAATCAAATGGTTCTCCAAATACGATATTTTCTCGGATTGTGCCCTTGAATAACCACGGCGTTTGCGGAACATATGCTACACGACCTACGACGTGAAGGTAGCCCTCGGTTGGCATGATACATCCCGCTATACCTTCTAATAAGGTACTCTTGCCTGGAAATTCCGAAATGCATTGTGCAACCTATAATTATGTTTTTGATTGTATTTAATATGCGTATGATTATGATTATGGTTACCACTTCCAACACAACCGCAGACTCCCACAATGCTACCTCTTTTTATCACAATAGTTAAAGAATTGAGGTGGAAACTGCCAACGTCGTGGTGGCCTTTGTCTAAAAGCTTTGACTCATCAGCATCAGCTTCTTCTACTCGGCGAGCAATTGTCAATGTCGCGTTTTCCAGCTGGACAGCAGCATCGGGGTCGAGACGATCACTGGATAACCAGTGGTTATGACAGTCCCCAACTTCTGGGAGACGAAGCAGGCTCTATTTAAATATGTGAAAGTATGTTCTTGTTATGAAGATATATAATCGACTACCTGAAGTCTTTGAGTTGAAATTTTTGTGTTATAGCGAATGTCGGCCAATTGATTCACCGCCCGTACTGAATACCCAACCAGCGAGAAGACGAACAGGATGGTAAAACACTGGATGGAAAATGAAGTATTTAATAATGCATTGAAACCTAAGGCTTATCACTGACAAAGCCAGTAATGTACAGTGAGCGGAACATCTGTTACCTGAGCGGGGGTAAGCGTTCCAGAATTGAGATAAATCAGGAATGTGATAATGACTCCAACATGAGGCAGCGTCGGCCCGAGAACGGTACTCGCACTACTCAGGAGACCACTTCCTCGAAGGCACGTGACCTCACGCGCCCTAAATTCTGTAAAAAATCAACGACACTCTAGTGAAAAAATTGTGCTAATAATGATTGGTGCAGTCCGAAATAATTAAATCCGTACTTGCGACAAGTCGATGAAAATGTGGTTCCCAACCAAACATTTTGAGAAATTTGATATTGTGCAAGCTCTGAGTAAGAATTGAAATGCGAGAGTCTTGTGCCTCCATACCTCGTCGCCTAAAGGATCCACTTCCACGAGCCAACAAGTACTTGGCAAAAACAAAATTAAAAATTATGTACGCGCAATTTAAACTAAAGGAATCAAAAATTGTGGCATGCGTGGTCCAACAAATGCTTATTAGCTTGTCACCTGGAGGGGATAAGCCAGAGGGAAGACAATCATTCCTAGCAAGGAAAACCACCCCAACTCCCACACAATGTAAATTGCTGATAAGATGAGGACAACTGGTCCTGCGATAGCCACCTGACCTAACACCACCGCATCGTAGATTCTCCCACAGTCTGTTCCAATCACGTTTATCATCTGAAAATTTTGTATATCAAAGAATACATAGGACAAGTTATTATTAACCCAGTCAGTCTTTCTAAGTAAACACCATGACCTTATTTATTTTCGTATTGCTTTAATACCTTGGATGCCTCCGCTTCCCCAAGTGGACTATGAACTCGAAGAAGCTTCCTGTACACCAGCCCCATGGTGGCAGCCCTGAGACGAAGGGCTGTTCTGTAACTCAGAGCCCACGTGAGGGTGAAGAGAAGAACACGTCCAAATTCGCACAGGATAAGCAGACCGACCCAGGTCAACCCCTCCCATTTTCCAGCCTCAGAGGACGCTGTGAATGTCAGCACTCTCCTCATCAACAGCGTGGGGCCAATGAAGCCGAGGACGATGGAGGACAGGTAGACGAAGGTGGTAAAATAGACTCTTTTTCGAACCAAGGACCACAACGCAGTTCCCACAGGCTTTCCCCCCTCCAAGGCCAGCCGCAAGGTTTCCACGTTCCGCTCGACCCCCTCTCTTGACGACAACTGTGGGACAACATGGGAAGACATGATGTCATTCATCCAAGAGAAGGTGGCAAAGGAAAAGGGATTCGCCCCATCAGCAGGATGACCTCCGACATTTTGGCAAGGTCGGAGACTTTGTTTGGAGTCACTGGGTGACATCCTTCTAAAAATATTGGCAATAATAAACCCGAGCAATGATGAAAACAGTTATTCTTAGTAGAGTTGTCCTATTTGTAAGTTAAGTAATTCACTAAAAATATTCCCAAAACACGCGGAGCTTTAAACTGTTAATTGCGCTGTGTTTCTTATCAGCAATATGTACATATGTATGCAGTTATCTTCATATGTACACATTGTATTATCACCTGGTTGGGTTATGGCTCATACATGGATGGAAAGGGGAGTTCATAATTTATTTTAGTACAGCCAATGTTTTTTTTCTAGATACATGTATCTGTACTTTCATATTTGCATTCACCAACACCCGGGTATTCCCTTCAAATTCGGAGCCTATTGTTGAATCATGGGGATAAAATTAAAGTGCAGCAGTGTATACCCGAATACTAGCTCTGCTTTTTTATCGCATTGAATTTTCGTTTGAACATATTACGCCATAAATTATGCGTAAAGTTACTTCCTCAAATAACAAATGTTCAGCTTTTTACGAGTAAACCTGCAATTGTTGTGCGTCACTCGACTTACTCATGACCACGTCATGATGGGAAAATAGCTAGCACGCCCACATATCTACATATCCCGTCAGTCATGTCAAAATTCTTATGGTTTTGTTGCCACACAATATAAAAGCTACCATACGTCTTTTAGAAAACAAATATTTCGAACGTATATACATAAATGACAGTTTCTCTTAAAATAAATTAATATAGTAGTGTTCTGCATGTAAATAAAAGTGCATACATACATACATACGTATTTATACATATTTATATTTATAAATGACATTGTTTTAATCAATCATGTAGTAACACTTATCGTATTTCGAAAGTTATCTTGCAATTTTTGCATCAAGTAAAGTCGCAAATTCAGTGCCCAAGTACAACACTGACAATGCGATGACGCCAGCGGTTTCGCTCCGATTTTGATGAAACGACGATAATTATGTAGCATTAGACAAATAATTAAACACGTGTTTCAGGATTTTTCATAATGCTCAGTTTAAACGAAATTATGACGAAACCCGTGAGCGAAAATTCCCATTTTCACCGTGACATTTCTCTCGCAAGGGACAAAAATACAGATTCTCGCTGACGGATTCCAACCCAATTTCGTTTAAACTTAAAATGCTTGGACATGAAGTGTTTTTCTCCGATTTTGACCGGACCAATTTTATATTGCTCATACAAGGAAATAAGTGGAACCTAATTTATGCTTTTTTTGATTGAGCATTTTTGGTTGAGGCAGAATTTTCAAAGAAAATTTCAGCCAAAATCAGGATTTTTTTTAAATGCTGTTAATTTTTCAATTTTTACCCGGTGTAAAAAATGAAAGAACATTTTTCTACATAATTACATTGTGTAATTTTAGAAACATATATTTTTCAGAAACTTTCAGTTTTTCAAAATCTCTGGCGTATTGCATTTTTCAAAATTTTTCAAAACTTTTCAAAATTTGAAACTTTATGCAAGCAATTTCAAATCGAAAAAAAACACTTCAAATGAATTTAGGATGGAATTCGTAAGCGAGAATCTGTATTTTCTCCCTCGCGAGAAAATGTCACGGTGAAAATGGGAATTTTCGCTCACGGATTGCGTCATAATTTCGTTTAAGCTGAGCATTATGAAAAATCCTGAAACACGTGTTTAATTATTTATCTAAGGCTACATAATTATCGTCGTTTCGTCAAAATCGGAGCGAGACCGCTGGCGTCATCGCATTGTGAGTACTGAGTAAGTTCATCAGTGCAAGTACGTGAACATTTATTGCACTATATTGATGTCGCAATAAAGGTGCTTTCTCATGTGATTTCCTGCTCTAGTGTGATTCATACATAAGTAGATGCTTGGGATTATTGTTATGAGTTAATATGTGAATATGTTTTTACGCACTAGCAAATCTGGCTTTTCCAGCGGCCAAAAGTTGAAAGTAGTTTTGCAAGCAGAATATGTATGAAAATAGTCAAGAAAAACATTAACGAACACACGAGCAAGAAAGTTTATCTCCTAAGAATTGCATTAAGACGAGCGTGGAGATTTTTTATGCACAGATATTAACTCATATATGTATGCAGCAAGGTTTGAATGATCTTGAAACTGTAGCACCGTGTTTTAATTACAAATTCTTTAACATTTAAAGTTCAGCCTTAAAGTCATCGCACGGAGTTTTTAAATTTTACATTTATCTGTAAGCATATGCACGAGTTGGTTCATGTCTTTCACTATTTTTCCGTTCCATGAGAAATAAATTTCCCAACCCACGCTGAGCTACAGACAAGATAATAACAAGATTGATATCTGCACATATACTTACATAAATACCATGCCATAGATCCTCACAAAATGGCAGTCAGGTATGCACACCCATTACGCAGCTTTTCCTATCTGTATGTCTGTGCCCACTAACATTCGCTTCAGCTCTTGATATGAAATTACTTCTTTGTTTTTTGCTGCTTCTTGGCGAGAATTGTGATGATATTACCTATGCCCACAGGTCGAATGGATAGGTTAAGGTTAGTTGATGAGAGTGTTTTGTGGATTGCATTAAAATACAAGTATTACAATGGGTGTGTGGTGGTGTGATGTCTACTACATACGTAAGTTCTTACATATATGATTCTTTCCATTTTCTCATCATCAGTACAATCTGGACCAAGCAGCTTCACTGAATGAACAATTTTTGTGCAAATAGCAAAATTACCGACTGGTGCAACACAATTTTAACTACGACATAATCAAATCATTCAACTCTGATTGCTTTATTCTCCTGTAAAAATGGCATCTTGTCCAAAAATACTAAATCCCCACAAGTAAATACATACATAGTTTGTAGTTTTGTGCATCGACAAGTTTGAGTGAAGGATTAAACATCATCTTCAATCATCATCACCATACACTCGATCCGCATGCAGTAATATGTGCACTTTATCTGCTGCTTCTTTCTGCATCGAACATTGAACGACGGGTCAATCAAAAGTCATTCTTGTTCTTGGCATCATCATCAGGCACTAAAACGCCTCTATCGACTCCTCCGTTTTTGGACAAAGTAATATACGTACATCAAATTAGTGTTGAACTGAACTTGGTAAACGAATTTATTTATCCTCTACATCGAATGCCGATTTAACATCAGAGTGAAGAGTACATCAAATAAATATTTTTCCATTTCACGAAACCTGACCTGATCACCAGTTTCAATTTAATCTCTAGGAATAAATTGGACATTATTATTATGCATGCATGTGTAGAGTTGTACCTTAAATATGCACGCATCCAACCAAAGTTTTAGTGTAAGATCATCATCCACGCCATTCTGAAAGTTGTAGCAGAATCGTAATCAATACTGATTTCGTGAACCTCACTCTGACCTCTCTTTGCGCAAGAGATAAGCGACTGAGAGAGTAAAAATGGATAACCTATTTTAAAGACATTTATATTTGTGTACTTATTTATTTAGTTGCTGGCTCATCCTCCAGCCAGAACAGAATTGTTACCAGTCGTCACTTTGGATGTGGCAAATATTTAGTCCTTCCAGTAAAATAAAGTGTACATACTTCAATGAACACAAGTTAGTTTATTTATTATGAAGAACTGACCTTTTACTACTCTTGAGCCTTTGTTAAAGATTTGTGAAGAAGTGATAGCATTCAAGTTTAATGGTTATTGTTATATCCTGATACTATTGTTGTGCATTGATAATCGTTCTGACACATATTTATCCATGTATGTATGCCTGACAAAGTTATTAATGTACTCTCTCAAACCAAGACACATACAAATATTGTACGTTACATACATATGTACATAGCGCATAATTTTGGTGTCAGTGCTTGTGATTGTCTTTGACTGTTGATGATTAACAGCAATTGAAAACAAAAGTGTGAAGTCCATGTGCTAGATTTTACTTGTATAATGTTTATGGTCCGTGAATTCATTCATTAATTAAATTAAATATTAACTAAATTGATGATTTCAAAAACATTCGTAATTAAGTTTGACTCAAGTGCGAACAGTGAATGAACTTCTATTCTAAATACTTCGCATAGTGTAGATAGAAATCAAAAAGGATAAAAATATGATACGATATAACGTCAAACCCCCCGGAGGGGATGGTAAGAAATATATATTTAGTTTTTATACTAATTGTAAGCAATATATGGGACAAATAATTTGTCACAAATTTATACTCTTCCTGCTACGACAAAATGCTACAATGATTTTTTTCCATCTCAACTTTTTAGGCATAGTTTCCACAATGGTGAGATTGTGGTGGATGTTAATAAATAATTACCACACTTATCGATGGCTCTTGTCACAGACGGTGGGGTCTAGAAGGTTTTTCTTGCCCAGTAAGAAGAACAAAAATTATACTTGAAGCTACAAATCCAAATCTTGAGCATTGGATTTTACCACAAGTCCTACATACGTATATCCCCAATTTTCCGAATGCAATGCTCAATTTTTGTGGCCGAATTCATATTCAATGATTATATCTATGTTGTACATATATATACAAATATGGTACAATAAATGTACAATATTTTTATTAGGAAATGAGAAGCGTCGGGGAGAAACTGCAGGTACATAATTATTTTTCTAATTTGTAATATGCTTGTGTATTTGAATGAAAATGGATTTGCTGGATTTTTACACACTTGTATGAATTTTTTTTCGTAGTAATCACAGGAGGTTCTAGGGGAATTGGATTTGCAGTTGTGAAAAGGCTCCTCCAATGTGACATGCATGTGATAATTGGTACAGTTGTTGACAGTAGAAATGATGTAAATATATGCAGATGATAATTGACATGTATGGAAATATGTGTTTTAAAGGATGTCGTGATAGGATGTCCACAAACAATGCCGTCAAAGCCCTTCGGCGAAAGGGCATCACAACTGGTACAATTGAAGTAATTATTATTTTTTTATTTTGTAAACTGTTAAAAAACAAATTTTTAGGAAAAAATAATGTAAATTATTTGCAAAAAAATACTAAAATTCAAACAATGAATCAGCCCTTTCTCCTTTATCAGCCTGTTCAACTTTCCTAGGCCCCAAATAAATTCCAAACCCGTAATATCAAGTATTTTTGTCAATGTATTTCTCTCATTTGCATTTGCAGGCCATTTCTCTTGATCTCAGCTCTATCAATTCCATCAAGGAATTTGCATTCAAAGTCATGAAAAAAGACGTGACAATTACCGTCCTCATCAACAATGGTAAATAATTCTGTGATCGAATGGTGAACCAAATTGCGAATAAGTATATGCTAAGCGTTTAAATTTGATTGTATAAACGTAGCCGGAGTTAAGGACATTCCTTATGGGTTAACCGTGGAAGGTCTGGAGCAGCATTTTCAAGTGAACTATCTTGGACATGGTATATTATTTCACATAATTCTACTTCTCAATTCAACGGTTTGATCTAAATCATTTAATTGATTTGTATTGCACAAAAAAGTGCTTTTGACCTACATGCTACTACCCAAACTGCATTGGTCAGCTCAAACAGATAAGCACGGAAGAATAGTCAATGTCTCTTCTCTCGAACATTATGGGGCCTATCCAAACCTCAGCGACTCACAAATGATGTAAGAATAATAACAGTTTTAATGCTGTTATGCTGTTACTTAAATAAAAAAAAAACTAAACCTGAAAAAATAAAAGCAAAGAAAGAAATTATAGAATATATGGAATATTCCAGAGAGTTTTACTCATCCGAGAAGGCGTATATGGATACAAAACTAATGTTGACAGCTTGGAGTGGGTTTTTGGATAAGCGATTGCAGAAAATCGGAGCATCTGTGCGATCTTACTCCGTTCATCCCGGATTTGTTAAAACGGAAATGTGGAATCGTGTCGGTTGGGTGCACAAGATTGGAATTTTGCATCGACTCTTTTTTGAAGTATGTGCCATTCCCATTATTTCTATTTTTCCCACGCCTAATCACACAAATTATTCTACTTTGCAGAGAACACATTCTGCCGCAGAATCAATTGCGTACACGTCCCTGTCTCCACAGTTGGAAGGTAAACAACTCGCTGTCTGAACTATATTTAAATAATTTATTCCTATGCACATAAGTATGACCGCATGTAGTTCGTAGCAATACAAATTTTAACAAACGATTTGCTAACTTTGAAGGTAGTGGTGGTGTATTCCTCGCAAACAATGAGCTTGTCGAACCACACCCCCTCTGTAAGGATGAAAAGTTTCAAAACAAATTGTGGGACTTGTCCTGTAAAATACTCAACATTGAAGAGAACGAATTGGCTCCACTTCACGAACTTGACTTCGGGGAAATGAACTCTGACGACGAAGAAATGGACCAAGTGAAACATGTTCACATTGATCACAAAAATCAAAACGAGATTGATCTCGAGTACATTGAAGAATTTCATGCTTGTGACTACAAATACTTTGGAGATGAGTTCTCTCCCTACAAAAGCGACTTAAAAAATGCATCATCCTTAAACTCAGGAGTTGATGATTCTCAAAAGTCTAGTAGCTCCAGTTTCCTCACATCTTGGAAACATTCTGTCAAGCTGAAGCTGAACCTCAAGGTTTTTAAATATTTCTCACTCTCTTCGCTGGAGGAAACACCAAGGATGAGGCAGACTCCAGGAAACAAGAACACGAAGCCGTACTATGAATACTTTATCAACAGTTTGTTCAGCCACTGGAATTTAAATAAGAGCTGTTTACGATATTTGGAGGTGGTGAGCATCTTTGTGCTGAGACGTTTGGACAGATTCAATTCTCAGTTCAAATTGATTCAAACCTTTGTGAGGAGCGATTGAGAAGCGTAAAGAACTGTGTGCAGGAATTGGGACGCGACTTTTTTATTCTTATGGATTTGATTTGACTGATATAACTTAATTACAACATACATACTCTTATACTGCAATAAATTAACGCCTATTTTGAACCTTACTTCCACTGATGCACTGTGCTCGCAAGTAATTTCGTTGTGCATGAAACATTTGGATGGATGAGTTGCATACAGCATGAAACAAAGAGAGAAAGTTGCTAACCTATGTGTCATATGTACACATTATTACACATACTGGTACACCCCACAGAGATTGATATCACGACACTATTTGGACTACATGCATGGCGAATGTGTGAGTGATTGCACAAGAGGTCCCTCAATCTCGAGCGGATCGAAATCGCTCAGGTAAATAATTTGCATAAACAGGTGTCTACCTATGCAAGGCATTTTATAAATCCTACACAATAAAGTGTACGTGCTACCCGTTTGTCCCTAAATGTCGGAGAAGAGGAAGCAAGCAGTGAAAGAAGTAAATAGCAGTTGAGAAATGCTGAGAAGGAGCTGCTCCGGAGGGAAAGAGGTTCGCCTAGCGTTCAGAATAGGCATGTTCCAACTAGCCAAGTATGATCCGAGGAGTAGGAGGAGGAGGATGGAAGGAGGGGGTCTTCTAAGACGGAGGCGACCGTGTGAGAGGCTGAGGAGAAAGCTGGGGAAAGTCCACCGGAACTTTAGCTAGAAAATCGATGGGGTCCAAGAGTCGTCCGCGTCGGAGGGGTTCGGAGGGCTCAGTTCAGGAGGGAGCTCTGCTACTCGTCATGAAAGTGAACTGCATGTTATACACCCAGCTTGGCGAGTTCAGAAGGGAGAACTGCTCCAATTTCCATTACATCACCAACCAACCATCTAAATAAACCAAAATATATACGAGAAAGAGAGAGAGAGAAAGCAAAAGTGGAGTGTGACCGAGCAAACCAAACTCATATTTGCCAACCAGCCAGGAATAGAGAAAAAGTGAACCATTTCCACTTTCCGCAACTCTCTGAAATCCATAATTTTTGTGGTAGAGAAAAAAATTAAGTGAATCCGTAGACCTTTCTCCTCGTAAGATAATAATTGGATTGAAGGAACGTCGAAGTTCAAGGAAGCATAAAAAAAGTAAATATTTACAATTTGGAAATTGTCGTTCTCTCAGTTTAAACATGTTCCAGTAGTTTAACCTTTTCCACTACTTTCGTAATAAATTGTCAAACTTATTTGCTAACGGCTTATATTTTCAGAATTTTCATGGAAGGAAAAGGAGAATCAGGACTTTAACTAGTTAGGATTTAAGTTAGAAAGGACGTAAAGTACTTTTCATTTTTCATTTTAGTAGAACTCTCTTAGGTGTGATATTTCGTAAAATCTTTAATAGGTCAAATTGTAGGGTTTATAATTTGCTTTAGTTGCAACAATTAAGTTATTTTAGTTCATTCCTGTATCAATTTTGTAAAGTCGGATATCCTGAGGGTATTTCAAAACTATGTTAATTTGATTAAGTAGAGATTACATTCGCAAAAAAAATCACAAAATCATCGAAACATAAAATAATCACCTGCCTAACTGGATGAGTGGATGCCTGTGATTGTGATCCGTGTTACTTGCATTTTTCTATCGTCTCACTTTGTCCTGTGTTAGAATTGGTATCTCAAATTGTCGCACATCTCACTAACTTAGCTCACAGCTCTTAGGATTAGCTTAGAGTCTTAATAGGTCTCAATTTCAGTTGGGGGTTTCATGAATATGCAATCTTCGACAATGCACCTCTGACAGTTACTCAAGCAATTACACGACGACACGCCTACATATTCAATATCGTACATCGACATTAGGAAAGACGTAACTCGTTAACATGTTGTTGGCTAGATGAGTGATTAAATGAAGCAGTACTATCAGGACCAATAGGCTAGAAGTAGATCATCTCATCCGACTTACTCGTCACCTATAAAAGTAGACCATCGATAACCACAACGTCGCAATCCAAATAATAATGATGCCCACATCATCGCCCCAACGCCAACTGGTTTCGGCAGAGGATCCATCGCCCATGGAGGGAGATGACCATGGTGGATTCCATGAACGGCTCATTATCCGTAAAACATCTGTGGAAACGCAGACGCAGGATGACTCTTATTATCAACGTAAAATCACTCCAAGAGTCCCTAAACGTGAGGATTTTTTATTAATATTAGCATTAAAAAAAATGAATATTTGAATACTGAGCCACTCCTACATGAAATTTATTGTTTAACTGACACTCTGAATTATTTTTTTGGTTGCAGGATGTAAAATAGCCGTGTATCTTGCGACGGGGACAGCCGTAGTAATGGAGCCTGGTGAGTTCAATGCAAAATTTATTTGTTGCATTGTACACAGATGACAAGCTAACTTGGTTTTAAATAAATTTAAAATACGGAACCTAACCCAGTTCAGACAATCAATCATTATTTCTTGCCCAAATAAATTCCAACTCAATAATATATCGTTCTATGAATTTTGAAAAGAGCTTCCTTATCGAGAAATAAGTGGAAAGAGTAAATTTCAGGCACCCTGATTCAATAATAAACTGTTTTCTTTACATTAACTTCCAGACAAGGGCAGTTCTGTTACAGCCAAAGACCTTTTGGACGCCCTCGTGGAAAGTGAAGAGCTCGCATTGTCGCCTTATGCCTCCAACGTGTTTTCTATATGGATGGCTTCCTCCTTCCTCGGTTCGTTCTCCCACAAGATAATTTCGATTGCGATAATAATTAGTTAATTCCCAATATTGTCATACGGAATATTTTATGTAACAAAAACCTTTTTTCTGAACTTGCACAGAAGTGCAGCTGAAACCTACACAGCAACCTCTTGGAGTGAGAAAAAACTGGAAGGGGTAATTTATTTTTTTATTTCAATACGTAGTGAGAAATCTAAGAAAAAACTATTAGTCATACAAATCAACCGATTTTCATCCACCTCTGATTGACAAAAATTTCTTTTCCAGACTGCTTCACAATTATAGCACTGCGACACACTTGGAAGCTGAATCCGATGACCCTCGGATTTGTCTAAGGCGTTCTGCTTATCTGACAAAAAGAGAAGAAATGCGACTCAAGGACTCCAAGATTTTAGAACTCTTGTATGCAGAAGCTAGGCACAATATATTGAGTGGAAGATATCCGTGCGAGTCTGATGATTACGCGTCACTTGGGTCACTACAGGCAGGAATTGAGATGGGATCTTTTAACCCAGAAATTCATACTGTGGACTTTTTCAGGTAATATTTTTATTGCATACAATCGTTCAAAGATTTATTAACTTTGGAGTAGAGGCATATCTATAATAAATCTCTTGCTATGCAATTGCAGACAAAATCAGCGACAATTCCTTCCAGAACATGTATGTGAACCTACTTGGATACCTTCATTTATTTTAGGTCGCAAGAAAACGTCTCCTTCGGTAATGCTATTAGAAAATTTTCGAAGGTAAGGTTACAATTGCCATTTGTTTAGAAATAAATACTAAACCCGGATATATGTATGCATTTGCACATTACCAATATTTGCAGAATACCACCGACGACACCGTCTAGGAAACTAGTTAGAAAATATCTCGAGCTATGTTGGGCGCTGCCTTATTACGGGTAACTATCTAAAGCTATAAATGCTTGTCTCAAAAATAACATATAAGTTATGAGTCATAACACAAATAAGTGATTCGTCGACTTATGTATTGTTTAGGAGTGCAATGTTCCATGGGCAAGTGGAGAGTCCATCGAAAGGACTCTGGTCGTTCTTGGACTCACCCGACAATTTTGTACTTTTAGCTATCAACAATCACAGCCTTCACGTTATCGACTATTATAGGAATGTGAGTTGTTTACGTTTACAATATTTAAAATTGGTCAGTAAAAATTATTGGACCTAATTAATTTAATTTTGTACCTCGCAGAGAATTCTGGTGGGTGCACGCTTCGAGAATGTGCGGGTGGAGTTGGGCTGGCCTTCTGCAGGTCTTCCTTCCCACCATGAGTCCAACCCAAATTGCTTCCCTTGCCTTTTTATCCAATTTCTTCAATCGGACAACAACAGACAGAGTAAAATGCTCCAGATATTTTCCAAACAAGCACCAATGATGGACTCTCTCATTACGAGATTTCACCGAGCAAAATGTCGCGAGGAGGAAGGTAGTGATGATGTCGATGGAGTCGGTAACAATGATGCGGCTTCGGACATTGAGGGTGGTGAGTATATACAAATACATACAACTTTACGCTAGATTTACATCTCTATTAATACACACAAGATATGATATCAAGAAATGTTTTTAATTTGTCTGATCGGTCAATTACAGACTTTTTGACTCTGAAAACGGTAACAGAGTGTGGACTGGAAACCTCTTGCCTCACCAACAAACTCGGAGAACTCTCCCTTGCCACCTTCGATGAGAATGGCGTTTGTGTTTCTCAAACGGGATCTTGGGCATTCTCGCAATAAAATAGCGCCAGAATGAATTAATAGTTGCGCTATAATTGTTACTAGTAAGTAAAACCAACTCATCAGTCATCATTTTCAGTGCCCTATGTTTTTATGACCATGTTACGACACCGGACTCGACAATCCAGCATGTGGGCGGTTATGTTTGCAACGACTTCAAACAGCACGTATTGGACAGTACATTTTTATGTCAATCTAAATCTATACGCAAACCAAATCCATTACACTGATCGGACTTATCGTAATAAATAAATAGAGGTGATAAGTGAACAAACAAACTAGTCTTATGATTATTACTAAAGCGATAAGACAAGACTAACTAAACATATAGGCCACAAATATTATGATTCTGGTGCGAAATTGAAAATCCGTATAATTTAGGTTAACCCAATGAGTCACATAAATATATGTATGTACATAAGTGATGGCTGACGAATTTAACATGCTTCCTTTTTATGTCCTTAAATTACAAAAATATTGTTTAAATTTTACCAATTATTCTGATTTTGTTTTGTGTATTTCAAATTAACAAATTGACTAATTGACATTGCTGCATAATTGTTTTGGCTTATATGTATGTTATTTAGTCCCAATAATAATTCATGTCGTTGAGTTTAAACAATTGTAACTTTTATAAATAATTTGCCAATCAAGTTAAGTTCAGGATAACAGACAAAAGATGCCACTATTCAAAATTTTTGACAATTCTTATTCAGTTTACTCGGTCTGGCTTATCAATGTAATTCTATATGTTATTGCGTAGTTAAAATTATTGTTGTACAATTTATTTCTTAAGAGATACAACTAAGGTCACATAAACGTGTTTTTGCAAGATGTAATCCCCTTCAAACGCAGCGGAATTTGATAACAAAATAAACACTCGTTGTCACGAATATTACGAGCTGGAACAGATTGTTCCTCATTAGTTTTCATATCTATCTTAATTGTTAGTACCTTAATTTTCTTATTTCTGAATTGAGATGGTTTAGCATCAAATTCATTATTCTCCGAGGTGAGAGAAGAATTAGAAACTCGAGAATTATTTAACGATAGCTCTGCTTGTGATGATACAGAGCTGTCAAATCCTTTCGATGCGGTTGTTTCATTTCGATTGTCAGAATTACGTTCAAAGGTTAAATGGTCAGTGAATATCTCTACATTTTCCAATAATACCATCGGCTCGTCTTCACTACTTTCAATAGAAGTGGTCTTCGTTGGAAACTCTTTGTTGGATAACAGACAAATGTGAGTTCGGGTCGATGGTAGATTATTTTCGGTTATATCGCAAAATTCCTCAGTCATAATAATACCCCTGTGTTTAGCACAAATAATGCATAATTCAATAATTGAAAAATCTTCAAGTTGGCAATATTCATTCTATATTTCTTACTTGTAAAAACTCCGCGTTAAGTTTGATATTAACTGTTCCGTCTGTTCCGAATTTTGGTCGTTTTCGTTTCCTCCTGACACTGATGAGCCGCGTAGTTCTTTCAATATTGTTGACAGGTCAAACAAAACTATTTCCTTTGGAGTATGAAGTGATGAACCAAAAAACAGACCAGTGGCTACAACATTTTCAAAATTTTCTTGAATCTGTGCATCCAGCATCTGAAATATACGAGCGTCTAAACTTGTGTGTGATTACATATAAATCTTATTGTTCATCAAAACATTGCTGTACCCTCAAGCATTTCATAATCGATTCAACAGCTAATTCTTCTCGTTTTGACATTTGTTCAAACATACGTTGCCTTCTTAGATTGCTTTGGTTAATTTTCCTTTGTGAGATCTGAAAGACATTATAGGTTTCAATTCTATGAAGTGAGTATTGGTTGCCAACTGCATTGTTGGTATTACCATGAACTGAATTCGTTCCCTAAGGTCATCATTGGCCGGCTGCTCAGTTTCCTGAGATTTTGAATGACCGTCAACAAGGCCATCCTTTTGTTGTTCTTCTTGTCTTTGCCGTTGAATTTCCATGCGTTTCTGGTGGAGTTGTTCCAAGGGGAGTGGAATTTGATTTCGTTGGTGAAGAAATAGTTTGATTCCGGACTGGACCAAGCTAGAGACGACGGAGGGTAACACGGCCCTGTCCACCCTCACTGGACACTCCCATTCCACCCCAAACTCCATATTTACCCCACAAACAGAAGGACCTATTATCTTTCGCTGTCAAAATAATCATAAAGATTACTAAAACGGTTGATTGGCGGTGTCAGCAGGGAACAGCGAAAGGATAAATGTTTGTACCCGTTGTGGATTCCGTGAACGCTACAAGTGGGGAAATCGAGACGACTCTGAAATCTCTGAAATATATTTCTCCTTCGTTTAGAAATTAAATAAGAATAAAATTGGCTAAATAGGACACCGACAATGATAACGATAGTAAAACAGAGATTGAGTTCGAGAAAATGGACGCGTTTCTAGTCATTTTCATGGCTATGCGATGCCATGCATTGCTGACCATGAAAACGAACTCATGCCTCATTCTTTAATTATTTAAAAAAGTTATTTTTCTTCGTCCTCCTTTATGATAGATGCGACTCAAAATAGATGAGCCTGAGAAATGTCGAAATGTATGATCTTATTATTGCGAATTGTGATACGACACGTGTAGGAACCTGCCTGATGCAATTTGCTGCACCGAGTGAGATGACAAAGAGAGACGAAAAGATTCGTGGCAAAACCCAAAATACGCCGTATGAATAGATTATATTATTGTCCGGCTTTAAAAAAACAAAATACTATGAGTGTTCATAAACATTTGAAGGTGATTGAGTGACTGGTCCAAGTGGTAGGTGCAGGTCACAAACCCATGCGGGAATAGGACATGACAATGTTCTCAAGGGTCACCTCACTTGTCCTGGGTCTTCTCTATGTCCTTGTCCACTTCTTGTACCACATATTGTCCCACATTGTGGATGAAGTTGGCTGGAACGTCAGGCAGATTTGTAATCGCCTTCTCACCTGCCTCCCTGCCCACTCGACCCACGGCCAGCTCGCAAGCATTTTCCACACCCTGAGGTTGTAGTATGAAGTACAACAATTTGCTGTTCTTTGTTCTTAGGCGCCGTCCATAAATTACGTAACGCTTGCTAGCATGGGCAAGATAGGATTTTTTCCCTATCCTGCTCATGTCAGCCAGCGTTACGTAATTTATGGACGGCGCCTTAAATGAATTTACATGTTAATTAGGCGGCTGCGGGCGGATAAGAGGAAAACGCCCACACATTTGGGAGTGGTTGTGTTTCCGAGAGAACATTTGGGACCCCTCGAAACCTTGCTGACCAACTTAAAAGGGGTTGTAAGGAAGTGGGGTCATCACAACAGTGAAACCCAATTGTCCCCATCCCACGCTGACCTTCCCGCTGGGCAGCCTCCAGCCCATGTTGTTGATCTCCAAGCTTTAGCCAAAGTGGTGTCCTATGCGTGGATAGCGGATATCCCCATCGTCAGTTTATATGATCATAGTGGTGAGAGTTAATTATGAAAGCCCAAAACCATTGGTTATTTATTAAATACTATTAAATTATAATTCACGTAATTGTTTGTAGGGTACATCAAGTCAAATTACAAGCAACTTATACATTACGTGCAAGAAGAAATAAGTCATAACCTTTGGGTTGTTCAGGAACGAACAGTCCTACTTCCTAAAATTAACATACACAATGTCGTCGTCCACGATAAACGCAGTAACAACAACGGTTACATTAATAATGGCCATAGTATGAACGGTAATTTTGTTTTTGTATAAGAATATACTACCCATGTTTCTTTTGCCTTGAGTATGTAGACATTTAAAGCTTAATTCTGTATTTATTGTTATTCAGGTGTCATGAAAAATGGGAATTTGCCATTAAACGATCAAGAGATTCTAAATGTATGCATTTTTGGAAGTGACGATGGGAAAAAAGCGATTATACAAACTTGTAAAGACTTGTACCACGAGTTCGTTCATTCCAATTCGTCATCTAATAATATTTCTCAAAAGATTAAAGAGATGGACGAGAGAGTAGTAGATGCAAATATTAATTGCTCAGTTAATTTAAAATTTATTTCCTCTGATGATGGTCGTACCCTGAAATCTGAACCAGACCTTTTGATAGCGTTGGGAAAGGTAGTTTCAACGACAGGGTTTCTTCCTTGGCAAATACGTCTTACAGAAATGCAGTAAGTGAAAAAAGCGATATGATCGAAATTGTTTTGCGCCAACGCAGGGAATGCCCATTGTTCATATATGTTAAACTTTTTTGCAGCTGGCTACCACCATTGAAGCGATTTGGCGAAAGAGACTTTCTCCAATGCATGTTAAAATATGCTAATTGTCACCAAAGATTTGGAACATAAAAAATTTGTGACCATTCCGAAATAGTAAAGAACGAAACAAAATTACCCTATCATTGATCTTATAGTTATTTGCAAACATCCTGCATATATAGCACGGCACATGCGTTTAGAAACCACAGTTTGGAGTGTACAAACTGCTTTATTAACAGCATTGGCATAATTCATAATTGACTTTGGTTTGTTTTAAGGAAACATTTATTTGACCTTTTCGTTAGATGGTAAATACAAATACTTCAAACTTAACGAAATGTTATTATCAAAGTTGGTGACGGTCCGGTGGCATGTGTTCCTTTAGTCCAACTACAAGAAATAAGCATATTATAATTATTCACTTAAATAACACGTTATACAACACAATTTGTTATTTTGTAATGAAACGAATCCAAATTACCTTCTTGAAACCGATGTCAGCGGAATATTCTCTAAAACACTGCCTACAGATCATCAGGCCATATTTCCTAATGAGACCGTGTTTGTTTGCGCAGGCTCGACTGAAATCATTAAAAAATTACAAATATTATTGAGCTACCCCAAAAAAATATAAAACGCAGTATCAAGTTTTAAGTTCCATAAAAATTGAAAAATAAAAATATATTATTTGTACCAAGTTCTGGAACCCGCTCCAAATTTTCGGGGATGGCTATACCATATGTTTGCGAAACCCATGATTGATAACTACAGTTGTCGTCGTTCCTTCTGGACAATTTTGGAAAGTTTTGAAATTATTCAAAGAATTGTTTTCAAAAAGCCGGAGGTAAAGGCAAAAGGGAGAAAGGAGTTGTTGGATTTTACCACGTTCAGTGCTCGTTTGACTGGGCCGGGGCTGGCAGGTTCTGTTGGTTAGCTGCGTAGTGAGGCAGAGGGCGCTGGTGGTCTCGCTATTCAGCAAACCATGAGAAAAATGAGACTGCTGCAGTAATGGTCTGCAAGAAGTAGGCGAGATGAGACTGTGCCACAAATTCAAGGCGTAAATGTGTCACATACTTTATAACATTTTCACCAAATTGTATAGTCCGTCACAATATTGGAAAAATGTAAAGAACTAAATATAAAGAACTGTAAGACGATTGAACCAAGTGGAGTGAGAATCGTTCTAGTTCCATTCCAGAAAGGGACAAAGTATTCCTGGAACAAAAAGATTCTCACTTATCTCCATTTGGTGGTCCAACGACGATATCAATATCGTCGATATTTATGTTTATACTGACTGCAAATATGATTATTTACGTTTGCTTTTTTAATTTTTTCATGTTTGGAATATCCTTCTACACTGTATGTTGTGCAAGTTAAAGGATCTAATAAAGAATGTCGTGTGTAGGTCAAGGCACTGGGTTAACGTCTATATAGAAAAAGGTGAAATGATGAACAGATGAACTACATGAAACCTTGGTAAAGGATCGCGAATCTCCTCTTTCCCAGAATGGAACTTGTCAACTGTGTACATGTAGCGTAGAGATCGTAGGGAAGAAACTCACCCGGAGTAAAAGTAAAACCCGGGTTTCCTCTTGTGAGGCAACCAACCTCACTCACCAGACCAATAAGGATGATGATATTGGATGGCCTTGGCCTTGGCCATGCGGGTTTTCAGTGAGTCAGTTAGTGTCTCTGAAATTCGCTACTTTCTCTTTCCTTCCACAAACCAGTGAAATACCCCCCTTGACACAGAGTACACTTCCGCAGGACACAGTCTGGCTGGGGTACTCAATATGTTGCACCTATTAAAACTTATCTAGGCTTACAGAGGTTCCTCTATCTGTATAAGTAAAAAAGAGTGGGATTTTCCGTCATTCCGGTTGACTCTTTGATCTTAAATAGATAAGTATTAAATAAAAATAAAAATATGTAAATGTGTTTGGACGGTACTATCCGAAGACATATTATAAAAACTGTGCTGCAACATGGTTCAACGATGTTGTGTTCCCCTTTGTGACACCAAAGTTGGACAAGTGGACGTAAAAGGAGCAAAGGTATGTGTACAATTTTGCAAAAAATATTTCCAATACAAATACACTGTCAACTGTACATATGTACATATGCATTTATGGTTTAAAGGTGCGTTTTCATCGAATTCCTTTGACCCCTGACAAGTTTCTGAAATGGCGACAGCAAATCACGAACCATGGTCATTACACACCAGAGCTGACGGTGAACTCCAGAATATGTTCCAAACACTTTCTCCGAGAGGACTACATTGTGGATGATGAGCAAAAACCGGGGACGGCAGGAAATCATGTGCTTGCCAAAGACGCCGTCCCCACCATCTTCAAGTGGACTGACGAGGCGAACGCCACCCTGTCCAGAGCAATCCCCTTCATAAAGAAATCAGAGCTACAAAATACTTTGAATGGTCTCAGTGCAGCCGCAGGGCCGAAAAATCAGGGAGTGCAATGCAGTGGAAGTGCAGTGCATTCCCTGGAAGTGAAGAAGCTGAAACATGAGTTGGATAGAAAAAATGTAGTAATTCGTCGACTTTTGGATGAATTGGATGATCATCAGGTAAGATCATCGTCGGGGTCCAATAATAAGGGCAAATCAATTGGAGAAACTCAAGATTCCGTTAAAAGAAAGGATGAGGGGACATCCGTCGTCGTACAAACGAAAGAAGAATTGCATACTAGTCTTCCCTATCTTTCCAAACAGACTAAATCTGAGACTTTTTCCATTGCTCATTCCCCTGAGATGCCAACCCTTACACCTTCTGCTTTTACGCCGACGATGTTACCTGGGCATGCCGTTATCAAGGCTAACACTATTAGCCGCAGTAGTAACACTACAGTGGCAAACTTTGTAACTATTTCTACTCAAACCAATAATGATACCCAAGATATAAATTGTTCTGGTGAAGAGTCTCAGCCTAATAATGTTGTACAAAGAGTTTCTGTCATTAAAAGAGCTGGTTCTTCTTGTTCCACAAGAAGTCGAGATATTTTAATGCCACCAAAAAAACGCAAACTAAACTATCTCTACTTATGATGAAAAAAATGTTTACATTATTGGTTGACTCGACAAATCAATTAAATGTATTCCATGATTATTTTTGTACCTAATTCTATTTTAAATAAAATATGTATACATATTTGATACAAAATTATCATTAATTCGTATGTATATATACAACAACGGTGTATGATTATTCAATAAATAAATAAATATATATATATTATTATCACACAGTTAAGATTTGAAATTACAATCAAATAATCGGCCTTTAAACATAAAACCATATCATACCGATGGGACCACAATATCTGGCAATTCGTTTGGATTGTTAGCTGGAGCAAAGCTGTCGCTTCCAATACCCACAATATCAATTCCGGTTATACTTTTGCTGGTTATGGATGCCAGGTCATCGATACTCCTTCTTGCAATAAAATCATCTTTTTCAATCTGGATTGTGAAGTGGCTGAATCCAATGGACGAAAACAAGTTGTTCACATATCGTAGGATTTGTTGCTCGTTAGCATCCATAGTGGCTTGGATATGAATGGACCCTGCTAAAAACTGTGGTGCTGAATGAGTCCAAAATCGAAGAGTCTTGTAGCCTTTCACACCTTCAGCGGCAAGAAGTTGTAGGACCACTTGTTGTAAATTTCTTTCAAGTCCGGATGGAACAGAGAGGAGAAGGACACGTGAAGTATCCTTCAACAAAGGCAAAGCCGTCTTGGCAATAAGAGTGGCAATCACAAGGGAGCAGATTGGGTCTGCCACGAGCAAGTCGAAATGTTTTATCAACAGGGACGAAATAATAACGCCAATACTGCCAATACTGTCAGCTACGACATGAGTGAAGACCCCTATATAGAAATTAAAGAAAGATTAATACATACAAAAATTCAACTACTGTAGTATAACTTGTATAACTCATAATAAATATTGAGTTATGTATAGATAAAAAATCTTAACTGCGGCAGGCTAACCTCTGATATTTGCATTATCGTGCACATGAGTATGGTCTAATGTGCCATTTCGAAACACATAAATTCCAATTAGGTTCACAATTAGTCCAATGATAGATACCGTTAATGTCTGATGAGCATCGACGCTTGGTGGACTAAACAAGCGAGCCCAAGCTTCGACGAAAATGACACCAGCCACAACCAGTAAGAAGAAGGCATTTAAAAATCCTGATAAAATTTCAATTCTGCCGTATCTGTATAAAAATTCAAAGTTATTTTATAATTTATTTAAAAATGTAGTAAAATTAAATATCTTATAGTTGATAGTTGCGTTATGTTTTATATTACCCAAAAGGGAAACTTGGACTGGGTTTCCACCTGGACATTACTGAAGCACATAGTCCGATGAAGATAGCCATAGAATCAAACAGCATGTGAAAGCCGTCGGAAATTAGGCCCAAACTATTTGTTATAGCACCATACAGAAATTCTACAGTGGTAAATCCCACAGTGAGCACGAAATAGTAAAAAATCTTTCGACTCATTCTATCTTCCTGAATCTGCTTATAAAACGAAAATGCTAAACGAATGCAATTTTTCCACAAAGGAACGCGACCTTCGCCGGATAAATGACTAGAAAAGTTGAAAAGTGGAAGACCATCGGTAGAAAATCCAATCAAAGTTCCACCCCCACTAGCACGCTCAGACATTGTTAGACTCCATGTACCTTTTCAGAAAAAAACAGAGGAATAAATAAATATATATTAATGAGAAATTCATGTGTAAGATAAATTTTACTTACCAAAATAAATAAGTAAAAATGCAACAATTGCAGCTACGTTGGGAACTTCATCCATCGTGATCCATGCAAGACTATAAAAGAAAGCCGATAAATGGCAAGCACTAGTACCTATTCGTGCAACTTGCCAAGCATCCATCCTATGAAAATCAATGTATACATACATGGGTCTTTAAATCTCATAAACATTACGTATTTCCTACCCTATACAGTTAAAATATGGGCCTACCGTTTTATACAAATTGCATCAATGTAATAATTTAGTACGAATCCAAACAGTACTATGAAAATTAGAGTAAAAAAGTTGCCCCATATTGAAATAAATGTACCCTGAAAAAAATTTAAAAAAATTACCTTATTATCAAAGTAATTAGGCATAATTGATGATCAATTATTGATCAAAAGTAACTAACGGAAAAATTGCTCATACCCCTGTAAATCCATCCACCAAAACTAATATCACTAAAATAGTCCCTGAAGTAACTGTTGATATTGCATGAAGACGCTTTACACCTCCTACATCAACAGCCAGACGTCTGGATAATGCATCAAAGCTCAGTTTGAAAATCAGAAACACGATAAAGGTCATGATCCCAGCCTACAACAAATGCAAGAATCGTAGACATAGAGTTAATAAAATATCCTTTTATGTAACAAACCTTATAGTATGACCTAGATATTGGTATTATTGTATGTACCTACCGAATTTTTGGACAAATAAACATGACTTTGTTCAACACCAAAATTTTTATGGTGGTCATTTACTTCAGAGTTGTCGTCAAACAAAAGTAGCACCAGTAATCCAGCAACAAATAGAAAACATCCACGCAATCTGGGTCCCGATTTTGCTATATTATATAAATAAATTTTATCTTAACTAGTTAAAATTCAACTAACAGTTTATTTACTAGAAAATATTTGAAACCTACCAACAAATAAACCGGATGCAATTCCAGCCAAAGTGTAATCATAATGCAAAGATACAAACACCGTTCTCAACGGTCCAGTCAAAACTAAACCAGAAATCCAAGTCAACCAGAATAAAATCAGAATCATAGAATGCCTAAAAATTCGGAGCCATTGACCAGGTGTAATTGATATCTTTTTTGCACTTGATAGTGGTTTCTGAACAAATGAGTAGCTCAACCCAGATCTATATAACAAAACAAAAAATATAGTATATATCGGCACTCGTATGAAAAATGCATGTGACATTTTCACTTAATTGGATATCATTCGTACATAATCTGAATAAAAGCCAAGGTCTGGAAAATCGGGCCCCATCGTCCCAATAATAAACCAGTTTTCTCATGTTGTTTATTAAACTCTTGTTGTACTCGAATGATGTTTTCTTCCGTGGGGACTCCATGATGGTCACTGCTGCTAGGGTTCCGATGATGACCTCCTACTTGAGAATGCGCAACCTTTTGGAGGAACTCGGCCAACAAAAAAATTGCCAGTGAAGAGCACACTTTGACAGCAACGAGAAGCGAAATAAACCAGGGCCTCCTGGACCTGAGCAGTAAATCAACCCACCATTAATAACTTGGTTGTGATGTAAATGGACAGATAAAGAATAACAATAAAGTACACGTCTACTATACCTGTCTAAAGGACGACCACCATATTTTGGTAATTTAGAAGCAGATGATGATCCAATTGCTACTGATCCACTGGAAAACATGCTGCTATCTCAACTGAATGGGTGAAGGTATGGTAGAACAGGCCACATCATCATCCTACAGTCGTAAGTTAATTAGATAAACAACATGATGGATATATAACATAAAATGATAAAGTAGCAAATTTCATACACTTGAACTGACAACCGAATTGAATTTTAATATCTGCAGAGCAAAGGAAACCCTATACCCATTTTGTTTGCCATACAGAAATATTGCAAGGTCAATTTACACTTATTTACAATTTGATTTTAATCAAGTTTGCAAATTGACATTAGGATTTGAATTTGGTGAGCAGAACAGATGATGATGATGATGAGGAAAACAACAAACAACAAATTGCGGTGTGAGTGATGTAAAGGGCCGACTCCGGCCAGTCTCTCTTCTCCTCTTCTTATCTCAACTTTGTTCATCGATCAGCCGGCGCGATCCAGGGGCGACTCCTCACACAAACCAACATCAACCAATTTCTCGCCTCATGCATGTTTTTAGTTTCCAATAAAAACTTCAAAATTTTTTAATGTAACGAGTACTGCATTCGACGTCCTAGAATTAAGTACATGTTCCTCATGCAAAATTGGAGCTTGTTAGACTCAAAATCGTATCCACCATGAATTTCGATTTGATTATTGTTTTCGAACATTGATGTTTTCAGCTTGTTATTTTGGTCAGCGTTTAACACCAGTGTCTATACCGTATCCCTACCTGTATCGCATTAAACACCACGATTTATATCATGTTATTGGCATAGATTGTAATTTGCATGAGCGGCGTGGTTTCTACCTCGCCTTCTTCTTTTCCGCCCCTGTGTTTTGCCAGCTGGGCCGATCTTTGCTGCCTCTGTTGTTGAATCTTGAATCTGCTGGCTCGAACACGAGGCTCTGAGCCATACCGCATAGTAACAAGCAATCCGTAAACAGGGGCGCATTGAGACGACTTCTGGGGAAACATCCGTGCGTTGTGATCAAGTCATGCGTCCAAAGCAGTATCCTCAGATTAGGGAAATACCTGCGAAACATGAGTCCTTCTTGACCGTACAGTATGCAAAATGGTACCCTTTTAATTTTTTGTGTGAATTATGGGCACATTTTATGGCTTTACTGTGACGTATTTTTTTTGCAAGAGGGTGACAGGATGGCTGATTGCCTCTCTCGGGAGAAGTGATGGGAAAGAGTGGTTGCTGGCTGTTTCTCTGGGTCTCCGTTTTTATTCTCTTGCTTGGTGTCAACCCTACCAGTTCATAGTTAGTAAGATAGTGTCATTTTCCTTGTTTTCTTTTCTAACTCACCACTTCACTACTGTCAACTCGACGACTCACTTCTCCTCAACTTATCGACTGATCTTTTAGTTCTTTAGTTAATCTAGTAATTAGTCTATAAGCTGCATCCACCCACATTACACAACGTCAACGTCCCAAGCTATTATTAACAAGAGCACACAAATCAAAATATTTTTTTAATAGTCGCCATTTTCGCAGTCAAAATTTTGCCACTCGTAGGACGTGGTAGTAGTTGATACAAGGATTTCTAAAGTCAAGACGGAGGCCTTATAGGGAAATTTGGGGGCCGAGGCTCATCTTCTTCTAGAAGACTCCGTAGGTGGAGATGGATTTCGGGGGGCAGCAGCAGCCACAGGACCCTGACTCATTTATGGGGTCCTTCAGAAGAAATGACCGGGCAACCAAACAAATCATGGCCAAGGCGGCCACCATCGTTCCAAAAGGTATTGCTAGTTAAATGGACCTCAGTAAAATCGTGGCGTAAATAAATATTGGGCTAATTTTGTTTCACTTTTTTATAGCCTGTGATATCTTGGGGATTTCTCTCAGGTAAGACTATCAACACTTACGATACCCTCCGTGTACCTTAAAACTCATTCATTCATCATCAGTTATTTTATGTGAGAAACGTTAAGAGCTCATTCACTGTTTTGATATGAGGTTTTAATAGAAATTTAAACCGTACCATACAGTTAAATTTAAAGTTCTCGCTATCTTTGAGCAATTGACAAAACACTTGATACTTAAAGGCCCATCATCAAATCGTCATCTATTCGCCGCCATGTAATAATTTCCCATCCATACCTATACTATCTATCATGTCTTTATTTTCATTTGAATTGTTCTCACAAGCAACTGAATTAAACACTCAATTAGTGGCTCGTTCGGCATTCTTAATTCTTTAAGCGAGTGGGACAGTCTTATTACTGGATGAGACTTTGCTTACCTTGAACATGATTTTTTAAATGTAAGGATAGTTAAATTGTGAAAAATTCAAGGACGATTTTTTCGCCTCCATTATTATTATGAATCAAATCAGTGAATTGCATCATTCAAGTTTAATAGGGAGAAGGAGCGGGGATGGTGATGGTACATATAATACTTTGGAGTTGGAGTTGTGTATTGTGTTCATTGAAGTAAAACCGAGGTAGTGTTGTTGGTTGTTATTGGTTAGTTTTTGTCAGAGTTGCGAGCTAATAAGCAGACAGGTTGGTTGGTATATTCATCATGGATGATAATACCTGAGGGCATGCTATCATCGCTGTAATTGTTGGTATCCTCTTCTTCTCAAGGGAGCTGGCAACATTAGTATTTTAAAGAAAAATGGCGATTTCGAAGGAATGCATGGCTTGTAACGCATGTCAGATTTGCAGGGGGGAAATTGAGACGTAATATTAGCAGTGCGGAGAAAAGGTTATATTACTCAAATTCACCACAACAAACAATGATGAAAGTAGGAAAGGGAATCCCTCTCTGTTACTAATCCTAAGTTTCTTGGTTGTGGTTATAATATTTTCCTTCCCTTCTCCGAATTGGATTTCCTTCCAGGAAATGCAATATGCAATGGTTTAGGAGGGCAATTGACACGGAATAAAAGGGAGACCTACCTACCCATTGTGCTGTCATCACATTATTTGTCTGATACAAGGGTTAGCCCTTAGCCGCCCTTTTTACTTTTATTGTCCCAATCTTACTGAACAGGAAAAAGGGCACCCTTATTACTATGCGCAAAAGCATTCAGTAGGTAAAAATGAATGACTCACTTGTATGCATATGCACTCACTCTTATCGTTTTGTTCAAATCCATAAAACCGCATCATCGCTGTTGATTATTGCCCACCTGGGCCAGTTTTTATTGTTTAATAAACTGCGAATAAAGTACGAGAAACCCTGGTGGTGTGGTGAGCGGAGCTTTGTCTCAATTTTGGATCAACCATTTTCATGTGAGTTCGCATTGTGTTAAAATTCGTAGCAGCAGAAGAAGTACATATTCACGAAGCTGTGTTTTCAGAATTCGGTGTATGTATTTGCATTGTGCGATCATCTCATGGGATGGGAAGAGATATCATACGGCGTGCTGCTAGTTTGATGATAGAATGCTTGATGTTGACTTCAACAACTTTAAAGAGCAATAATAGGAAGGCAAATATATAGTAGAGCTATTTAATAGTGGGAATGCATGGCGAAGACCATGCCGTGTTTACGCCATTAAAATACTGCCGCACTAACTCCATCCTCATCATCTCGAAGAGCTGTTACGTTCTGTTTTCATATCTCTATCAAATCTACCTAGACCTACGTATGCACTTTGGTAATGCTGTTATGCATCACACACACCAACAACCGATTCAGCAGAGATCAATTTTAGCCTTATTAGTGTATCATTGTTCACAATTTTTAATACATAAATATATTATTTCCCCACACCACATGCCCCAAATATCAGTCATCAGTTGTCTTGTCAGTGCATTGCATTTAAAGTTTAAAGCGCTGCCTTGTAAACGAATGTGCTACAAGAGTGGAAGGAAACTCAGCGTGGTCGAAAGCATGCCGTTTTTAATTGCGACGACGAATAGCGTTGTCTTTTAGATGGATGTATCTATGTGTATATAGTTAGTAGAACTAAATCAAAAGCAAGTTGAACTTGTGAAGGGCATGCAGATGAAAAGAGTCTAATTTAGTAGGAACGAATTGAACGAACAGTGAGAGTATTTGAGTATTATAGAAATTGGACTAACGCTGCTTGGGTTTGACGTACTACAAAAATGGATTTTCTGATTTTAAAATATAAAGCCAGGATTACTAGTTTCCGGTGGTATTGTTATTAATTCCGTCCAGCTTCCTGTCTGACAAACTGCATTGTTTTTGATATTACGACTCGATTAAAATATTTTTCGGTTATTTACACAGTTAGACCCCCATTGTACATAATTTATTGGCATAGTTGTCAAATATGTACATATGTATGGACGTCATGTGTAAAAATTTAATACTCAACTTCAACGAGGAAAATTATTATTTTTTAACTCGTATTTTTTACTGGTGCACACCAATATAATCTCTCGGCTAACTCATAACATTAGTAATTACTCTTTCAATATTTATCATTGGTTCGTATAACCTCATTATTCTTAATCCGTGCAGGGGACATATTATAATCTCAGGAGGAAAGTTGGAACTAAATAAGCTCATAGCGTATGACAGCATTGTTGCATGTTTCATGGCTTTTGTTAGTTGTCCTTGCATTTTAATGTACGTTTACGTAAATTGATTACAATAAATTTATCGGTAATTATTTTTATGTGCATATAACCACATTATTTATAACCAATCGATATTATTTTAATGGGACGAGGAAATGTCATTTTTACAAGCGTGTAGAGAGTCTAGTTTTTGTTGAATTATGTAGCACTGTACCGACACCATGCTGAAGCGAATAATATGGCGTGGGTTTTTTGTGTACGGAACTTAGGTGGAGGAAACATGAGATGATGATATCTTATGAGGAGGTAGATAAATCGGTGACTCCACCAAGTGAAAATTGGCACATGATCAGCATTGCGAGCTGGCTTATATAACGCTCTGTTGTTCATATTTATTTTTCATTAGCCAATTCTTTTAAAGGATTTGGGTGACCTTCGTTTTCCTTCACTTCATTTCTTTCACGTCATTCTGAGAGTCGAAAGTAAGTGATGTTGTTGAATATTCAAGTGTGTATTGAACTACTTGAGCTCATTGGTTGCTCTTGCTACCTATTGTATACATACCTGACATGCAACTGTTTACAGAGCACTTGAGCAGTAATAAATGGAGTTTAGTACTTTTTGTTCTGGAGAACATAGAACAACATGTGTAATGCTGTGCGTGCATCTATTTATGTCATATGTCTTATCACAAGTAGTATGTATGTGGTAATAATTTTGAGTCATGCTAAATTATTATTCTCTGTTTTTAATTATTTTCAATTAATAATTCTAAGTAATATCCAGCACGTGTAGAGATTTTATCGTGATGATACGAGTTTTGCTTTCTCAATCCAATTTCTCATTTTGAAATGAGAAATTGGGTTATGCTGGTATATTACATGCAAGATCACGGCACTATCGAGTTACTTTCGTTAGCTTGAAACGCGTTCAAGTTTTTATAGCCTACACTTTCGTAGATAGCAAATATTTTTAGCAAATGGTAATCGCTCTCCTTTTCTTCTGTTGACTGCATATTGGTGTTTGCGAACATCAAGAAAGCAAGATGCCTCATAAGAGTCACGCTATAATACTTACACTCTTGTTCATGTACATATCCAATCATCAAGCTTATTACTATAGTACACTTTACGTTTTGTATTTTGAGGCCAGATTTCATGCAGTTTCGAACATGATATGCGAAAAGACTATGAATTCCGCCCACTATAGTTGTCTATAGGTATATTGAACACTCGTTTCGTCAGCATGACAGCCTGATATCCAGAAAGCATCACAAAAAGACCATGAACCAGATCAAAGTTCCATCAAAATGATCTCTTATCTACTTACATTGCACACTATTACATGTACACGACTTTAATTGCATTTCACGTAAACGACCATAATTCAATACTCGTCCTGATGATCATAGTTAAACATGTTACGAGTGGATCTCATTTAGTTTCCTACATAATAATAAAATGCAAAACCAATAAAACCATCATCTGCTCATGTCGTTTCCATTCTTGTTTTGTTGGTTCATGCCCTTCGCTGCTGTTTAAAGTTCAACGTGTTTAAACGTAAAGTCGGGCTTGACAACTACATAGCTCAAAAGTATAACGAAACGAAATATGTACACGTTGTGTCACATCACTCGATTTTAATCTTTGTGCACAAATTAAATCGCCAATGCCATTTGTTGCTTTTTTAGGCGATGATGAATTGATTGCGATATCAATTTTGCTGTTGTTGATACCAGCATCCCAATATTATTATGCTGTGCCTCTGCACCTTGTTGAACTCGGATTTAAAAGTTGAAGGTTACTTGCTCATTGCTCGATTAATAACAATAATCATTTTACCACACGAGCAAAAAGGATATGCATACATAAACATAATATGGCTTGACACTTGTGGTGAATTGTGTGCACTATTTGTTTATGTGCATGTAATAGTATGCATGCATCTATTCTATATTATACAGTTACAAATTATGACTCTTTTAGGTAATAAAGAGTATTTTCGTTGAATATGTATCCCGTGATTGTGTGTTCTTGATTAAACTATAATGTGTGGCGAAGTGTGATTGTACGTATGTTTCTGTATGAGATCGTGCGTAAAGCATATACTTCATCGACTTTTGGGTAGGGATTAAGGCATCATCTCCTTCATATGTTAACTATAACACGAACTCGTGAAAGGGTCAAAATGCACCGAAAAAAAATCAAGTCAATAAACACATGAATTGTGAACCCAGTACTTAACATGTGATTGACTTTTGAATTGTATATTATCCTAAAGATGTTATGCGAAAGAAAGGATTTGCAAAACTGCGAATGAGGGTTATTTGGTTCTGAGTTGACTGACATATGTATTATGATATGATATTGATTATGAATAAGTATTCAAACTGTAATTAATTAAAACTTGATAAATCGCTGACTAGGAGGAAACTTGTTTTTTTAATGCCAAATGAGTTTGGCTATTGATTTGACACTTTTGATAAATCACATGAACGCCTCATACATATTCAGAGCTTGCTTCATTAATGTAGTTCACAAAAGTTTCCTGTGTGAATACTTGATACATTTATAGTTAGTATATGAGTTGACCCTTAATATTCTTCACATAGGAAACAGATTGTTTGCCAACATGTGGCAAATTGGGTATGTTTATTTAGTTCGTTTGTTGAACCTTCTAAATAATTCAAGTCAAGGGTCAAAAACCATTGGCACTCGGATTTTGTTTATAGAATTGTACCTACGATTACTACATTTTTTAAGTCGTTGTTTATAAGTGTTATGAGACATACGAAGTCCAGCTTCCAGCACCCTTTCATCTTGTCGCATGTCGATAATAAGCCATGAATGGATTAATTGTTGCAAGTTTCATCATAACAACATGGCCATCAAGTCATTGGTAGTTCTGTGTTTTCCCTGCTTTAGTTATGTTGGCAAATAGGAATGAAATGAATGTTTGCTAAATATGTACGACAGCTGGGTAATGTGGCTTGCTTAAATTTAAGCAATGGCAATGTCCTGCCCTCGATGGCCGAAAGCCATCGACGAGTTGAATATCATTTAGATAACACGAGTTGAATACAGCACTCGGAACGAATAAAAATAGATTTTTTGCAACGCACTTAATTCTCTTGTCCTCTTATTCGTACTCTTTTTTTTGTCGGAGAACGAGATATCTGTATTTATTCCCTTTCTCAAGAATTTACTTGGCGATTGGAAATTATTAGTGTATGCATGATAAGGAATGCGCTACTGGGAACTAATCCTAAGAATGAAATATTAACGTTACTTTCTATTAATTCTAGCGATTCGGAGAGTGAAGCCGAAGAAGAGAACGACGACACTGCCGCAACTCGCGGAGAAAGGTCCCCACATCATCAAATAAGTCATCATCATCATCATCAAGAATATTCACTCGCCTCGATCGATGGTGGAAGCGCCGATGGTGATGACTCTAACAACACAACAACAACAACCATTGTCGATAACCAACAAGTACAAGATGCCAGACCAAAGCCAAACTTCAGAGCCAGAAGATTGCTAACCCCAACGCGTGTTTCCGGACTGGAAACCGTATTGGCAAGTCATGTTCGAAAATCTCGTAAAAGGTGTGCATCCACCCCATCCCCTCTCAATATGGGCCAGTCAAACTCAGAGGAACTCCGTGATTTGAACCCACCGACAAATAAAAAACGGAGGTTCCCTTCGATCTCATTATCTGGTCCAGGGCCCTATTCGAACAACAATACGAATGGATCTGGAGGATTGTCTGGTGGAAACACTGCTGCGGAAAATAACCAGGGAAATTTATCGTCGGGAGATTATGCCATTCGAAAGAGGATGATGCAGGACATTGAAGATCTGCAAAAACAGTTTCAACAGCTCGATAATCTTGAGAAACTTCAACACGACCTAATGCTGAGGTACATGGAGATTAATCAGCAATATCAACCAAGTGGCACGATTCAGCAACAACGTCAACCCAGTTCTGGCGACAGTAATGGTACAAATACTTCAACCACTGCCATTACCACCACCACCACTGCTACTACTACTGAACAGGAACTAGGAATTGATGTCAATAATCCAGTCCGAGTCGGAGGGGAAAATATTGTTGGCGAAATTGAGCAAGTTGAACCAGTCATGGCCATAGAAGAGGAGGGAATAGACGAAGAAGAAGACATCAACGTTATGAATGACGATGAGATCTTTTCTGATGCCGATCTCATCATTGGGGCTGAGGAAACTGTTGACAACATAAGTGCAGAAGAAGATTCGGAAATTGGCTCTCTCATGTAAAATCGTGTTACAGGATGATATCTGGTCATGGTCATACGGAGCAAGTTTGCAAAACAATGTGAGGAAGAGCGTTAATATGAATGGTATAATAATAAGTATGTATGTATGCGTGTGTAGATGATATAACGAATCCTAGAAATGTCGAGACAGGAAAGATTTAAGAGGGATCAGTTGGGTTAAGGATTTAAGGGTTAATAAGACTTGAAAAAGTAACAAAAAAATTAATTCCATTATTATCTCTACTATTATCGAAAATACCGAGTAAGTACGTTGTGTGTATGGTATTAAAATGTATATGTATAGAGAGAGTTTGTCAAAATAACTCGTAGTGGTCAGTCAATTCCTCCAGAATTATATAGCCTTTACTCTCCTGCTGACATAATAAGATATAAACACAACAATACGTCACCTACGTACATCATACATATACCCAAATACAATACCTCCTATTATACCTACTCTTAGTATTATTTCAGATTACCTGGTGAGAACGATATTTAGTTAACTTATATAAAACTGAACTTTGATTTGAAACGATGAAGCTTTGGTCAAGTTTATCTGACTTGTCCGGTAATGGAGTCTCCTTCGGGCTCCGCACAGTAATATTATTATTCCTACTTTCAAAGTTTTATTGGTCTGGCATGTTTTGTAGGCTGAAGGAAATCAATTAATTGCCTACATAAAAGTAATATAGCGGAAGCAAGTTAAAGTATACTACTAATACCTGATTATTTTTTTGTCTCCCTCCTCGTCCTATTTTTTCGAGTTGCATTTTCAAAATGCCGTCATACAATTACGTTTAGTACCTGCCTACACCTACAACCACGAACCAACCAATAATAATGAAACAAAATAATACAACGTGAACTAGTTAGGCTTTGAAAAAAGTACCACCTACTTACAAAATATACCACTAATAATAAACCAATTCAGTACGTGAAATACCACAAGAGATACAATATCCAAGTTCGTATAGCTATTAAAAAAATAATTTGAATAGTATGAAAAAAATAGTTATAAAAAATAGGTTATAAATAATTATGGCGCATGTTATTAGACTAATAGCATCTCCGTATTTGTTTACGATCGTTGTCTCACTCATTGTCCCTTTCCTTAAACTACATGTATTATTATTTACAACAATAATTCACTCTGAAATGTGTTGTCAAACGAAGAGGGTGTATTCAAGTCGTATAGATAAAGTTTACCATACATGCATTTCCAATGTATTGTATTACAGCACAAATACGTATGCCCAGTGTTATCAATTATTCTACTGGCAGTTAATTGTCAGATTTGTGGTAATAATTGCTATTAATTAATTACAACAATACAAAAAAAATACTTTAACCTTCGAGTACATTTAACCATCAACCATTGCTGCTGGTGGTGGTACTACTATACAAAGTGTTTAACTCGTTTAGGTTGTGTTAATCTTCTCAAGAAAAATTGTATGCATTAATGATGTCATATTTTATTGCACTTTAGGTTAGTGATATAGCTTGTAATCTCATGTCTCATTTAAAGTCAGCTTATTGTAGTTGTGCTTTGTTTTAGTAAAATGTTTAGAAAAGAAAAAGTAAATACATGCATACGTCCAACAATGTAAGCCATACATTTAGTTACTTAAAAAGCAAAATAGAAAGTCATTTCAATTGAATTGTATAATATATTATTATATAAATTACAGTCTACACGAATCTGGATTTCTTTTTAACTTTACAAAATTGTGAATAATTAATTAGTCATTTCTGGTGCATATTTTAATCCTGATAAAAAGTCACAAATCTAAATTGTATTGAATCAGCCAAACCAAATGTTTTTTTTGGGAATTGTGTAATAAACCCGTTGCAATTATTATTATTATTATTCAAAATGCGAGTGATGCAAATAAATTCCTGTCCTAAACTATTCTGATTTGATGGATTTTAAAAGAATTTGTAATGTGCAATTAAATATCAAAGAAATGGCAGGGAAAAGTGTTAGATCAATAACTGAAGTATCGACTGATATTAAGCTAAATTATTCCTTCTTCGCAATGTTGAGGGGACAATTAAAGTATATACGTGTGTCCGTAGTGTAAGGTATGTATTTATACAGAATGTTAACAAATTAGGGTTAATTGATACCAAACACTTTCGTCGAAAACGATTTTCGACCTTTCAAATTAGATACTTCGTATTTTTGTTTGTTATCCAAGTAAAATAGAAGACATTTCATAACATTAAAAATAAGTAAATTTAGAGTTGAGTAAAAATATACAAATAAGGAAAACCACTACATCACATATTATAAAATATGTTACACTCTAATGAATAAGTCCCACCAATGATTTCTTATAATATGTAATTTCACTCACAATATTGATGAATTATTGTTTAACATGTGAGCATATTCCGAATTTGATCTTGATTGTCCAATATTTAGTGATTTTGTGAATCTGAATTTAAAATTGAATTTATTTTTATTATTATATTCTGCAATGATGATTGGTCGGTCGTTACTTTTTTGAGTGAAGCCTCTCAGAAAATTGTTTCATTGATATTAATGGAATATGATAATTGGGTCCTTTTCCTGCTGCGTTGAATCAGTGAATTAAGTAAAAGATACAAATGAATGTTAATGCAAAAAGTTGGATGCAATTGAAAATTTGTCCAATAAATTTATTTTTTGTTTTCAAAATTAATCCAAAAACCGAACGTTCTTTACTTTAGTTATATGTACATCTTATACATATTATCCACTTGTTAAACCATGCTGCATGATAGAAACCTATTGTGCAGTCATTTTCTTTGCATCTATCTTAATTTCTTAAACCAACGGGGTCACCCTCTTTGGCTCCCTTGACCAATATTTTTCAAAGTGGCATCTTTATTACTGGGTGTAAATTTCCCCATACCTTGCAAAAATTTTACTATCTCTGACAAAGGAAGAAAACAACAATGTGACCCACGCTGCGTGGTTCACCTGTATGATCCTTCTGGCATAATATTTACCATGTTACCCATAAAATGCCTCCCGAGGGTAGTACGGAAGTAAATTTGTAACATTCAAATATTGGAATTTAATGATGTACATAATAATTTCTAGGAAAGTGGGGCAAATCGTGGATAAAAATGACTGCACACAAAGAAAATGTATGTATATGCATATTTGTAAATAGAATTGTCATTTTTATCCTGGCAAAAAATATAAACAAGAACCACAATTACTATTATGTAGTATCAAATGAGATAGTAAAATGAATGGCAAATAAACTACATACACTTACCTACTGCAATTGAAAAATGTAAATAAATGACAATATACATAAATAATATGCGTCCCATTCCGGTTCCAGAGTTATCTACTTTGATTTTGTGTCAAAGTGTCAATAGGACCTATGATGTTTGCTTCAGCCCAATAAACCCATTTCCGACGCGTCATCCCACATGGGGAAACCGGAAATGCGGAAGTAGCTTTGTTTATGTTTATATTTTTATTGTGTCACCAGTCGCATTTGGATTACGACAGGCATTTATAATAACATAATTCCAGGTACTTTTGTCAATAAGCGCAGGTATAAATGTCCAGGCCGTGGAGTTGGATAGTCAGTGCGAATCAAGCCTTTACATCCTAAGAAATACTTGGCTTGGAAAAAATAAAAGTTTCCAACCTTTGTTTGAAAATTTCCTTATAAATTTATTCCAACGGTAAGGACGATGAAGAACCCATCATCTCTAATAATTCTGACACTTTGCACATTTTGCTGGCACTCCTCCCACTCGAAGCCACTTAGCTTGGACAATGGTCTAGATGTTGAACTCATCGACAACGGGACAACTTACAAACTGACGAGCATGCAGGATGGAATGGTAATCAATCATAATCACCACGATAATAATAATAATCAATAAATAGTAGAAATTACGATACACTTACTTACTACGCATCATATGCAATATACCATTGCCCTTGTTTATTTCACAGGTCATCACTGTACTTCCAGGTTATTTGACTCACTATCAAGACTGCTCCTCATTTTTTCAAGTAGATTATAATTACGGTTTTTTTTACTTAGGCGGTACCGTCATTACGGATGAATGGAAAGGTCACGAAGAGCAGAAATGGACTATATTTGAGCATCCCAGGGGTACACAAGTTCGAATTTACAGCATAGAAATTTTATACCGAATCCTTATTGTACTTTGTTTTACTTTATTCAAAGATCATCTTGCTCTGGTGTTTGTCAACTACGCCGTGCCATACAATGACCTCAGTGGTTACGAAGAACTAGAAGATAATCCGGGGATCTTCCCCCGACCTCTGACCCTCAATAAACACAGGATCATGCCGGATCTGAAAAGGGAACATGCTGTTCAACTGCAGGAAGACCACTTCCCCGTTCCATGGCAAATTATTATCAGGAATCGTTGGTGTCTGCAAAACAACGGGTAAGTCTTCTTAAGCATTAAACTTATTAAAATATATACCAGGAATTGGTTCTAAATCTTAATATTCTTGTTTAAACAGGCAATACAGACAACTGGATATCGATGATTGTGAGTACGATCCGGCCCCTTGGCAATATTGGGAATTAAGCATTGTTCCACTTGGACAACCTGAGGATTTGTCCTGATCTCTTCGACCTATGTCGTAATCGTCTTCTAAAATGCATACTCATCTACATTTAATTTATTATAGCGTAATCTCTTGTTTTCTCCATTTTTATACACCTACTTATAAAACTTAAGCAAATTAAACGAAATGTTAACCAAACTTGTACATTGGTAAAGATAATCATGGGCATACACAACAATAAGTGTGACAGTCTTCTCATATTTCCCGAATACTATAACCCTTTCCCAAGTTCGAATTCTCATATTTGGAGAAGAACTATCGTCATCAAACATAACATAGTGTACGTGATTGATAAGTACTCGACTTACAAACTTTATAACTTTCTCACACCCACCCATAGCACAACCCCACTGCACAAACAGAGCACAATAATGGCTTCCTTCATAAATCCCTTAAATCCAATTCCGCCCGAACTGAGGAAAATCCAAGGGATTGACAAACTGAGTCGCCAAATTGAGAAGGAGGTTCGGAGTCCCAACGTCAATGAAAAGTCGAGCAACTTGCCCCACCTCCTCTCCATCCTCAAGTGCATCCTCCAGTCGCAGGGTCAGAGGCTACCCTCAGCAGTCTTGAAACCTTTCGCCTTCTCCAAAGGGAGGTCGGGTCGTCTGGTGGTAGATTTGGTGTCGCCTGATGGGGATTCGTGGATTAAAATTTCAGCCAGGAATCCCAAGGCACTAAATCTTCTGGCAGCTGGAGGGGGGAATTTCGGTCAAAAATCAATCGTTGATCATGTCCAAGATTATTTGATTTGCGCCAAGGAGAACCCCTGCCTGTTCCGAGTACCAAAGGTACTAGAGAATTACGGTTATTGATATCAGGCGGATTGCATATTCTTAAGAAAGGGAGTCACGCTGAGTTGGAATTTTTGGGATTAAATTAACGGTGGTTATTTGTTCTACATAGGTGACCGCAGTTTTCACGAGTGGAATTAGTGAATCGCTCGCCATTGAGTTAGAAGCCCTCGGGACAGTTGTCCAGGGAGAAAGGTAAGTGATGTACAAACACGTAGATACAAATAGAGATGGATAAAATATCTCACAATACACTCACATGGAAAATAGGATTCCGGATGAACAACTTGAGCTTCATCCTAGGATAAGAGTTTACGAGGACAGAAATAACCTTCAAGGCTTCAGGGACGACCTCCTGCTTGGTGCGGCAGAGGAAGCCACGCTCAGTGCCTCTGTAGATGAAACGGTCTTGGGGTTTAAAAATCCCAGCCTTGATGGGGTCACGAAACTGAATTTGGACATTCCAGCATTCCTTGCTTACGTTTCCAATTTAACCAACGGACATTCGAACGTCAAATTTCCAAAAGCTATTTTAGCAAACCAGGCAATATCAGAAAATCTTAGGCCACAAAAAGTTATACTGGATAAAGTTTTTCATGGTGAGGTATTTTTATTAATAAACGAGTATGTATTTTCCTGTAATTGGAATTATAACAATTATTGTCGTGAATGGTTGTGTTGTTTTGCAGGGAGGAAATTATACTGCTGTGAAACTGCCTTGAAGGAATTCCATGGGATTTTATCCACTGTTGGTGGTCCAGCAGAGAAAGAGAGGGCTCGAAACTTTCTCTCAACCGTTACAATTGTTCCGGACCAGATGACGGAACGAGTTAAGTCATTGTGTGTATCAGGGAACATTAAATATAGATCGTTGGTGATTTTCGGAACTGGGGACACTTTAGAAGCAGTGACCGTCACAGCAAATACGGGATTTGTACGATCAGCCAAGACTCAAGTAATTATCTACGCGCTCAATATAATCCATGTAATACACAAATAATTGGACTATTTATGCAAATGTTATAATATCGTTGCAGGGAGTGGAACTTGCAGCATTTGTACATGAATCAAGAGCATTAACCGAACAAAAGGAAAACAAGGTTAAAAGTAGCAGTAGCAGTTGACAACTTGGAAAATTTAACTGACGATCCCTAAATCCCTGAATTTTGTATTATGGATTAATTTTAACTTGTCATTTACATAGTCAGCTGTATACAAAAGTTTGATATCTGTCCGTTTGTAAATAAATCTTCAGTACAAAAGTTCTCTGTCTATGATTATCCTTCATCCACAAAACGCTACCATCAAGAAACCCTAAATTTGGGTGTCAATCTAATGCTTCAAGAACCAGACCTAGTCAACATGATGTAAAATGAGATATATACTAGTCGAATTTAGCTGCATCATGTATAAGCTGAGTTTTATGGATATCTTCAATAACTAATAAAATCTATGTACATATATAAAATCATATACTTTACAGTATGCATATAAATATGTATGCATTTATGTATGTGGGGATTTAACATCCACTGATTCTAAAGGTATAGATAGATAAACCGCAAAATAACAACCACAAGGTCAATCAACATAAAATTCAGTTAAACGATTAACGACATTGACCCGTGCATGTGACTAATTCAATGCTTTTGAAATGCAGAACATAACATCCTGTGTGTGCATATGTGCATTGAGAGCTGTAATAGATTGTAGATAATTATGCAAGTGCAGATATTTATGTTTATTGAGATTGATTCCAGCAACTCGAACCATATTCTCGGTTCAGTGAAATTGTTAAAACATTTCCAGACTGTAAGTATATAAGGCTTTGCAACTTTGAGGATTTGGTTATACATAATCAAGTCTCTGAACAAGAATTTCGACGTAACTCATCTTCGCTATAAATACTCGGTAAACCATTAATCCATGAAAGCAAAATTGCATTTTAACATAATTTTTCACGTTTAAAAATACTAAATTTAGATTACATTATAGGAAATCTGAACTGAACCAATACGATGACTGACAATCGACGGAAATTTCTTATCGGGATCACAGCCATAATTTTGCTGCTGGGGTTGCTGGGAATGGCAGAGGCCTGCTACAGCATCGCGTGGGGAGGCTGCACAGGAAGCTGCGGGCGCGGAATGCACTGCGTCAACTTCGGATGGCGTCCCGACCATAATAATTGTAAATGTGTCCGCAACTGAAAACCCATTATTTTCTGGTCATAATTTGTACCCTAATTTATACTTGTATTTTGAAATATATTCTATAGTACAATGCCGCGATTGTATTGACGAGTATAAACTTAAGACAACGACGTAAATCATTTATTCATTGATTATCCATGTGTATTGATGCTTCCATTGCTGTCCTTGGACAGTTTTTTCTCAATTCCAGCTTGTATGAAAGGCCAGTCCATGTATGTCAATCAATACCTGGTCAATATTTGCAATTAATTGAGAACTCATATCACAAGTTCCGTGAAAGGAAGTTTTGCTGGAGGAAGAGCTTTGACAAGTGCACATTTGGAAAAGTGGAATAACGAGCGAATAACGACCCATTCCATGTAATGAAGACAGGTCGTTCTTTGTTTGAGTACTTTGAGTCAATAAGTGGATGTTTTCAAACAACTGGAATTTACGGACGTGTGTGTTGACTTGACGTTGATACATTAAGTATCACAGTTGGCACTTGTAAATTTTATGGGTAGCATGAAAGTGATGATTTCGCATGGACAAATTATTAGTCAAGCGCTCTGAAAAATAATATTTTTGTAATAGCGCAGGCAGGTATACATATGTCCTATTAAATATCATACACTCGTCACTCGTTGAGAGTCCATAGTCCAAATGTAGTTATATGAAATCGGGTTGACTGGATAATTAACGGACAGTGGATTATGGTTATTTTCATTTTTCTGTATATTTTAGAATTTATATTTAATTCGGTAAGTGCATATTAATCAATATGTACAAATACAATTCACGCAGGATTCTCGTTGAAAACATAATTTCGTAACACGCTCGAAATGTCACACAGTAATTCCAGTCTTCACATGTAGCTGGGAAATTGGCAAAACGAATATTATACACTTGACAAGTTATGCCGGTGAAACCTTGAAATTTCATACTTCATGAATTATAATACATATCGCATTTTGTATGTGTGCCCTGAAATGCTCGTAATACTTCGCCTTGTCATGATGCCACTGGACGGAAAGCACCAATTATCCGTTCAGTTTCGAATGACTGCAGTAAATACCCGGAGCCAGCCACATTATTGACCATGTATGAATTAGTTCGCATCTCCGCAATTAGCTAGGTACATGCATACATAAGTGGGTAAAATGATGAGTAGTTTTAGCAAATGCTACGTATAGCAGGAAGACTTAAAAATATGCAACAATGTAAAATATATACTCATGGATTCAAAAAGCAGTCCTTCCTTGTCGTCGCCAAACCAGACGATTGTCATCATTTAGATATACACATTGACGTGTTATGCATTTGGTGAAACGAGTAAAAGCATGAAATGAATTGCAAAATCGCCAGGGGCACTTCCACACCAACCAACAAAGCAACCTCTGACGTGCCATTATAGAAGAACTAAATCCATCCTTATTGTGTCTGTCTTCCATTGTTAATTCACTGCTTAGATTGGATTAAATTCACAGGTAGTTTGCCTCGTAAATAAAATATACGATTTGTGGAAAGTACATGCATTCCGTACTAATGTCCAAAATACTGCAAGCATGCTAAGAATAGTTAGTTGAGAGACTGACTCCAAGTAAGCTGAGATGCATTTTATGGACGGACCCTCAGTAAGTAGATTGTCGAAAGCAAGGGACCCTACCTGCAATCTAAAAGCATAGAAGTCGAATCGAAATGTTTGTGTCCCACACAACACGAGAACAACACAATATTTTTGCTAGTTTGTTAGTCATCCCGTTGCTTGCTTACAAGAAAGTTGCCCCACTCTCCAAGTACGATATAACTGAGTCATAGTGGTCACATTTTTTGCTCGCTTACTCAACTCAAGGTTTCGTTTAAAATTTAAAAGGAAACTTCATCGATTCGCCATAATGCTGGACACATGTCAGTAAAAGCGTCACCCTTGCAAATATTTTAAGTTTCGCATATACTTAGGATTAGACCCATCTGGGGTGGAATTTATGTGCAGTGTTCCATGTAAATAAGTGGTTGCGAAGCTGTCCTTAAATTGTACCTGTGAAGTGAATATTGTGAGAACGTCGGTAGTAAACGTGTTATAAAATGTTTTTGTGATATTAACAAAAGTCGAAATGTTCTGGAATCGATTAAAGGTAAAAATTAATTTCATAAAAGTGTTTGCACTTGCTTTTCGGATTGGTACGAGTATATGTGTGCCATACCCAAATGTCATCATTTGTGAACTACTACATATAATTTCTCTTCTTCAACAAGTACGATTTACACCACACAATGTGTCACTCTAATCTAATTGATATTATTATACATATAGTATGTTTATTCATTTTAGTATAGATTATATTCGCAGAGATGTATGTATGTGTACAATTATTCCTTTTGAGAAAAGTCTAAACGCCCAGCGCTTGGTATTATTTCATTGTACTTAAGTACTAATGATAAATAAGCGACATTTTAATAAATTTCGCTTTCCCTATAGTTTTAATCATCTAATTAGTAAGGATTTACTAATTGCTCCACTTTCACAAGGATGAATCGCACTAATTTCAATAAATCAGTCCAATTTAATTTCGTCAAATATGAGAGTTTGTAGACGACATTTTAATCTCGAATCTCATTTTTTAGTCACACAGCCTCGCTGCTGGTTTGTTATGAATGCTTAGCCGTTCTCACTTTTTTGGTAAACTTAAATATTTGCCTTTTGAGTTATTAAACTTTTCCACGCATGCAAGTTTGTCTCCATTTTTTTTCATTTCTTTGTTTGTTCAATGTACATATAAACACTAAATGTAAAGTACTATTGTCGGAGTATAGTAAAATACTATACTCGTAGTGCAAGAGCTACACATATGCATATATCCAGCAGCTATACAACTAACTAAATTCTTTTATTTTTATTCTGCATTATTATTACGACATGACCAAGGACCATCTTATTTAAGACAAATCCTTCACTAAATATGGGGCCTAGGACTTTTCGCACCCGTCTTCCGAACTCCTTACTTTGCACCCGTTTTTACCTGATCCTCTTTTCGCACCCCTCAACAGCAAAGTTTGTTCGACGATCTAAAAAAATGACTCCTATGCTATGTACTCTTTGTAGGGTGAGAAATGTCCAGATCCCCTTAAGAACAACTGTATTAAGTAATAACCTACGAAGACACTGTCGATTTTTTGTGCGAAGGTGACATTCGTGCGAGGTCGTTGTAACAGTGACAGGACAAGTATAAAGAGGTTTGGCTGAATGGGACACAAGTGACACGGCATGACATGACACGATCGCATATTAAAAATGTACAACACTAATTACACGCTAAAAAATTCGTACGGTGTTTAAGTACGGACGTATCGAAAATTGCCCCCAGAGCCATCCCCACTTAATCCAAGTAGAATCGCACTTCGTGCAAGTAGGATTGTGCTTGGATTAAGTGGGATTTTACTTGGATTAAGAGGGGAAAGCTCTGGGGGCAATTTTTGATACGTCCGTACTGAAATACCGTACGGATTTTTTAGCGTGTATATTTATTGTTGTGGTGAAGTAAGAGCTGGTGTGTGTTGAATTATTTAGCCAGAGATCAGACTTTAACTTGTAATTCGTATATGTCACAATGAGTAAGCATAAAGATTATAGAAATTGAGTATTACACATTTATAATTTTAGTAAATACGTCTGTTTTCAGTGCCTAAAACTTAAATCTGTTCCTTTCGAATGTAGTTCATTTTGGTACTCTTATATCCCCCAGAAAAATTTCAGACTCTACGTAAATAATTTTCTTCAAGTCGGTCTCATCTTTGTCTCAACATTTAAATAACGATTATTGTTATAAACTGGGTTGTAGCTTAATTGTCAGTGCTCTCGTGTGGACATAATATTAACGAGCTGAGAGAGTAAAAATAGTATATACTGGCAAAATTTCGCACCTCTCTCTTTTCCACTGATTGCTGCATTCAAAACAGCAAACTACAACTTGTAGTCTATAAGTTTATACTTAGGATTAGTTTGCTTTGAATCAAACTTATTGCTTTGTATTTAAAATCTCCCATCAAACAATCTAGAGGCACAAACACGTATTTAAATGGAGATGATCCTTCGTCAAAAGGGTGAAAGAGGAAGAGGAACTGATAAACTCTCATGTTATGAGTGCTGATTATCATTTATCGTGACTCATTTCTGACACGGGACGATAATTAATGCGATTCGATATAAAATAAATATGCATACAACTTGTAGTACAAATTCCTATTTGCTTCTATAAGTATGTAAAATGGAGTGCATTCTTCCACGCTTGGCTAGTTCGTTCCGTGGTTTTGTTGCGAATGGAAATGATTGATCACAATTTGAATGAATGAATGAATGAAAACCCAAACCATCAAATTCCCTCATTTCATTATTTTTAAGTATAATAAGAAAGAGTGAAAATGGGATTAATTATTAAACTCCATCATAATTATTATCTAACAAGGGAGGGATGACTCTTGGGTTTTGTAATAGTTGAATAGCGTTGGAAAAGAAAGTTGATTTGCATTCACAGAGTCCAATCTCCTTTATTAATTCTAAACATACATTTTTAAATAACAATTCATTTGTGTTATTATTATTGCATTGAGTACCGAATATTTACATATTTGCTTCATATTGTGTTTTGTTCAATTCAACGGTCTTATAGTTGCTGGCATATACACCTAAAATAAATATATGTATTTTTAATTAATGCATAAATGACAACCGAATAAGTAAGTTATCAAGTGTAAATATTTTTCAGCAAGGAGCTATTTTTTAGTTTACTCTAAAGTTTTGTTTAGTCTACTCTACTATCAATCCCACAAAAAACAATATCTGTGTAATTGTGCTGTGCAATAAGATTTGAATGGTTTTATGTAGTATAAAATATTTTAACAATTTTGAAATTCAGTTCGAATTTAAATTTAAAATATACTGTATACATTTCAAGGCCATCTCATGGCTACTTAATACATATACAATTAAAAAGGTTAACTGTATGTAACTACATTTTAATCTAATTGCTCATGCAACTAAAATTCAGAATGGGTTTGTTGATTTCACTGTACACCCTCGATTGGGAAGTGATTCCCAACGTCAACTATCAGCTTGTTTGGTAACATTTTGATAATTTATATTTTAATAATCATTCAAATCTGAAAACCACAAAACACCTGATTTTATACATCAAAACGTAATGCTGTTAACGTGTAGAATGTTTTCTAGTTTTGACACACTGCAGCAAAGTTTGTTGAAGGAGAATCAAGTATCTAATAAACCGTTACAACGCATGTAACCAAGGGGTGAAAGGAGTGTCATACGTCAATGTGAATATCAAATTGTTCGAAAATTTGTTAAGATTGACACTTCTGACGTGTTTTCGACTTTTGTGTCTTATTTGTGTCAAATTTAACAGTTGATAACCCTTATGTGACCTTTATATGACCTCTGAGGTCAAAATGGAGGTCACCATTGAATTCGGGGTTAAATTTCAGTTGAAATTGAAATAGATATGTCCTATGACCTTTACATGACCTCTGAGGTCAAAATGGAGGTCACCATTGAATTTGACATTGAAAAATAGTTAAAAATGACGTGTCACATGTCAAAACTGACAAGTGACACTTTTTCGTCACTTTTCGTCACTGTGACGATGTCATCGTCACAGGTGACGTCCAAACACAAAATGACATGAATTTTCGAATTCCTCATTGAAAAATAGTTAAAAATGATGTGTCACATGTCAAAACTGACAAGTGACACTTTTTCGTCACTTTTCGTCACTGTGACGATGTCATCGTCACAGGTGACGTCGTCAAAGTGTCCATCTTCGAACTTGTCCTGTCCCTTGACGTTAGGAGTTAACGTTCAAAATTTCAAGTCTCTATGTCTTTCCGTTCAAAAGTTATCGGAGCTACGGACAGACAGACGGACGGACGGACGGACAGACAGACGGACATAACGATCTTATAAAGGGCTTTCACCCCTTAATAAATAGGTCAAGCAAAAGCAAATTATGAACCGGTAGCCAAACTCATGTGCATCTGGATGCATGTAATACTCTCGAAAATACTAACAAATTCTCTCACTCATATTGTTCAGCTAAGGAAGGAAAACATAATTTTGTGCTAGAAATTTGTCCAATAACGAAAATACTTTATTCATAAATATTTCTTAAACTTTGTAACACGCGAAAAACTCGTTAAAACTAAATCAAGACGAAAAATTCTGCGCAACTGTGTTTACTACGTACGTTCGCATATTATCTACTCTAATAAAGTGTTAGTATGATCCCTGGGTCCGTCTTCGCAATGCAAATTGCCCCATACAGTAGACAAAGAAGGAAGCGGAGCAACCACTGCATGCATGCACTGCACTGCATGAATAAATGAATACATGAACATGTACACCCCACGTACATACATCACTCATCAATAGTGGTTATCATGATAAGTGATCGTGATAAACACTATTAATTAATTATTTTAGTTTGAGAAACTCTACCCACAGCGAGTGGCATGTCAATTCGAATGTATTTTTGACGCTGAATCCAATGCCGTCAATGGTTTTGACCTGCGAGGCCCCCGTGACCTCGCCGTGACCGTGGTGTCCAAATCTGGCTTATTCGTGATGTCGCATATCAATTCGAATGTATTTTTGACGCTGAATCCGAATCCGTCAATAGCTTGACGTTAATTGTAGAAGTTAACGGGGTTTATGGAACTTAACGGGAGCGTGAAGCGTGGGAATTTAAATAGTTAGCTATGCAGTTACTCCCACGCGACGGGAATTTAAGTAATTAGCTATTCAACTACTCCCACAGGGGGAATCAAATTTTACTGTGAGTCACAGTCTGTGACCAGGTTAATTAAAATGCAGTATGACTTGGGCAAACCCTCAGTCTGATGTATGTATGTAGTATGACAAAGTCTCCACTGGGAATTATTTAAAATATAGTATGACGGATTTTTCGCTTTGGGCACACCCCCCACTGGAACTCTAGAACCCGGCCTTGGCCGGGCTATACGCTAGTAAGTAATAATACGCATATGCCCCTCTAAATTTTATAATATTTATACGCCAATGTAAAGCTGAACTGCAATTCTATTCTGTAATGCAATGGGAAGAACGGGTGTGATTGTGCGATCTTGATTAAACAAAGAGTTGCTGGGCGCTGACCCTTCGCACCTTCCCAGCCTGACATCCGGCACTTTTCTCCTATTCATTTCCATCATTATTTATTCTATGCGAAATGTAAAGGTTTAAACACACAAAATTGAGTTCTTGATTGCATAAACAAGGATAAACCTCGAAGGCTCGGTAACTTTTTCTACTCACACAACAGTTCCTTTCTTTTAAAGTAGTTTGTGATTCCCCCCCGTGTCAAAATGCTAGTTATTTGATAGTATGTGCAAAAATATAAAACCAGTTTTAATTTTGCAAAAATCAAACTTGGTTGCTGCCAAGGATGAGGAATTAAGAGGAGCATACCTGTAACTAAACCACAACGAACATAATTTATTTTTTAATATATAGGAAGATATGTAATCTATAAGTGATGTTATCATGCCTGTGATGATGTGATGATGTGACAAGTCAGAATTTTCTGGGTCTACATTTTTTGTGTATGTACTATGAAATGAATTCTGGTTGCGAAAACTTACCAGTTTTGAAACAGGATTGCAGTCGAAAAGGATTTTTGCATTTAATTTTCAGTCTTGTGAGAGATTTAGTTTTCTTCTAAATATGTAGCTAAGAATTTATGTTATTACGTTGTTTTGTTACCGGGTTGCCTACTAATCCGTTCCCTTGATGGGCATTTCTCTTGAGGAGGACAGACTTGAACCTGCTGTTACATTAGCAATTTGCATGAAATTAGCATGTTAACCTTATTCTGATTTTTCTGGGATTAAACAGTTGCATTAGAGATAATTTGGGCGAGGAATGTACATAACCTTCATTGAAGAATTTTATCTTGTAGTCGACACATCAATTACTCGTACAAATATGTACAAGGGACAGTTGCGCCTAATTTATGATAGTAAACAAGGATGGAATGCCGTATGTGTATTACGCTACTAGAATTTAAGTGATACATTTATGACGTGGTGTAATCCACGTTACGCAAAATTAGGGTAGAAACGTAAACTGGCAAATATTGCACACTTGGTTTATTAAAGTCAAATCTAAACATGACTAAAAGTTCTTTTTGTTGCATGAGGCTGTAACAATTGAAGGAGTGAATGCTTTTTATTTAATCAAAGAATGCAGAGGACTTTGAAGGACGTGTAAAATAGGGCTAAGAAAATGGGGCGTTTCTCTTCAGTTTAGATTAACTCTAGTTCATACGTATGCACAGCAGATAAATTGAACAAAAATCGCGTTCATTTTTTAATGCACATACTGGTGAATAGAAGATTAACTGCAGGCTTCTGGTAATTTTCACCAATTATTATTGTCTGGCATCAGTTGTCTTGAATATTTCTAAATAAATATCAACTTCTATAAATAAACGTGTCGAACATCGTATCATCGTGTGTCTACCATGCATCATATTTCGGATGACCAACACATTGTCTGCATTTTATATATACTTATTTATCTTAATTCTCGATCCATGACTAAATATTTAGCCAAATTGCTGCGATGACTCATACATATTTTCGTATCATCAATCCAAATCGAACCAACATGGTCATCAAGAGGCCTATTTTGATTCAAAGAGGGGATAAAGACTTATTTCGTTCAAATAACGTATGACAGCGACAGCTCAAAGAAAGAACGAAGGCCACTTTTTACTCTGATAATACTGCTCAATACCATACGCGAAGAGAGAAATGTATTGTTCGATAATAATGGAGCTTTAAAGTTCTGTTGCAGTTTGTTCAATTATGCAAGTGGGGGCATGTGCATGAAAATATGTGTCCATAATAAGTAGTGGATATAAATATTTTATTACGCTACGAGGAAAAGTCACGAGCCTGGAGTTTTATTATTTGGGTTTGTATATTGCAATGTTTGACGATGGAAAAATATGGTGGATAATGTCTAATTGTTAAATTGAACTTTTATGTAATATTTCAGACAATTTCTACAAATTGTTATATCATGCCCCTATGTAACATAGGCTATGTTCCACTGCACATAAACCCAATAAATTCCTAAGTACTTTTTTGAGGGACAACAAGCCAAACTTGTGGCGTGGGCAGGATGCATTGTACTTTTCAAAAGTACTTTAGTTTCGTACTTTTCAAAATTTTACGGGTACTCATTATAATCCTAATACTGTAATTCTATTTAAGTTTAGCAACCGATTGATACATTAGGTGCTAAACCAGCCATAACGACCCCACCATCAGTCAGCGACAACGTATGTAAATTCCACTACGGTTTGTAGGCATAGCAGAACAAAAGACAATGCAGTAGTTGACAGAACTAATTTGCTAAACCACACAATTTTTTTCACTTGGGATGTCACTGCACAATTGGATTGTAATGCATCTCACAACAGTCGCCAGTCGCAAGCAATTTGATTAAATGCGATACAAAATACTTTCGTCATGTAAGGCATTTATGGCAACCAACGATTTGTTGTTTCTCACAAGCATCCATTGTTCTATCCAAAGTACATACAGACTTTTAAACGCTATATTGTAAAACCAAATTCACTAGCTCTTTGTGGACAAGTAACGCCTGGAAAATAGCGACAATAGTGACTGATTCTTTAGGAGCATGATTATGCAATTCTGATAATACCAAATGCACATAAATCACTCTCAAGAGTCAGTGCGCATCTGAAGCAGATCTTATTCGTCGAAGTTTTATGTGCGACGTAGACTTGCATCGTGTACTGCATCGACGTCTTAAGATAATTAACTTGAGCCTGTCTTCCTTGCAGAAATTGCATGACGTCAATCTCTTAAACCGCACCACTTAACCCTTTGTGCATGACAGTTGATTGATTTTACGTTTCGATAAAAAATTCGCTCAATATTAAAAAATAACAATTAACAATTGATCTTTAGTATTACTTGCGAGGTACGCAGCGGGTAGGACATTTTGTACGAGTATGCATGAATATTGAATAATCAGAAATACTCAGAACGAGAATGCAACTGACCTTTTAATTTTATTGGCCTACGTAACTGTTGGATTTATTTTGACTGGCACGCCCAAACCTACGCTAGAAGTTTATTGTTATTCGGACTGTATAGTTTGGAAAGTTAATCGAAAGGAAAAATCGTGTCATGAAATTGTATGTATACAATAACGGCGAGAATGTAAACTGGTGACTAACAAAATATCGCTCAATTTATTTTCAGAAATCAAGCAAGGCATATTCAAGTACCTGAGCAACATTTCTCGCCCTCTTTTACGTCTCAAATTTGATCAATACTGCAATTGAGAATCACCCCAAGAATTTCTGAAGTGGAGGACATACAGGTAAAAGATTGATTTAACAGCTAAACCTGTCCAGTATCAAGTTAGCTTTACTCGTTACTTGGAACTTGGATGGGACCAGTCTAATTAAGTCACAAACATTCACAAAACCAAGACGCATTTACCAGGAAAACATTAAGTCGTTCGACTAAATAGTTGATAAAAACTAACTCGCCACTCGAGAATGACGCTGCAAATACACGCATTCCTGAACAATGACCATTTAAGAGGCGAAGACCACAGGTCACACATTGCATTATCTCGTGCACTATTCAGACAAATTGTAAAATCGCTGGAAATATGTATTAAACCGACTCAGTAACAGACTGTGAATTCACATACACACATTACTTAAGCGTATTACGAACAGTGGGCCTGAAATTGTGGGAGTATTCTAACTCCTTTCTTTAGTTTATCTGGGTTCGAACACGCGATACAAACACTAACTATCTGCATATCACACAAATGCAGTTACGAGCACATCTGTCAGCGTGATGTATTTAAATATTATTGAAATGTGAGTAGCTTCAAAAATTTCTAACGGGCTCTGTGGAATTACGTTGGAGTTTATACATTCGCTATACGCTATATGTACATTCATTGGAATTCAGATATTGTCGCAACTCAAAGTGCACAAAATCCGGATGATTTTACATAACAGACCAGTTTCCTCATCATTCCAAATTTCAGCCTATTATTGCGCAGACGACAGAGCGAATTGGTTTATTATGTAGCTCAACACAACTAATCAGTCGTCCTCCTCATTTCACGCACGTCCTCCACAGTGTGTGCAGTTGGAAGTGGGGGACGATTAAAAGAGGAAATTACAAGTGGAAATTTAATCTACGCTTAGCTTATTTTTAAAATACCTCCGTTACTCAAACACCCAAAAGTCAGAAGGAGAAAAAATATAATTGATTATACTTCTTGCTCCCAGAGGTAAAATGAGAAACTAGGAAGTGAGACACTGAAGAATGGATATTGTTTGTCTGCCTACAGAATTAAGCACAGCAATAAAATATAATAATTATTCACGTTTTTTACTACACACTCCATTGAATTATGACATAATGAAATAAAACAATAGGCTGTGTTAAGCCACCCAAAGCACCAAATTCATACTTGTGGGATTGACGTTACGTTTAGTTATTGATTGATTGTGAAATTAGATGAAGACACAAAAGTTGGTTGGGAAAGGACGCCCAATATTATAGTCATTTATTTATCGTAAATAGTCAATTATCATCATTACACAAATTATTAATTAGATTTGTGATCAAATAATAGAGTTTGTTTTGAAATAGAAATGTGTGTCATCTTCCCACATGCTTATCGCAGCGCAGCACAGTCATTGCTAAATAAATCTCACTCAGCTCGCTGTAACAAATCTGAGCTGGAGTTTATCCTAACAACTAGGACAGATAAGAAGAGAGCATAACAAATGTTTGCAAGACATGTTGCAGATGACAGGAGAAGAACAGTTAGTATTTTGTGGTATTCTGCAACAAGTACATTCGTAAATATATGACCATCATAAACCGTAGTTTTGCAAAAGACAACCACACGATTCAAGTGTGCATATAACGATATATCACTGCCATTCATGAGTCATATTCTTGTTTTGAAATTGAAAATACAAAAGTGAAACTTTATTTTTCTTTTTTGTTATAGAAAACCCGAAGAGGAACCTTGAATCAAAGACAATTTATTATCTACCCTGAGAACATTGTACTTCTTCTCTGCCTCAAGGAATAATTTGGATAAGATTGTGATTGAACTCAAATGTGAAAGTAACTCAAGTTGACGGAATATTGTCTGCACAGAGTGGAGTGTGGTCGTCTCATGCAATTTTTTGTGGTGCCGATATCATAAACTTGTGACAAAAAATGGATAAAGTGATCAATCACATTGTCTTTTTTTGAAAATCAGAAAGGTGTGACCGTCCATCGGACGTCGACTAAATCCAATATTTTCACATTCTCATGAAATGATGAAGAGTAGTGGAGATGAGTGAAAATCCAAGCGTCACCTCCGCTCGTGACGTCGTGATGCATCGTACATTGCACCTAAAAATGTGATAATCTTTGTGGGTTGGAAATGATTGGAATTCGTAATGTGGAAAAATAAACCGAAAGGTTAGTCATTAGTTTTAGGACGACTAGGTTAATAAAGAGTTGCAATAGGACTTAAGTGAGACGATACGGTGAACATTACTTCTTGTGAGTATATGTACATGTAAATCCGTGAAACCGGAGCAAATCCAAGATCTCGACGTTGTCAAACATAGTTCACAATGGGACCCAGACAAGGAAGAGATCGGAGCACAATAAGCGTCAGACGTAAGTTTCTAAAAAATCTTTCCGGGTGTATTATGAATGGTGGAGATTACACTAAAAGTAAATACACATTTCCATCACGAGTTAATATAAAATCTCAAGCAGTTTAAAACTTAATAGTGCTCACAATAAATGGCAAATAATGTTTCCCACACCAATGTGAATTCATCGAATACCTTTAAAAAATATGTGTTGTGCTCTTGGTGCATCGCAGCAGCCTTGGTTTGTGCATTGAAACTGCTTTAGATTAGGTTACGGTACATGGTATAATTCAATTTCTATGTACCTTCAGAGTATTGTAGATCTGCGTAAAAAGACAATATGCAATCATCGCTGTGGTGCATGATTTAAAGTTTAATGGTGAATTTTGCTTGGATATGGATGCAATGAGGATTTCTCAACCGTTCTCCATTTATGTACTTTTGCATCACAGAAGCATGCTTAATTTCAACACGTGAGGTTTTCTGCATTCAGTCAGACTCAGATTTAAGAGACATTCAGATATGTTATGGCCACTCACTTTTAATTTTAAGCTGAACCAGAGTTGTAGGAGGCCGATTGTTAACGACAGGACTTAATTGTAAAACGCTGCCTGTTCATTTTTGCTCCTATGACATATTTAGGCCAACCTGTGTGTGGCTCCACAAGTATGCAGAAAAGTAAGTAGTAATTGGTTGTTAGTAAAATAAGTACAGCAATTACCACCTTGGGTTTCGTTTCATTAATGGGTTATAAATAGGTGACGAGCTTGTTTTTACAGCGAGACCTTTGTAATGATGCACGTAAATGTGTACTAGGAGTGAATGGCTAGGCCGAGATAGTTTGCTAATTCTGTTTGGTAATTCTATTCATATATGTACATATGTATTTACATATGTGTATGTACTGTGTAAAGTTACAGTTCAGAACTTCAGAGATATTCAAAATTTATTAAAGAATCTGAACTGCTGCAGGTAAAAAACTACGCGAGCTAAGATTAATTCCCATTCAAGTGCACCTTAACAATCTTTTTCGATTTACGTAGATGATGAGGGGCTCAATACAGTGCAAAAAATAACAAAAAATAGAATCAAGCTCAAATGTGTAGAGATGCTGCAGATACGTAATTAAAAAATAAAAATACATTTTCTCCTTTTCGACAAGCACTTGCACATATACATACATTTAGAATGTGTGTAGTTTGTATGAATTTCAGTCCACTCAAGCCTAATGAATGATGTTTGTATACAATACAATTTAATGTACGTAGAATTTATAGGTCATCCGCACTGCATTGTCTTCTTCCCATAGAAACGTGATGCTTATAAGTAGCTTCCTCTTCTTGTTTAATGCACTCTGCCATATTCTCCAACTTTATCAGTAATTATCTGCAGTTACTCGGCTAAATATAAATATGTAGCTGTACTCACCTAGTTTAAATTCTGTCTTATGTATGAATTGCACGAGAGCAAGCATGTTGAACAAACTCGTACGTTCATTTTTTTCGTAAAATTAACTTGGCACATTCGTACAATAAATGCTTGATTTTTTCTACTTTTGATAAAAGAGAGACGAACGTAACTACATAGTTAAGCGAGAACCGTTATCATATCAGAGCGCTTTTGTTGTGATCTTCCCTGCAACAAAACATTCGTTAAGAATTTTCATTAAAGTCTGCTAACGATTTACGCCGACTGTCCAAGTATAAATAATTGTGAATGCAACCGAGTGGGAAGTACGTACATAAGAATGCATGCCCTTAAGTTCATGCCATGCTTGGAAGATTACCGTGTAATGGTGCAGGTGTAATCACAGCTCGCTTCTCATTATCAAGACCAAAGGATGGAATTTGATTCAAGGTAAAATAGCATATGTAAAGTGATAAGGATGACCGACGAGAAGAGATGAACAATGAAATGTGAACTTTAACCAGCCAAGTTAATTGTGTGGAAATGTATGATGCGGAAGTTTGCCACAAAAGGAGTGTCATTTTAGGATATGCAAAACTAGTAAAAATCTATTTCCGCCCTCCTCACACACAGACACAGAAATGTGTTACATAAATACTACTATATTTTCACCTTATTTTAAAATAATGTCAGTATACTATATAAAACATTGGTGCATTTCACTGCGTATTTGCATGGCTTAATATGTAGTTGTGCTCATTAATAGTGGGAAATAGTGGACTAGCTGCACAGTGTGTTAACCAGACTTGTGATGATAACCTATCTTCGTCTTCATCAAATAACTTATTGATCAAATCTCTCCGACAAGTTCTGTTAGTGTGATGCAAAGAAGATTGTATGCCAGAATCTTTAAATCTCAATTGCGATTTTGGAGCTGTTGGACGTTAGCATGAAGGTTGCTACATATCCCAAAAATGAAGTTGGTTACGCATGCATTTAAATGTAGCGATGATACGTATACATATAAATCCTTTTCTTCCTCGTGTCTGAAATGTGGGCCAATTAGCTTCAATTTTATGAAGTGCATACATACATATGCAGGTGCAAATTACAGAACGGAATGTTCGCCAAATTACAGTCTGTGTCAAATATTCTACGTATTCGTCCATCCATTATTCGCATCCTGTTGAATTACACTCCATCAATAATGATACTTGATTGGCGTTGAGGCAATGTCATTCTTCTCAGTTGTCAGTTTTATGTGTAGTCATTTATATGTTGGACTGGAGGTGGACGTCGAATTGCATTTGTTGACACTACTAAAAAATTATCTGTTTTTAAATTTGGTTCGTAATAATTCTAACTTGCTTAAAATTGGAAGTATGTATGCGAATTTGCATTTGTACATATTAGGCAAGTACTAAGTAACAAAACAGTCGGTCACCTTGATCTTGGGCATTACAGCATATTTTATGGAGGTTGGTTTGTCCCATAAATATCGTGAATAATTTTGCATTGTACACGCAATTTAAATTAAGCATTTTGGCATTGCATTTGTGGCGTTAGGAAATGAGTTATTATTATTTATCTCCAGAGGTATATCGAGGGAGGTCATTGATTCAGGCATCATTTTCAGTGGTTCAGGTCTAAACTATCTGCTTTGGATTGTTGATGATAGCATTTGATGTGGGCAGCACTTGGACCTTCGTCTCTTGTTTCGTATAATTTGTAGATGCTCTGGTCTGGTTACAACTGACTTATTGACGCTCATTCCTGCGCCAGGCAGCTCCAATGGCAATACGCCAATAGCATTTAATTCATAGAGGTACATATGCATGAAGTGATGATCTGGTTACTGTACAGAAATAACATTGTTTTATAAGCACTGGTTTCTAATTATAATATAAAATGGGCGTTGTTATTTCACTAAACCACTAATATTGGTTTTATTCAGGCTGCAAATTCACGAAATGAAAATTTACAAGCAACCATGTTTTAAAATGCCGATATTCAGTTTTGACTATTGCAAAAAAAGTGTAGCTAGACCAGACAAAAATTGTATTCTCTTTGTATTAGTAATACAAATATCTCGTATAGAATTTGTGGATAGTTTTTTTTACCCTCAGTCGAGTGTGCAGGGATAGTTGTTTCTAGTGGACGCCAATTACATTATGACTTTTAATGACTTCTAATTTGTGGACTTTGACTTTCAAAAGCTCACATTAACATTCATTCAATAGGTTTCAAAAGCTAAACACTTTGAAGCTGTTTAATAACAACTTTCTCAAAACACCAAAGCTGTCGTGTGAACGTGTTAACTTGTTAATTGATTTGAACGAAGGCTAGTATTAACAGAGCTTAGTTTTGAAATGTAATAATTTATTTTTGTCGTTTTTAGCTCGACCAGGCCTGGCAGAAGTTTTCAAAATTGTCATATAAACGTGAAATTTGGGATGAAAATAGAATTGCACATGATTTTTAGGAATGTGAAGTCAATTTCTCATATTTTTGACAGGCACTGGCTGGTTTTACAAATTAGATGGAGAAATTAAAATTTTCAAGGTGGATATGTTGGGAAATTCAATTGTATCAAGCAAAGATGCCACAGGTGTAAAATATTGGTCAGGGGACTCATGTCCCTATCATGTACATACATATTGATACATCAAGTCTGTAGTGTAGGGTTTGACTATTATGTATTCTCATCATGCAGCCAGATTTCGAAAAAATTGAACTCCCTGCAACGTTGATAAATTATAAAATGCGTAAACTTTAACTGGATTTTCAGAATACGAGTTATGGTTTGTTTAGAAGTGGTAGAGTACATATGCCATCGACGGTCGTACAAAAAATAGATAAGCAAATAAAAAACACACGAGTTTTGTATACAGTTGTGTGGCCATTATTGATCATTATAGGATTTAGTATACTTAAATGTGGTTGCTGACCGTATTGTAAATCGTGATGTTGTGTTGGAGTAATTGGGGTTACACATTGACAAGGTAATTGTGCAGTGTTTTTGAGTTGGTTGGATGGAGCAGAGGTGGTCTCTGCCTGACCGGAAGGAAGAAGAGTGACGAATTGGATTAATGTTGGGTTCAACATAACAGGATGAACACTTTGTCCTCTTTGTTTGTTTGTTTTATTACCAATTTGGAGCTCATGTAACGGGATCGAGGCAAAAAAGTATACTATGTATGAAATACAACAAATGGTGGTAAAGGTACATGGATCGAGGCCTGACATTTGTTAATTTTTCGAGAGATAGATTTGGCTCATGAAATACTTACATGTAAATTATCGATTATTGCCTATTGATCCTCAAGTGATTTACTCTTCCTTTCTGATGCAACAATAAAATAAGTATCTGCATGAATCTAACATTATATATTTTAATATTGCAGGACACTGGATGGCCAATCTGGCAGTGAGTCTACTGCTGCTCACGCTAGTCCAAATTTCATCGTGCGACTCATTTCAAATCTCCAGTGGAAGGATACTAAGAACAAGGTTATCTAGACGAGATACCAACCCTCCATTTCCAGTCTACTCCGATGAGGCAGAGTCCAGACAGACTGATGATGACATAGTCACAACAAGCACTGTGGCCCCCGGGGGCAGCCAAAGTCTCGAGGGGGGTCACAGCGGAAATAGTGAATCCCAACAAGCATCTTCCCAAGAAGAGGACGAGACAACCACCACAATTAAACCTTCACAAAAAAGCTCCCACGTGAACTCACTACTTCGTCGGAAACTTAACATTACCTCACCAACCACAACCTCATCAACTACTCAGAAACCTCCAAAATTTTCAGAAGAACTTGACCAAGAAGTTCAACCTACTCAGTATGTTTCATCGTCCTGGGAAGATGACGACCAAGATTCTCCAGAAGAATCCGAAGCCCGAACCCACTCAGCGCTACCTTCTCCAGTGCCCACCCATCCGTCCCAGACCATGAGGACGCCAACCACACCATTTTCCTCAATTCTCATGAACAAAACTTCTCGGCACTACGCCACCAGCAGCAACAGTAACAATCACAATGCAAATATGAATCTTTTCCGTCGCAATAATAGCAATAATCAAAATAATAATGCAGTCATCACAAATAGTGTAAGAGACAGTGAAAGTGAGAGAAATAATGCGAATAATACAAATTTGAACGTCGGGAGTACAACTTTGAGAGGAATTCGACCAACCACTTCTGTCATACAGTTTAATCCCTCCACGTACAACAGAGTAGTCAAAAGGAGAAAGATCACATCCATTCTTGGAAGAAATAGGAATGGAGCAGTAGATTTTGAAGCGCCTCAAACAACGGTGGAAACAATAGGCGACGAGTTGTCCACTGCCACCGACCCTCTAGACGAAGATTTTCTTGTCGATGCAGCAGCAACTACCCTCCGAACCGTAACACTTGTTGGACATCAGAACGGTTCCAGAGCTATTGCAGGATTCAGCAAGAAGGGACCAGTTCGTGTGGTGACCAAAACAAGGCCAAAACCAATCATTATTCGAGATCATGATGCTTACTTTAGAAACTTGACCACGGAGACAGCTCCAACGACGGAGAATGTCTTGTTCGACATGGAAGAAGATACTCAGTCACCAACAGCATCACTGCAGAACAACAACGTATTAGTGGATCACAATCCTCATAATAATAATAATATCAAAGTAAGAAAAGTGAAGGTAACAATGTCAAGAAGACCTGGTCCCGGAGTGGTGGGTGTGGTCACCTCAGATATTCCAGTGCAGGCAGTAACGTTTTCCACCACCACAGAACATGTCACCCCAGTTACGAGTACCACACCTTCGCCTGTAGTTCAGCCAGAGGCGAACAACGAGGCCCCACTTAATGCGATTCGACCTTCGCCAGCTTCCTCAACTCCAGAGGAATTTACCTCAAGACGAGTGTACAAAGAGGAATACGGAATTCAAAGAGACACGTATCAACATGGCGATGAGGACGGATTTCCATCGACATTAGAGAGCGAGGATGATCATGACGATGACCACAATCACGAGGGTTCTGGCGACTTCCACCACAATGGTAGTCGAGAAATGGAAGTAGACGCTACGACAGAACATTACTCTGTCCACATACCGACCAATCCTGGTTATAACGATGCACGATTTGGAAATTTCAAGTTTGAGGGAAGCAGTGCTGGGGGAGATGAACCTCATGACGGATCATCGCCTAGAGTTGGTCATAATCATGTCCGAGTAAGCACTCCTAAATATCGAGACTACTTTTCCGAAGTCCCAACTGCAGGAGGCAATCAAGGAGAACATGTCGACAGCCACAACACGGATAATCTCAATCATTTGTATGTCCATGCTCACAACGGAAGTGGCAGTAGTCATAATTTATCCCTCGGATCGGATGAATCGATTAATCCAAGTCCATCCCCCCCTCATATTGAACCATCAGTTACCGTGACGGTCACAAAGACGCTGGCCCACCATGAAGATATTATTACAACCACACCAAGTTATAACATTACCAACGTTGAATTCCAAATCCCTGCACCCGTCGTTGAAGCAAATACTCACTCACTGAACGATCACTCTTCATCTTCAACCACTATTTCCACCCCAATACTTCCCTTAACGACGGTCATGGATAAAGTTGCAGCGCCACAGGTTACCAACTCGGTGGAGGAACACAACAATTCACAGTCCGAAGTCAGGCCCTCCACGAACATAACGGCATCTACAACAGGACCCAAAATCTCTTCAAAGGATGCAACGTCCGTGTTTTATACAAAAGTGCAAGAGCCACATTTTACCTCAAGCTCTTATGAGTTTAGCACCACACGTGAGTATTCCTACACATCCCAATCCAATGATGAGGATGACGACGACGAACACCACCACAGTCATAATCATGACCATCAACAACATGACCTTTCGTCACCACACCCTCCAGAAGATTCTGCAGCAGAGTCTCAAACCCATGTATTAAACAGAAATTCTACGACAGGCTTATCCTTCGCACCTTCACCAACCCCATTTTATCCCACCCTTGATAACAACACTACAACAAAAATGAGCACAACTTCGACAACCTTTACGACCACGGCAGCAGCCTCTCCATCATCTCAAATTCCAATAATCGTTCCTAGAAATTCCACATCCGTCACAAAACCAGAAACAACTTCTCCATCATCGTCAGAGCATGAAATTGAGCACAACTTCCCTGAAATTTCTCACAACGATATAGAGAGTCATGGGAAAAATGAGTCTTCTTCAGTGGTGCCGAAGGATAAGGTTCACCCTTTGACGAAGGATCTCCCAAAGGTGGTTGTCCCTGCCCTGTACCAAGTCCCAGTCTTGGTAAAAATGGAGCTACGAGTCGCCCAAACAATGTTTTGTTCGAATCTCAACAACTTCAAAGAGATGATCGTGTTCGTTTATGGAGGGAGGAAAAGGTGAGTGAGAATAATGCACATCTCAATCAATGCATGACTGACGAACAATGAGGAACAGAAAGAATGGCGTTTTACGCTCGAGAGGTTCCCCTGCAAATTAATCCATACCAAAAACCCAGACAGATAGATAAATGTCGAATTTTCAGTAGTACACATTTTCAGAGTGGGTAAAAAAATCACTTTGTGGCTTTTGTTAATTGTTGTTTATATTTCCTACGTATACAGCTCAAAGTGCAAAGTAGCAACTCAATTAGATTTACCGAGACTGTAATTAATACTAATTAAACAGCATCATATTTCCCTAAGTTCGTAATCTTGTAGGATTTGTGCGTACAATGTGACAATTTTGTAGTCCTTTTTGAATCTGTCAAGTGTTACATTATCGTCTGTAGTTCTACTTCTATTTATTTATGTCGTATCAATTCAGGACTATTCAGGAGTGCAGTGGTAGAAATGTTACCAGACCGCAACAAGAGATGAGGGTAAAATTACTTATTAGAAGAACGAAGTTGAAGAACTTCCAATTGATGAGTGTTGGAAAGTTTACAATCTTTTGCTTTGCTACATAATACTCGTCGGGAGACTATATTTTTTTATGTTTGTAAAGTAATTATAGTTAAATACGGATGTGTCTAAAATACGCAGCTGTACATACATAGAACATTTGCTATTGTCCAGTACGCGGAACTCTTAACTCAAACGATTGTTTTGCATACAAATTTCTAAATAAGTTGTGCATGTTGTAAGTGCATTTGGAATATTGATATTTAGCGATACACGAAGATACGAGAAAAGGTGACGTCTAATTTTAAAGTAAAATTTTCATCGCTGAAAGCAAACCATAAACACTTCATATATTGAATGGACATATTGCTAAAATAACCCATACTGTTTACTATACATGGTTATTCGCTGAGATGATGTGTGGAAAACACATTTAAATTATAAAATGCTGATGATGCTTTTCATGCTGATGATGAATGTTGCTCCAGCCATTAGACCATGGTACAGTGGTCCCCAGATAATTATTTCTCTAAGCTTTTATCTCTTTATGAACTCGTCCTAAGTAAATTCCAGAACACGAATTCATCATCGTCAATCAATTCCTACAACTTGTAAAATTCCTGTTGTCTTAAATTAAATATTATATGAAATATTTTCAGCGGAGTCGTGGGCCCAGATCAAATTGTGGTGTACATTGAACCAAACTGCACATCCTCTTCCGACATCATTGTTCCCCCAACTGAAGATCCTTCACAAAAGGCCAATGTTTCCACAGTTGTTCCAGCCTTAAAATCGACCTTACCGACCTTACCGACTATCACGACAACAGCCATTGCGACAACCACTGGAGCAACTACACCCAAAATCTCACCGTCCATTGGAAAAAACGAGTCATCCTCCGACGAGAAACAAATCACGTCATTCCCACAAAACTCGAGTGACGTGGTCACTCCAAAACCTGAGAATAAAACCGTGTCATTGCGACGACGTCGGCGTCGGAGATCTGAAAGAGGAGAAAGTTTGATTTTAGACAAAAGGAAGAGTTTGGAGGACGGAGAAGGCACAAGAACGACTGGAAACGGCAGCGGTTTCAACTTGCCACAATCTCCTGGAGAGAAAAATTCTGCGGAGTATGTCTCAGTCTACTTTTACGTGAAGGACAAACTTGGGAATTACGACCAGGAACTGACAATGTCCTTTTATGAATTCTGGAACGAGTCCCAAAATGGAACAAGTGGAAAAAATGAGAGCATGTTCCAGGGTGTGTTTTATCAAAGGGTGAGTCGATTTCATTGGTCATGTCATTCTTTTGCCATCATGAATATGTCATGGTATTTACAATCTCATATTTTATGTTTCGTAGTGTGTATTTTGAACTAACCTTTCCACATTTCAAGGAAAGTGATTCAAGATCGTAGTTTTAAATTGGTTCATATAGCTTTGCATTTTAAATGGGATGGATCAATTGTGTTTATCAATCAGTCTTATTTCTCAAGCAAGCGTAGAGTAATTACAAGAATAACAATTCCACATTTTCTTTTGACGAAGGTGAGATCCTCGCTGCTCATCCCACATACGTGTGTTTTGTATTTTGTGTGAATGCCATAGATTTTCATTGAGTGTTGAATACGGAATACTAGGTCATTGCTTAACCTACCTGATCTTGCATCCATTAGACGCATTATCAGTTCCAAATCTGCATTGTTATGAGCAAACATTGAAAGAAGATTCCGTGATAATCGGATGGGATCAGATTGAATCTTGTGCAACACTCGAGTGATTATTTATTTATATAAGAAACGCACGATTCTTCCACTTTTGTCGGATCGTTTTAAATTCTGAATGATTTCGACCATTTCCTGAACGAGTGCCAATAAAATGCATGTATGTGGGTCATCATTAAGCATACCCAATAAAAATTAGCTTCTACTTAATAATTTGAAACATATTAGTATTTATTAAAGCACATATTAAACTATTTTTGTAAATTATAGGTCAAGAAAGTGGATATGGTTTCCGCCAGCCAACTCATTTCTTCAGAAGATAATGAAAGTAATGAAAATTCAGGCAAGTTCCAAAATACGATTATTTATAAATTCCATGAAACTTTGTTGAGCCAAAATATTTATGTATAATAATATTAACAGCAGTAATTGTTTATTTTTAGGAATCATTGCCGCTATTGCGATTGCTTCCATTGCAGCTACCTGTCTTTTCCTAATTGGAATTCTTCTCGTAAGCTGCTATAAAAAAGCTATAAAAATAAATTTGACTAAAAGCATGAATTTTCATGCAACGCAGTTGGTTCTGAGGCATCGACAATCTCAGACAAAATTTGCCAAGCGATGCACTCCAGTCACTTTGGACGACTACAGTCTGGACAACATCTCATTCTCCAACTCCTTCCGAAGGAAACAGCGTCTCCGTGGCTCGAAACGGTCCTACACAAATGCCGCGTTTGATGACCCTGTAAGTATCTTTTGATCTATACTTTTAAATAGAAATAATGAGCAATTACTCTTGTTTAGACCGCACCATCCAGAGTTGTTAATTTATCCACGCTACACTCTGCACTAACTGACATTGCTGGACTGGACGCAGAGTTTAGAGCAATTCCTAGTGTATCACCCACACTTGGTTAGTATATTTTATCTTGTTGGTGTCATTGTCAATTTATGCATGCACTGGAAACCTCGGAGAAAGTCGCGGATATCTTATTCAACCATGTTTGCTTTTACCATGCAGATGACATTCCTCAAGGAGCTGAATCCAAAAATAGATACGCTAATGTAATTCCCATGCCAGGTATGTAATGCGTAATGCCAATTCATGTACATACATATGTATATAGGTCGACAGAAGTAAATATTTTAATATTTTTTCCCAGACACACGAGTTTTGCTAACATTCCAAGAAGAGCAACCAAATTCGGATTACATTAACGCAAACTTTGTCAGAGTGAGTTCATTGAATATGAGACTTTATGTATAGTGTCAATGGAATAATAAATGTTGTACAATATTCTGATAGGGACAAAATGGTGAACCAAAACGCTATATTGTGACGCAAGGTATTTTATTGTCATAAATTATGACTCATAATGGATTGCTTTTAAGAAGGTTGTTAAATGTGCCTGTTTGTGATTCAACGTTTAATAGGACCGCTTGAGGAAACAGTGGTCGACTTTTGGAGGATGGTGTGGGAGGTAAGTCGATTGTGGTGGTTTTTAGATGGAACAGATTGGTAAAACAGCAACTAATCATGAAGTCGTTCTCCAGGATTCATTAAATTAATTCAGGATTGATTAATGTAGTAATTGTTCTGTTCATTCTTATTTGCAGCAACAAGTCCGCGTTATTTTCATGCTCACAGACTTTGCAGAAGCCGGGCACTCAAAATGTGCTGAATATTACCCACGCTCAGAGACAATAGACTGCAGGTAAATAAATTTCATTATTAATCACTATTTTGAATTTTGTAAATATTAACAATTTAATTAATAATTTGCAGTCAGCTTCACGGAGGTAAAATCCTTTATACAAATTTATATATATGCATACTTATGATATGCAGATATTTGCCATTTGACCCGATTATGATTATGTCTATCCTAGATTTTCAAGTCACTCTAGAAAAGCGAGACGCCACTGACAACTGCATCACTTCCTATATTGTTATCAAGGTACGTTAATATGACACCTTAATATGCCAAGAGAGGCAAATGTGTGACACATTATGTGTCCATTCAGTCTTGTAAGTGCAAATTGTGGTTCACAGGACATGGAAAGAAATTTGAGGAGAGACGTGATTCATTTGTGGTACCACTCGTGGCCGGATAAAGGAGTGCCCCCAACGGCTAAAACAGTGGACTTTCTCCTCAAGTCGAGAAAATTTACAAAAGAGCCAACTCCGGTCGTGGTTCACTGCAGGTATTGATTTTGATTTACCTTTTCCCAGTTATTGTTTAGCAGACTTCTGAAATTCATGTTTTCTTAACTTCAGCCCTGGAACTGGCCGCAGTGGCACCATCGTCGCTTGTGATATTGCGATGAAAGGTGAGCACTACTGAATAAATGCGTCATACATGAGCACAATTAAGTCACAAATGCTAATAGTTAATTGTTTTAATTGCAGAATTTGAGCTTCAGCAGAAAGGCACCGCGGACATTCCGCGACTGGTAGGTCGGTTGAGACAGGATCGGGCCGGGTCAGTGCAGACGAAAGAGCAGTACTTGCACATTTATGAGACCCTTCATTACTACGCCACGAGATATGCTGCCACCCAAATGGAGCCCATTGGAGCCGTCCCATAATTTTACTAACTGCATTAATTGGAATGTAATTGAACCAGTCATTTTGCACAATTTGCGCACAGCAAAAAAAGAGAAAGGTCAATTGCAGAACTAATCGCAATTGATGAGCTATTAAAGAACAGTTGGTCATAAGTCACATTAATCTTTTCGCAAAGTCACCTTCCACTAAACTATCGTTATTTATTGATAATATGCATGTTTGTTATTTTCTGCTGGTGTAATAAAATTAGTGTATTAAATTTCACGATGAGTGATAATACTTGAGCATAATGTGGTTGGATTATTTAGCATCTCATTTGTTAGCAAAATCCAAAATGAAGCAGGCGTTCCTTTTCTGCTTTCTCCAGACTTTTGTGTGTAAATGGCCACATTAGAGCAGAGACAAATATCCTTCCGCTCATCCTCGAGATAATAAAAAGTGTAGAATAATAATCCCATTATGATCCTTCCCGACGCAAATTTTACGTCCTCGAATACGCTCAAGTTGGAAGCCTGCAGTCGGATTCGAGGTTGAAAGACAAATAACATTAGTTCGGAATGAACTCTTAAACTTGTTCATCCCAAAGTGTCCAATTTTGCTTTCCAAGTAATGAACCCCATGTATCAATAAAATTTGAAACTATATTCAGCATTACGAAAAACACTAGCAGTTATTTTTATTACACAGAAAGCTTTAATACATTTCTGCAATAATGAATGATCTACAACTATAATGTGGCTTAAGCCATTGTAGCATCGATAGTGGATTTTGAGAAAGTGGGAAAGTTCCATCCTGACTTTCTGTCCACTTTCAATTGGGTGAAAGACGTAGAAACATGTTTGCCAATATCTGTCCATCTGGTTAACCAACCTGGTTATCCCCCCCCAAGTGATTTGTGATTACCTCATTGTAGTCATTGTTAAATGATCGTGCCAGATATTCCCAAATATCTGGAATTGTCTAATCTCTTCTTTTTTTGACCAATGAATGTCAAGAAGGAACCCAAAAAATGGGTCAAGTTGCTTACAGCTCCTGAAAAATAAAAGTAAAAATAAACGTAATTTGATGTCTTGGATGTATACCATAATTCCTTAAATATTGCACCATCATGTTTAGTGGCCCCCTTTCAAATGAAAGAAAACTAAAAATTTCCTCTATATTGGCATAACATCGACTGGAAATGTACATATGTACATATACCGTTTCAATGGCATTATGCATAATTTTTCAAGTAAAGGTAGTTATGTATTTACTTGCTGGTTGTTCCATACTGATTGTTACAGCAGAATCGGTTTCCTCGTATGACTTGTGCTTGTCATACAGGAAGTCGTTGACACAGTCATTGCTGCAGGAAATTGATATTGGGGTCACATTTGACGAGATCTTCCCTTGGTGCGCAGGAATCGGATAAAAATGGTTATTGTGAAACTTTGATAAAGTTTTCTTGATCAGAAATTCATTTGACCGGGAGGGCTTCATCCTGTGAATGGCTGGTGGATTCATTGTATCTGCAACTGGAAGACATCATTAGATGTAGTAAATAATATTTAGCACTAAGTAAGTTTGCTAAATAGACCAGAAAATCATCTACTCAGACATAAATGTAGTATGAAAATTAAGTGTGCACAATGCAATTTTGTGTAAGTAATATAGTTTATTGCATTAATGTATTCACTTAATACTTTAATATGTATACAGGTTTATGTAACAAAATGATTTGACACTTTGGGCTGACTAAACAACAACTACACAAGTTTATGGCAGTTTAAAACCAAAGATTTAGGTGTGTGTGCATGAAAAAATGATTAATACATGCATAAATGAGTGAAACCCGGTTTCCTATCTAATATTAGTAGATTTTTTGTGTTTAAACCAAATACTAGAATTAGGAACTTGTTAATTGCATTCTGCATACAATATTGACTACTACATGGATTTACCAAAGTTACAATTATTTATGCTCTGCTGACATGCTGGGTATATCGGGGAATGACTGAATACATAACGGCAGTATGTATGTATGAAGTGCCGTACACAAACTCGTCGACTAGGAATTAATTAATTAGCATGTGAAGCTGAAATATTAAGTAGATGAAATTATTTTCGGGAGGATTTGCCGACATTTAATCCATGTGGCCTGGTTGGTCGTGCTCGGCAACATGAATTCTCCACTGTTGGTGAACATCGTTAAAGTCTGGATTAATGCACCGCACTTGGTTTTTGTATCTGCAAATTTACATGGAACATTTCGCTTAACATTTCCAGTTAATGTCATGCATGATTTCATGCATAAGTGCATTATGCATAAAACTTTTTACCCTTGATTAGCCAATGCCTTTCCACTTCCATTGTTAATGATCAGGACATAAGTACCTTGATCGCCTCCTTCGTGGGTTTCAAGATGCCAGACGTGGTTGGAATCAGTATTATGATCCTGTGTAAAATTTGAGCATATGAAATTTTTATGCAAAATACATTACTCATATTCAGTACAACAAATGTAAATTTACAGCATAGATCACGAGTCCCTTTCCGTCAGCTAAACATATGCAATGTAATTTTTTATATAATAATTAAAATTTTGTTGTTAAAAATAAGAGTTAATAAATTACTGTGGCACGCACCTTGTTCCGTTATGACTCTCAGAGGCTCTCCCTTCCCTCGGCATTGAGATAAAAGTCGAAATCCGTCATCTGAATTTCATCATTCCTTTAAATAAATATGTGTTCGTTGGGGAGAAAGTTTATGGCAAACTCACCGACGATCTCAGCACGAAATCTTTGTGCATTGGATGTGTTGCCATCCCAGACGATGAGTTTGTTTCCGTGATCAGTGGTCTTCATGTGCAGATCGAGAAACTATCAAGTTCAAAATGACATTTGAGTGGATTTTTTTCAATCTGTTACTTCATTTGTAAGAAAATTGGCAAAAAGAAGCATTTGTTTTTGAATTATTGTTTAGTACCGTACACGAATCATGTAGAGAAAGTACAAAGTTCAATAAAGTAGTGAAGTGTCCAAATGTGCAAGTTTTGCCAATTTTCTTAATGATTGCTTTCTTAATGATGTGTTTCTTACCTTATTGTCAGCAAGACAATTGAATCGGTAAACCTGTCCATGTTCAATTGAAGAAACAGCCATAATTGTTTTCTTTGTGGTTTATGGTTTCTCTACCTAAGAAATCGGTCGCTTGGGGTGGAACACTTGCAGTAATTTGGTTTAAATTGGCTTTGTTTAGGTGTGGCTAATGTGGCGGCGTTAGCGGATGGTGTCGGTTTGCAGGTTGAGGATGAACTGGGAGTCGGTGCGGTGGTGAAAGAGAACCCAGTGCTCATTTAATTGGCGTGGGGAACGTGACCAAGCATCGAGAAAATCAATAACTTGGATAAGGTTACGTGCACGAGCGTCGTAGCAGGAGACAGGAAAACATTGCACTAAAAAACGAAAGCCAGGCGCATCATTCTCCAGTTTAAACGACACGGTTCGTAAATATGAGTGGCCTTCGTTTGCACGACAGCAGTCTGCCAATTTGTGTGCAATATTTTATTCGCATAACTTAATGCTTCAAGCATTAATGATATGTGACGTATTATTGCGGTTTTATGAATATGTATATTAGTAAATTATGAATGGGTATGACCAACGGATGACATAATGTTTGTATGTTTGTTTATCTGTCTGTCTAATCCATAGTTCTGGATGCATGAGATTACGTATGTATTGGCGAGCGTGATGTTGCGCGGATCACGTATCCTTATCATTATGCAATTGTGATTTTGGTTTTAATATTTAGTATATGGCAATTAAGACAGCCAAGGTCAATACAAATGTGCATGGTCAAAGTGAATTTAACTCGTAAATACATACGTATTACGACTCCACTCGTCACACATATGTATGTACTATCATTCATAATACATAAGTAGCTCTATTGAAGAGCTGACAAATAAGTATCTGTAAATAAGTATCGCACTTTCAAATGAATTAAAAGGGAATTATCTACCCAAATTGAGATTTGAAACAAATAAATAACGTTTTTTCTGCCAACCGATGAACGTACGTTTCACACTACGTAGTTGAGTATAGTACGTGTAATATATATATATGGCAAAAAATAAAAATATGTGATCTGGGACACGATCATACCAAGGAAAGTTTTCTTCTTCTTGCCGATCTGCGAAAGGATGGATAATGGATGCAAAGAAAAAGAACATTCGGGCACGGACGAAATGGCTCAAATACTATCAATGACACCTTTGCGAGGTGTCAATTTGGAACGGTTCGTTTGGTATACTTACATTATTGATAATTTGGTTCATGTAATAGTTTTGACAAATTTCTCACCTAGAAGTTTCATCTGTGGAAGAAAAGTCTTGAATTCGCGATGTAATTCTTTACCATTATGGTTATAGATTCCAAATGCTTTGATATATCTTCTCCTAGTGACATGACATTGAATAAAACTGAGCACCAAACTGGTTAAGAGTAATATGTTTAGGCAGATAATCAATTTTATCTTCATGATGTTGAGCTATAGGTGGAGTGAAACTGATTAAATATTTTGAGTAAGAAACACTGAATACTTCAGACAAAGGTGATTTTAGTTTGACCTGTGCACCTTGTGAAGGAGAAAGTAAAAATGGGGAAAGTAATGAGGTCTCGAACCTCTTATATACACGTCATTACAGTAATTTGCGTCTTGTAACAAAGGAACTGTCCCAAGGTCCAAAAGATAATATTACATTCTTGGCTTTATTGACAAAATTTTTCACTTAGCGAGTTCAGCAACATAAATATGAATTTGAACAAATTGACATTTGATTCATCTCTTATTGTTTCTACTGGAATGTTACACGTGTGGGTTGATTGATTTGTTGTTGGGAAATTCCGTTCGAAAAATAATTGGGTCGCATGTTTCATATGTAACCTAAATATTTTATAACATGTCATTATTTTCTTAAAGCTTTGCAGCATTTGCAGAAACTCCGACAGATCCACTTTGAATAAGTTTTTGTATTTCCTCCATCTTGAGCCCCATTTCCTCGAGCACTTCAATGCTATGTTCTCCAACTTCTGGATCCTTGCAACATGACACAGTTCCAGGTGTTCTGGACAGCTTCGGAGCGGGTTGGGGTTCCCATCGTCCATTTTCCTCATTTTGAACAAAAGCTTCTCGCTCCTTATTTAGGGCGTGACATGGTGCCTGCAATTTAATGCAATGTATTAAAATAAGTAAGACAAGAAAGAGACTAAACTAACCTCCTCCATTTCAAGAACAGGAGTAACACACGCATCAAACTCATCAAAGATTGTCTCCCATTCTGCACGAGTTTTTGTCAAAAATATTTTACTAATTTGTGCTTTTCCTTCTTCAAAATCAGCAAATTGGTCGATAAATTTATCACTATCGGAATGGCCAAGAAGCCCTTCCATAAATTTATGATAAAATTGTGGTTCAAGCGCCCCCACAGCCATCCATTTCCCATCTTTTGTTTTATAAGTGTCGTAAAAGTGAGCTCCAGTGTCCAACCTGTAAAAATAAAATATGCATATTTCTTGTACATAATAACATTATGATAATATGCTCAATTTTATCTGAACTGAAATTGCACACCAGTTTTGTCCTCGAGGTCTGCCCCAAATGGGAAGCTCCTGAGTTTTGAAAATGAAAGAGCTGACGTACGCAGACCCTTCTACCATACTCGTGTCTACAATCTTCTCAGCCACCAAGTTGATTTATACCAAATTAATACCAATGTACTCCTGATTATGATTAGTGATCGTTAAAAATTACCTGTCCTTGACCAGATTTTGTTCGCTCAAATAAGCTAATGAGAATCCCTAAGCAAAATGATTATTGATCAAAATGATCATTGAGCAAATGACCAAACTAATTACCAAAAGCGCAAGTCAAACCCCCTCCGGCAAAATCTGCAACCAGATTTATGGGGGGCGTTGGATTCTGGTCCTTTCTTCCGAGCATTGATAGCATTCCTTATTTTTATTGAAATTATATCAATTAATTAAGGGTAAAGTAATATCCGAAGTAATAAGAATACCAACGTACCAGACATAGCTACATAATTGATATCATGACCTGCTTTCTTGATGAATGGTCCAGTTTGACCATAACCAGAAAGCCTGGCGTATATCAAACTAGGGTTTTGTGACATTAGCTTCTCTGGCCCCAAGTTGAGTTTCTCCATCACACCTGAAAGCAATAGAGGTATTGAACTGGGGATGACTTTTCATGACGCATACTTTAGTTGATGATAAAAACCTGGGCGGAAAGGTTCTATTAAAACATCTGCTGTAGCTGCGAGTCGTTGGACAATTTTTTGTCCTTTTTTATCTTTTAAATTAACCGAGATGGAGCGTTTTCCGCGAGCCATTTTATCCGCCGATAACAGAGAGTTGCCACCGTTCTTGTTACAAAAGTTTACAACATATAGAAAAAATTGCATTTGCATATAAATAAAACTAATTTTATGTCCTTTACTCTGTCAACTCTGATAACAGAAGCACCAAAATCTGAAAGTATCTGAAACGACCATTAAAAAATTAATAATATTTGTACACTGGTTATCTATTAATATAATTAAATTATAATTAATACCATCCCACAAAATGGTGCGGGGGCTAATCCTGCCATCTCGAGCACACGGATGCCCTTTAAAGCCATAATTCCCTATCTCTAAATTAAGTACTTGTTAATTCGAAATGTTGAGAAACTGAAAATATCCTATTGGACTGTCAACTTTGAACTTTGGTTTGTCTCACTCAGGTTTATTTTCAGTACTCATATGATATTCATATGAAATGAATGTTTTTGTGGACTTGGTTGTGGTTAAACAGAGATTTTCCTTAATACACTTTATTGCAATAGTTTTAATACCATTATATGGCTGTATAACATATAACGACGTTTGCATAGCAAAATAAGTATGCATAAAATGCATACGAGATAAGAATGACTTCATGATTATGCTAGAGTTTCTTGCAAATGAGACTATTGCTGCACAATTTCTGCAAAGTTGCAAGTATTATGAAAAGTATGACTGCGCTGTACTTTATTAGATACACACTTAAGTATACAAATATAAATTTGCAATTCCTCTAGTTATAAAAAGTCCATTTAAATTAATTTCAAGCTAATTCCTCTAAGAAAAATTGTAATTGGGACAATTTAAATTTCATAATACTAAGTTCAGAACATTTACATTTTAGCAATGTTTTGCCATCAAATTGCAATAATACATTAATACATTTTTTATTTCATGCTTCATTTTCTACAGCTACTGTAGTCGAGTCAGTAAACATATCGTAATGATGGTACTCTGTGCCTGGGGGTTCCACATCCTGTTGCAAAGTTTCTAATTCCTGCAATATAATTTTGCGTTGTTGACGCGTATAATATTTACAGGGATCACTGGAAGGAAAGGTGGTTTGTTGTTGTGCTTTTATTGTTTTATTTCCTGGTCCAAAGTTGTGAAAACGCTCGAGATGTTTTTTCAACGAAAAAAATTTAAGAAAAGAGTCGTTACATTCTGGACATGGAAATCTCTTTTTCCCTTCATGCATCGTTTGGTGGAGTTTGAGATAACATCTCTGGGAATATTTGTTTCCACATATATCACATCGGTGCTCATTTTCATAGTGGGTGTCAACATGAATTTCTAAATTCCGTCGGTTTTTCATAATCTTGTCACAAATATTACATCTAAATGTGAACATTTTATCTTCAGACAGAACATTAGTGGATTGATGGTCAACAGAAGGATCACTATTTTTGTGAGAATACTTAACAGGAATTTTCAGTGCTTTCGAAGCATGTACACATCTTTGATGACGATACAAATCACATTTCCTCACGAAGGACTTGGTACAATTATCTACACCGCACCAGAAAAATGTCTCTCCTGTATGCTTCCGACTCGTATGATGAGCCAGTACGGTTTTAGTGACAAACCTTTCTTTACAAATTGGACACGTAAATTTATTTTTTAGTTGTTTTTTAATAAAATCCTCAATATCCTGTTTTGAAATAATATCCTTAGCTTTAGTCGGTGGGTTACAAGTGTCCAACTCGATCAGATGAGATGTATCGCTCTGTTGTACGAGAATTGAACTTTCTCCTTCACAGGTGTCCTTTGACGATGTTGGATTGTTGGACCTTTTAGGATCGTCCTTAGTAATGTCTTCAGCTACTACAGGAGTTGTTGATATGATTTCACATCGATCTGCTGGTTGATTAATCTTGCTATTCAGAAGTGAGTATTTTAACCGATCGCTTTCACTATCATCTTTATCATCGTGTATCGTCAAGATCCCGACTGATTTTACTTTTTGTTTCGTTATGTTACCGCGTGACCGTCGTTTGGTTTCGGATTGAAATTTTATATTGGTTGTTTCTATTCGGACATTTGGCGAAGATGGTGGCAAAACAGAAGTATTGTTGTTATTTGTAATCCTTTGTACTCTATTGGTTCGTTTTGGTGAAGGTGTTTTCAACCTCGAAGTTGACCCAGGCAGCACGTCGTCGTCGTCTGAGCTTGAACTAGAGTCACCGGTCGAAGAAGAGAGGGTTTCGTTACGAAAATTTAGAGGTTGCGCCAAGGCTTTATTATAAGTAGAAGAAGGTCGAGATCCCGGGACGGTTAAGGTCGCTGAACTTCTACGAGGAGGAGGACAGTCAGAGTCCGAGGATGAATCCGAAGAGATTTGTACGTGTAAACGGGAATTTGTTCTAGAGAGTGGAAGCTTCTCATTAGTATTGGCACTAGGAACCTCTTGAAATTTCGTACCGAGGACGAACTTAGTACTTTTTGTTACTGAATTAGAAAAAGTATCCAATAATCTACTCGATGGATTAGGTTTTAAGCTGGGACGGATGTGCGTGTGTGGAGAAGCATTAGAACTAGTGGTTATTCTCTTGTTGTTAATAATGGTATTAGAAGCTTTCCGAGGCGGAGGGTTGTCAGAGTCAGTGTCACTGTCGTCGCTACTGCTGCATAAAATCGCAGGAGGACAATAAGTAGATATTTTAACTTTCCTCTTTATCGCTGGCACATTTCTGGTTCCTGACAAACTCTGTGCTCGAGGAGTATGCGGCGATCGGACTTTTGAAACATTATCTTGAAGAGCAAAATCCGTGCTCACAGATCTCTGTCGTAAATCACTTTGGGGAAGATTTGCATCATATCCGTCATCATCAGAACTTGAGGTTAAATCTATTGTTTGTTCAATATTTTTGGACACCAGAGTAGATGAGCTCGAGCAAGGGGGCTGAAGCAAAGCCGAATCATCCAAATCAGAAATACTAGTATCCTCCGATGACGATAAAGAATTCGGAAGATTTGCTAATTTCGAGGTCTTTGGTTCCTTAAGTTTTTGTATTTTTTCAATGCAATTCACAGTGTGCTGAAAAATTTCAAAATCTTCATCATCAGCAGTAGAGCTTGTGAGTCTTGGACTATTTTTTGAGATATTAGACGAAGAATCTGAATCTGAATCCGAACTGAACTTCATTTTCTTTTGGTTTAGATAAGTATCAAATTGTGTCTTATTTTCTGATTGAGGCATTGACCAGCAACTTGATGGTGCGCACCTGATTTTGCCTCCAGAGACGTTTAACATTGATTGGGTTGCAGATTTTTTCCTTGTAGAGTTTGGAGCAGAAGACAACAAGGATTTCGACTTTGCAAATTCACTCAATTCTGCAATTGTTCTTTCCATAAACGATATAGACTTTTGTGGAGGATGAAGATGCGTAGTCTGTACATTTTGTTGCACTTTCTTCATATTTTTCATAATTGTAGTCTTTTATGGCTGAAAAAATGCAATGTAGTTTAGGTTCATCTAAAAAGTATAATGCATAATTGAATATTATTCGACGTACAATACCTGTGAGCAAACCCGCATACTAAGGTCAAAGTGACCTATCCTACGCCTAGATTGAGTCGAGGTTGTTAACGTTCCTCCGTCTTTGTGGTCGCATAATATTCAATCTTCCCAAAAAGCAACCTGAAATTAAAATAGTATTGAACACATGTTTACTACATACACAATGTACTAATATTAATGAAACACGATGGAGTAGAGTAAAAACGACACTTGAATAAATATTTCAAAACCATGTCATTTTACTTACAAGATTCACTTACATAAGTACGTTTACAGAGGTTCTGGTCTTCAGGATTTTTGGAATTACAATATTTACAATCAAACAAGATAGTAAATAAGGCTAGTTAACTTGTATTTTGGTATCAGGTTTTGATTTCAAAATTGGAAATCGAACTTACTGACTTCCGTCAATAAATAATGTAAATAATCGTTTATAATCGAAGAAAACCGAGTTACTAAATGTCAAACTTGTAAACTTGCAACTTGTAAACAGTAGACGGAAAGGTGAAAGTCAGCCCCGCTAAAATTTCCCAGTAAGAGTGTGCGTATGCAATAATAATACGTGAGAAATATCGGATTATATTGGTGAAAATTTTCACTGTTCATTGTTTTGTATTTGTATTATCATTTCCAGAGTCATACTTCTTTTATTTGTTAAATGGCAAGATGAAATGTACCAGGGTCGCTTGCAGTATGTTTTATCAACCTTTTGAGACTTTTGTCTCACTCTGCCTCAGATGAGAAAGATGTCCATATGAATTAGCTAAAGATTTTTTTCCAACTTTATAATTGATCTTTGGTCGTGTATGTGAGGGGGGTGTCTTATCCAAAATTTTACTTCCTCCCATCTTTCGAAGTAGTCTTCTTGTCGGGCGAGGAGATTTGAGACTTTTTCACCGTTTGAAACTCATCGTAGTGAGATTTCCTCTGGGCTTCAAACTCCTTTTTTTCGGCCTCGCCCTTTCCACTACCCTCTCCACCTCGGTTTGTCGTCGTCTTGGGGGGCTGACCACCTTTCTCCGTGAGTAGTTTCGACAGAAGGGCGGCGTCGACTGGTGCAGAATTGGAGACTCCTCGGCTAATCTCTAGGCTGGACTGTTTCGGCAAAGAGTCGTCCTCTGGCTCCTGATACTCGTGAAATGGCGTCTTCACTTCATCAATTGTATCGAAACCATAGTCCTTGACGGAAACAGGATTTATTGAATTCAACCAAAATAAATAATTTTCGCACAATTAACCAGATTCAGGAGCACTTGATACCTTGTCGACAGGGTGCAGGGTTTCAATTATGTTCATTTCATCGAAACGGGCTTGTCCTTGTCCCGGTCGACGTTGTAGAGGAGAAGGACTGCCAGGTTTTGGAGATGGTGTTGTCACTGGGGGAGGTGATACTACGGGGTCTATTCATAGTTATGGACAGACTATTTTTATTATAGGTGATGCGTGTGAAATTGTTTATAAGAAAAATATACTTGATAATTTAGTACTTTTTCGTTTCAATATTCCTTTGGGGGGTTCCGTGTTAGAGTTTTGTGACATTGATTAATCCAGGTAATAAATCTAATTGAATGGTAACCATTACTAGTATCGTCTTCGTGTCTCTTACGAATCAGAATATGTGAATTTGCAGACTATAAGTTACCATGAATTTTTAAATGCAAATCAAGCATTGTCTACGGCATGATCATTAATAGACTAATATTGTTCTTATTATTATGTCACCTAACATAATATCACAATCGATCTGAATTTCGTTTGATTTCTACAATTTTCTCAGTTAAAGGTAAATGCAAATGGCCATATATGTACGTTGTGTGCACCAACCATCCTGTGTCTGTTGTTATGAGATTATACTTAAGAATCCAGGATCGAAAATGGGTTGCTTAATAGGAATTTAATGCGGTTTTGACTGCATTATAGCATGTCCAGTTCAATATATGTATGTATCGCCTCATTCGATAAAGACGGAAACTTAAAGGCTGATTATTTTGTCACCCAGATTGTATTGCTCTCTCGAAGAGCCAATGGAAATTTGACCCCGTAGCAAATATTTGGAGTAGCCATAATTAAATTTAAGTATTTACAACAAATTTTGAGGTAGTAGTGGTTAGTGTGAAATGATACTTGTCTTATATGTTCATAGAACAATAAATATGACTCATTCGCTACTAAGTAATAAGTATAAAGCATCTTTAATTCCCTCTCATATTTATACATGCATAGGTTTAGCTGCGTCGTGCGATAATCACATTTTTGTCGTAATATTAGAAGCGCATTAGCTGTCAAGCAAATGTAATTGCAATTTATCTAATCGAACCACATGCAACGTCCAACCCAGCATAACCGCAGGCTGGACTTCTCATTTTTACGATTATGGTTTCAGGAAAGTTAGTTTGTTGGGCAGATCAGGAGGAATCTCACTCACCATTTTCCGAAGGCCTATAGTTTCATTGTTTATTAATCAGTACTTCCAGTGCAAGTGGGTGGATGATGACGACACATGTTTGACAGCGATAGGATTTACATATGTCAAAGTTTGTTGGTCCACGCGACATTTTTATTTTTGTGTGTTGTCAACTCTGGATGGTGGTCAGACTAATCACGGATGCATGGAATTTTGTGGTTCTCGCTTTTCAAGGAAGACTTCGTCGTAAATACCCGAATACAGTAATAAATAGTGTAGTTAAAGTTATTACATACTGCGTGTTATTATTTACACATATAGAGTCAATAGTCGTCGTCTATTTTTAAGCGAGTATACGTACATACTACATATTACGTAGATATTTACTTATGTTGGCACTTAACACATGCCAGTTTTCATGCCATGATTTGATAAATCTATTTAAAACGGACTAGTAAATATTTCACATATTTTCAAATTGTTCCTTGGTTTCGTCTTAGTCATTGAATAAGTCTGCCCCAAAAGTGTCACTGCGATGACTTTATGAAAGTTAGTTTTATTTTATGAAAATATGCTGAATAAGTTTCGCATGTCGCTGAATTGAAAGTGGTGGTTCATTTACCAAGAAATTTGCAAGCTGAAAAGTTTGTTTAGATTTTTGAACAATGCTACAATAACTAATAAAGAATTTATTAGTACAAGTATACATAACATCTAAAAACTACAGCCGCATAGAAGAACACAAATATTGGACAAGGTTTTCTGTGATTAATTATTATACGGATACAATTCAAGAATGACTACACGAAATGAAATAAGAGCCCTGATTTTATAAACCACATAAAACCGAAGAGTTGAGTCAACAATATTTAAGACAATTGTCCACAAATTCAAAGTCTAATTGTGTTTATGGGTGGATAATAAAAGAAAAAATTACTCATAACCCACACATCTTCTAATAAATAACGTAGTGCTCCGCCTGAACTGCTTCCTCTTGGTACAAGATTTTCTGACACATTATTTGTCAGACCATGTCCTGTATTGTTTCGCTGTGTGCATTTTAAATGCATTCGATTCAAGATATCAAGACAGCTTTTAAAAACTCCAGAGTAATAACTTTGCAACCATCGTGATCTCAGCCAAAAGCAAATGTTATTATGGGGACTCTTGTAATTGTGCTCACTCTTCTTGTGACAGTCACCGAGGGTGAAATTATTAGTGCAAATTTTCAATCATTGTCAACTACAGAAAGTTCGAAATATCTCAGATTTGAATGTCCTGATCCAAATTCCAATGTTCCGGACGGGTCCACTTTTTGCAAAGTTGGAACGATTCCTCGTGAGAAAACTCTGAACATACATTCGGAGGAAATTCATCATGGGAACTATTCGTTAACTGAAAACAACTTCTTCGAACACCGGGTTTGCGTTAAGGCGTAAGTACTCTTTTTAAGCAGATTACATTTGTAAAAAAGCGTCAGTGTGTGAGATAAACAAAACCTTGTTTATTCGGGAAACTTGTAGAACTCATGAGGACCAAGTCGTTATCCTTCGGTGCGATTTGATGTATTCCTCTGAATCTGAAGGATTAAGGCATGGCGATAATGAGCATGACAGTGTCCTGGGCTCGGAGGCAAAATTGATAACGTTAAGGAAATGTTGCCGACCTGGCCAACGTTTATTGAAAACCAATTCAACCAAACACGAGGGAATGTTTGCCTACGAGTGCGTGGAAATCGGAAACGGTGAGTTGTAGCAAATAATTATTATTCCTATTGTGGAGCTGTTACACAGAATTGAAATGATTTACAGGAACAAATTGGAATCCAGCTTTGTTTGATAATGTTGAATCGGATTTCGGATTTCATATCGATCTGCGAAGTATAGAGCACAAATTTGTTTACCGTCCAGGATTTCCTAGCTGCAGACACAGGGATAGGGATACAGACATTAAAATGATGGATAACAAGGAGGATATTTGGCATGACTTTCTATTCTATAAACTGCATTTCCCCGTATTGATTGTGTTATTCATATATTAAATTGTGCATATTCTATAGGTTCAAGATTCTAACTAGTGGTCGGGTTCTCATCGGTCTCAAGTTCTGGTTTGAGTAACATATATCATGAATTGCTTCTAACCACGTTAACTCAATTTTATATAAATAAATAAAAATCGTCCAGGTTTCGCCCCGTGTGGCTTCCGGTTCACAATGAGAAATACAGTCAATCCTACTGCCTTGATGAGCTTGAGCTTTCTTCAGGTCAGGACAATTCTCATGAGATCCATCACACAAATCAGGCTCTTGTGTACTGCGGCATTGAACGATTTAGTGACTATGTGAGTAAAGTTGAAGTTAAGCTGAAGAGGCAACTTGATACATACATAAAAATTCAGTTTGTTTAATCTTTTATAGCTCTTCCATCGCAAATTGTTTGGAATTTTGTGCGTTTCTGCGTCGTGTGTAATACTGATGCTTCTGATAATATACTTATCAATTTGGGATCGACAAAATTTGGCTGGCTGGACGCAGTTTAATATTTTCTTGGCTGTTTTCTTCGTGTTCGGTATGGAAGGAATGAGAACTTTGATAGATTACAACGGGTTAGACGTGAAATCGACATTTGCATGCACCATCATCGGTAATCAGCAATTAAAATATAATTATTTCGAAGATTAGGATATTTTATAGACGCAAGATTTTATTCATTTTTTAATTTGAATTTTTTTCGCAGCTGCAATAGCACAGTACTTTTTCTTTGCGCTAAACACTACTTGGTGTGTGATGAACAGTGAGTATTGGATAAATTTGGTTTTAATGCCATTTATTAGGCTTTAAACAAAGTTTTCTCGGTTTGTGTAATGGTTTTTCATTTTTATTTTACATACTATGTTCGTATCCTAAACCAGGTGACTTGCTGTGGACTTTTTGGTAAAATTTCTTACCAGTTCCTTTGAGAATTATGTAAACGACATTATTACTGTTCTCATTAATTTACCTTGAATAGGAAGTTGGAGAGCAGTGCAAAGGGTCTGTATGGCAAAGGGCGGAGAGTTGCTGCTTATCTTGCCTTCTCGTGGGGCTTACCCCTCATCGTGATTGTCCTCTTGTTTGGTTTCAAACATCACGAAGCGTACGCTATTCTAGATTATTTATTTGCATTACAATTTAATTTATTATAGCCATGTGCATTATTCACTCGAATTGCTTCTTTTGTAGGAAAGAGTCCAAAGAAGAAATGAGGGGGATATATTCGGAAGCACATAGGCGATGCTCTTCACCGATTAGAGAGTTTGGATTTCAGACCCAGGGCGTGCTATTCCTCTTCAACATAGTCTTCTTTGTCATTACTGCCTTCCTCATTTGGAAGCATCGACGAGGAATTACAAATTCGAGGCGAAATACCCGATCGGAAAGATACACTTGGAGATCGTAAGTTGTTGAATCATGGTCATCATGGCTTCCGCTCGACTGAAATAATGAAACGGAATGAAAAAAAAAACGAATAGCTTTCACTAATTTTTGCTATCCTGGGTGTTGCATTAAAGACATGCTGTATTTGGAAGGGTTGTCCTCTTCGCCAAACTTCTGATTGTCATGGGCGTTTCGTCCGTATCTATTCCCTTGGACTACTTTTTCGGCAGCGAGGATCCACTAAACATTTTCGAGGTTTTGTTCAGAATGGTTCACTTTATTCCCGTGGTGGCAATTTTGTTCATTTTCGGCTTTAACGAAAAAAATTTGCACTTGATCAAGCAAAAATATCCCAACTTTGGAAGTGAGTTTGCTCACAAATAATTAACCAAATTCGGTGTATTATAAGTATTAATTGACTCTCGGTTTAATTTTTTAGCCGTGATGGGTGTTTCATTGTTTAACCTGAAGCCACTTACAACAGAAACCAACCAATCCCCAAGTGGTGGACAAAACTCGATGGAAATTAAATAATAAATTTTAGCTTATGAGCATGATTATTTTTAGGAGCTAAAATGCGACAAATTAAAAAGATGCACATGTATTAAACTATTAATTCTGTTATTGAGCGAGCTAGGAAAATAAATAAATATTGCATTGTACAATTCATATTGTACTCTTTTGTTTTGATAGTTACAATTAGTAGTCTGCTGTTGTCTCATGTTTTGGTTTTAGTTTGTCAACACTTGCTTTTAGAGTAATAAATAACATAAAAAATTACTGTTTATTTATTTACTATGAATTTTTTACTATGAAATGAGTTTGTTCCTCAAGTATATGCTTCCCATAATTTCCATATTGGTATTTTTGCTGGTCGAACCTTTGGTTGAAGGAAAATCAGGTCTCGAGTGTGATAAAGATAAGTTCTACTCGCCATATGTCGTAGTTCGACGTAGGAAGAATGGAGGAGACCTCGATGTTTTGGACCACAGCGGATTCCTGGACCTCTCCTCAAGATTTAACATCGTCCTCTGCATAAATGGGCCGTGAGTTGATCAGTTTTTGTATTAAAATTTGTATTAAAATGCGCTAAATACGCATGTGATTTATGTACATACGTATTTAATACATGTTACAACAGGGCCATGACGCTTTCGAACTACGAAGAAGTTAGCAATGGGACTGCGACTCCCTTGGTGATCTTCTCCACAGGAAAATTCCACGTCTACAGTCACGATTGTCGGAAAGTCAACAAAGTTACAGAGGAGGAGATTAAGCGACTGAAGGACGAGAATTTGCCACCTCGGCTAACGAACGATGTCGCCGTAGTTGATAAAGTAAGTTTGGTTACCTTATTTGAACAGTAATTTCATAATCGTCACCATCGTTCAAAAAATCCTTGGTTATCAGGCCAGTTAATTTTAGTAAAATCCTAAAGGTAGTTGGCGTTCATTTGGTTGGAAGAGCTGGGGATTACCGGTTGCTAACTTCTGCGTTCTTTGTTCGCGAAAAGTATGGTCATGCCATTGATCCCCTAAATCGAGTGCATGATGGATCGTTTGCAATGATTGGCAACTCCCAATCCCTCTGCTACGACGTTAATAACGAGTTCAAGGTGGTCTTGACCAGCAAATCCGAAACTGAGGGGGAAATTTGTTTATGGACGGTTGATTATAAGGCTCCATATTTTGAAAGATACGAAGAGATTTTTAGATCCAACAGGACCTTGAATCAGTATGTGGAAGATGCCAACTGCACTGGACAAGGCCCGTCCCCTCCTGATCGTTAGTACCTTTTTATTGTGTAACCCATGTGCAAAATAATAATTTACTGGATATGCAAATAATAATTACAATATTATTATAATTTTGGCAGCATCCGTTACAACGACTCCAAAACCATTTGACCCATTTTCTATCTATGGTCCAAAAAACAAAGGTCAAGGTTTTCATCCGTCAGTCCTTCCACCCGTCTATCCTCCAGTCCCCATACCTAAACCTCAAATCATGGTTGAGTACAAGGTGGACTTGCAAGAATGTCAGAAATTTCCTACCTTTGTTGACACGGGATGCATTGTCCGTCCCCCATATGATAAAGACAAGCCATGTGACCTTTTATCACAATCGTTGCCATTGAACGATATTAAGGTGTGAACTTTGTGGAATAATTATATGCAATTGTGAATAATAGATTGTGCTTGCATTTCCATTTTTATCAGGACTTGTTAAAAGATCCAGATTTGGCCTGGAAAAAAGAGATTATGGACACAATTTCTGCAGTTTTTGTTCAGATTTGTGAGCCATTCCCCCGTTTCATGTCGTACACGGTTCACAGAATATTGTTATTTTATTTGGAATTGGAGCACAAAAACAATAATAAGCCAACAAAACTGAAGAATGCAATTTGGGATCATTTGTTGAGTGATCTACAGCGTTGTAATGCCAATGTAAAACATTCCATTTGGTTTGACTGGATGGTGGAGGCTTCAGAGGAGGTCACGTTATTAAATGAAAATTCAAAAGTAACAAGACACCCGAAAAGACTTGCTCGCCATGTTGAGAAAGATTCGAAAACTCGAAAAAGAAAAACGTAAAAACAATAATATAACCAGGTATTTATTTAAATTTACCATTCACAAGCTTTTTATTACTCAAGCAATTATGTAAATGAAGATACTTCAGAAGACAATTATGACGAAAATTTTATTCCTGAACGCACTTCAAGAAATAAGCGTTCGACTTTATCAGTTGCTGCTTTTCCTCTGGTGAAAGTTTTATCTAATAAACTTGTAATTTTACTTGTAACAACAAAATATATATTAACATTGGCCCAATAGGAATCCAGTAACGCTGGAAGAGTACCCAAATCTCACATAATTCGAGAACACATCTCACCTAGTCTGGCATTAGACAAGGGCAATATTTCAGACTTTATGGAATATCCTCTAGACGTTTACCACATCAACAACCAGTCCAAGTTCAGGACCAAACTATTTTATTACGAGGATACTGCGGAAATTCAGTATGAACTCAATATCGGGATTGATATTGCATGGAAGGTAATACATGAGTACGAAATAGCTGGATAATACATAAATACGATTTTCTAGGCAACTTTTGGTTTTGTGGAATAGATTTGGGCAACAGTAGCTGGGTATTGCAGCACCCATTACATGACCCGACAATCAGAAACTTTCACCCGTTTCTACACTCAGTATTTCCAGGATTTTTTGCAACCCGTGACAGAGGACTGGATTTCACCCGAGGACAATGAAGTGCTGAGGGTTATACTCAGCGACTACAATTCAGATGTTGGAATGCGTTGGCTCGACACTTGTTTGGAGGGCAGGTTGTAGATATATTGACATGATATATTAATTATAATGCTATTATGATGGGAAGTATGCATAATGCTGGCATTGCAATATTGGCAGCTATATAGATTCAAACACCCCCACATTCAGGCCCCCAAGGCCGCTTTTGGTAAAAGGAGACAAGACGCAGCTGGAAAAGGCCAACTCGTTCCTGGACACACCCACATGGCTAAAATCTAACGTGCTGAATGATAGCCAAATTCTACTTCGGACCAATAGTCAAAATTTATGAGTCATATAAATAACAAGACATATGTAATTGTTTTAGCGTACGTTATCGTATATACGTGTCGATTCGAACGTATAAAATTATACTCATTCAAATTATGGATTGATGATTTTAATTGATTAAGTAAATCAGAAATATAATTTTTCTAATTATGCGAAATTAGATTTGCACATTTACTTCTTACAAAAAAGTTATTTTCTTGGTTATATGCACATGGCTGGAATCTGGAAAGTCAATTTGGCTTTTGGCTCAAAAACATTTTGGTCGAAAATTATGTATGAAGTCATTTTGGCTGCTAGAAGCGGTTAAGGACCTGAATGGGCATAACTGGTTGTTTACGTTGATCTTAATATTTATCATTTTGTTAGCTTATCTTTAGTCTATTGCTTTTGATAGGTGATTCATATATACAAATGAAGGCTGTACTATGCGTTATGCATAACGTTTGCCCAGATTACTGCGAAAAGCATTATAAAAAAGAGACGGGATATGCTGAAAATATGTATGCGCAATGTAATCCATAGGTAAAACAACGTTTACTCACTACAGATGAGTCACATCTGACCTTGTACTACCCATGTAATACTAATATTATGCATGTAAATGCATATTTGCGATCCAGAAATTGTCTTCATGTAGTGTACGTTTGGCATTATTGAGAATATAAAGTGTGCTACCTAGGTCCTATACTTTTTCATTCTAAGCAGCAATTTAATCCACTAATTAAATTACCGATAAGAAATATAGAATACGTTGATAATATTATTCGAACAATGAGCTCCAAGTTTCGCGTTTCTAAAAAAGATCCTGAAAAATACGGAAAATATGAGAACCCAAATAAACTGGATGGGCAAACATTGTCCTTGTTTCGTGAAAGTGGGCAATACCGGAGGAATCATTGCACAGAAGTTCTGCAAGGATCCAATTTCCCTTCAAAAACCCGACTAGCATTGAACGGGTTTGTGAATACCGTGGTCACTTGTTACAACTATCATCACAACCTTATCCTGCGGCCAGATGACGTTTGGACGGCTCTAATGGTTCAGTTTTCCTTCTACGTCAACGAAGAGGCAGAAAAATTCAGGGGCAAGTTCGTCAACTTTGAGGGGAAGAAGGAACTCGTTGTAGACATGGGAGGGACCCTCAGAACTACGTCGTATGGCACCTTTGTAAAACTCATGACAAAAGAAATTGACAAAAACCTGACCGACCCAAATGTCAAGTCGTGGGTTTTGCCCTCATTCTCAACCACCACCGACGATGACTTGGTCACGTGTGGGGTCGTATTTATGGCCACCATGAAAAAATATTTCGACTACAAATGTTGCCTATGTTGTGGAATTCCAAATGTGACCCTTGAAGGAACGGTCGGCGACTGGGAAAATATCTTGACACGTCTGGACAAACTGAAAGAGTACGAACTGACTTGGTGGTATGAAATGCTGGTCCCAATTTTGGAAAAATTTATATCAGCCAAGAAGGGAAATCCGGATGTGGAATTTTGGGAAAAAATTTGCAACCGACATGGTGGAGGATCTGGACCTTCTTATTTATCAGGCTGGATCACAGCGTTCTGTGTTTTTAACAAGGATGGAAAACGACAAGGTATGTATATGTACACACTTGTGTATACAAAATTTGCACATTTGTTTGTGCAAATGTATTTATTCTGAAGGAATTAACAGGATATTAAATAATGAATAACAATCAATATTTTTCAGGAAACTACAAGGAACACCGAATGTGGACTGGTGAAGTTATTGACGCCAGTGGACCATGGCCAATCATTGATATGAACGACATTCCGCCGGGCAGTGTGGAGGTTGACGTAAAAATCGACGACAACGGGACGCCATATTCCTCCGTCATGTTTGCTGGTCACTTGGCTCATGAAATTCTAAGTGATGATTGCACTCTTCAACCGACCACTGGGTGGGCCATTTGTCTGAAACCTGAGGAGGAAGAGATTGCAAAAATTGAAGCAGCGGAGAAAGCAGCGGAATACCATCGTTGAAAAAAATTGTTACTATCAGATTTGGGTTAATAATTTAATTGATTCTAATTCTTCGCTATCAAAAGAGTTGGCGACAAAAAGGCTGAAAATAATGCAAGAAGTTTATAAAAATCTACTTTCAAACTTTGATATATGAATGTGAATATGTAAATATGTATTAAGAAATAAATGTGAGAAATAATAACTTTGTTTACATCCTTTACCTTTAATTATTGAACCAAATAGCACTAACTATAGAAGGACTATGTCGTCTCGGATCAATTTTACTCACAACTGACAAATTGTCAGTGACAATACACTGCATGACATATATACTTCATGTGTATCCAATGTATGCAAACTATACAAATTGATATGCAACTATTGAATGTATGTAGAGTGATTATAGACGATGGATAAAGATAATGATAAGATTTTGTCAGTTCATAAATTTTTTATGGAACAACTGATTTATTTGAAGATTCTTGGTAGTTAGTATTATAAGCTTAACCTGTACTCTACATGAAATGAACGGCGACGATAATATTTAGCAAATGTAAAAATGTAGGTGTATCTAATAATAATCGTATTGTCAAGTAATAAATGTGCAAGTCTTTCGAAGTATTGGTGCTACTTGCTTTGAGGGGACGGGGTGTTGGCAATGGGGGCAAAAGGGGCGTAGTCCTGGAGGAAGTCGACGCTCATGCGTGGCGCGGCGGGATACTGAGACCCACGGGCGTCTGACCCTCCACTCGAGTCCGTGGATCCGCGCTTCTCACCAAAACCAAAAATGGACGCTATAGAGTTGCTTCTTTCTCTGGAGATGACCTAAGAATGACGATGCATTAAGTATGTATTTAAAATCAAACACAATATTCGCCAAAATTGGAGTAAAATAATTACCGGTTTCCCCAGAACGTCCACAATATCTTCTGTCATTTCATCCCAAAATTGATCCATCTCGTGTTTAATTTCGAAAGTATTTCTTGAGTCGATTAAAAAATTCTCACAATGAAGCGAGTTAATTTTCACCAAGTTTTGTATGTGTTTCAAACGAGGTTTGAAATGTTAATGTTCTTTACACAGTATGCACAAGCCTTTATATACAACAGTAATTTGATGCAAGACGTGGCGTGAGTCACATCTTTCGCACGAATCTAATATTATAATGCGTACATTGATGACAATTAATGTTGTCAATACAATAATACGTGATGACAAGTCAGTTATCAATCACAAATACCAAGTGTACTTTCAATAGTTGGAAATTCTATGCATAACAAGAACAGGTCGTTATGTACGGTTTTGTAGTGCATGATAATGTTGATGAGCATGATGTATGTATGTATAGATGTTCTGCGTTTAATTAACTCGTTATCTGCAGTTTCAACGAAAGGACATATGCATGTTGACAAATGTCAAGATTTCAAAATGTATTTTCGCTAAATAAAATTAATATTGTTATTTACAGACTTAGTCAACATTAACGTAATACAACGTAAACAATTATGGTCCGAACACAGATTATCAGAATCAATTCGTCTGGTACGCATTTTTAAGCAGAAACTAAAACGTAGCTATTTAGATGACATGCAGATTTACTTATAAGTAATAGTATCCCTCAGGGTGACAAATTGTTCGTTATTACAACAATAAGTCCCACTGTTCGCTGTTTTGAAAGAAAATATATTATTATTTATCATATTACATTTTGATGGATGTGAATTGATGAAATTGAACGGTTATTATACTACGGAAGGCATGTGCATGCAGTAGTGCAAACAAACTGTCAACTGTGCAAAGTACTGTAAAGTATTGCAATTTACCAACGATCTTAGATCACACTCACATGAAAATTCTAATTTTTCCTCATAATTAATAGTACAAAATGCGCACAATTAATGAAGGATGAGGTCGGACATATCGGTTCGTATGCATTTTAAAGAAGCGATTCATGCAAATATTGAGACACCGAAGCGGGGTCTGGTTAAGGATGAGACTGGCCGAAAATGTCAAATTTGTTTTGTCATATTTATTTTATTTGGTATTTGACATAAATTCAGACACATTGACCCCGGTGACAATTTAGTATGGATTCCTGCGCTATTTATGGACTCGAATCACAGGTGTTACTCTAACATTGCTTATCCCATCTTTAGTATCATGGAATTGAATATCTATGGTGTATGTCGGTGATAAGTGAATTTGCTGGTAACGAATTGTCGTTGTTTCAGGGACGGGCCCTCTGTTCCCACAGATTTGGTGAGGAGGAGGTGATCCGATTTTACGTTGGGACCCTGTCACCACGGTCCGAAGGTCATGTTCACCAGGTTGACTTCAACGAAGAGACAAACCACATCAGCAGAAAGATTTATAAGCCGAAAGTCGGAGAAATATGGCAGATTGTAGCCGCACCCAATCCCGGAGGGAGCAACCTACTTGCCTTAACGTACAACCATATCACAGGTACATATGTGTCTTAATTGTTACGGAACAATCGTCACTAATTACGTCAATCACCTCTCTGACTATGTTTTAGACAACTCTGCTCAAACCAGAGCTGGTGTGTTTGAGCTCCCTGATTCGAAATCTGGAGAAAATAGCCAAGAGTTGAAATCTATTTGGAAGTTTGAATCTCCAGAGGACCAGAAATGTCGATGTGTAGATTGGCACCCGACAAAGGCATCTAGACTTGCAGTTGTCTACGATAAAGAGTTTTGCATATGGGATTTCGGTACGGGTTCTCCACAAGTAAGCACAATTTTTAAGCAATATTTCGATTGTGACGCAGTTCTTTTATACGGTGTGAACACCCGATGATATTATGATGCAGGTTCATGCAACATATAAGCGAAACATGGGCGATGGGGAAAGTACAATTCAAACCGAAGTTTATATGGGAAAGTGGAATCCGCATCTGGATGGCAATCAGTTTAGCTTAATTTCTGGACAGTCTGTGGAGGGGATTGATATTCGAAACATGCAGAGTAGCTGGAAATTTAAATCAGCTCATAAATTTCAAGTCAGGGATGTCGATTTTAACCCTAATAAGCAGTATTACTTTGCTACTTGCGGGGATGATTGTGCAACTCGATTTTGGGACATAAGAAAACCTAACGACTGCCTAAAAGAGGTCTATGAGCACTCCCACTGGTCAGTAATTTTAATTTATACTCGTGTATAATTACTATAAATATTGACCCGAATCAATCTGAAGAATTGTTAAATTATAGGGTTTGGAGAGTACGCTACAATTCGTTCCACGATCAACTGGTCCTCACATCGGGGAGTGATTCCGTGGTTAGTATTATTTTATGGAGATGGTGAGAAAATGAGAATATTTTTGAGTTTATCACAGGTGGTCCTCCACGCACTGCCCTCCATATCTTCCGAACCCAAGGGGCATCTCGTTTATTCTGAGGGAGATGACGGTGAAGAAATACCTTCTCAACGGGAACAAAGGTAAAAATATCTAAAACTTCTTGCATTTCATTTTATTCGAACGATGCGATTAGGAATTCATATTCAATTCTGCCCTTTAACTAATGAAAGTTTTATTTTTAGGCTTGAGGAAGGAGTACTAGCAAAGTACGAAGAACACGAGGATGCCGTGTACGTTACAGAATGGTCAAGTTATGATCCTTGGATATTCGCGTCACTTAGTTATGATGGCCGCTTAGTTATAAATCGTGTACCACAATCTCAAAAGTACAAAATATTATTATAACTATTATTGCATTTTCGATGCATATATGGATAAGTTATTAAGGTCTAGTTATTACTATTTTTGTTGGAAATCGAATTTATTTACGGATTTAAATTGGATGATTATTAAATAATACTTTTAAAATCAAAAATACAGTAATCACTAAAAAGTTTGATTACTATATGCATCAGCCATGTGAATAGGAAAAATTTTAACGATGTTGTTAGTGTTTGTTGGTATTTGGATTAACTTAAATGTTGTCGATATCATCGTCACTTGACTCTTCGTCCGACATCTCGTCGAATTCAATGTCGTCATCCATTCCCTCGTCGACGAAAGTGACAGTCTACAAAAAAATACAATTAAACATTGCGCACTGATTGCTAATTTCTAACGCCAATTAATTATACAGCTATTTTACTACAACTTACCTCGTTGATCTTGACAGACTCTGGAAATTCACCGTAAGACTTGAGATTGCGGGCCTCATCAGGAGTGTACTTGAGGATGACGTCAGCCTTAGCGTCCTGATAGTCTCTCAACCCCACGAGGATAATATCACCCGTGTTAATCCAAACCTTCTTCCTCAACTTTCCTCGAATGTGACACAGCCTCTTGGTCCCTAACAGGAATGTATGCATCATTAGATTTCTGACTAATGCAAATCTGGGAAGTCTACAAACTACAATAAGTAGAATTTTTTGGATACCATTACCATCAAAGCACATCGCTTCAAGTCGTCCGTTTCCAAGCATCTTGGTCACTTGGGCGTATTCCTGACCGTCCTCTTTGAAAACCAATTCACGTTTCTCTGTCTCATTCTCATTCTTCCCTCGACGACGATTTTTACCTCCCTTTCCCTTGTTCTTTGGCATGATTCAACCTGAATTTGAATAAATTTAAATTTTCTATTATTTATTATTCACGCCACAGACAACCAAAAGCTCAATGACCTACTAAAACTAAAGTAGCGAGAACTTTGGCGAATGACTCTAGGGACAGAAAGAACTTACAAATCACAAATCCTTTGTCAAGAAATGAGCAGTGACCTTGTGAAGTAAACTTATTTCCGTATCGCTTTGTCTCCTTCACTTGCGACTTTTACTATGTGCACGTACACAATATGCTTCAATTACTTTCACCGAGTTTTCGTACGGGAATTTTGACAAAATGGAAATTTAATTCCTGCTAAATACGTGGAGTTGTATTTTTGTTTCGCGTGAAAATTCTCGCACTCATGCTCTCAATCAGCTCTCACTGCTTTCTCCCTGAGGGGGATCAACCAACTATGTGGTCGTCTCCATAAAGAAGTTCAAACAAGTCATAATAGAAACCACTTATTTTCTACAATTTATCAAATTGTAGCATTTTACTCTAAATATTTTCTAAATTATGTTCCCAGAAATTTCTATTCTTAACTATACACGAAATATGTGTACGTTGGTTGAGAATTTGTACCATGAGCAAACTGGATGCTTGCCCGAGTCGAGGAACGTGCGAGGTTTATTGGTGGATGAAATGAGATTCTGGCGAAACTTTCAATTTGTAGTAGCGAAAATCTGCACCGCACATGGTTTCTAAAAAACCAAACACCGAACTGAAATTGTAAATTGATCGTTGTTCCGAAATTTAACTCGAAAGCGTAAACGGAAATAAAATATGGTAATAGTTTTTGATACATTTGAAGTTTTCTATCAAAACGACAAATCTTGATTAATTAAATCTTGCCCATTTCAAGTTGGTATGATTGATTCATCAAGTCGGCGACTTTGTATTCAAGTTTTGTTTTGTTTAATTGCAATTTGCAATTATGTGTAAAATTTACACTGTAAATTCATTGGGCATGTTTTTCTCTGTTTAGCCGAAGAAAAAGTTTATTGACAAGAAGCACGCAACGACCTTTGTGCTTGCAAACCGATCGCAAAGAGATCCACTCCTGGCAGACGAAGATGCGCCTAAAAATATCCTCCTCCCACTGGACCAAGTGCCGTCCCTGGGAGGGCCCAACCCTGGCGGAACGAGTAGTGGGAAGCCAAAGGATGAGAAGGTAAGGATTCACCCACCAAACCCTGTCTATATCTTGTGCCTTCATGCCTTGTATGGATATTGTTCTCTTAATTTCCTTCAGGACACATTTGCCACCCGAAAAGAAGAACAAATGAAGTATGGGATTTATTTTGACGACAAGTACGACTACCTACAGCACTTGAGGGACAGCAGGGAAGTTTCAAATATTGAGTGGGATTATTGTGAGAGAATATATGCCCCAGCGCCACTGCCTCGTTCTTCCGAGAACGGTGCAACGAGCTCAATAGTTCTCACAAAAGATGATTTAAAGGTCTATCATTAGTTGCGATTTTTTAGACGTTCAATCTATTCATCCCTAAATCTACAGGATAATCGAAATGTGTATATTTTTACTAGGACGTAAAGTTAAAATTGCCATCATCTCTGTTTGAATCCGAATATAAGGAGGACATTGGGCTATTAAACAAAGCAGCAACATCTCGAGGTGGGTATGATTTATTGGACTCGTCGATGTGTTGTTGTGTTATATGCATTATACTATGGATCAGTTTATTGTTCAATGACGATTTATTATATTAAACTTATCGCAGGACCCCGACCGGATTTAGACCCTGACATTATCGCTGCCTTGGACGACGATTTCGACTTTGAAAATAAGGAATATGAATTGGAGGACAATTTTGTTGAATTAGCCAATCTAGAACAAGGTGTTATCGAAGGTGAACCCACGGCTGAAGATTTAGAAGGTTTATTTAGCAGTGATGACGAAGACGGTAATAATTCTGAGCACGATGATTACGAAGATGAAATGGGAGACTCGTTAGGTAGTTTAAAAGGTCCACATCAATACATGTCGGATGACGACGACGAAAATAAATCTCGATTCACCAACTACTCGATGTCGAGCTCTGTTGTAAGAAGAAACAAACAGTTGCTGTTGGTTGATGACTGTTTTGAGAAAGTAAGTTTCGTAAAAATAATTAAGCTGTTATTTTCTTCTGTTGACTGTACTGCTCACGTAACCATTTGTATACATGTATTCGTTTATAGATGTTTGAAGGATACGATGACACAGAAATTGGGGCGTTGGATTGCGACGAAATCGAGGGCCACATCAATGCAGATTCAGACTTGTTACTGAAATATGCCAATGAATTTGAACAGGACAGGAAAAAAGAAGAGCTCATAAATGAGAAAATTTCCAATTTAGCACTCAGAGAAGAATCAGACTCGAATGATGATGAAATGAGTGACTCTGACGAAGATAAAGTAAATAGAGACAAGTGGGATTGTGAATCAATTTTGTCTACGTATTCAAATACCAAAAACAGGCCTAAATTGATTTCTGAACCATCCAAGGTATTTGAAATTGGGTTAACACTTTTGTGATGTATACAAATATTGATTATTTGCAACTTACATGTATTTACACAGAAAAATCACATAAGAATCAGTGGGAAGACCGGAATTCCAGTTGACGTTCTTGGGAAAGGGCTAACAAAACATGCTTTGAAAACCTTGGATGATCAGTATGCGGTGGAACATAATGTTCCAACTAAGTCAATCATGAGTGGGGTTACTTCAATCAGAAGCAAAACTGAAACTTCTGATGAACGGCGAGATCGAAAAAAATTAGTAAAAGAATATCGTCGGGTAAGTTGTTTATATACGGTTATTTTTTTTACTAAGCTTGACTTTATCATAAACCAAAATAAATCTGAATTTTTACTTTATTTTGGTCATTACTTTTTTTAAAACTACGATAGGAGCGCAGAATGGAACGGAAAGCTAATACTGAAGCATTCAAGGACGAGAAAAAACGACTAGAGAAAGTTCGAATAAATGATAAGCACAATATACCTACTTTAAAACTTTGATATGTATATCCATACCGTTTATCCTTACCGAAATATATAATTTGGTATACACAATAGTTTTAATACGAAACAAATAAATTATACGTTTGTTGCAACAATGTAGTTATACATTTGTACATTTTATTCAAATGGTCGATTTAAATCAAATTGGGCATTTTTAGTGAAGCCAAATTGATTCCATCCCCTTTATACTCGCTAATCAACTTTAATAAAGCATTCTTTTTATGACCATCTGTGTTTTCGAGTTCATAAATCGTGCTAAGGTTGAGCAGTACATTTTCTTGGAGCAGTTGTGGAGTGTTATTTTTGACAGTGGTTTCCATCAGTGCTAGCGATTCTTTGACTTTCCCCATATATAATAGACAGACGGCCATATTATTCGTAATCTGCAATTACATGGATCGATACTAGATATTACAATTAATCCCGTCAATTAGTAATTAATATTTCCCAGACTGACAAAACGTACCATGAAATTATCCGGTTGAATTGGCAATGCTTGTTGTAGTAACGCAAAGGCTTCAGGATAAGAGCCATGGGCAATCGTTATCATAGCAGAATCTATAAGATTCTCAGCCTGTTCAGAATCAGAATCGCCTTGCCTGAGATCTGCAGCTGCTTGAAAATACGTGCTTGCAGTTGTCAAGTCTCCGAGTTGGAGGAAAAAACGACCAATGGCTGACTTTAGTTGAGCTTCTTTGGCTTTATCCTTTTCGCATAAAATGGTTAAATACTTCAAGGCATTATAGTAATCCTAAGCATCAAATCATTCATTTACATCAAATCGCCTTATTCAGAGATTTTCATAAGTTAAAATAATATTTATACTTTTGAAAACAAGGACGCATTTGCTAATGAATAGTAGACACGAATTTCCCTCGTGCGCCACAAGTCCAAGGACTGAACTTTGTTGTCCTCATTGTCGTACATAGCACTTCCATCCTCAGTGGATCCATTTTCTAAATTGCGATTCACCTGAGGAACAGATATTCTTAGCTTGTAAACACACGATGAGACATGAAGGACAACATGTGTGTGGACAATAGAATATGTTCAGTTGTTACCTCTTGCACGGTGTGCAAAATTCGAGTCAATCTGTCAATCGTTTCATTATGTTTCTTTGAATACTGCAGAATTTCAGCTGATAAGACTCGAAAATTGAACGGGACCATTGATCCTTTCCTATCTTTACCAAATAAATCTGGATAATATTCATAGTACAAGTCTGAAAATGAAGTAGATAAGTATTATATTTTTACCACGCACCAACTGAAATAAAATGTTAACATTAGAAAAAACCAACCTGGGTTATCAAAATCCTTAAAAGCGTCAATTTCAGATTCTGCAATTGTAAACTCTCGTATGCGGATCAGCAAGGAAATTCTTGTGAACCACAACTGAAAAGAAAAAAATAAATCAGCGTGTGCTTAGTAATGATCAATAATGTTTGATCAGCACGACATAAGATTCAGAGCTATTAAATGATTACATACCTGAAGCGTGTGTGGATTATGTTTACTAAATTGGCCAACTTTTCCTAGTCCTTGACCATACAATGTTAACAACCGTTTAGTTAGATTTATAGCAGAACGATAGCACCCCAACTGCGAGAAATAATTATGACGAAGTGAGACAGAGTTAAAGTTTCATGTTATTTAATCACTCAAGAAGGGAATAATGAGCTGTCTGTACCTTGATAAGCTCTCTTAGTCCATTGTCATCCTGAGTGACGCTGTCCGCCGTTAAAATTCTTCTTTTGCTTGCTTCCCCCTCACCAAAAATGCGAGCCATATTCACCCCGACTTTGTCAATCTGGAATAATTGCATTTCAGATGCATGTATTGACGTTGCTTAGTCTTTACTATTCACATTCAACTAAAATTGTATACTAAGGTATACTTATTACCATTTAAGTATAAATCTTACCAAATCGTCTTCATAAATGATTCCTGGGGTAGTCATGTGCGACTTGTCTGGAAGATAGGACCTCGCTGGCCGTTCTGCAGTAGCAAGGGCCATTAATATTTTTTTAGTCTCCTCCTTTGGAATCCAGGCATCATGCATGGTGTCAATAGGGGTGTAATTAGTAGAATTATATGTGGACGGCTCAACAGAACCCTGAACAAGTGGTTCTTGTTTTCGTGGGGATGAAAATATCGATTGTTGAGTTTGCTGAGCAGGCTGGGGTTCTTCTACTTCTTGCTTTTGAATGCTGGCGTCTGATATTGCATCTTGCGTTGGTACCGCAGGGGTGGAAAATGGATGATTCTTAAATGCAGTTGGTGGTTGGTGGACCGATGATGGTGGTGGGGGGAGTGGTGTTGACAGTTGATTAAAAAAAGTTGACGGATCAGAATCAGACTGGGTAAATTGTCCAATCGGAAATGGAACTTCAGGTGTGTCGGCAAATAGTTTGTTCGCCGTAGGAATAGGAGACTCGGGATCAACCTCATCACCCTGACCAACTTGGACTTGAGGGCTTCCCTCTTGGATAACAAGACTAGTCATTCTGTCCACTATATTTTCTTTCTGTTTAAGTTCTTGAGGAGCTTGATCAATAGCTGCAGCTTCTTCAAAGATATCGACAACTTGTGCTCCTTCAGGTCCTGCCTGTGAAACTTGTTTTGTTTCAACATTGTCTGAAGAAAAAGCGGGCACAATTACAGGACGTGTCGTAGGGTCCTCAGCACCAGGAAAGATGTCAGGCGACCGTTCAGTTGTGGATTCTTGCTGTGGTACTGCTGGTGGTGCAGCCATAAAAAGACCGGATGTGGACGTTTCTGACCCATCCTGGTGAGACGTTTCCTCCGAGACATTCGTGGCTGATGCAGAAGTTGACAAAGTCTCTTTCTTTGGGATTGAGAATGCAATCGTGTCGAAAACGGTTTTGGTGGAACCGGAAGTTGCTGATGAGGCAAAAACGGTGCAAATTTTGGGCTCTTCATCATCATTTGAGGATGCATTGTTGTCCATTTTTCGTCCCTATATTTCCGAGGTCACGTCTTGACTAACGAACTAATTGTGAGTAGTTAATGGTATTGTCAATGTCGTGTTGTTTTTTACTCGATGCGTTATTATATTTACACCGAACTCACCATTGCCGAATTTGCGACAAAACGAGACAGAAAAATATCTAATCACATTTCCATTAAAAAATGTGTATGCTGTATTGTTTATTGATCCCTTCAATTTAGTTTAGCTCAAATTAGAAGATATATTTTAAATAATTTGAGATATACGGAGTACAATAAAAACATTCAGGTTCAATTCAACAGATGTCAAAGATTCAAAGTGTTGTTGCACGAGAAATAGACTGACAACTTGAGACGCTTTCTCACATAACCTTTCTTTGATCAGATGTCAATATTTTACGCAGGTATTATAATTAAATCGGTAAAATTGTGATAGTAAATAATTGATGCATTTATTGTATGACTATAATATGATATATCTTGTCTCACCAGCCCTCACATTAATTAACGCTTATTATTCATTTTTATTAAGGCAATAAGTACATGTTTTCTTTCAGTCCCATTATAAAAAAAAATATCACAAATCTTGAATGTACATACTCATAAAATACGACTACTTCCGTCTCTAAACATTGAATACCCTCGAAATCGTCGGAGGGTTTCCAGCCTGTAAATGGTTGGCGAGGATGAGGACCCAAGGCACTAGGGGGAGGAGAAGGCGGACGAGGGCCCTGTTCAGCGGGGGTGTGTCGAGCTGGTGGGTGAAGGGCAGGACGTAGAGACCCCTTCGTTGAGCGTCCCTTAAATGGTGGGGGATGACGGCGAGGAGGAAGAGAAGGGCACTCGAGCGACCCTTGAGACGGAAAAGGACCAGCGAGATAAGAATGGCAAGGCCCGTGCAATGAAAAATTCCTCGCTTGCCCGCACTCATCGCCGCGTCCACCGAGAAGCTCCTGATAAGATACATAAATTATTCATCCAAACTAAATTTAAATGTACTTGAGAATAAATTACTGAGCAGCGAGAAAGTGATCCAAATCAATAACGCTGGCGCCCAGCGCCACAGCTATCAAATCCTGACATTTGCCGAATGGGTCTTCAGTGAATATTATCCAGGACAATATTCCAATCCAGACGTGAATCATATTGTCCAATATTGCATGAAATCGACGGCAGTTTATGACAAAATGTCGAGATTCAAGCTAGAACAGAATATAGAATTAATTAATTGAGGATGAGAACCACCACTATGCACAGTTTGCATTGTGGTACCGTGTATTCTTACAAAATCGCCAAAGTCAGTGAAACACAGAAGCATAAGAGTTGCTAAAATCCGGATGAATGTTAAACTTGACATTTTTAAGGACGAGAAAACGATCTAGTTCCTTAATTTAAGTCTAATTAGTCCTTAAAATTATTAATCAATTTATTTATATATATCGTCAATTACATATGACATAACCAAGTCTGTGAAATATATGCAGATGGAAATATTTGTAACCTCTCTCCTATATATCGCTTATTATGTACAATTATTTTATTAAAACCGTCAAAAATTGTATTTCGTATGCAATAAATTTCCGTCCAAGAAAATAGTCAATAGTCGTCCGCGTATAAACACGTAATATCCAACTGTCCATTTTTCGCATCCAAAAAACACCTGTCTCACATTCGCCATCACACCCTGAATCATCAGATTCGCCCTGTACCTGTTTGTTTCAAATATTTAAAGGTACCAGAAGGGAGGTTGTTTTAATAAAATCATAGTATGCAAATAAAAACATACGCTTTTAAAAATCACGAAAGAACGTGAAACATTGATATGCATAGAGGCAGCGAGGATGAGCAGAGCGGACACCAAAAGCTTCTATTCCAAAATGAAAACTGACCATGTACAATGTAAACACTACTACGCGACCTTATAAATCAGAACTACTCTAATTTTAGATTCGTCCAACATAATAATTGCACCGGTTCCTTAAGAGGATGGACGTTGTAGAGATTCGCCACTTGGTGGGCGTCCTTCTGAAACATTGTCCTTCTACACGGCACATAACTCGTTTGACCAATCGTTTAGTTGGTTCTCAAGTCCCGTCAAGCCGGCGATACCTTCATTCTCGACAAAATAAAATCCACCAACTTTGTCGATTAGTCTCAACAAAACCCGGAACAGTGTTACAACCCGACAATGCAGGTGGCGATGTTGTAAAAAAATTAGACGACAAATCCTATTTCAAACGCCTCGGGAAGACAACAAACCATTATTGGACGGACCATGCTGAAGATATTTTACAACGATTGAACATGGAGCGACTTGTTGACCCGGATCATAATCTAAATCTGAGAGAGAATCTACGGAGGCGGTACTGCGACGACAAGGTTGACCTCGATGTGATCCGATCTCTGTGGGGACGATGGTCCACGACGACGTCGAGGAAGGATAGGGAGGAGCTGGCTTCGACAGTGGTGGGGTTGGCCTTGTGGGTACCCAACGATTCCTGTTCCGAGGCTTTAGCCATACCAGATGACGCCCCTGTTCCGATCAACGTCCATGGTCAACCAACAACGCCTGAAGTCTTAGAGTTTCAAAAGGTAATGGTTTGTATTTTATATATGTGCATATACATATGGTTTTAAGTTTAATTTATTTTCCTTGTTTTGCTATAGTACTGCGATAAGCACGGATGGCTGAGGAATGATAATCTCGGGAATATTGCAAACCACAGAAGCTATTTTCTAAAGGTGAGAAAGTGCTTTATGCACTATATAAATGTAAATACCTATATTTTGTAATGAAAAGTTGAAAAGGCACATAATTTTTTTAGGGACCTTTGGCTGAACTTGAGGAGGCCTTGGTCCGGTATGCTCTGGATGCCGTGAAAAAATTAGGTTTTCAACTAATATCCGTTCCAGATATTTTGTATCCTCATGTTATCGAGTCCTGTGGTATGAAGACTCGAAGTGATCGCGATCAGGTAATTCGTACCAAATGTACATATTATTCAACTATACGGCACGGCATACATACATATGAAAAGATTAATGTATCTATACATTTTTTAACCAACACCTTTGTAGGTATTTTGGGTGGAACTTCCAGACTCTCCAAATTCTGAAGTTTGCCTATCCGGTACGGCAGAAATGTCAATTGGAGGATCTCTGCAAGACAGAACTTTCATGCTTTCATCACTGCCTCTAAAATTAGCAGCTGTTAGTCGCTGCTTTCGAGCTGAAACGTCGTCAATTGAAGAAGAAAGAGGATTGTACCGTGTTCACGAGTTTACAAAAGTAGAACTGTTTGGAGTCACTGCTGCAGAAACTGGAACTGAAAGCTCTGAGCTTCATCAAGAGATAAGAACTTTGGAGGAGTCTCTTTTTTCACAACTAGGAATTCATTTCAAGACTCTAGAAATGCCACCAAGTGAATTGGGTCTCCCAGCTTTCCGTAAATTTGATATTGAAGCTTGGATGCCTGGTAAAAACATGATTCACCAAGTGTGACTAATCTTAGCAATCAGAATACACATATAGTATTCCAAGATAGCACTTGCTTAATGTTAATATTTCCTTGTATTTGTTTAGGAAGAAAAATGTTTGGTGAGATTTCCAGTTGTAGCAATTGTACTGACTTTCAAAGTAGAAGATTAAACATTCGCTACAAAAGAGAAGGAGAGAGTCGTCAACCAGGTGTCTTGCCATTTGTTCACACGGTGAATGGGACAGCTATGGCGATTCCAAGAATGCTCATCACTTTGGTCGAAGCTTGTCAACGGCCAGATGGATCGATCGAAATTCCACCTGTGCTCCACAAATTTATGACACGACCTTGGGAGGAAAGCGTAAAAGTGAATCCGAAATTTCAAACTAGTTTTTTACGAACAAAAGCAGCCCAAATTAAGTACTTAAAACAATTTAGAGAGTTGGAGCTGGATAATTGAACTTATCGTGAAGTGTGCATGTGTCAATCAAATCACACTAGTAATTACCTAATTTTCCTTTCTTTCACTGCATACGAACAGCAGTTTACAAACCCATTGTAACGTAATTATATATTTATGGTCAGATACATATTTACTTATACATAGTTTTAGCTTGGAGTACGATTAAAAATATATAACCAATTATATTGACTTATTTGAATCATTTGTTACTTTGTTAATCCACTTTTACGACTGAAGCATTTCATGCGAATATGCATAACTGGACATTAGATTTGTTTCTAAAAAATGTTCACTCGAGTGTGTGAATAAATAAGTAAAACTTGCGTATTTGCTAATCACTTTCAAAGACTATCTGATAATATTTTTGCCCATTTTCCCTTCTCAAATATTTATATTCCATTAAGTGTGACTTGTTACGTGTGCAAAATTCCATTCATTTATCCATCAGTTACTAAACTCTGCAACTGAGGATGAGTGTTTATCAACATTGATTGGTACAAGTGGTATACGACACGGCTCTCTTCTTATCTGTCACAGAGTTCATAATTTGCCCAGCACAACTGGCCACTTTTGCACTTTAGACCCAGCATCATTCGTCCCCTTCTTCAAGAGACGGTCTCCATTTTCCACGTATAATTCTCTCGAAGGTATTGCAATGGATGGTCATTCATCAAATCAAGTCATTATTAATAATAAAAGAAGGCATAATAATATTTTTAGCAATGTGATGATTAGGAAATTTGATGAATAGTGAAGTTGTCAGCTCTCTGCGGTCATGCGAACTCGAGTCGTCTGATGATGAATTAGGCTCTTCCATCTTCTCTCGTATCGAACTAAATAAGTATTTGATTGTGCTTGTTGGCTGAATAAAATTAATGCCGTCCAGTTCAGTTCGACTTAATTCATTCAATATTGTGCGAATCGGGCAGATCGATCATTACATATGTCATTATTGATGTTTACGGTAGATACACGTCATGTCTCATCACAATCAAATTCCAATGACAGTCTTTATGTGCATGCATAATTGAGAGTGTCAGGTGAGTGAGGTCGCACATCATTAATTAGTTTCAATTTGATTTTCAGAACTTTACCACCCTCAATTTACACAATGTGAAATAAATTAGCAAAATAAATTGTTTCACTGCACCTTCACCAATTTTCTCAAGGAACAAGTTATTCCGTGTGAGAAACCCTTGCGTGACGATGAGATTATTTCGAACAGTTAATAAAAAAAACAGCTATCTATCGTTAATGTATACATGCTGAGTGTGCAATATTGTGATATAGTTGGTCATTTAAAGTAACGAAGTAAAATACCTGTACCCACAAATAGCCAATATATATGTACATGTGCATAAGTATGTCGGTGATCAAAATCCATGACTTAGATGAGGAGATGTTGAACCAAATCTGCACAAAGTCCATTTAGCCCATATCAAGAGAGTGGCTTTACGCAGTGCACGCCATGCAATCCAAGTAGGAAGTTATTATTGATGTTTAATAATGATAGCTCAACAATTCAGTTAGTTCTTGGTGGTTGGTAGTTCAAAGCAGGTGCACAGCAATATTATTCCTATTAGCATTGTTACAGCACATTGTACACATAGCAGAGCAATACGAACTTTGCGTATATACGCAAATATCAATATCAATCATATTTATATGCATGTAACATTTGACCCGTATCAAACCCAAAGTCAAAACATTGCAGTAGTATAGACATCAGTCTGAGCTTACGACAAACTATAAACAACACCACAACAGTTTATGATATTACCAAAAAAGTTGCATATATTATTAATTTAGTGTAGCGTTTTTATGACATTAAAAAACAATTGTGACTACCTAAAAATTGCTGCGACATAAAGATCTACCTTCCTGTGGGGCACTTACGTTGTTTAAGCTATTTATTATAATACTACATTTGTGCATGTGAACAATGATCCTTCCCCAATTTTTAAAGACGGTTCAACGAGATTACCGGTAAATTTTGGTGTTACAAATGTGTTGTGAAACTAATTTAAAGTGAATAATTTAACATGAATAATGAATAATAATGAGTACTAACATGAATCTCAAAAAAGGTTGTTGGAAGGACACGCAAAAACATTTGTTCAGCTCAAACGGTTGGACAATAAAGGGGCCACGGCCGGAAAAGTGTTTGACCAGTATGCCAAAAAGCATCCAAACAAGGTGTGCTTCTATTTCGGACAGGAACAATGGACATATAAAAAGGTACGTCTCAAAATTCATGAATGAATATGGAAATCATACATAATTTTGTAATGGGTATTTATCCAGGTGGAAGAATCAAGCAACCAAGTAGGGAATTACTTTGCTAATGAAGGTTTCGAGCATAAAGATGTCGTCTCGCTTTTTATGGAAAATCGACCGGAACACGTAATAATACATAATATATGTGAATTATGTGATATCGAATAATATGTAACACGAGTCATGCAATATTTTAGGTTATCATGTGGTTGGGGCTTAGCAAGGTTAAGATCGATGCATTTTTGACTCAAGTTATCGATACCAGCGCTTACTCATTACTTATACTATGTATGTATACATATAGCTGGGAGTTGTGACTGCACTAATCAACTACAACCTCCGTTTCCAACCACTTAAACATTCACTTGACGTGGGCAATTCCAAAGCTATCATTTGCGGTACGGAACTCACCTCTGCTATCACCGAACTGGGGAAAATCAAGTACCCCGTTTACCTTTCGGGGACTTCGACCAAGGAGTCGGAAGAAGCAGAGAAAAATCATGGATGGAAAAATCTGGATAAAGAGTTACCCAAAGTGCGAACGACGACGCCGCAACCGAAAAATCCAGAGTTAATTAATTTCAGAAGCAACTTATTGTATTGTTACACATCCGGAACAACGGTATTCATACGCATTGCATACTTATACAAGCACATCCATCAAAGAAATAGGTACGAGTTGTAATGATGTAATTTTCACCCAGGGCTTACCAAAGGCTGCCGTAATAACTAACTCCAGGTTTTACTTTACCTCATAAATTATAAATCTACTTCGACCAGAGGAATTTTCTGTCTACAGGTTTTTCATGGCGTCATACGTGAACCATTACGCCTCAGAATTGGTGGAAGACGATCGTATTTACATGACACTGCCGCTGTACCATGTAGCCGGTGGTGTCTTAGGTCTTAGTCAAAATTGTATGCATAAAATTTATATATCGTTCCCGTTCGTTATAATTTTAAAATTTGCACGTCCTGTAAAGTATATATGAACCTTCTATATGACATACAATTTGCATATAATGATTGGTTTGTTTGTTGGTTTGTTTGTGCTTTTTTAGTGGTCTGGGGAAATCCTCTAATCATTCGAAACAAATTCTCAGCCACAGAATTCTTTCGTGACTGTTACAACTATAAGGCGACGGCTGCACAATATATCGCCGAAACAAGCCGATTTTTACTCCAAACAAAAGAGTCTGAATGGGATAAGAAACATTCGGTGAGAGTCATGTTTGGGTGAGGGCTATACTTTTATTCGAGATAATTGATCCGAGATAAAAAAAAAGATTTAATTTTAAACATATTTTTTGGACACCGGGCCGGGCATAGGAATGGGTTTCGGAAGGATATTTGGAAACAATTTGTGGACCGCTTTCAAATTGAGAAGATTACTGAATTCTACGCATCAACTGAAGGTTTACATATACTTATTTTTGTCGTATCTATGTTATTCAGTGTCAACTTATTTTGATTTCAATTAATTATTTGTTTTACATAATTACTTACATTTTTTAGGAAATGCGAACATGGTCAATTATGATAATACGGTCGGCGCTGTTGGAGTCATTCCCCCGTTTCTTGAGAAGCTGTATCCTATCGCTTTGGTGAAGGTTAACGAAGAGGGCGAACTTATTCGAAACAAAAGTACAGGTCACTTGATACGATGCAAAGCTGGAGAGGTTGGAGAATTAATTGGCAAAATCGTCACCAACTCACCACTTCGGGAATTCAAAGGGTTATTGATAACAAATTACATTTCTTAGTGTAATGTTTTTATTACATCCAAGCTAAATTTCATACTTCGATTGCTAAATTAAATTGCACTTAAATACGAATGGTGTTTTAATGTCTGAATATCTTCCATAGATATGCAGCAGATCAAAATGCCAATGAAAAGAAGACGGTGAGAAACGTCTTCACGAAGGGAGATGCTTATTTCAGATCAGGTTTGTTATTTAATTTGAGATGCCGACTGCACCAACAATTGACGATTAAAGTTCAGATAGGCGTGTTGGTCTTGTAATGTGTAGGGGATCTCCTTTACAAGGACAAGCAAGGTTACCACTACTTTCAAGACCGAATGGGTGACACGTTCCGCTGGAAGAGTGAAAACGTGTCGACGGCCGAAGTGGAGGCGATAGTGAGTCAAAACTGTGAATTGCGGGACGTGATCGTGTTTGGGGTGAAAGTTGAAGGATATGATGGGGCAGCGGGGATGACGGTAACATGCAAATATGAATTACGTAAATATGTATGCCTCTCTAGCAAAAAGATACGAAGCCAAGCGCTTCAGATAAAGAGTATGCTTTTGGCGAAAGAAATTATTTTGAGATAAATTGTGGTTTGGTGATAAGTAAACTATAGATAAAGAGAGAACGCTACTTGGGCGTTGTATACCCGACCTATGTAAAATACGACCAGTTTTTCAGAGGTGTCACGTCTACTATATCCTAAATTAAATCATCAATTCAACGTACATAATTGTAGTTTTCAGGAATTTTAGGATTTTTTTTAATTTTCATGGAAGGTAATCGCTGATCCTCGTGGGGACATGGACATTGGAAAATTGGAAAAGGCGATCGTGAAGAATCTGCCCCACTATTCCAGACCGTTGTTCATGCGGATAACCAAAGCTATTCCAATGACAGGTAGCAAAAATATGTGCATAAGTCTGTATACATAATAATAATATAATAAATTGTACACAGGAACACATAAACTACAAAAAACTGACATGGCGAAACAAGCCTATGATCTCAGTCAAATTGGGAGTGACAAAATATATTTGTTACTTGAAGGAAAATACACACCGTTTACTCCAGAACTTCAAGAAAAAATAAATGCTAAAAAAATTAAACTGTGATTTTCAATGAATATTAAACTTGAGCTATGTACATATTTACATGCATCATGACAATAATTAATAAATAAATCACATTCAGTCATTTACAAATACAAAGACATGCGTTGATTATCCCAAATTTCCTTCACTCTTTAAGACATATATGTCATCGTTTTCCACCTTTCTCTTCACTACATACCCATTTTTCTCAACAAACTGCCGGAGATCATCCTTTTCTTTCTCACTGTAAGTGTGCACTTCGACAATCATCGTCTGGAAATTTAGTAAAATTATGTGTAATTGCACAAAAGAGCATATTTAGCTCCTGGTCTCAAACTCTACCTAGGTACTTGGATAACCTGGATTACTTACTTTGATTTTGAACTTGTCATACGGGAAGCTTTTTAATATGTCAATTTCAGCTCCTTCAACATCGAGTGAAAGAAAATCTACTTCTGTGAGCGAAGTTGCCTTAATGATTGAGTACAAAGGAAAGCATGGAATTTGGTAGTTGATCCAAGTCTTGTTTTGAACCCAGTCAATCCCATGTTTTTTCATTTCGGTTTCGTTTAAGGGGCGACCAAGTTTTGCACTTGCAGGCCACTCAGAAAGGGTGCTAAAGTTCATCTAGCAAATACAGAAGGAGATTTGTGCCAAAAACCAGATGACCACATATATTCATGTATTTGGGGATGAAATTGTTTACCAGCTTTGACGTGTTCGTGGTTGATAAGCAGACAGGCGCAATCCATGCCTTGCGATTTTTTTTCATGAGCTTTGGTAGCAGTAAAGGGTTGCATTCGACAAGCAGTCCTGACCAACCAAGTTCTTCGAGGAACAGGGAGTTTGAAGCGACTTCACCTATAAAAATAGACACCATATACGAATTTTTACACATACACATAAAACATTTTGTATATGCATTTGCTACCGTCATAGGCTCCTGCCTCAATGAAGACACCCTTAAAGTTCGACCCCTGCGTTATAGAATCGTCATACATATATTAGAAGTCATACCATGAACACAAATTATGCCAAATTAATTGAACCATCGTTATTAAAATATTAATATCATGATTAAGGTGCTTCAGAGTAATAACAACACGAATTGTAATACATAACATTCACTTCCACATGTTCTTATAATTAGCATTCAAATATTTTATTCACTTAAATTTACTTTAAACTCACAAGTACATATTTAAATATTACAACATTATGCAGAAACACTTTAAATGCATTGCTTGTCAATCTCCATCAAATTTTTCGTGTGAAGTGCCACAGATTTAAGTTTCGCCCACGGAGTCGCCGGATGTAATAGGATTTCGGTATGCAAACTGCCCAGCATGACATCGATAGTTTCAATTGCTGTGAATTTGTATCCTTGCTTATAAAATACAACTGCAAGATCTAGCAAGGCTCGAAATTTTAATACTTGCACATCTCTGCTTTCACTTAAAATTTGATCCTCTGATTTACATTCTTCTAAAGTACTTTCATTATTCTCACTTTTGCAAAATGTTTCCGACACGATAGTTTTTATTATTGCTTGGATGTCCAATTCAGCTTGTGATAATTCGCCTTTGCGCATGTTTATATACGTGCTTTCCAATTTCAATCCTAATATTCTGTGATCATTCGAATTTAGTTGTTTGCTAAAGTACTTTACATATTTTTGGACAAGTCTTTGGTGTATCTCGTAATTTCTCATCGAGTACAAAAAGTTTGGCACTGCATCTGCAAGAGGATCTTTCAACTCATGAACATTTTGGGCATAACTGAAAATGGCTTCAGCATATTGAACGAATTCTATCTGGAATACGTTGTAATTTTCCAAGGCACCGTTCTTCATTTCATTTTCCATATCCCAAGGACAAGTTTTGAACGCAGTTAAAAATACATTGAGAACTCCAGCCTTCTCGTACGTGTGTGACAGTGAATAGCTCGACCTGACAAATATGCTATGAATTTTGATTTCTTTCTTAGAACTGGCTAATAAAGAATGATCATTTAAAAGACCCAAGATCACACTCAACTCTCCCTCTGATAAATTCAAGGCAAACTTCAGAAACCTTGTGTTAACACATTCAGAGTTTAAAATAACGGATAAAAATGATGCGCATTTCAGAAACTTGAGAGCCAATGGGCCAGTTCGAAGTCGAGCTGTCTCAAGCACATATGCGTCAATGGCTTGAAGTTGTAATGTTTTGAGCTCCCACAATGACGATATTGAGTACGCGTAGTAGTAAGCTACGATATCTAACTTGTGAACAAGGATGTCTTTTTCACATTCCGTGCTGCTACAAATGTCACCACGGCTAATGTCACTGACAGCGTAGGTGAACAATGCGTTCAAGTTATCTGCAGGATTTAGCAACATTTTCCTTTTCAAGTAACTGATAATTTGTCTGATTGCCAATGGGTGATTTTGAAATTTTGCACATATGGACATAACACTTTCGATCAGGTGTAGGTGCTGGAACCGTTTCAGTTCTGCAGTTACGAGGTGCAATATATCCTCCGAATCCAGCCCTGTCAAAACTAAGCGCTCATCACAATCCACTATTGACAGATACGAAGATGTAATTATTGTAAACACGCATGATTTACATTCCTGTTTCAAATATAACAGAGTTGAATCTAGAACATCAAATCTTGTTTCCAAGTTGTCCACGACAAAAAGGGACAATCGAGCAAAACTGTTTTCAAGCTTCCAGAGTACTTTATGCAAAAAAGTTACGACGTTCTGTGCTGCTGCTGTTGGTGTGGAGTCATTTATTTTAAGATCATCTTCAATTTGTAACTTGCACCCCAATCTGGTCAAACTTTCTATAAAAACTTGTCGACTTTCACTCTGTAACCATATTATATTTCCGTTCCAAACCTTTTTCAAATCTGTACAAATATAACGGCGAATCAGCTCCGACTTTCCAATTCCACGACAGCCAGTGACGAGGAACAGTTTTTCTTTCTCATGGTCAAAGTTTACAGCATCTTTGAGAATTTCAAGTTCTTGTGCCCGTCCAGCAAAATTTGATACGGGTTCAACGACATGAAATTCAAATGTTTTCGAGTGATCCGCATGCATGCTTTGGCGAGGAGAGGGGGTTGGGGTTATCGCCGGTAGCGAAGAAAGTGAGGAGAAAGACGACGTTTCAGACAAGGTAGCCCAATTGACAGCCCAATTATATACGTCTTGAAACTTGTACACTACTTCCGTAGCTATTGAATCCACCAAATTGGCGCACCCATCCCAAAACTGATCAATTTCTGTCTGTTTATTCACGTCATCAACACCTTCAAACTTGAAAGGTAGTCTGTAACGCTGGTAGTGATGGTTCTGGTTTTTTGAGAAATTTGATCTGTTTGGAGATTCGAATGTGTGAGGGGGCGGCAGATCTAAAATTTTGCTGACAAGTACTTTCCCATCAGCCGTGTCGATTAAACCGGACTGGATCAAAGACATTGGCATCAATTTGAACTTTAGCTCGTTCCCCTTCTCTCTTGATTTCCCTTTGAGAACTGCCAAGATAACAAACTCTTGGGTTACAATACTTGTTCCTTTTGCAGTGTGCTTGATGTAGTGGAACAATCTGTAGACCATGTCAGAGCCAATGCAACACCTGTGCATAAACCATCAACTCAGGTCACCTTTCGATAAATTATACGATGCGAGAGCTAGACAATAAATAAATTTCTTGCTTACAGCAATGCTTCGGAGACATGATCAGAAGGGTACAACACGTTGTAGAACGCAATGTTCAATTTGGCAAATGCTTTAGCTATTGTAATCAACCTCTCCTGATCAGATCCTTCTTCGAACTTGATGCGCCGAGAGATTTTCCAAGCCGCTTTTGACCTACGAACTTTCCCCCCGTGTTCCACGACTATGGACAGTGCCGAACCAATGTGTGGAACCAATGAGCTCAATTTTGATGTGGCACCCAAAATCTTGCCGCATTCTGATTCCTTCCTAGACGCACATTCCGACAACACGCTTTTTAAATGACTTTGAAAGTATTGCGTGGCGTATTTCGTTGCTCCAATTATATTTGAACGAATCGACCCATCCATCAAATCTGGATAGACGAGTTTCATACCCTTCTCCTCTACGTCCATTATTTTAGTACTAATGACATTTACAGAGCTACGATAAGTGCATATATTTATTGTTTATGTCGGGAAATCCTCTCTGCAACATGATTAATTTTTTTAGGAACAAATAACCACAAGTTCCGGTATAAATGTGGTTTGCCCCCGGCTTTCATAGCGAAGCTCAATTAATTGGAAAATAACTAATAATATCATGACAATGACGGTTTGTGACGAATTGCGACCATCATGATGTCACTGATGTCTTGACGTCACCCAATGAATAGTCTGCACGAGGGTTTATAGAGTGCAATTAGTTATATTACAATTTGAATTTATACTTGCCTTGTTTGAGAAGAGACGCCGCACATAGTCTGAGTAGGAGTTGGAGTGATATCCATTGTGAGTCATGTTGGAGTAGGCAAGTTTCGACGGTGGTATTAAGTGATGTTTCTTGATGTAGCTAATGAGTCTAGGATCAGTTTGATCCAACGTGTAAAGGGTCCTCTCATCCACCAGGTCTTCACCCCCCACAGCTGCTGGTGACAAGGTGTGCTTCGGCGTGATTGTTGACGGCGATTGAGACTGGTCGTCCCAGGTTTTAGCACCAGATTTTTCTACAGAATCCAGATTTGCAATTCCATTTGAATCAATGAATAAGACAGGATCAGTTAATTGATGTTGTTGATAATTTGATGAATCTAGCTCTTTTGGTTCGGAATCCTTTTCAAGATTTACTACTCCTTGCCGAAGGTTTGTACGAGTATTTTCTTGACTCTCAGACTTTGTTGAAGAAAACGGATGCACGTAGTAAAATAAGAACAGAGTTGAAACTACACTTGTCAACATGAGGACGTTGAGAAAGCTGTATCGATGCCGTCGTGACAGTGACATCATTGTTAGTAATTTTATTGTAAAATATAAAATGTCGCACAATTCTAAATAACAGGGTATCTGAAAATAAAAAATAAATTACGAGTCAGTAGAAAAGTGGGCCAAAGGTTTCCTTACTCCTTGATGAGTGTCCCTTGGTAATAAGAGTTTAGGAACTCGGATGCAAAGATACCTTTTTTCAAGGGTGGGACCGATAAGACCTGTCACTTATCAAGTGAATCATATCAAGGATAACGGTTCTCACAGAGAGAAAAGAGCAACATCATTTTTGCTTCAAATGATGAGCATCGCAGTACAAAGAAATGTTCCTCCAGCCGGACGCGAACTAGCAGAGATTTTTTTTATAAATCTCAAAATAGACAACATACGATTATTAACAGATAATAATTATTTTTGATTCTTGAGAAAATAGTTGTAATCCTTTTTCAAGACGATAATAGTTGAGATTTGATTATTTATGCACGAAAAAGACGAAACGATTAAATCATTTAAGTTCAATAATGAATATTGTTTCATTTTATGAATGGAAGCACTATCCAACTGATCTAACGAAATAAATTTTGAGTGTGCACCATAAAATTGTCAGGAGTTGCATTGTATGCAAAGTCCATCGGCTGTCTACCAACTGATTGACATTTAAAAACAATTGGCATATAATTTGAAGGGAATAACAATTCGGTGTTTTGCTTAATTCAAAACATACGATTTTTAATTTTGAAGTACAACCATTTCAACACAATGGCAGGGATTATCGCTTACAATGAAGTTTTTAAGGATTTGCGGAAATCTGCCGCCCCTCAAGTGCAGCCCGATGGATTTGCAGCCCATTTTGTGCCCCCTTGATTATCTGCAGCCCACCAATTTGCAGCCTATTAACTCCAGCCCGCGATTATTTGCAGCCCTTATTATTTGCAGCCCACCTCACAAAACGCATAATGCCACTACACAAGATGGAAAATATATGTACATCATATACAAAGGTCCATTCTCCCCGTTTTGGGTCATAGTGTATTTATTAGTGTCATTATTTACATACAGGGAGAAATATAAAATCAAGGTATTAAAACGTTCTCAAAACATCAGGCAATATAAAAATCTTTGAATAAAAAATCGTATAACATCAATCAATAAAAACATCTTTGAATAAGAAATCAATCAATAAAAAATCGCAAAACATCTTTGAATAAAAAATCAATCAGTAAAAAATAGCAAAACATCAATTTAAAAAAATAGCAAACATATATCAATTTTAATGGAATCGGACACGATAAGAAATTTGGCGAAGGTAGTCTATATGACAAAAATCACCAACCCCGTACTGTTCAACAACTTTTCTGAGTTTTGTTGAAGCTATTGCAAACTTTTTTCGTGGAGTGGGGACAGTACCAGCTACCCGTTGATGTATGGTTAACTCTGTCAAAACCTGTTGTTCTTTTAGTCCGTCGATAAGTTTATAAATAGTTGGGTGGGAAGCGCCGAGCAAAGAAGAAAATCCAGAGTTAAATCCCTCACACGCATTGTTCGTTTTGGGTAAATCCTCCAACACACTATGGAAGCAGTTCCACAGGGGGATGGCATACAAAGGAGCAACTCGGGCTGTTCTAAGAGGATTCCAAGGCCCCAACCAAGTCCGTTCAAAGTACCAGATGAAATCCACAAGTAAGACCGCGTTGTCGACAAAGAATTCCTCGCGAATTAACAATTCGTATGTAGATAATACGTCGTCTGGTGGGACAAAGGCCAAAGCTACAAGATTCCAGATATTGAGGGAAAAATTGGAGTCGGTAGTAAAACGATTCAAAATTTCTGGGAACTTCTGGATATGCCTATAAAAGCACTGTGAGAAGTGAAAAAAACACCCCTTCTGTTCGGCACGTGGAAAAGCTTCATTAAAGGCACTGAGTTCAGCCCGCTCGAAGTCGGTCATTATGGTCGTAGGTGCCAATCCAGCCTGGGAATCCAAAAGAGCGCTGAGAACGCGACTGTACGTCTCGGTTTTTCTGTTTGGGAGGAGAGCATATACAAGAGGGCATGTCACCCCTCCACGAATTCCGTGCAGCACAAACAGTTGATCGAAGAGGGAAGGCGCCACCTTGAAGGTACCATCCGCCAACCACACGGGACAGGATGCGAGGAAGTCCAGGTTTTCACGGGTCGCAAATACAAGAATCCTGGATGCTTCAGGACCAGAATCAAACAAAAGGAAGTCTGCACCTCCTTTTGATTTTTGAAATGAGGCTGGAAGAACAATATCCTCTCGCCTATGAGGTTGTACAAGAGATCCTACTCCAGAAGCACGTACATCCCTGATTGTTCTTTTCAGATTTTGTTTGAGAGGGAGGACTCCTTGCGCTGCGGCTGAGACATGCCCCACGTTTCGGGATATTATGGAGGCTGGTTGGTCGTTGGTGGATTTGGCGTCCTGACGTATCTTTGTGCGAACTTGACGAAGCTCGACATTGATGGGATTTTCGGGATGATTATGACTTCCCAACTCGGATATGATGGTCACATTCTCCAAGCCGATCGAGGTGTGCATCCTGGCGGGACATTTGGCATGACGATAGCGGTCACATACCCAAATGCGCTTTTCATCGCCAAACTTGTGGAAGACGAAGGAGTACCCGTTCAATGATGCAACAGGTTTACCTCTTATGGATTCGGAAATTGTAATGGTGGCCATAGCTGGTAATAATAAAAGTTGAAACCAATTTTTATTAGTGAAAAAATTTCAGTCATTTTAAAAAATAGAAAATTTGGCCAAAAAAAGGAGGGGGGGCCTTACGGCCCCCCCTTCCCCCCTCCCCCCCCTTTCCCCTCACCTCCCCCAATTCCTGCCCCCCCAAAATAACCTCTAGTACAACTTGGGATGGGCTTTACTACTAGTCATATAATGGTTGACAATATGTGTGAATTGACTTCGTATTATTAGTTTGTATTGTATTTGGAACTAACATGCAAAATTTCAAAAAGTACCTTACCTATTTGGGAACCAAGAAACTAACGCTTTTTTATTATTCAAACAAAATAAATTACACATACACAAAAACAAATTAGTTGGGCAGAATTTCGGGAACTTATTTTTTTTAAATTTCACTGACACTGTTGGTATTCTCTCCAGTCGATCTACTTCCTTTAACTGACAAAAAAGACTAGTTGACTGCATCAAGTCACACAAAGGTGGAAAGAAAAAAAAGGTTGGAAAGAACCTTTTTTATGTTTTTTATCTATTTCTGGGAAATAGATAAATATAATTCAATCTAACAAATGAACCTTTGTATATGATGTACATATATTTTCCATCTTGTGTGGTGGCATTATGCGTTTTGTGAGGTGGGCTGCAAATAATAAGGGCTGCAAATAATCGCGGGCTGGAGTTAATAGGCTGCAAATTGGTGGGCTGCAGATAATCAAGGGGGCACAAAATGGGCTGCAAATCCATCGGGCTGCACTTGAGGGGCGGCAGATTTCCGTACACCGTTTTTAAGTTTCATTTTCTAATAAATAATGTTGCCTTTTCAACGACTACAAATGCATGCAGGAAAATTTTTAGTTTTCAGCAGAATGTTTGCACTGTTTCACTTGTACAAATTTAGTTGTGCAAATTTGCAAAGGTGTTAGAACTCGATGTGTTTCCTGCAAAAATTATAATGTTAAATATGATTTATTACAGATGGATAATGTACGTGCCAACTATGCTAGAAATTTTCCAAGTCATATGCATTATCGAGATCAGCATATCAGTTAATTTTTACAGACAGAGTTTTATATTTGCCTGACATAACAAATAGCATTGTCACAATTATGCTTTATTTAATAAGTTGTTAGTAAAATTGATTAGCTAAATAAATTCAACATTGTACATTTTTTGCTTTGGTCTGGAAAACCTTAGAAGCGTTATCTGATATGACAGCCCCACGGTATGCATAATAATATGTGAATACTAACCTAACCTAAAGTTGTATATTTTAAGTGAACTTTATTCAAACCTTTTTTCCAGATATTTTCTATTTTAGATATTGAAGAAAGAAAAACAGATTCGTGCCCAAGCATACCTTGCTGTACATACAATTACATCCAAGATTCCTATAAATACAAAATTCTACTCCACCGAAATACACTAAAGAGTCTATGAATCTTGATGTACATCTGTACATCTATTACGCACAACCCCGGTTGCCGGTGACATAATGCACTGATTGCAGTTGTGCATCTTTCTGACAGTGTTTTTTTCAGTGTTTCGAATGCCCGAAATTTTTGCTGTTGTAAGATCATTCTGTCTCATTAAACGTTGGAGTCAGTACAATTAAACGACTATCATGGATTTGAAGCTGAAAAAATTAGCATCATCTGCCAACATTTGGGTTCAACGAAATTTAAGTCTCAAAGCAATAACAATTTTAATGCTCTTGACCTTAATGCTACTAATTAAACTAAACTTGGATTCGTCGCAATTGGTAAAAACAGAAGAAACGTGTAAAGAATTTGAAGGACGAGTAGTAGATTGGCAAGAAATCACAGAAATTGGTTCACATTCGGATAATATCACTCAGAAGACCAAGTTTTTCGTGTATTCTGCCTATTTTGATTATTACGAGTAAGCCATCTTCCAACAGAGAACAATCCTGTTTATTACTCGTTGATTCAAATGGAATTACGAATGAATATCCAAAAATTGATATTTAGCAGTAAGTAAAACTTTTTTTTTCGCCCAGAGGTGAAAATGTATTGCGAGTGGTTGCCGTTACTCCGTCATTCTCCCAGCAGACTTTATTCTGCCACGTATTTGATAAATCATTGAACCTGTTGGGCATGTCCCCGGCAACCTTAAGGACAACGAAATGTCCACAAAACAGTCTCATGTACAGGTAAGTATACATATTAACACCTCTCTATTTTAAATATACAATTTCCTATTATTCCTATCATCAAGTAATCATTGGCTATCCGTACTTTTTTCATGTATGTACAGTGCAGCATTTATTCTCTGCAAATTGGATTCAGCCCTGATTGGCGAAATGCAGCAACAGGATATGAAATTTGTCTCTATTTATCCTTATTCCTCGTTAAGCGACAATATTCTCCGTGATCCAGATGGAAAGTTATCTAATATATTGAAAATAAATGTTCCCCCACCCGAAGAAATTGAAGAGCCACACCAGTTCTCCCTGTGTGTTCAGCCAACATTTTCCTACAACAATGTCTTTGAATTTGTACAGTGGTTGGAGTTTCACAAAATGATGGGAGTCAGTCACTTTTCGTTTTACAACATGTCTATCGGACCCACCGTTTCTTGCGTAATGAAGTCAATGGCAGTGAACCAAGGTAATGAAGGTTGACTGCATGTTATCTATCGGTACTTAAGACTAGATCAAATTATGCAGTTTAACATACAGAGTTGTTCTTGCATGGGTATTACGTAAGGCATCAATCTTGGTTGAAATTATTTACCAACCGAGTTGTTGTTTTCTGCAGATACACCGATTCATGTTCTGCAGTGGACGACCCCAAGCCCTGATCACTTGATACTTCATGTGAATGGACAGATAGCTCAAGGGAACGATTGTGCTTTCAGATATCGAGGGGTTTCAAAGTATGTGGTTTTTGTGGATTTTGACGAGTGCATTATTCCAAATTATGTATATGCTCGAAACTACGACGAACTAATCGAGGTGTTGGACGAGAAATGGAAAAACACGTTTGGAAGAAACAGGACGGTGGCACAGTACCAATTTCGAGGGGGATTTTTCGGCTGGGATTTTGGGAAATTTCCTTCTTCCACCTTCAAAAATAATACTAATAGTGGTCAGATTGAGTTGGAGGACTTGGAAATTTATAAGCACGTGATTCGACAGAAGGGGCTACTAAGCTATAAACATAGGTGAGAGGAGGCCTCAGTGGGTATACAAATGCACAATTATGCTAAATACGAATGTATGTCATGTTATCTAGATCCAAGCTAATTACAATTCCGAGGCGCATTATCGAGCCAGGGGTGCATTCAATTGACGAGGCAGTTGATGACGGCGTTGAGTTTGAGGTTCCCCACAAAGTGGCGTATCTTCACCATTACCGACAATATGGATGTGGTAGAAATTGTACTTTTACGCCACAAGAAACCGATTTTGTGGGGCATTTTTTTGCCCTCACACTCTTGCAGAACGTTCGTCACATGATATCAAAGTTGACGCAGGAATGCGACTTAAAATCTGTGAAAGAATGGAGACGTGACAACAATCATGTTCGATGACAAATTCTTATTTACTTAAAATTCTATTCACAATCATCAACTGACGTCAAGATAAAAGAAGGCGTCTTCTCAATAGCTTATTAAATATGAAAATTGTTATTTAGTTAGAAGGACTTGAGATGAACATTGTGGGGTGACTTATTTGTAAAACAATATTTATTTTTCCAAATATTTAGACAGATGACTTTTGCTTTCCAACAAAGATGGCATTATAACTAGAACAAAATATTTAAGGGAATGTAAAAAGATTTAAACCAAAATATGCATATTATTGATCAAGTTGTTTGGTTAAAGCAAATCTGATAAGGCTGATGTCAAACGATCATTCCGTTCTATTGATTTATAGGTGATGTGCCTGCAGGCCTCTTTGAAAATTCTTGCGAAATATTTCTGCTATACTTCAATTATGGCTGCTGCTTTAAAATCGATTTAGTGAGATAAGTTTTGACTAGTATGTTGGACTGCGCAGAATTGACTGAAAATATTTGGCCATTCCTTTTATGTTCGTTGAGTTTTGTTTTTAATTAGGTCATTTATTTGGTTACTTTAATCCTTCGTATTAATTCTCACTTTCCCCAAAAACGTGTTTTTCGTCTAGATGCCATGATTCGTTTAAATTCACAATAAAAAATTGCATAGAAGCTAATTTGGCATTTTCGGTTTGAGAGCCCTTCAACTTGGCGATTTTCACAATAAAAAATTGCATAGAAGCTAATTTGGCATTTTCGGGTTTGAGAGCCCCTCAACTTTGGCGATTTTCACAATAAAAAATTGCATAGAAGCTAATTTGGCATTTTCGGGTTTGAGAGCCCTTCAACTTTGGCGATTTTCACAATAAAAAATTGCATAGAAGCTAATTTGGCATTTTCGGGTTTGAGAGCCCTTCAACTTTGGCGATTTTCACAATAAAAAATTGCATAGAAGCTAATTTGGCATTTTCGGGTTTGAGAGCCCTTCAACTTTGGCGATTTTCACAATAAAAAATTGCATAGAAGCTAATTTGGCATTTTCGGGTTTGAGAGCCCTTCAACTTTGGCGATTTTCACAATAAAAAATTGCATAGAAGCTAATTTGGCATTTTCGGGTTTGAGAGCCCTTCAACTTTGGCGATTTTCACAATAAAAAATTGCATAGAAGCTAATTTGGCATTTTCGGGTTTGAGAGCCCTTCAACTTTGGCGATTTTCACAATAAAAAATTGCATAGAAGCTAATTTGGCATTTTCGGGTTTGAGAGCCCTTCAACTTTGGCGATTTTCACAATAAAAAATTGCATAGAAGCTAATTTGGCATTTTCGGGTTTGAGAGCCCTTCAACTTTGGCGATTTTCACAATAAAAAATTGCATAGAAGCTAATTTGGCATTTTCGGGTTTGAGAGCCCTTCAACTTTGGCGATTTTCACGAATTTTGACAAAAACACCTCTCTTCCGCCACATTATATTTGTTTTTGCTGGACAATGCAAAGAGCTACGGCGGACATGTATATGATATCCTATTTTAACCTGGATTAAATTCTGATCAAATTGGGTATGGGTTGAGGGGGACTTTGAGACGTTTAGAAAATTCTATAAAAAACCCCCTCCTGATCACACCCCCTTTCAAAAACCGAAATGAACACATTTTTATGCTTTCCTATCCCCATCGGACGATTATAGACCTTAAAATAATTTATTCGCCTCTTTGAGGTTCCTAGCACATGCTACTTCACCATTTTGCTGCAATCACAATTCTTTTAATTTATTTCATATTTATAGAGTGCTAGTAATAAATATTGTCCGAGTTTGAGGGTAAAATGCTCATTGTACACTTGGAATTCAGCTTAATCTGCGCAAATTAATAATCCACCTTGTTGATTGCATTGCCAATCTCACGACTTTTTGAGACAGCAACAGTCTAGTTCTAGTTATTGCATGGTTGACTTGAGTTCACGAATACACGATTCTCAAATTCCCTCGCATCCGTCCGTATGTTGGGTAGTTCTGCTTGCTGTATCAGGCTGTATGGTGCTGGTTGATGCTATTGCTGGGTCCACTCACAGGTGTTTTTGAGTAGAATTTGCCCAGGAACTCAAAGTTACCAAGTTTTTAACAGAAATTACTTGCTCAGATAAATGAAACCGTGTTGAGTACAGAGCATAGTCTGCAAATTACTATACTGAGCGTACAATTGTAATTTTAATCTTAACTACAAATAGAAGGGGGTAGAGGGCGATCAGTCAATCAAGAACAGTGATGAATCATCAGGACAAAGTGAATGGTCATGACGACATTGACCATCCAGGAATCCGACGGCATCGGTATTTAAGGTCTCAAAGAAATCATCAAGGAGTTGGTCATCCTGGCGACCACGACAACCAGCAAGCGCACATTCCACGACTTCAACCCAGGCAGAAACACAAGAAAAATGAACGATCGGTAATTATTAAGTAAATCGCGGGGACTTTTACTATCATTTAGAAAATTAATAACTAATATGATGATTTATATAGTTGAGAATGGATCTCAGTGGCAGCTCTAGTAAGACTCCATATAAAATTATGAAGGACAATGGACAAGCCCCCACTGAAAAAACGGACAGTTTGCATTGCCTTAATTCCACATTAAAAGAAGACGTTGAGTTGGTTTCGACCCTCGGGGGTGACAGTGAGAGAGAGGATGACAACCATGGACAGGAAGACGACCTGGACCAAAACGATGCCTTGAATTACATGGCCACCCCGATAGCAAAGGGAGAAGAAATTGCTGCACTTTTCCATCCCACTTTCTGGATTGCAGATGGGACCAGTGAGTTTAGTTTATTTAAACGTGATTAATGTTCAATTTATTTTTTTCCTCAATTTTACAATAATCTGAATAATCACAGTTGAAGTATTGGAGCGACTCGGCTGTGGGGCGTATGGAAATGTGTACAAAGTTCGACACTTCAATTCGACGTCACAAGGCACCAAGAATTTGCAAAGGTAAATACTTCTTAATAACTTTACATGCAGAGTTTTTCCAGAATCATAATATATATATATTTCTGTTGATCATAATTAATTAGCGGGAAAATCCGTGCCCTCAAAGTCATTCGTAATATGAGTGATCATTGGAACGACATGGAATCCATACATCGAGAAATTAAGTCTTTGAGGACAATCATAAGTCATCTACCTCCTAGACCGGTCAGAAGGTAAGTGTTCGTATGGATATAATAAGATCACACTTTGTAATTCATTTATTTTTTTTGCCCATTTAGAGTGATTGTGAAACTTTTAAGTAATTTTACACTGAAGGAAAACCTTTGCATAATCTACGAACTGTTAGGACCGAGTTTACATAATGTTATGGTAAGTTGGGTATAAGATAATGATTATATTTAATAATATAGGTATACATTTTGCTGTTGTTTGTATGTATGTAGAAAAGTTACAGTTTTACTGGGTTCTCTTGGAAAGAAATTAGAAGCATTAGTTATCAAGTGTGTGTAGCTGTAAACTATATTCATTCGCTGCAACTGATACATCACGACATCAAACCAGAGAACATTGTTTTTTCCAACACAAATTTTGAAATCGGGTCTGGAATGGAACCACGTGTGAAGCTGATTGATTTTGGCAGTACGGTCTCAGCCAACTACCACAACGGCAAGGTAGCAACAACGATTCGGTACCGATCTCCAGAAATTGGTTTGGTCGGACTGAGCAGTTTTGCAGCAGATGTATGGAGCTTGGGCTGCGTCATGTTTGAATTGTATACAACTCATCCACTTTTTGCGATTGGACAAGACGAGGTGGAAAAATGGTACATGATCGAAGCCCTCTTTTGCGATGTCATTCCCCCCAAGTAAGTTAGACTTATCATTTTGCTTTCTGCTCATCATTTTGAAAAACACGACGGTATGCCCCAGAATAAATGCATAATAATTTAATTTAAACAGACTGGCTATGGGCTCTGGACTCACCTGTTTTGATCATGCAGGAAAATTACGATATGAAGAAATGGATAAATCAAAAATCAAAATAATTCAGGATAAAATCCAGCCATTTAAGGTAGATTTAATTTTTTTCTGAGCCTGTCTTGTACGCATGGATAAACTAGTTTTGTTCGAATGATGATGATTTTTTTTTAAATTTTTCAAGGAATATAACGAGTCTCCCAACTCAAAGACTGCAGTACAGTTTTTTGATCTTCTCAGCAAGATGTTGGATTTGAAATGTAGTACACGAATTGACTCTTATAGAGCTCTTCATCATCCCTTTTTGAAACTGGAGACGTACAGTAGAGAATATGATCCCCTGGTCGTTCCACATGCCGCAACTCACCTCGGAGAATTGTTTCGACATAGTCCACGTCGTCTGCCTTTTAAATTGAAGCCTGAACTAGATTTAAAACTTTTGCGTTAACCAAAGTTTGGAATTATCAAGATAACTGTTCCAATAGTATAGACAAAATTGACTTGATATTTAGCTAGGGAATTACGCTATTAATTATTTAGGTAATCCCTGGAAATGAATATAAATTATTTATTACGAATTATTAGTAAGACAGGTATTGTATTTAGCCATGTTTTACCCAAGATTGACAAACATTCATTAAAAATTAAGTAAATCATAATTCTGCGAAAGTTGCGATTATCGGATTATCTAAGTAATTGCTTCTGTAGTTTCCAAAGTTTTCTAGCACACGTCTCATCTGTGTGCATACATATTATGTATATGTACTAGTCGTTTTAGCGTTTATTCGCTTCCATTATTTATTCAATGCATTATACTTTAAGTATGATTATGTAAATCACAGCTCAAATACATAATTAAATCAAACATATATTTTTTAGGACATGTATTTTATTGGACTGTGTATGTACAACCTTTACGATGTATCCATAAATGTATTGCCAACAGACAAATGCATGTTACAATTATCCGAAATTCTACCGTTTTATTTTTTTGTAATTAGTGGCTCCTACGCCCTGTTACCAAACAAAACCTAATTGGTTTATGGGTCACCTTGTGTAACCTAACATACATATTTAGTCTCGGACTATTACAGATTCTTACCCTAGTCCAATTTTATCTCAATTCATTGCCACCTTGGTATACATATAGGTAGCTATTTTCATTTTCTCAGTTTGCATAACTAACTAAAGTGTTGTGTAAAAGTGATAAGTCAGAAATGGTTATTTTTAATAATAATATAAAAATGCGTTTTTCTCCTTTTATCCAAAAATTTCTGAATCCTTTTGCTTCTTCTTCACTTCAGTCCCCAGCATCATCAAACTTCATTTTAAGCTTTAAGGTGTTTTCTCATTTTGGCTCCACACTCGCAATCTTTCCATTCTATCTGTCCAATTCGACAGGAAAATGGAAGTTCCACAGTTCATTCGCTCGGAAATCCTTCTGTTATACAATATGTATTGTCACAATTACCATTATTGTACAACTCACTCCAGATTATCTAATTCAAAGCTCATGGGCAAGGAAAGTCCAACATCCTACAGATCGATTTGCATTTTTTTGCTTTCTAGGGACGTTTTTCTTCCTTCGAGTAATTTGCTACGCAATTTCAATGTGGAAATCTAGCTCAGTTGTGACATTGATTCAAAAATTTCATTACTATGACCAAGAATTTGCAAGATCTTCTGGAAATAAGGGGACGTCCATGAGTAATGAAATGGCGACAGGGAAAATTTCTCCATTCTGTCTACATCTCTGGTTACTCGTATTTGGCTCATTTACCACAATCCTGGGAAATTTCTTGGTCGCCCAAAAAGATTTTGCAATGTTAATTAGTGGAGAAACTCATAAGTATTACCTGATCAATGTAATTACTGGAAGGAATACACATTTGGCAATTTTTCTAATTTTCTTTTCGCACTCTATATGCGAATTTGCATTTGTGTTTTATATGGGCACCCTCGTCTACCTTGTGCGAGGCTTGAAACAAAAGCTCTTGGAATTGAAGGAAGTGCTTAACCATTTTTCCAATCCCCACGACAAAAGTTTTGCTTTAACCAGAGACTGGACTTTCCTCCCGATAACAACAAAGTTTCGAATGAGTCTCGATAGAAAAAACCACTGGGTCGACGAGACAAGGAACGCGAACTACTTTTTCGAACCAGTCTCAAAATTTAGATACCTGATCGAGATTTGCAGAGAAATTAATTCTTTTTGTGGAGAGTTTATCCTTATCTTTGTTGGCTTGTCTCAACTCATGATGATATTTCTCATTCACGTAACATCATCAACGTTGATTTCATTGGCAGCAACCGACCAAGCAAGACTAGCTGAACATTGGGATCCTGTATTTGGTAAAAATCAAGTTCAAAATCACATATAACCAATTATTTGGCAAGATACATTGTATGGAGTTATGGAGAGAAGTATACCTCTTTTACCTCTGGGGTCGAATGGTGATCTCGGGCGTATAGATTTCCCCAACCCACTAACATTGGATTTTTCTCTAATCGCAAACCAACTAGTATTTTATAATTTCTGAATGTGTTTGAAAAGTCTCAAGTACCCAGGTAAAAAATACCTCTAGTACGTATGCATTTGTAGAAAGATGCTTCTCTCTCTCCAAAACTACAATGCATATCTACTTGCCAACTAGTTTCACAATTCATATATTTCAAATACATATTTTAATTTATTCCAAGTAAACCGTGGAGTATTTACTTTGGTGACTGCCTTTGTCTTTTCCGTGATGAAGGTTGGAATTTTGATTAACGTTGGAGAACAATTGAAAGCAGTAGTAAGACGCCAAGAACAATTTTATTATCAAAGTTAAAATTGTACAAAGATCAACCATTAAATACATTTTAATTGAATTAGGGTGAAGAAGTGATGTGTAATTTCAGTTTGATAGACGACGCCCATTTGCCAGAGGAGAAAGCAATGCTTAACGACATCCGACGCCTCTCAAAAGCTCACAAGTTCGAAATAAGAGCTTGTGGGTTTTTCGTATTAAATAGAAGACTTGTAGTTCAAGTATGCACATTAATACATAAACAAAAAATAAGAATAAAAAAATACTATTTGACAATTCTATGAGACTGAATGTTGATTTTGACCATTTTCAGATGATTGGATCCATGATCTCCTTTATCGTGGTACTTGCACAGTTTCGATCCACCGAATAGTATACATAATTCAGTTCTTTCTGCATTATGATGAATAATAAATAAGAATACTGTAATGTAAATTTGAGAACTGTCCTTGTATGAAAATATATACTTACATCTATTATGGCGATCGTAAAAGAAACGAGGACTCTGCCGTTTTTCTTGCCTTCTGAAATGCAACTCGGTCCGGAATAATAAGCTGTTTCCTTTCCTTCATTATGGACTGACCCCAATTGCAAAGAAGTACTGGTTACATGCAGTGGAACACGATTCATAATTAGATATTTTGCCAAATATTTTGTATATTTGTTTTTATCACTTCAAATTCGTTTTACTTTTTCTTAACATGGGATAATTCATCAAATCCGTAAGGATTCGCTTATTATAGATGAAAACGAGGAAAATGACGACTCCGTATGAATCTGAGAGAAAATTCATAACCTTCCAAAAACCATTGGTCCGATCATTTTCTCTTTGGAGTACAAGTAATGGCACAGCTTTCACCGTCCAAATCACGCCTGTTATGCAAAATAGGCGGACAAATAGTAGCACCCTTGATTTGATAATACAAGTTGATATACAGAGTTACAATATTATTATCAATACACGTACTTAATATGCAATTTTACGCTACATACATGGCTTTGAACTCGAAAGACTCATTATTAGCTGATTGAACTTTTTGACCTTCTCGTGCAAGTTTAATAATCAAAAAGACGGTAATCACGATAATGACAAAGTTGAGACTGATGAGAGCAACCAACACCCCTTGTTCCAATAGCCTTACAGTTCCATCGTTTCTACAAAGCAAATAAAAGTTTGTAGCAATGAAATCTAGAGCGAGTAAATTAACCAGGCAGAATACAGCACAGTGAACGATAACGATCTAAATCAGCCATGTGCATAAATGTATGAATTAAGTATTTACGAAAAGGTTTCAATAATGACGATTAAAGCAGGGAATGCCCAACAAATACTCAGCGATTTAAAGAGTGGTGACAAATCTCTAATACTCCGAATGGGTGCTTCCGGTTCAACTTTTCTGCAAATGATGAGTCATGTTAAATCATGGTCACTGGTTTAAAAGGATTATTAAGCATGTTGTACTTTACGGAGGGCCTTAATCAAACGTCCCTATGTAAGTAGACATTATGCATATACTTACAAAAATGTCCAGAATATATGAGCACTCAAGTTAACCACGTTGGTGCAGTGCACTAATGTGAGAAATGTGAACAGTCGATCTATAAGAATTTAAAAATGCAAATATTTTGAGTCAAAAATTTTGATTCTTTGTATATGCTAAACTACTTTTATCTGGCAAAATCGTTTTCATATTAGGAAAGTTCCTACTATGAATGTTACAAAAAAGGCGTTGAATCTTGTTTTGGGAAAAGTAGGAAATAAATTGAACTACTAATTTATAACCAATTGATTAGTAATCAATGATTGCTAATTATAATTAGCTACCGAGGTGCTATTAGATAACTTTTGTACTAATTAGTTGGAAAATTGTTCAGTTAAACAATTGGGAAGCCCTGCTGGGTATACGATGTTATATGCATAAGATATTTATATTTTAATTTACCAATGACTCCCGAAGGACTTTGTTGTCCATACCAATTTCTATGTAGCTTTCGTAAAAATACAATAAAGAAATACAGAAAGGCTGAAATTAAGAAAGCAAACTGTGTCCAGCCGTGAAAGTTGTGTTTTCTCCAGAGTAAAATATAAACTAGCAATGTGATAAGAATAGAAATCCATGAAATGAGAGAGTAAATTAGAATTTCCATGCTGAATTAAAAAACTTGTACTACAACCAGCAATTTCCATATCTGGTCTGGTAACTGGCCTGTGCGTAAGTTTTAGTCTATACGTAGTAAGTTAAAATGGTGATAACATGACCATTATGGAGGTTATTTTGTACTGACTGGACAATAAATGGTGATGACCACTGACCATAAAAATGAGTTACACTATAGACAAAAATGTGGTTTCCGTAATAAAAAAATATCTAAGTAGGTATTCATGATAAATTTCAGCTATAGCATTTATTTGAACAAAATGAGCCTTTTCTCTTGTCAAATCTTCTCATTGTTCGTCTATATCTTGTTCCATGGTTCGTCTCATCATCGCATCCCCGGCCTAGCTAAATTGAGACTTTGATCAATCTCGCATTCTTTTCATCAGAAACAATATCGAAATCTGCATTTGTAAATCACTATGTCATACGTTGCAGAATTTGTAAAACCGTACTGAACATGAACTCTTAAACAAAATGTTGTACATATATTGTTTCGCCAAATAAAGTTGAATCTCTCACACACATTTAAGGTATATTAGCATTATTCAATTTTTATTGTTTTGCAGCACACTATATGCAACTATATGTAATAATATGTATATGCAATTTGCATACTCGGGTAGCAAAAACAACCAAAAATTAAAATTACCTAAATATATTTTACAAGAGCTATTAATTTGCAACCAACCACATCAGTTCCCGTCACAATGTTCTTTGTTCAATTTTACTAATACTATCCCAGCAGTACCTTCTCAGTCGGAGCACAGTAAATATGCCAAACCTTGATAAAGCTTTTATCGCATATCGCCATCGTCATCGTGTATTTTGGGGAGCAAGTATCCTTGCATAGTGTCGGGGTAATGAGTTGGCTGATATTGAACTGCCACCCTGCTGGAGCTGGAGACAAAAGCGCAACCATGCTGCAGATTTGCCACCACCACCACTACAACGTTTGCCTAAAATTGCAACGCATTTTCCCCATCTGGCTCCTGGTTGACAAGAATATTTTCCTCAAAAAGTAAGTTTTTCCTGATGTTTATTAATTACTTTTGTTAATTTTTATTATACCTTGGTCTGACTCGACTCTACTCACTGCACTGTGTCAGTAATACATGTAATATGGGAGTTGTAATTGATTTTTTTCTATATACTCTCTAGTTAGCACTAGTTTTGCCGTTCTGCAGTTTCAATTCAAACCTTGTCTAAAGATGTCTTCTCCGGAAAAGTCTGAGGGAGTTGCCCACCCCACTGCTGGTTAGACCACATTATGTTTATGTCATTTTCAGTTTATGATTGAAAGAGTAAATAGCAATTACATTCCTTTTGTATGCCTTCCACAGTCAAGGTCGGAGGAATGAGAATCACGCAGAACAAGTCTCATTTAAAGGACAAGAAGACTGATGCCACAGTGCCACAACCAGAGGAAGGAGATGCTCTTAAGGTGTCTACCAGGTGAGTGCGGCGGTCATTGAGTTATTCGTTCAGTTTCGTGAGTACCAGAAAGGTTGATTGGGTTATTATTATTGTGATTCTATTTCCCCTAGTCCTCCAAAAAGTGCTGTGTCTGCCGTGTCGGGGGCTCCGCAAAAAGGAAATGCAGATTTCCCAAAGGAAGCGGTACAATCATTCCATGATAAGCCCGCTCCTACTCATGACAAAGGTTAGATCAGTAATTGAATAACTTGACTCCAACCAAAAGAGGTAATTATTATTTACGAGATTTGTATATTTATGGAATTAGGTGCTCCTAGTAAGCCAATGGTGATTCACCAACCACGAAAATAGTCTCCTAAAAAACTTTCCAAATTCCACCATACGTCACCAATATATATATTTTGGTTTCGACGGATGGGTAACCGACCTTGTTCTGCTTTAATGTACTTACTAAAATGGAATGGATGATGCCGAATGTGCTGCTATAAATAATATAAATCAACCATAAATAATATTCTATACTAGAATGATTAGGGCTTACGTGCTAAAAATGATAAAAAACCTCGATACAATTCATAAAAATTCATACAATTGTGTTAACCAACCAAAAAACTTGTTTGCTATTGTTCCTGAAACTTGTATTCCTAATACTTATATATAGTTTAAATAGTTTACGGTAAAAAATTGCAATATATAAGAGAACCCTGCTGCCATGTTAATCAAAAAAATCTAAAGGGTTTTTACTAATCAATCATAGGTATATATATACTATACATTCATCACCTCTTTGTGTAATTGATTCGACACCTTTAAAACAGTAGCTTATTCTTGCTATGAAATTATAGACTGTTTAAACTATAAATAACAAATTAAAAGGCAATGACAGCGAACTAAATGACTAGTATTATATTTTAAATTTGGTATATATCAGTTTGTAACGGAACGGGTGATTTCCGGTGATTTATCATAGCTCAACGTATGTTCACAGAAAATTATAATATCATACTGTCATTAGTTCTATACATTACAGTATATTATGATCCTAGGGCGTTTGGAAAACATTGATTGATATTGATTAAGGAATCTTCGTTACTAATTGGATTGAAATAAATTTTGACATTCATTGATATTTAACTAGTCATTTGTTCAATATCTTCTCTCTATAACAATTTTCCATAGAAGGATATACGTGTCGTCAACGGTTATCAAGCCTAGACTTTTCCACTCTCGTCATCATCATCATTTGACATTGGATCCTTTTTCGACATTGGATTCCAAACTACTTTAGACTTTGTTCCCGACTGCAGTCTGTCGTCCTTCTCTAATGGTCGCAAATGAGCTGCCATCCAGATTTGGCTGCAAATTATAAGAGATTATTTAGAATCATGTCTCATGTGAGAAGTTATCTCAAGTAAGTAAATGTAATCTGCGACCACCGTCGTCTCATATTCCTCTCATATACTGGGGAGCCCTCTACCTCGTGGGCAGTGAGTCAACCGGAGGCTCCCCTCAACATAGAAAACCCTCTTCTCCAGCTCCAACCAAAGTCATTGAAATTCGTACTCGTCGAGTCGGCGATTAGTGCAAAATACAAAAACAGCACAACACGCAAATTCGCAAACTCTTTCCTCTCGTGTAAAATATTTAAACTTGGCTTTGGCTAACAATAAACAACATCACTGCATCTTAGTAACTACTCTTCTCTACACACTACTTTTACTTGAAGGAGACTTAATAAAACTACTGTGGCTGGAATGCAAAAGAGGAGGACTTAATTGTTGGTGAATTCTTATTGTGGTAAAGTGGAATAGTTAAATGAGATTCGGCTACAACAGGGAGTATAAATTTGCTGCGTTCAAGCAATACTTAAGGTAATAATGCCAACTTTCTTACGAGTATGGAATAAATAGTGTTTAATGATAGGCAGAATGGTGGAAAGTTGTAAATATTTTGAGCAATCTAACTTATGAACGAATATTTTAAGTTAGCTTGAACCTGATTTATCGGTTAATAATGACATTAGTGTGACAAAGAAGGGTTAGTGAGTGGTGAGTGTAATTAGTACCGGAAATCCTCATAGGTTGTGGTCCCTTGGGTCATGGCTCTCAGTTTGGCGTCGTTGATGAGTTTGTAGCGTTCTTCGCCTCGTAGCTCTTGCACCAGGCGCTGGTTCAACTCGGTAGCGTTGATTCGCACCTCTTTCGGCAGGGACAATTTCTTCTTTGGTTGTAATGAATTGGGAGGCAATGACGAGGTTTGCATGACGAAATTATTACGAAAGGATTCAAATTTTTAAAATGAAATAACACAATGCATGCACTATTTCTTTTACCTAATGCAATGCTTTCGGTGGTGATTTAGACAGCATTATTGATTAAACAAAAAGTTTAGGTACATATTCAGATGGATGAAACATAAAATACAATTTTCGTTGGCTTGGGGAAAACCTGATGTTGGGGGGCTGAAAAAACCATATTCTGACAAAACTATAACCATTCAATAGTATCCCGAATACCGCTTTTAAGTACCCGTAATAAGGATCAACAACCCGACCAGTATGACCCCCTGACACCCTGGTCAAACACTTTACTGATCCAGCCCAATTCCTTAACGTGTTTCAAATTTCAACGGCCGCTGTCGTTAGACAGGTAGATGGACATGACGTATGCATGACGGTTTCATATTTATGGTTTGGGCGAAAAATTAGTAGCGAAGAGGCATAAGATTATTAATATGATTTGTCACACACATTTGAGATGCACAATTTCGAGCAAACTTAAAAGAGGAGCATGAGAAATGTCAAAGTTTTTCGCATACACGACTGAATGTTCATTAATAAGATTTCTAGGCACCTGAGACCTGAGCCTTAGTTTTTATGCACCCGTATTGGTTTAATTTTTTTTATTGAAATGAAAGCTTGCAAACAATGCAGTCTTGAGCTACGACCATACTGACAAATTGTGGGTGTATGAAATAATCCCTTCGCTAAACACGGAATAATAGGTTTTGTAATTGCTTTGATATAAGAATTTTGTTTGGCCAAGATTGCCATGTTTAACTTTTAATGCCGTATCTGTATTGACAATGATCCACATTTCAAGGTTTCGTTATTAAATTCTTAATTAAACTCTCGTACATTTCTTGTGATCATGTAATTGGGCACCGACTTTATGTTCACAACGAGCGAACGAGACTACACCGAAGAATGAAGAAGTGTGGCTAAAAATAGTAGTTTTTAAATCTGATCTGATTGGGCAAATGTTTACGGTTTTTAGCTCCAGTTCTAAGTGTAAACTGCCAACAAAACTTAAAAACTGGTTAAGTTGGTAAAAATATGAATTATCTATACGACGTACATATGCATGCATGCATGCCATCAGCCATTGCTATTATTTGCCATTATGTGCTGTCAATATTTTTTTTAGAAAACTGCAATATTTTGACCTTGTCTATTAGTTACACTGGTGGAATTTTGACCTGCACCATTATTGAAACTTTGTTATTTGACTTCCTGTCATTGAAATCTAAAGCCTAAAAAACTTATCTCAGCCTCTTGGTGGAATTATTCATTATTATATTTTCATTGGTTGTTTTTTGGTAAGCATTAAGGGTGAAAGTATTTATGACTTGTGACAGAGTGACGGCCAGAGTGTCAGCATATATAACATAAGTGTAAATCGATTTGTCGTCACCTCGTCACCAAATACATCGTGTGTGTGACATATGTACTTTATATATTGCACTACAAAATAGATGCTTGATAATTTCATATTGATTTTGTCGTCTGGAATTGAATAAAAAGTGGGCTATGCAGGCTAAAGACGGCAGACATAAGTACGAAGGAACTGCGTCAACGACAACGTTCGTTAAAATTATCTGGGTCTATAGTGATTATTAATTCATACCCCATTGCATTATTGCCAGAAAATGAGGGTTGTGATGAATCTATGTGTATATAGAAATATATACGAACATTGAAAATGAGTTTTTCACTGTTTTTATTATATTGCATTACAGAGTATTTAATTGTTCAACTTATAACCTAAAAAACTGAAGGATTTGCAAACCTGCAGCAAGTGTGTGAACTAACCCTGTACAAAAATGTCTGGCGTGGAAACTGATGTTAAGCCGGTTGCTGTAAGTTAACGTTCTTGGGTACCTACACAATTTATCGATTAAAGTAACAATTTGATGCGTGATTGTTGTGAAGGAGTTGGCTCCCGAACCAGTACAACAACCCAGTGATTCTCATGATGAAGAATATGAATCTGCAGACGATGCTTATGATGAAGAGGAAGTAGAAGAGATTGAGGTGGAAGAAGAAGTGGAAGAAGAAGAAGAGGAGGATGATGAAGAGGAAGAAGAAGAAAGGTATTCCAACTTTTTTAAAAATATTTTATTTACTTTTGTTTAATTGATATTATTTTATTATTACTTGTGGTAGATCCGCTTCTCAACAAGAGAAGGAAAATGATGACGACGAAGACGCAAAGAATCCACAAGCTGCTCCTGAAGGTAATAAAAGTGTACCAAACTATATAGTTTAACGAAAAGTTCTTCTCGATTTCAGACCGTTAATTCTAAGGTGCTAATTGCTAATAACCTATTTAATTTATATATATTTTCTTGGTTATAGAATTTGGTCAACAAATTCCTGAAATTCCAAAACGTGGATATTTCTATGAACATGACGATCGAACCAAGGAGGAGGATCAGTGCGTTACAATATTATTACATTTACGTTACTCACTACTATTGTGCACTAATTAAGAATACAAAACAAACCATTTCTTTGTTTGACTTTTTTAGAGAAGAGGAGGAGGAACCTAAGAAGGAAGAGAAAAAGCTTCCTGTTGGAAAAGAGCCTTCTAGGTGGTCCCATGGTAAGGGGGAAATGTCAAAGTGATTACACAATATTATATTGCATAATGTTAACATTATACAATCATGTTTTATAACAGATCTATTTAAAGAAGAAGACCAAGCCCCGAAATCCAAAGAGGTAAAATAGTCGAAAAATATATTTTCAAAGAGTTATTTAATTGGATCTTTTTATAAAAAGGAACTATCGAGAGCTTATGGATATGACATTTTTACTGAAGAACAAGCCCCAAGAGCGAGAAGACGACGAAGATATGGGTGAATGTCAATATTAATTGCTTGATTGATTGCTGTTGAATTGATTATTTGTTTCGACTAGAACTAATACTTATGTAATTTTCCCTTTGAGTAGAAGAGGGCCGAACAAATACACACGACAGTGGGAGGATGAAGAAGCATATCAGAAGCCCCGTGGGGGAGGGGGAGGTTTCAGAGGAAGGGGACAACGTGGTGGAAGGGGAAACTTCCGAGGATCCAATCGTAGGGTTGGGGATGAAAACAACTCGACGGAGCAAGAGGAATTCCCTGCACTGCCAGGTACTCCCGACTCCACGTCTAATAAATCTGCATCTCAACCATCACAACAGCAGGCGGCTACAAAACCTGCCTTGAACAAGGATCAAACGCAACGACGAGGAAGCGGTGAGCATCCGAGACCGTCGTATCAAGGACAGGACAGTCGAAGAAGATATAACGATCATGATAATGAAAGAACTGAACGAAGTAACACTCGCGCAAGTGGTAGTGATAGCGACAGAAATTATGGATCTCGTGGAGGAGGAAGCCGTGGTGGTGGGGGTCCTTCCTCTGGGGGAAGGGGACGAGGACGCCGAAATGAATTTTCAAATAGAAATCGTTATCCAAATCCTAATAAGAGAGATGGAGACGAAGAAGGTGGCAACCAAAATCAGCAGCAGCAGAAGGGGTACAATGAAGGCGGTCAACCTAGTGAAAGAGAGCGCCCAGCCAATAGAGTCAGGCCTTCTACGACCCAGGCCGCCTCATTTGTAGAAAATAAGGACAGCAGGTCCAGAGGTCAACCTCACCCCCATCAACAAACGAATGGACACATTAGAGATTCCCAAAGGCCAAAGGATAGTCCCCTCCCTTCCAAACCACCATTTACGAATACAGAGTATACTGGTAGTCACAGCCTGACTGCAAGCATGGGAGGAGGAGGAGGAGGAGGCAATAGACAGCAAAGTCAAGGATATCACCACCACGAAGATTCTTCAAAGAAAGGACAAGTTCATCCTAATAGCAATGTATTGGCCGAAAAAGGATTTACGGACTTACGAGATGTTATCAATTCAAAGCGGCATCATCAGCAACAGCAACAACAACAAACAGGTAGGTTGAATTTATATATTTTAAGATATTGGATAATCATCTAAAAGTATTAGTCTGTCAATTTTCTACTAATTGTTTACATTAAAGGCCAATCAGAGAGAAGGACACAGATACCTCCACGAATGCAACAACAGCAGGTACATTCGCACCAACACCAGCAGCAGCAGCAGCAGCAACAACAACACACCCAGGTTTTATCTCAACACCATCATCATCAGCAGCAACAACAGCCTCCTCAGCATCAAGTCCAGCAGGAGCACCAACCTTCAGGTCAAACGTCTGGAAAACCAAAGAGATTCTCTGCACAGAGACAAAGACAAACAGATCCATCTGCAACATCAGTGGGCGTTATGGGACATGTTCCTCCCAACATGATACCTGTTGTCAGTGGATCGGATCAAATGGTTCCATCACCAGTACCAGCATATCCACAGGCTCCCACTTATTATGAAGGACGTGAGTTTAATCCGCTAATCAATTTAAATATAATCATTGTGAATTATCACAATCAATCCAATTGTTGTTATTAAATACAAAATTTGGTTTTTGCAGCACAAGTTTATGAAACATCAGGAAGTCCTGTGACCGTTGTCTCAAATGTGGGTACGAACGGAACGTCTGTTTCTCCTTCCTTGTGGGCCCCGCATGCATACGCACCCAACGCACCCTATCCATCGCCTCCAACAGGTCCTCAAGTTCCACCAGCCTTTGCACCTGATCATGCAGCGTATCTTGCACAACAGGCTGGTCCAATTTATTCTGCCCCACCGCCCTTTATTCAAGATCCTACAATGATGAACTATAATACGGGTGCTCCACCTTTCGCCCCGGCATATCATCCTCAGGCTGGCTATCAAGGTTTTCCTCAAGTCGTGAGTATTTTGTGCTTACTAATGCTACTCGTGATTAATCAAATTGAGATGTTCTATGACTTAGAAAATTTGAATGGAATTATTTGGATCAATTAATTTAGACACCTGCGCCACCACCAGAATTGTACCATGCTGGCGTTACATACTACAACCCCCAACCTCAAATCCAACGCCAACCACCCATGCTAGTTCCAAAGCCAAGAACTAAAAGTGTTTTACAACTCGTAGAACCACCCGAGAAAACTAAAGGTGAAAGGTCTGGATCAGCACACCTTAGGGATTCGTCCCATCAATATGATCAACACAGCGAACATAGCCAATCGCCACCCGTGTCATCATCATATGCTCCTCCTGACTCCAACGTTCATGGTCATGTTGAGGCCGCTGATCTTGTTCAACAATTTGAAGGAGTTTCTCTTACAGAATTACAAGCACCGTTAGAGGAGGGACACACTGTGGAACAAATGAGGTGAGCATACGTACATTTTAGGCCCCGCTATACTGTTTCTTGTTTTAAATTTTTAGACGTTAATCTTGCAAATCCTAAATTTGGAAACCAAATTTAATTATTTTCAGAAAACCTTCGCCACTCCCAGAGCAAGAAAGTTGGTCGGCACAAATGGAGGACACTAACGACCCGATAGGTACAAGTTTTATAGTGGATCCAGGTCAACAATTGTCTAAACCTTCTGCTATTGAAACTTGCACTACACAAGTACCAATAAGGAAAGATAAATCAAATTCCCCACAACCCCCAGTCGACGAAACTAAGAAAGATGGAGAGTAAATTTTACAAAAATTACTATAAACATCTACGTATTAAAATAATGACAGATTATAAATAGTATAGGCAGTCAGACTTTGTTAAAAAAACTGACGGGTTTCCGCAAAGCACTTTTTATTGGAAGACTTTTATGAAAAACTTATTATATGTACCTTTTAACTTGTAGCGCCAATTGACTTAATCCAATATGTATTTGTATCAATGGACCTACATAAACAGCTAAATATGCTACAATTTTTATCCGGTAATCTCCGTTATTAGAATATACTTACATGGTAAATTTGTGTCTGCAAATCATAGTATTAGAACTTGAGTATATTGTTGTCGACGATAGTTCTTTCAAGTTTTCGTAGGTTTACTATGTGAATGCGATGTTAACTCTTGGGTGTTAATTAAGTATCAACTTTTCAAGTTGATACTTAATGCCAGTTAGTAGTTAGCCTGTTACATTTTTTTAAAATTTTACCAGCAACAGAGACAGCATAAATACGTGTACAGGTCGTTGTTATTAGAACGCATGAATAGTTTTATGCAAACAAACATTCAACCTTATTTCGACTTTCTTATTTTTGGTCAATATGAATTGCTTTTTTTTCATTTTGACATCTATGTACATAAGGATATTATGATACCGACTGGCGCTTTATAATAATATACTATCTAATACATACATACACATACCTATTTAGTAATAAACTTACACATAAATATGCCGTATACATTTGCTATAGTTTGTAGGGATATATGTTTATTCATATTTACTAGTTAGAATGTCGCAGAATTTTAACATATAACCCTTAACCTGTTAATTACCTTCGTGTTTAAGCCTCTTATTCAGATTAGACTGAAATGGATTTTTAAGAATATATCAAAATGTAGTTGATTAGGAGAAAATGAGATCTAAACTTCGAGTACTCGAAATAAAATCAAAATAAGTTACAAACAACCTTTTTTGGTTTACTGTTATCATTAATATGCATATTTTCACACTCTGTATCAGCGTGAATATACTGCTGCTGAGGGATAACCTTGGTCTATGTCCATTTACAGAATGTATGGTTTTATTAAGTATTGCCTGTACAGTTATCTGTATGTACCTATCATATAGCCATAATCATGCATCATATGTGCCTAAGCATAACATGTGTACATATGCTTGGTACTAGCAGTTGAGTTGTACAGTTTTTTGTCTATTGCCACCGGAATACATATAGATAAGCTAGTGCACTTCTGTTAGTCGGCCACTTCTATAAATTATAGAACTCTCCGTTTATTGCAATTTGCATTTGGTAATAAACGGATATTTAGCCAGTTAACAAAAAATGGCACTGGTTAGCAAACTTCTAGGAGAAGCAGGAGCCAATACAGGGATTGAGCACCGTGGCGCATCAATTCTCCGATTATTGTGCACCCTTTCCTCATCAACATCGGCTATCATTCTATTAAAACTGTACAGAAAATCATTAAAAATTAGAAAATCTACCAAGAAAGCGCTACAAGTTCAGCGACTGCAATCCCTTCAAAAAAGCCAAGATGGCGTTGAACAAAACCGGAGGCACGGCGTCAACACCAACAAAAAGCTGTATTCCCAATTTATGCGAATTTTTCGTATTCTAGTCCCAAAATGGAACTCCCCAGAGGTGGGGTTTATGAGTCTAATTAGTTTCATGCTGGTGGTTCGGTCATGCTGCGATTTATGGACGATATACCTCGGAACTCTTTTAGAAGCAGCTATAATCTCTGGCGAAACTTCTAGCTTCTTGCAACACCTCAAAAAGTTTGCACTGACGATGCCTCTGATGTCATTAACCAATTCACTGCTGAAATACTCTTCTCGCCAACTGGAAATCCGATTTCGAGCACGTCTGACAAAGCATCTTATGCAGAAGTACATGTACAAGATGACATTTTACAAACTTAATCAGAAAATGAGAAACACCGATGCTTTAATCACGACTGATGTGGAAAGGTTTGCGTCAACGTCAGCCACGCTCTACAGCCAGTTGTCTAAACCTATGTTGGATATTTTAATTTATGTCTATGGAATTAGCAGGTACCTAAATATGCATATACATACAGATGCATATTATTAATTGGTATGAAAATAATTGCATATGTATTTGCAGATCTATTGGAGCCTCTGTTCCAGCCACAATGTTGGGTTATTTGGCCGTTGCTGCATTTGTTATTGCCATCCTGAGACGTCCAATGGCTCGTCTCACCGCATCAGAGCAGGCACTGGAGGGCGAGTACCGTTTTGCCAACTCGAGAATAATTACAAATTCTGAAGAAATTTCATTTTACAAGGGAGGGCCTCGTGAATTAGAATGGATGTTGAATTCGTTTTCGAATCTGTATCAGCATTTGGATGGTTTCATTGCCTTCAAATTTATAACAGAGTTTTTTGAAAACTTTGTTGCAAAGTATATTGCCACCGTGGTTGGATATTACGCGGTCGGACGACCCTTTTTCAATGTAAAAGACGGAACAAAATTTACACAAAAAGAGTTTAAAACGAGACAGGAGAGTTACTACAGAAGTGGACGGATGCTGGTCAACTTGAGCCAGGCGATTGGAAGGCTTACTCTCAATGCAAAAAATTTGTCCAGGTTTGCAATTTCTGCAAAAAATATTTTAATCCTATTTTGGAAGAGATAATTCTATAATGACAACTTAACACTTTCGACACAAAGATTGGCTGGTTACACATCACGAATCCACGAGCTGTTGGATAATTTGAACCGGCTAAATTTGGAGGAGGACAATCGACTCGAAAATCAGGGAACCAATAAAAGTCTAGGACGCTACGTTATACAAGATCATGTCATAAGATTTGAAAATGTGCCCATTGTTACCCCGAACGGAGACGTACTCATCAAGTGTTTGTGCCTGGAAGTGCGATCAGGAATGAATGTGCTGGTAACGTGAGCAGATCAGATAATCGTGCATTTAATAATCTGATCTGAAATCCCCAGATTCTGATTAATCGACTCCCTTACCTGACTAACATCTGAAATAATTATGCGTATGTATTAATGTATGACCTTACAAGTGTAGATAAACTGGTTGGAACTATAGGTAACAGGGCCAAACGGCTGCGGAAAATCTTCTTTATTCAGAATTCTCGGAGAATTATGGCCCCTGACTGGGGGGACATTAACTAAACCAGACACGTCCAAACTGTTTTACGTTCCACAAAAGCCTTATATGCCATACGGCTCATTCAGGTTTAGTAATTGTTTGATATAATTAAATATAATTTACTTCCGGGTCATTCAATTTTACGACGCTTTAAACCAAATAACACAGGGATCAAATAATTTATCCGGATTCAGTATCTGAAATGAGAGCGAAAGGGCTGAGGTATGGAGATCTTGTAAAGTTTCTACAACTTGTCGATCTCGATTGGATGGTCATTCAATCTGCTGATGTTCCTAAAAAGCCATCAATGGCTTCGTCGAATGACAATCATGCAGACGACTTGGAGCAAATCTGGAGGGCAGAGGGAGGAGAAGGTGAAATAAAAGAACAAGAGTTGAGAACTTTGGGACAGAGACGAAGCTGGGACGCAATTGAAAACTGGATGGATGTGTTATCCGGAGGACAAAAGCAGAGATTGGGTGAGTTTAGAGATTATGAAAAAGGAATTATAATTAAAGACATTCTTACATAAGAAGTGCATGTAAAAACGTCTTTAATTTTAATGCCTCGACCATAGGTGATTGGGTACTTTCAAAATTGTATTTATTTAAAATATATTTCATCTACCTCTACGATTAGCCATGGCCAGAATGATTTACCATCGACCGCAATATGCCATTTTGGATGAATGCACAAGGTGCTTACTGAGTTTATTTTTTTACTGTACAATTTCTATTTCCTACAATTACGGCGATCTAAGCTATTGGGATTTTCAGTGCTGTTAGCGTTGACATCGAGGGATCCATTTACCGATATTGCCGTTCTGCAAATATCACATTGTTTACGGTAACCCATCGCAAGAGTCTCTATAATTATCATGACTACGTCTTGCACATGGACGGACGAGGAAGTTATTCCATGAAGAAAATTGATCACGACAAAGATCCAGAGTTTGGTTCCTAATCAAAACATAACGATTTTAAGACAATGAAAATAAAATAAGCATCAGGAAACATGCACAAATATTGATGAAACATAATTCTCCGCACTATTATTTATTACATCAGCGAGCAATTATCATGTTGATCTCCATAATAAGTTTATTTTGCATAGAGGCTACGAAAAAATCATTATGCAATGCATTATTGCTTTGACTCAATAACCAAGTTTGCCTACGTGCGACAAGTCAGGGTGATGCAGATGCTGTTTTCTCTTCGCAAACGGATGCATACGAATCAACCAGCACGCAGGTAAATATAAAGGTGAATGCAGAAGAGAAAGAGATCTGGATACAAGTTGAGACGCGCAAATGCTTTCCAACTTCCCACGAGTGAACATTCCCAAGTCGTACGTTGAAAAATAATACGGAACATAAAATACTACAACAGAATTCCTAACAGGTATTATATTTATGTAACACTTGTAAGTAAGCATTAAGTGTTCGCATAGTAGGTTCATAGTGAAAATTCCACAATAAAAAATTTGGCAATATAATTAGTTATTATTCGTGTAACATGTATGATAAAGTTGACCGTTTTCTTTCCTGTAAATTACAGGCTGTAATAGACACGCAGGTTACGCAATGGAGCATCAAGGGCAACTCCACCCGTTTCTTGGACATTTCCGCTATCATTCTGACCCTTGGGAGTCAGCGTATGGTCGACCCCTCAGACTTTACAACCAGCATTTTGGAAATGGTTTGGTAGAGGAGGACCTGCCCCCACTGGACACTTGGGCTATGATGCATCCCCGCCCACGAAGGGTGTGTCCCCACAGAGAAAGTGCAATCTCTCAAATCAATTGCACAGAGGACGAGTTTCAGGCAAGTTCTTCTCAAATAGAGCTCACGAGCAATATTTTCCTGTCCGATACATATGCACAAAAACAAATGCACAAGCATATACTGTTATCATCTCATTTACAAGAAAAATAGCATGGCAAACTTGACATAAATTCCTAAAACTCCGAGAAAATTTCATACACATAATCTTAAAATTGTTTTCATTGGATTTTGAATGTGCTAAGCAAGTAGTATACTAGTACAGTTACAGTACAACTGTTGGATCGTTGTAACCTAATCTTAGCAAGTAAGGAAAGGCGCAGTAAAAGTGAACGAGAGAAAATCCTGAACGGAAGTATGCCTGCGCATGGTTGGTGTTGCATTAAAATACAAAACTCGGAAACATAACGACACGAATGCATGCAGCATTGCAACCATGCGACTTAAAAGCAAATTGGTGCTTGAGAATTTGAGAAAGTGTGTAATTTTGATGTGTTTTGCCCCTTATGCGTTTAGGTGAAGGTGGACGTGCACCAGTTTCGACCCTCAGAGTTGTCGGTGAAAGTAGTTGAGAACTACGTGGTGGTGGAAGGTCAGCACGATGACCGTGAGGATGCACATGGCTACATCACACGACACTTCAAGCGTCGATACCGCCTTCCGGACAACGCGAAGGAGGACCAACTTCGGGTCGATTTAAGTTCGGACGGAATACTTGAAATTTTCGCTCCTAGAATGGTAGAAGCCCACCATGACCCAAATGCAGCAAAAGCCTTCCCGATCCATCAAACCGGGAAACCAGCCAGCGTGTCGGGGGGATGCGGGGGTCAAATAAACGGGGGCCATCATTTCCACAGCTTGAGTGCATAATTGCGAATATCAACATGTATTATGTCACAGCGTGGATGGATATTCAGTATTAAATGTACAACAATGTATCAAGTTGATAGTATCAACTAATTACTACTGCTGAATAAGGTGATCAGATTACATAATAATTAATTCCTGTGCCATTTAGAAAATCATTAACCTGTCTAAATCACATCATGAGCCATATTTCCATTTATTATTATTACAAAGATTTCGATCACTTGACTTTGGTCAGTTTGGCGATTACGCGCATATGCATAATAAATTATTCTTTACATATACATATTAATGCGTAGATGGTAGTAATAAGTATTAGCTTTAATTTTGTTTCAAAATGATAAACACACATGATAGAAACATAGAAGACTAAATTGCGATGTATAGTGTAATACTTAATAAGACAAGCAGTTATGCCCTTGTGATAATGCTCATGTATAAGCCTGAGAGCAGGGTATGCTACCCCGGGTTTTTGGGGTATTGGGGTATTGCGGGTTTTGGTGGGTTTTGGGGTAGCAAATTTGAGCAATACCCACGGGTAGTCGGGGTAGTCGGGGTTTTCAAATTTTACAAAATATGATAACAGGGCATTACTAGCAATTCAACAAATTATTTACTTATTAAAATATAATTAATAAGCAGTTTTGTTGCGAAATTACTGAAAAACTGATTTTTTTATTAATTTCTAAACTTAATACATGAGACACTGACTCAGTTTACCCCCAAAACCCCGACTACCCCGACTACCCGCAAAACCCAGGTAAAACCCCGGGGTATGGGTTTTCAATAGCAAAACCCCGGGGTTTTCCTTACCCTGCCTGAGAGCATTTAATTCTGCTGCGTATCTGTAGTCTCGAGTTTCTCGAGGCGTTAAATTACAATTATACTAATTTATCATAAAAACAACCTTCAAGAATAAATATTAATTCAAGTCTCAAATTTATATTTATATATATTTCACTGCAAAAAAGGTCGTTAGTTCATAAAAATCATTTCATTGATTTCAAACGCTGTGCTTTATTTTCAGCAAGACCCCATCTAATTTATGCTTTCATGATGAGTCCATATTTTCAATACTGCTGCTTCTGGTATCGTTGTAGTAGTGTGTGAGTAGTGAGTTTGTTTCTATTACTTATCGTTAGCTCCGAATCATAATCCGGGTATCATCCTACCCTACTCGGTCTTCTCCCCTTTTGTACCCTGCACCAAATGAGGAAGGGCACACATCTTTCTCACATATCTATTTGCATCAAATGCATCCATCATCTCCAGCCATCATCTCCAATGTAAATGTAAGGGCAGAGAGAAATCTGAGGATGATAAAAAAGGGTCCCATCCTACAACACGTATCCCGAACATCGGGGAGTCTGGTTGGCCACTCTCTTGCTTTACCCCCACAGCAGCAGTGCACAGTAAACAAGAAGCATCATCTCCATTGCATTGTCAGTCAGAATACAAGAGAGAGCAAGGCAAATGTGTGCGTTTCTCTAGTTGACTTCCTAAAAAAATATAAAAAAACACAAATTCTTGACAGCATTTATTTAGTTAATTCATAGGTTTACGTGGTGGTTATCGTATTATTAGATGAGAGTGCGAGGACATAGTAAAAGTGCGTGAGCTAGAGGAGAAGAAAATCCAGGTAAATTCCAAAGCGATTCATGCTTTGTTTTACATTTATTGTATTGTATTAGATTTATTGTTTTAAAACTTTCAATTCAATCTCACACCATGAAATGATTATTTCATCCAAGTCCTGACAAAGGTCATTTATTTTATGATTGGGTTAAAAGATCTTTTAGACTACATTTTTTAGTTGTCTCTTCAGTTTCTGCATTGGCGATTTTGTTTAGTTTGTTACATATAATATGCGACATGTATTTCAACTACGCTCACTCCGTAGCCTCTGTTTATATGAGAATTATTAGTTGGTGTTTTTATTACATATAGCTGATGCATGTTCGTTTATGTGAGATTCATAAGAATATTCATAAGGCTTGTGGTTTTTGCAGATTTGTTCCTGGAAAACGGTTAAAAGATCTAGAATGTAGCATCCCATTCCAACTGGACGTATCTGCACGAGAGCGAGGGTGTGAGGATGGTGGTTGTCACTGGCCGGGGGGCAGCAAGTGGAGGGAGCAAGGTCAATAATAATAAGGCTGCAACATCCACCAATGCCAAGTTAAAATCTAAGGAAAAGGACAAAGTTCCTACAACTGCTGCCAAAGGGAGTAAAACAAAGGAGAAGGAAGTCGTTAAAAAAGTTAAACGGAAAGATTCAGATAACATTATTGTTGACAAATTACCTGGTAAGTCGAAGAAGGAGGATGCATCATCTCTACCGACGAAAGTCAAGGCTGTAAAATCTAAGGCTAGCTTAGAGTTATCCAATGCTCAAAATAAGGAAAAACAGAAACCTCCACCGACGAAAAATCGTTCCTCACCTTCAATCGGGTTAACAAAGGTTGGATGCAACAATAATAGCAGTTCGATCAGCTCGAATAACAAACCCATCTCCGTTGTTCCAAATCAGCAGCCCGTAGCAAATAATAAATGTATTCGGTAAGTCAAAAGCAGAAAAATACAAATAATTATTAAACTATGGTTATCTGTGTCTTTGAGTGAGATCAAGGACACCAAAGTCCAACACAAACTTCTGACACTGATGTTGTTTTAATTGGCCTACATATATTGTTATAGGACGGACAACAGCATGGTAACTTTGAGTACAAATGGACCCAGAATTCAAGCTCAGCGAAAATTTGCTCAAGCCGGTAACATTTATCCTGGAACAATGTTGTTTAATCAAAACATTCCTAGTAACAGCCCATACGCAACGCCATCCAAAGAAACACCATTCAAGCGATCTCAGGAAGGAACAAATTGTTCTTCTTCTTCTTCGGCAAAGAAAGTAAAAAAACCAATGTTTTCTCCGCCACCTTGCAAACGTCCGAAAACTGAAGACTTCTTGACATTTTTGTGTGTCAGAGGTATGCTTTTCAACCTCCATCCACGTCCAATTCCTGCCTAAACTTTGACATGCATATATGAGATAATAATATTTACACTTTTATAAATTGTAATAACGGTTAATTTGATATAGGTACATCTGCTCTTCCTCCAGAATTTGATTTTTTCAAATTTCCACAAGTTTTGGAATCTGAAGCACACGTTCCTCCGAGAAGGAAAATATTCCCACAAACATTCTGCACTCAGAGTTCAAGGACGGTTGAACTTCAGACTGATATTAACGTTAAAAGCGATAATCAATTAAGCCAATTAAGTAATAAAATTAACAAGAGCAACATTGTTTTAAAACTAAAAGCACAGAGCAAGCTTCAGCAAGCTAGAAAGATAGTCAAAAATACAGCAAAGAATTCTGATCTGGTGACAAATAATTCAGATACAACGACCAAGAAGTCTTCCAGTAGTAGTAGTGCCCCTGTTCCCGTTTGCAAAGCTGAAAACCCTACAAAAGGAATCCGAGCTACTGCCAGTAGTGTCCTTTTTTCAAAGTTACGGAGAACATCTCCTGTGACGAGGGCAAGACCAATCTTGTCACCACCAAGATCTCGGCTTAACGAACAAGATGCTAGATTTGCCATGACCGCGCTTAAACTTAAATATCAACGATTAGCCGTTAGTAAGTCAAACCGGTCAGCAATTTTAACAAAGAAAGGTTAGTAATCCTAGTATTTTGAGCTGTATAATAACCAACAAACAAATATTGATTGATTTACATACTTATGCACAGCCAAAGAGAGTATTATTTTAACACGATCGAGGTCGCAAGGAAAACTGTCCCCAAAAAAGAGGAAACTTTTACCTCGAACACATAAACCTGTTATGTAAGTGTTTTATGAATTTAATTAACTTGGAATCCCTAAAAAATGCAACTTTTGAGACCCTTGACTTTTCGGTAGTGTTGCCACAAGCCCATGGATGGGATAGGAGAAATCCTATTCAATCCATAGACTCGTGGCAACACTACTTTTCGGTACATAAAAATAAAAGTTAGCGAAACTATATTATTGTGTGACCCACTTACTTATTAAATAATTCTCACATTCTTTGTAGAATTTCTCCGTCTAGGAATGCTCCATCTCCAGATATTATATTCGGCGTTACTTGTAGCTCTGCTGCAAGGAAGCGAGCAGTTAAATCATCCTCTGGTAAGGAAATTGTTTCACAAAAAGTAAAATACATGGGCAGCACAATTACTGCATTAATTGGCTAAATTAATAATAACAATAATGAATACTTTCCACAGAAGAGTCCGAATCCGAGGAGGAAGAACAAGTGTCCAAGAATAATAAATCTTCTGAAGAAGAAGAGGAGGAAGAAGAAGAAGAAAATAATGATGATGAAGGTTCTGCAAATGATGATGATTCAGAGTCGTCTGGAATGGAAAAGAAAAAATCTTCAACGCCTCCACTATTATTGACACGTTCCCTTCGAAATGGTAAAGAGTTGACTAGGCCAAAATCCAAGTCTCCTCGTCCGGAGAAGAAGCAGCAGCCGTCTAATAAGATGGGCAGCAATAAGTCGTCCGGTCGAGTTGGCACTCGCTCTGCACATCGATTAACAAAGTCGCCTCTAAGAGAGATTCCAATGTATAAACCAAAAAGGCTAAAAAGAAAACTATTTAAGCCAAATTCCAAAGCTGAGAAAAAAGGAACGAATAATAAAAACAAAATGAAGGATGAGAAAGATAAGAAACAAATAAAGGACGGAAAGGAAAAGAAGGATATTAAAAAAATGCCGTCACCAAAAAAGATTGTGACGTAAGTACATTTGTAAAATTCTAAATCAAACTAAATATTTTTAGCGTGAAAATTGTTTGATATTAATAATTGTATGCGATAACCTATTATATCATCTCCAAATGATACTCTCTTTCTGCGTTTAACAGGGACGATGGTAAACGCCCATCACGTAAGACGAAAGAAACTGCGACAAATTTGCTAGGACTACTTACACATGGATTCAGTACTGATGATGAAGACAGTGAGATTGATAGGAAACGTGATAATAAAAATGAAGACTCTGAGGTTGGCAGCAGCAGTTCGTCGGAAGCCCATTATCTGGAAAAACATTATACTGCTGCACTGCGACGTGAGGAAGAAAAGTTTTCAAGAAATAAGAATCCCAAGTCAGGAATGCAAAGACGGTCCTCCAGGCGCGATTCAACAAATGAATCAACAAAATTTGAAAATAAAAGGGATAATAAAACCCCAGAGAGGAAACTGCGTAGTACAAGGTCAACATCTGAGGATGTAAAATCCGAGTCTCGTCATCTTAACAAGAAGGTATTATCTGAAAATAAAAATAAAAAAGAAGCTCCAAGCACCACAACACGAACACGACGACATGGGACACCGACCGTCGGTGATAGGAAGATGCCAGGAGCAGCAAGAAAATCTGCGTCAATTACATGCCGTGGAAGATCCCAGTATTCATCATCTGAAAACGAAGAAGATTCTTCTAGTGATCATCAAAGTGAGTCAGAGGTTGGAAATAACTCAGCAGATAATGAGGAAAACAAGAAAGACGTTAAACACACAAGTTTAGCGAATAAATCTAGACGAAAGGAGACAGTAAAAGATAAATTGCGACGAAAAATTACAAAATCATCGACTTCATCAAAATCGGTGCGCGGTTTTAAATCCCGAAAATCAGATTATTCCGACGACGAAGACGAACAGTCTGAAGAAAATGCTAACAGTAATGAGGAGGAGGAAAATCAAGAAGAAGGGAAAGAAAGCGAGAATGAAGTAGAAAATTCAGAGGACGAGGATGCGGAAGAGGTGAAGGCAAAAAGTAAAGTCAAAAAGAAAAAGCGGTCCAGCCCGAACCTTTCCGATGCAAGGAGGAGGCAACAATCATCAACACAAGTAAAGTTGAAAAAAGAAATAAAGAGAGAGCGAAGTTCGTCAATGTCTTTGCCCAGGTCCGAAAAAAGTTCAACTCCATTCGAGAGGGAAGAAAGCGTTGAAACTGAGCAATGCAAACTTAGTCCTCGTAGTCGACTGTCACGATCTAGATCCCGTTCTGGGTCATATGATAAATCCGACAGTAATTTGGTTGAAGAGTCGTCATCAGATGATGAAGAGGAAGAAGTAGAAGAAAATATAGTTGAAAGAGAAATATCTTCAAGTTCTGAAGACGAAGAAGAAGATGAAGAATCCGCTCCAGAAAAAGTGGATGTATCTACGCAAGTTGATATGGATGAAGAAGAAGGGATAGCAAGACCATTAGTATCATTGGCCGAGTTAGCTGGACTTGTTCCACCACAAAAACCTCTTCCTCCTCCTGGGTCAAAAACACCAAATAATGACTCGGACGATGATGTTCAAGAAATTGGTGTAGTATTTGCTTCATCTTCAACGTCCACAAGTTCTATGCCAGCAAGACACTCAAGTTCTCGATCTCCCGAAAAACAATCCTCCAATAATTCTGCACCATCATTATCAGCATCTGGACATTCAGCTAGGACGCACGGTACACCACCTTGTACTTCGTCATCGTCACCTTTCCTCCATCATCAACATCCGACTTCCCCCTTGTTAGCACCACCCCTTCATCAACAACCACCTCAGTATCATCATCATCATCATACTACTACTACACCTCCAATTATTGACCCGTTGCTCAACAACCCGTTTAATCCCTTCATGCCTCCACCTCCTAGATCTGCAAATATTCAGCAAGATTTTTATACCCCACTGCACTTGGGTCCTCCTTTGGTTCAATCTTTTCAACTTGTGGGGGGCACATTAGGAGGAATTGGTGGTCATTTTCCAGTAACAAGTCCATTGAATACCCTCAGCATTCCTGTAACTGTCCCTTTTTCTACTCACCATCTTCTTCCTCATCATCCTTCTACCATGGGATTTGCGTCGGGATCAACATTCCATGCCACCACCATGCAAACCCACATACGAAGTGTTGCTACCAATTTAGATATGGGCAGTAACATTCCATTAGTTCGACCCATGGTTGGATCAGATCATCACTCATCTTCCATCAATTTCATGTCTCGAGGACCATCGCTTGGACTCTCTTCTAACATACCGCTTACGCGTCCACCGGTCATCGGATTGGGTGGAGTATGGGGTCATCATCATCATCAACCACAAATTGATCCAAATGCAGCTAGTCGAAACCATTATTCTGCTTTCAGAGTACCACATTTAAGCAGTACAACTGCAACTCATACGACACATACCACCCAGCATGTGATTCATCACCAGTCAACAACAGTGCTAGGTATGAATTCCACTCCAGTGCTTCCAGTTTCCATAATTCAACCTCAAACACATCAACAGCAAAATCAAACTAATGTACAATCACAACCGGGGGGTTCGACGAGTCATTATCAACAACAGTACCATCAAAACACACCGAATAAAAGTAAAGCTGAGAAACAAAATACTTCTAGTAATTTTGCATCAAGTACTTCAACCTCCGCTTCTACGTCTTCCTCGTCGTCAACATCAACGTCAATGCCTTCTCAACGACCGAAAAGTCCAACTCCTCCTGGTTATCACTTGATTAAACACTTGCCCAATGTATCAATTGTGCCAAAATTTGACAGAGACTCTCACAATGCTGCAGCTAGTTCTTCATTGTCATACAAGAAGCAAACAAAGAATGGTTCCAAAAATGAAAAGGACGAACCCAGAGAAAAGAAAAAAGTTGGGAGGAAGAAGAAAGAATCTGCTGTTCTTCCTCATCCATCAAGCCCTCTAACCGTGCGTAAGGATTCAAACCCTTCAACATATGCTCCAAAAAAGTATGTTCCTAAAATAATAAAATGAAGAATTATAATGATCAGTCATTTCTGCGGTTTTCTTTTTGAAGAATTATAATCACTGTAAATCAAATACTAAACTTTTAAAACTTATTTTGCAGGCAAAACAAACCTGGTGGCATGGACAAAGACCCGAGTAGTAGTTGTAAAGAAGGGAAAACCTTAAAGAGTCAGAGTTCATCCAGCTCCCAGCACCAGTCTCCTCCTGTATCAGCTACAAAGTGCCCACCGAAGCAAAAAATGGGCAAGGATGAAGGTGGCAGACTTGTGAAGAAGAAGGACACATCAAGAAATTGTTTGTCACCTGTTCCTTCGTCCAGCAGTACAACTGCTCTGATTACTAGCAGTAATAACCCAAAAAGAGGAAAAAGTGAAAGCCCTAAGACCAACAAAACCAATAAGAAGCATGAAAAAGATTTAGAATCGTCATGCAGTTCTTCTAAATCACACCACAACTCCAACCCACCTTCAAGAACTTCTAGTCCAAATGTTCAATCAAAATGTAAAAGTAGTAATAAATTTACAAACGATCGAGTCGCCAAACCTCAAATCGGTATAACAGAAGCTTTTACAGAAGCTCCCACTTTTCATCCCACAGACCAAGAATTTGAAGATCCGCTAAAGGTATTAACATGACAGTTTTTAATTTATTTCAGATATTGTGAAACATTGGAAAAATATTATCTATATATAGGTTTTAATTAAGTATTGATTTTCCTTTGTGTTTATAGTATATTCAGAAAATTCAGGCCGAAGCTGAGAAATATGGGATGGCCAGGATTGTTCCACCGAAAAGCTTTCGAGTATGTATGATTTTTGTATAATTAATTGTTTATTATTCAAATTGATAATTTTATTTAATTATATATATTAATTTAGCCCGAATGCAACGTGGAGGATGACATGAGATTTACCGCATATAATCATTATATTCATAAAATGTATCAACGCTGGGGGCCTAATGTACTTGAATGTGAAGCCATTAAGCATAATCTCAAACAGAATCAGGTGGACGTGTCGGAAATTCCAGTGATTGGAGGGATGGAAATCAATTTGTCTACAATGTATCAAACGGGTAAGGACAATTACTTTAATTACATTTGATATATAATTGATTTATGTAAATAATCGGTAATTTTATTTTTTAGTGAAAAGTTTTGGAAGTTTAAATGAAGTGATCGAGAAACAAAGATGGACCAAAGTTGCAGATACAATGCATGTTCCTAAAGCCGCCCATGACAGAGCTGCAAAACTGGAATTAATTTATCTGAAATATGTGCTACCTTACGCCATTTTATCAGATGGTAAGCGTTACATTTCTCTATTTAATGTTACAATTTTGAATGCTGGAACATGCATCTATTTATTTGCGTATTTATTCCAACATTTACTTTTAGTTGAACGGGAAAAACTAAAAAAGAGAGTTGAGAAAAAGTGGACAAAACGACGCGAAACGATATTGAAGGCTGCTGAGAGCTGTGAGGATGAAGACCTGGATGAAGATTCAATGGACGAGTTGGATGAATGCATTGTTAAGGTGTGGCATAGTGGCGAATGAATTAATGAATCTCAAACGTCTATGACTGGTTGTATTATCCATACGTTGACCATTGATTTTCTACCAATATAGGGCAAGACGACACCCTTGAGCGCATACTACAGGGTTGCCAGAAATACGTTAAACCTTTTCTTTCCAACGGAAAAAGAGCATTCCTTTGACGAAATTGAGGAAGGTGAGCTATTCCTGGACATTAACTCCATTGTTTTTTGCTAGTCATGAATATTCCTAATCGAAAGCTGACCTAAATACATATTTTCAAACTACGATTTTACCTGCAAATTATAACAAATAACTGTTACTTTCAGAATATTGGAAAGTCGTTCGTGACAGAAATCGACCAGTTTGCGTTTATTCTGGAAGCATTGATTGTGCCGGCGTTGGATGGGGATTTCCTATACCCAAAGCTTCAAATAAACACCCGTGGAATTTAAAAGTATTAGCTAATAATCAAGGTGAGTATTCAAAACGAATAGTTCATTTATTCTTATAAAGGATGATTATACTATATATAGTGTTATATTTTCAGGGTCTGTGTTGAGGAGCATGGGACCTGTAATGGGTATGATGCCAAATTTCATAATTATGAGTTTTAGCCATTCTGTCATAAAACACGCTCACAATTTTACCCCCTGATTCATAACCAAGTCTATACTTCTAATTTTGTTCTATGCAGGTGCCACAGTGCCAACGCTTCACGTAGCAATGTTGTTTACATCATATTGTTGGTATCGAGATCCACATTCCTTGCCTTGGATTGAATTCCTTCACTCTGGAGCAAACAAAATTTGGTATGCCATTCATATGCAATATGACTCCAAGTTTTAGAAATAACGAAGGTGTTTAATTTTCAGGTACTCTGTTGCGGCAGAAAATGAAAACTTGTTTCGGTCAGCTTTGACGGACCTGATGCCAATGCAATGCAAAAAGAAACAGATTTGGCTTGCATCTGATTCTGCAATGGTTGGTGCATGTTGGATAGTATTTCATGTGGATAACACCAAGCTAAACTATGGGTTTATAATGTTTTCGTGTTTAACTATTACTATAAGGTGCCACCGGAAATGCTCGTCGCCAAAGGAGTTCCTCTTGTTCGAATGGTTCAGAACCCTGGAGAATTTTTAGTAGTTTTTCCTAAAGCTTTCACTTCGGCAATATGCACTGGTTATCTGATTTCTGAAAGTGTTTGCTTTGCATACACGTCTTGGTTGCAAACGTGCATTCAAACTTTCAAGGTACAAAACACGTTCTCATAATACCGATAAATTAACAAATAAATAATCAAAGTATCGCAAGATTTGACACTTTATTTGATTTCCTTAGGATATTCACGATAGCAAGGTAAGCAACCCCCAAGTTCCACAATTCAAGAAACAGTTTATAATTACATTTGCCAACATGTTAATGAGTATTCGCGTGAATGATTATAATTTTTGTATGACATAATTTTTAAGGAACCACCAGTGTTCCCGTTGGAGAAACTCTTGTTAAGTATCCTTCAAGACGCTCGAGCTTCTTTAGAAGTTGTGAGATCTGTAAGTTTGGCTGGCGTGGAAAAATAAATAATTGAGTGGCAACTAATTTTGGTTTGCATCCTATAGATTCTTCCTGATACAAGACAGCTGATAAGGGAAGAAATTGTCTTGAGGAAAAAGATATCAACTCTTGGAGTAAAATTTGGAGGAAAAATTAGCACTGATTCAGAGTCTGATTCAGGAAATAAAAACTCTTCAAAGAAAAAGAAGGCTGCGCAGGAAGAGGAGATTGAGCAGTGCTATAATTGCAATTATACTTTATATTTATCGATGGTAAGACCTTGGGCAATGGAGAAATGGCTTATCGAAAAATAGCTAACCAGCTATTTTTCGATACGCTATGGATTCTTGTATTTGCGCTGTTCTATATTTACATATTCAACAATATTTCGGCAGGTCCGCAACCTGAAGAGTGATGTAGCAATGTGTCTGAAACACGCAGTAGAACATTTTACAAAACACAAAGCTGATATTAAGAAGTGCAACCTGTTATATGATTTAGAAGAGGTAGGTCCATGAAGTATTTACTAAATGAATACATCCATATACCACTTATCTGCAAATATGTTTAACGTATAAAATAATATGTTCATATATATCGCCATTTGTTTTTTCAGTCACAACTAAACATGATATTGGAAAATGCGAGTAAACGATGTGGAAACGTGGTATCATTAAAGTCTTGAAAAATCATAATCATGAAACGAATTTCTTTGTCCATCCGCTACAAATGATGATTCGACAAAGGAAAATTACTGCCATATCTCATGCACAATACTTGTCTCAACAAAAGCGATGCAACCACAAGATGTTCTCTTTATATTTGATAATTATACACAAGTACATATGTAAACGTAAGGGTAAAATAGTCATGATCTCAAACTTGACGATTCTACAGTGCTGTCTTGTTTAAATGTAAAAAAAAGTATTTCAAGTATTAACTGAAACATTTGTACGCACTAGCTTATTGTACTTTAATTATTTTATTTGAATTGATTTTATTATGACGCTGACAAACTTTCTATTGCGTTTTATTATTTGGAATGTTTGTTGTAATCAGTCAAGTTATGGCCATAAGAACCTTACGATAGGTTAGGTTGTTGAAATTCCAATACATTAAAATATAAGTATACTGTAACTATTTTAAATAATAAGTTAGGAAACTACATGAATTTGTATATACACGACCAGTATATTCGACGAGATAAACTCTAAATACAATGTACAAGTCAAGCAGTATTATGAAGTGAAAATTAAACGAAATTACAATGTATCTATTATTCTGATTATAACGAGTTTTATCATCAATCAAAAGCTCTATAACCCTACTATTTATCATATGTCTATTTCCATTTCATGCCACCTTCAATGGAAAAACTGCGCAAGATGTAACGGATCAGGTCCTCGTAGTTGCTGATAAGACACAAGTGAAGACGCCTTGTCGCTCTTGTTCCTGGGTAAGCTGTGATCAGATCCTGTTTCCCCAGCCTTATACTGTGATATATATATGTAAGAAATATCACGAATCAATTCCTTTTCTTAACAATAAAATTGGTTCAGTTGTACAATTAGTTCTACCACTTACAAAGTATTTAAAAACAGATCGTATAGCTGTGGAAGTATTATGAGGACTAAGTCCTAATTTCATCTCTGTCTGGCTTATTTCACCCTCCAACTTATCCAGTGCACATTTAATGGAGAGAATAAGACAGGACAATGCATCCAACCTCTGATTTAGTGTTATCGATAATAACGACCCTGTTCTAATGATGTCTGGCAAATGGGTCGCCCATGCTTTCCTTTCACCTTCTTTCTTAAAAATTCAATACCAAAATTATTTATGACATGAAAATCAACTATTAAATACTAATTTAAGTAATTAAAAATCTAGTTTAATACCATTTCGTATAAACTTTGAAACTCTTCTAGTTTGGCGATGTTTTCAAGAATGAATTCTTCCACTTTTGTAATCTTAAAATAATGACAGTATTATCTAAATTAATTATTACGCATTACATGTTAAATGTGAGTCCTACCTAATGATAGTGTAAACATTAGTCAACAAATTAAGCATTCTTAAAATTATTCACGCTACCTGAAGGGAGAGATCTGTTTGAAGATACGCCGAATAGTCGTTGGCCTGTATGAAAAAAATCAGTAAATCTCACGGTGGCACTGACAGGACACATGAAATTTGTTTATTCGTAAGTTCGTAACCTGTGCCTAACCTACTTATAAGAAGTTAATTCATGCGTAATATCTACCAAATATTACCAACTGTGCCAAGTTTTCACATTTCAATTTGTTCAAATATTCAAAGAAAGGAGCTGATAAGTTAACAAAGAGACCGTGTAAATGAAATACCAATTTGACGAGGAGTACTTTTGAGGAGGGTTGGCCATTCAGCCCAACGCTGTCGCAATCACAACTGTCGAGGGATGACCTCCTACGACGACTGCCCCCCTCGACCCCATTCGGTCGCCCATCCACCTGCACCCTCTCACCCGTCATTACAAATTTCGTAATAAGACCAACTATTAAGAGCACATAATAAAATTATGATAATAAGTCAACGGAAATAAACAAATATTTTTTGTCCAAGTGCTGAACTGAAACACACTGTGTCTCAGTTCAATGAAAGTCCACTTGGATTTTGCCCCGGTATTTCCTCCGATATCTGAGGAAAAGTGAGGATTGCACAGTGCACAAATACCTCATAAAATGGTAAAAAATGATTCAATGCATAAAATGGACGCAAATCGTGTGGACTCCATCTGAATGCATGTTATTTTGGTTCCCGGCTGTGGGAGTGGCCGACAATGGGGTTTAATCGGATTTTCGTAAAACTCTAGGAAAAATTGCACTATAACGGGCGATGTAGGACAAACTTTTATGCGATTTAAATATATGCATCTCAGAAGGGCCGTACACAAAATACGACGTACATTTGGAGAAGTTTTAACGTTAAATATTAGTAGTAATTTAATATACAACATTCTATTATTAACGATTCTTATCATACGTAACATAGATAACATGCCTTACGAACGGTCCCATAGTTTATATCAAACAAACAAAAAATATAAAAATGAAAGTCAACATGTATTGTTTATTTAAAACAAGTTTTGTTTATCATAACTTATGGATTTCACTTTCTACAAATGAAAGTTCCCGTTGTTCTATAGGTTTGATGTTTCAAACTCGCCTGCCACAATGTTGAAATAGAAAGTGCTGTATGTACAATTGTGCTGTATGTGAACATAGAAAGTTAGAAATATTTCAATAAATCTCATCTTACAAAGTAAACTTAGTTATAGTTTCATTTGGTTCACAAGTACGACATCGACTTTATCCAGAAATCATTTTGTATGTGTAAGAAGTGGGTTTACGTTCGCTGACATGGTAAAAGACAAGTTAGTAAATTGTGATAACTGCGCGGGTGTTACAGATAAAAACCGCGTAAATTTTTCATCACGAATAAAAAATTCGGATTGCACTGTGAATCAGGCTATTCAACTGTTTTTCCCATCCGTGCTGACCACAACACCATCCCGGCCAAAGAAGGACTTGCGGTATTTGTGCCAAAAGTGTAGTTTGCAGCTTGGGACGGCATATATTAAGTTACAGGAATTTAAGGAACGCACCAAAGACAACACCTATATTGGAAGAAAATTGGTCATCAGTGTCCAGCATCTACCTCAACAATATGAAGAACCATGTACTTCTGCAAGTGCACTAGACTCACACTTATCAGAAAACGCAGAATATTGCATAAGCGAAAATAACGATCTCGAGCGGGCTTCACTTTTGCAAGAAGAAGAATCCGAAGTGGAATCCGAAAATGAAGCACAGCATCCAGCTGGGAGATCTGAAGGAGCATTACAACGTAAATCAACTCCTATTGGTCAAAAGTTAAAAAACGTGTTTAGTCGCACCAATCAAAAGAGTTTCAAATCATTACGTAGTAACATAAATCGAATTATAAATGCCGAACTTGCTGTACTGGGTGACAACTCATCATTCGGGAGTCAGAGTTCTGGTGATCTATTCCCATCGCTTGATGTAATCTATGAGGAATGTGAGAACTTTGCGCCCGTTACGCTATCAATTCTTGGAGCATTAGTTGGCTTAGGGGAAGGTCTGTTCACTCCTGCCATGCGGAGCATAGTTGGGATTGCCTTATACCAGCGGAGAATGCACGACAACATTTTCGCTAAAAGTGTTGGCGCTCTCCTTTGGAAGAACGGGGTATCCGTTAAGGTATGATCCGGTTTTAATCTTTTTAAGTTTAATTCATACTTAATTCAGCCAATATTATCATTTACACAGACATACACATTATTTCACGAAATGGGCATATCAGTCTGCTACAAGACTATACTAAATTACATGGAGACACAACAGAAGACATTTGATAAACCTGTGCGGGATTGGAAGAAGGTAAAGCCGGTTAGCAACCATAGATTTTGTTAAATTGTGTCAAAATTTAGTCTGAAAAGTTTTACTTGAAATTGGCGAGATATTTAATTTTAAATAATAGCCGTAGGCTTAAATTCTAATAGCTAGCAGGTAACATATGAATAAGATGATGAGGATAATTCAGAATAAATTATTATAGGAGATTGAAGACGAACTTGTTTCCTCCCAAAATCCCCGGAGCAGAAATGCCCGGCCTATGTTTCAACCAGAAGAGGCTACCAGTTCTCTAAGCTGCTTGAGAATTTATGAGAGTTCGGACGATGAGATTAACGTAACTCCAGGAATAACATCAACCCCTGCACGTTCACTATCTCTGAAAAGAGGTAGTTTGGCAAGAAAGAAATTGAATTTTTCTGATGTCTCAACGCAAGAGGAAAGTTTTAAAAGCTTTTGTTTAAGTTATGACAACTTAAATAAAAGCATACATCCCAGACACTACGGAAACACCAATACCTTACACAGTTTGAACGTGGTGGTATTCATTGCAATTCGGGATAGGATTGCCACCCCCTGGAGGATGGTGTTAAGTCCTAGGCCAATTCTTGACCCTATCGACATTCCAATGTCAGCCTTTGTCTTACAGGAATCAGAAGTAACTACCATGAAGCAGTTGCACCTACGGGAAATCATTCTCATCTTACAAGAAAACCTTGACGTCTTCTTTAAAACCGATAAACGTCTCAGTCGATACCCAGAGCACGAGTATATGGTTGAGTCTGCAAAAAAAAGCGAAATTGTAAACCTTGGGGTGATTCCACACAACGAGGTACATGTTGGATAGTATAAGCCGCGGGGTATTACCTGTCTCCGTCTCATACACCAATTAACGGTGTCTACAACACAGTCAGTATACACGCTCTACACTCTACAACAGGGAGAGTACGGAGAGTTAATTTCTGTATGAGACGGAGAGAAGTAATAGCGAGCGGCTAATATTCAGTAACCGGGTAAAGTCAACAGTTTCATTTGAATAGGGGACAATTGACGGCATGATTAACTGTTTGAAAGAAATGCAAGATTATGTCCCCAAGAAACCAGATGGCAACTTTCTTCCTATTGTTACTTGGGGAGATGGTATCCTATTTATTGTGTAACTTCATTTGGAATGCTTACCCAGTAATAGTCATATTTATTTTCCCAAGGTCTCACCGCAATAAATCAGAAAGCATCCCAGGACCACAGGTGCCATTCACTTACTGAAGAGGACAAAGTGAGGAGCATGTTCGGTATTCATAGTTACTGGCATGAGAGAGCAATAGTCGGGACCGAAATTATGAAAAGCCTCTTATCGAACCAAAGAGTGTGGGAGACCAAAGGCAGCCTTAACGATTTAAAATTGAAGTTAGCCAGAAAACAGTTGCATACCAAGGGGTTGGCCTACATGATAAATGAATGATACTTTCAGATACAAGCATAAACTGGTCTCGCAGGATGTTATTCATCAATTCAATCCTTGTATGCGATTCTTGCGATTTGCACTTCGGAGCTATGTTGTAGCATATGCAAGGCTGAGACTGACAACTATTAATATTTCTGGGTTATCAAAAGCTCAGCTCAATCAACTCATGAGCAAAATAGGCATGGATCTGATGGAAATGGAATTTGCGGACATTCTTAGGCCATGTAAACAGAAACAGTACGGCACACAATTTGTTAAAATAGAAGGATTTTTCACATATGTTGGTGTTAAATAAGTTGCACATTATTAAATTACAAATTAAATATATATCACAGATATTGTTTCTGCCTCAAACCATATGACGCCAAAGATAAAACAACGGAATGGATTTGTTGCGATAACTATGACTGTAGTGAAAACCAGTGGTATCACCAAGTAAGAATAGTTTTGTTTGTTTTAATGTGTCGATATAAATTAAACCGCTTGAATTTTTCCCAGGCCTGTATAAAGAAGTATACAGCCAAACGAGGAAATATGAAATGGAAAAAAATTACCAAAGATAGTTTCACTGGTAAATGGTACTGCACAGAGAAATGCATGAAAGACGACGCAGATCAAGTATTCAAATACACGAAAACTCTTCTTTATTCCATTCTAAACTTAGAGGTAGAATAAGCCACCTGCGATGATAAGGTTGTATATTAATATGATGTGCGATTTGCAGTGTTTCAGGTCCGCCATTAACTTTAATCACGGTGACAATATAATGATCTTCCGCAAATTACATCTCATAACATATCAAGGAAAGTCACACAAGAACTATCTAAATTTAACACACTATTATCTGAGTTTACTGCATGGGTTTGCACCTGAACATGTAGCTCATGCCATGAAATGGAATTCAACTTGCAATACTAATGGTGGACAGAACAAAAATAACCCACATGATATAGTGACGGAATTTGTAGTGGGCGACACGAAGGGTTAGTGCGTTTGAATTATTATATATCTTAATGCAATTGTTACTACGGTGCGCAAGTAACGTATCACCATCTAGGGAACCAGGGAGCTCATGCTTAGTTAGATGCTCATGCGTCGTTAGCTTAGCGACGTCGTAAAAATTAGCGACACATGCTCAAAATAATTTTTAGCGATGTCGGTATTGCTGAGGACACATTTGAGCATGTGTCCTTAGCACTTGTCGCTAGTAACGACACCGACGTATGCTCAAAACTTTAACTGTCGGTAAGACCATGGAATTTGTCGTAAAAGTTTTCGACGCCTAAATAGCTGTCGAAACGAGATAAATTTGTCGTAATTTGCTGTTAATTAGGATCAGTTCATATATTATGCAAATATTTTATGGTGGAGTGGGTCGAGAAGCTATTAACGATTGTTGACCAGGGAGTGGGTATATGTTGGTTTGCGTAGGTTGACGCCAACTTTTTTTAGGATAAATTGGGTCGCTGGACTGCCCGAAATTTTGTTATCGGAGATTGGCACATAATTAAATTTAAATGCAAGTTCTTTAATTTATATCTCAATTAAAATCAAATTTTAATTTTAGAGCTTTAATTATTACAAACGGGAAAAAATAGTAATTATATATCAAATGCAATTTCTAAAATTGAATCAATTCCATGAGTTTTGAGACAATGGGTTGAGTTAACTCAACTCAATAATATAAATCGTCGATTCTAACTCAAGTCGACTCAAATTCGTCTCAACTCAAACTCAACTAAATGTCAATGACTGAAACTCAACTCATATAATATTAGTCAACTCACCTATTTTTAGAGTAACGTATTAAGTAAATGCATTACAAAGATGCCAAATAATCCCATTTGAACTTCTGATTTTTAAATAAAATTTTCGCTGAGTACGATCAAGGTGAAAATCTTAAAAAGGGTAAATTGACAATAAAAAATTCTTAATGAGTTTCCGCAACTCAGCTCAAACTCATTATTGTTCAAGTCACTCATTTTTAAATGAGTCGTTTCAAATGAATTGAATGAATGAAATGAATTGACTCAAACTCAATTCAACTCATCCTCAGCAACTCATGAGTCAAATGCGTTGACTCGAACAGTTCGAGTCGAAGTCATTGGCAGTCCTAATCGAGAGAGATTGAAGGAAAAAATATAATTATGCGGCGCTTCTGTGCTTATGAAAAATGAGATTTTTAGATAACTCAAAATTTTTTCACAATTCGCAATTTTTCATAGTAAATTTGCTCAAAAATTAATTTGCTAATTTTTTCAAAACGACTTATTTATAGTATCAAAATTTAGCTTTAGATTAAAATATCAAAGTTGCATTTACCTTAAAACTAATTTTGTACACTCAATATTAAGAGGATCCGTATTTTTGCATTTTTCTGAATACCCGTTTTAGTCCGTAACGGAATTTCCAAACAAATTTTAAGCTAAAATCTTGATTTTGTAAATTCTGTAACTTTTTAAATTATGACATAATTTTAAAAACTCGAAAACATGTCTGCTCACAATGACTTCCCCATTTTACTTAAGAATTTTCTTGGATAGTTTGACAAGTTATTACAAGTGGGTTGAAATTTTATCCCACTCCTACACCTAAAATAAAGTGGTAGTAAACGCAAGAACAAAACTCCTCAGTTACCAAGATCGTTGTGAACCACTCCCTTCATCGGAAATGGATTACAAATTTTAACGATTTTTTTCCGACAATGTCGTTAAACTCATAACAACATTTTCCGACGCCTTGACGACAAATGATGAGCATACGTTGTTATAATTTGTCGTTATTAAGGCGTCGTTAATTTACGACGTCGCTAAGTTAAGGACGTGTTCGAGCATGAGCTCCCAGAATAAAATGTTGCCGAGATGGTGATATGTTACTTACGTACCGTAATATTATAATAAATGTTGCAGAAGCCTTCTCTCATTCAAGTGGGAAACTCACGGAAAAGATGATAAGAATTCGAGGATCCTCAGGAGGAAACCTTGCAGAAATTGAAAAGCGCGCTGCAAAAGAGCTTATGGGAGAAGAGTTCACCCCAGTTGTTGGGAAAGCTCACAGGTTTTTGCTGGAAGTAACAGACTGCTCACAATATTTAGTTTCAGAGTGCGAAAATTTATTTGTTAAGCACACAAATCTTTCCAAAATTAGAGTGCATTCCGGGTTTGAAAATTTCAATAACGATTTCATGTATATCGGGAATTACTTTGAATATGAAAAGGCTATGAAAAACTTATCCAAAAACCTGTCAAAAATATCGCGTATACAAAATAGAAAATATGCCATCGACATGAACGTTGGAGTTAACGTGTTGGAGCAAGATAACTTCTCAAGTTATACTAGTATAGCCTAAGTTTTTCCACACAATTGTTACAAATAATATGATTTTAAAAATTTACGTTGGCAGAAGTATAACACCATTACATACTATTATTAATTAATAATACTTATACCCTGATTGAAAAAGTTATGCACTATGCGGGTAGAGCCGACATTTATTTTTTATAGAACATTTTATTTCTCCTCACCAGAGCAATAAAACTATTTTTAAACAAGACAGTGTTTGCCAAAAAAAGATTCACCATCAATCCGAAAAACTATAATTTTTCAGAGTTTTACGAAATTTCGATAAAAATGTAATTATTTCAACCACACCCACACCCTGAAATCGAAATAACCAAAACCCAGATTGAATTTCTACCTTGCGGGTCCATTTCATACCTCAAATTATTTTTGCCGGCCGTAAGGATATTTTGAACACTGTGCGGCGGTGGTGGTGGCAGAGCCAACACTCCAAGTAGAAATGGATTGAACTCTACTGTAAGTTGAGTTCAACACTTGGACAAAATATTTTCACTGAGGTGAATATGTTTTTTTTTCACAGTTTGCAGCTGCAGCTGATGTGCTATTGCTCTATGCGGGAATTGTCTATTTCCCCAGCAGACAGCGGATTCAATCATTCGTTAGGCACTTTTCAATTTTTTTACTCGACTTTTTTCGGCTTTATAATATAATAAAAATACATATTATAAATTATAAACTATTTTAAAACTTGATGGTATTATTTTTAAGTTGGTCGACTAAAGTGAAAGAGAATGGTAAATGTAACAAAAGGGGTTCTTGTAAAGTGGTAAGTCCAAGCTGATATGTCTTTGTTCTTATCTTCAAACGAGACGAAAAATTTCTAATAAAAAGTGATGAAAGAGGGAAGTGTCGAACGTTGTTCAAGTGCTGAACTCAAGCTACAGTAGACACAGCTTGTGTTTCAGTTCAGCACTTGGACAAGCCGAATGGTAATTGGGAAAATTTAATATAATTTGTATTTGTGTTTGTGCAGTGATCCGGCGATGAAACAATTTCTTCTCCACTTGGATGAGACATTCGCCCTCGGGAGTAAATTTGTATTGACAGACCTTGATGAGAAACACCTCTTCATTTCTGCAGATATTGTGAAAACCTTGCAAGATAAGATTGACGAACTCTTGGATAAAATCAGTGTGCCACTCGCAGAATAAACGCTACTAAATTATATGATAACGTGTTATTCTCTGGGATTAGTTTTTCTTAACACTTCCTAATCAGTTATTGAATTTGTTTAAGCCACGCTTGTAATAATGACTTCTCGAGAAAGAGAATCTCGGTCAACGGCGTCGGGCCGTGTTTTAGACGCTGCTGCTCGCTATCGACGTCAAAAGAAAGCACTGGAGGCATTAGAACAAGATAATTTTCATGATGAACCTCATGCTGATCTGGGTATGTAAAAAATACAGATGGGTGTGAACAGATTCAGTGATAATCTTCGATAACTTGTATTTATCATTTTTCATGAGACAGTCATGAGTAAAAGAGCACCAAAGTTTCAAGAAACATTAGAGTCGAAAGCTGGAACAGGCCTAAAGAAAAAGAAAAAACGAGATTCAGAATATTACAAAATCAAGTATGTGACTGTTTGATTTTTTACAGCTATTATTTATTAAGATTCGAAATTTGTTTACAGCTATTGTTCCTCTCTTCGTAACTAAAATAATCATGTATTATACTTTTTGGCTAGATACCGAAAACCATTAAACCTCTTGGTGGAAGAAGAACAGTTGGCAAATCCCGAAGGCCCTAATTATTCCTCATGTGCAGCACCCCCCTCCAAATTTCCTTCTAGGTCCTTTTGCAACGTTTGTGGATTTGAAGCTTCGTACAACTGTGTTTCTTGTGGAAGCAAATTTTGTAGGTCAGTTGGCAATTATTTTATTTTGTAAACAACAAATTTTTAGGAAAAAATAATGTAGATTATTTGAAAAACAAAAGTATGTTTCTACTAAAACTCGAACAGTGAGTCAGCCCTTTCTACTACATCAACCTCTTCACCTAAGCCCTAAATAATTTACAACCCCGAAATATCAATTGTTTTTGTCAATGTATTTCGCCCATGTATTGGCATGATGAGTCCCTCTTAAAAAAATCTACGGATGAATGTATGAAGATTTTTTTTACAATTTTTAATTTTTTTATTACAGCATCAAGTGTTCGCAGACCCATCAAGAAACACGTTGCTTAAAGTGGACTGCATAACGTATGTGTAAATAATGCCCTCTAATGTTTGTGAGTTTGTGAATCCATTTTTTATTAATCAAAGTAAACTAGGATATTCTGATAAAAATTTTCAATATGGCATAGTTCAAAGCAATAAAAATATGGTCAACTTTACGCTTCAATTACTTATATCGCAGAGAGATATTTATTGCCGAATCATTAAGGCACTACTTAATCTGTACTAAACATGTTTCTTGGGTGCCTTTCCAATATCAACTAGGTAAACGCTATCCAACGCTCCAAAACCAGCGGCTACACCACCCTCATCTGCAGAACTGATCTTCGTTCGCAGCATGTGTCCAACTTGAGTGTTCTCCAAAATTGTATCTGCATTTCTGGGAAATCAAGACAAATACACACATCAGAACTTTAAAATACAGATAAATTGGAAAAATGTCATTTAATATTGCTTTTGTAATCCGTCATTACCCTAGGACCACCCCGAATATCCCTAGCTCACTAACTACTTCTGTGACAATTGGTCCTTGTATATTTGGTCTTATCATATAATTAGTTTGCACTGAAATTTTAAGTAAGTATCGTTAAATATTGTTTGAGGGAATAATTTCAGGAGAAAAAAAATCTGAGTTGTCCATCTCCATAATGATGTATAAATAACCTGGAGGGTTTATACGTTCCATTAAAATCCAAGCACTCCTTTCATCACTATCCTTAATTTTTTCGAGATATGATTTAACATTCTCTCCATACATGTTGTTGCCCCCACCTTCCCTTTGAGGCTTTAGAACAAATCGTGTTGGGTTTTCCAATGCCATTTGCATAGCTTTATCACCCACCTCGTCCTATGTGTAAGAACTACATTAGTATGATAAATACAGGACATAATATGAATATGCTTTTATTATTTTTCAATTATTTACCTTCCCCAAGGAGTAAAGACCAGTAAAGATTTCCTTAACAGACTCAACCTTATCAGGGGTCAAGTACTTATCCAGCATGCCTGGTCTAGCCAGTTCTTGTTGCACTTTTTTTGTTCCTGTCAAATGGTACTGAATCTACAATATTTAAACATTTGTTAAGCAACTAGCAGAATTAACCCACAGATCTAATTTTTGCACAAAAGTAATGTATACTGACCGAGGGACATTTGATGGCAAGAGACCGTTCAATCAGGAGCCGAGCATTCCATTCCGTTTCGGAATAATAATGATCAGGTGTGTATCCCGCTCGGAAATATACCACAGCAATTTCTGTGTCATTTCTGTAGGAAATTTCAAAAGGAAATCATCAGTGATATCATGTGACATGTGGTAACACATCATTATGTGACAAATGATTGTACTACATATTCATACAAAAAGAGGCGTTTTTCGTTATCCAACTTTCCAATTGTGGCGATTTCCGTTAAAGTATTCCTTATAACGCGGACCTTCGCATTTTGGCGTTGAATTTCAAATTCATGAAATCGTTGATCTTAATTGAAATTTTTACTAAATATATAGATATTAACTGATTGGTTTCTAAAATCAATGATAAAATTACCACAAATGTTGTACGTTACATCTTCGATTACAAACAAAATCGCTGACCTAATTAAAATCGGATTACATCAGTTCAGCAAAAGGTGTGTTTATTAGATAATTATTTCAACTGTGTTTTTGTATCTATTACATGGGTTGATTGTAAACTTTCCATGCTGATAGCATTCCTCCACAAAGTCCTTCAAATTAAACAAATAATTGAATTTTAATTGTAATTGAATTTGTTTAATTTTGTTTGTGCAAATACTCCATAGATTTGAAATTACCTTCAAGAGCGTTGTTATCTGGAAGCTGTAAAATTATCCATTTAAATGAATGTGTATGTCACTGTATGTGCAATACTCAATGTTTGAAAAAAAAGTTTTATTAAATTGTACTTATTTATTACATTTCGGAGTTCTGTCAGATGGCCTAATTCGGTCAACACGAACCTGTAAATAATGTAATAGGTATTCAGAAGGTATTGAGCAAAGTATTTGAACTAGAACATGATGCGTTTAAAACAAGTAAATACATCACTCAACTACGTATAATTTAGTAGCAGTGGCATTCGCTTAAACGAATAGAAAAACGAAACAAGTCATAAAGGTTCATAAAGGTTCTGCAAATCATGTAGCAAGAAATATTACGTAGTAGTATTTTAAGAAGTATTTGAAAAAAAGTTAAATGTGAGATTGGACAAAGATAGCACATAAGGAGTCATTAGTTCAAGTACCTATGAAGATCTACTAACACATTTGACAGAGCCCCAAAACTAGATGAAATGGTATTGATTTCCACTTGCTTCGCCACAAACAGAGACTGGTCAACGAAGTAATCTGATCTAAGAAGGGCCAAGGAGACATCCTACAACCAAAAATTGAACCAGTCATTAGATTAAAAATGAAAGTGGCAAATAAGTAAATTGTTTGCATGAGATCTTATAGTGACTGAAACAGAAACCCCCAGTTTGTAAACATATGCAAATTCTCCTCTCCTTTGTCTTTTCTTAACTATATACATAGGTGCAACAAATATTAGTGAAGTTGTTAGAAAAATAATCCATCCAATCACTTGACACAAATAAGCAACTTCAAGAAGAAAGCCCTCCATGCATTGCGACATTTCAATGCTCCCTATACTTAAAATGCTACCTATGTAGTTGTCCCGAGATAGGCCCCAGAAATCCAAACCCAGCGGCGATTGTATTGACCTCGACTTGTTTCCAGCAGCAATAAGGTGCACTTGTTGCTGGATCCTCCGAATGACACTTTCGCCAATCAGTTTCCAACATCAGGTCCGATCTCAATAAGCCCAGGGAGAAGGGCTTTTCATAAATAAATCCATATCATTCATTCATAATTCGATTTGAAATCAAGAAAAAACAAAAGGTCCCAGGAAATGAAATTGATTAAAAATAAATAAATGCAGGCAGTCTTAGTAGTTGCTGTACTTGGCAATATCAAGGAACTAACATTGAATGGACAAAGCATTATTCAAATAATTATACTATACCTATGAGTGTACATCCACAGCTCGATATACATATACTTATTAATATATTAAATTATTGGCATTAAATTATTTAAAAATACTCTGCTACGTGCACCAATATTCTATGTAAGTAATCTACTACTAAACACAAGCCCTTTGTTCATAAGAGACTCACTTGAGTGATTCCTTCAGCCCTCACAGTTTCATAAATATTGAATAGCCGACCAGTGAATTCGTCAACTTTAATAGTACTGCAAAATTAAAAAATATATATTATAGCATTAATATATACTAAATAATAATATGTAATCGTGTGGAATATGAAAATACTTGGCAAATTACGTTTCTAAAGAGTTCTTCAAAAAGTCGTAATCATGGGCTACTTTGTGCATCAGTTCATTCAGGACAGGTTGAATTCCCACAGCTCTAGAAAAGAATGAGCGATAAAAATGACATCATTAAACTATATTACAAATTAAAACGTAATTAAATGTAGTGAACGATGTGGTGGACAACACAACTTTGGTTGACAATGATTTTCAAACATAATTCTAACAATTAAACGCTATTATTATTTATGTATATGACTATAAGCATTATTTAAAAAATTGTTACCTTTCGAATTCACATCGAGGAAATGTGGACGGGAGAAGCATAAATGGGGCAAAGTTGATTGAATCTGGAGAAAAACTGTCTTTCGATCGCATTCCAGCGCCTACAAAAGGAAAGTTCCAAGCGTCATCAATACAATTTTAATAAACATTCGACCAAAATACATGGCTATTTTTGCCTTACCATGCATAATTGCCCAATCCTTTGCCTTTTGGATGAGCTCTTTCAAAGTATTACCGTCCGCCAACGGAAGTGGAATACAGGGTTCCATGTTACAAATTTGTCAAAGTTGACACTGGACAAAACTGATTCTACGACTGAATGGCAGTAAATTGCATGTAGGACGAACTTAACCCAGCTGAAATAACCATTTTACTTTTAGCGAGGAATAAGGAGACTACAAGATAAATGTTTCGGATATTATTTTTTGAAGTGAATTACAAATACTTTTTTTACACAATTGATATAATCACAAATTTTCGTTACCTGTAGAATTTAGGGAGAGACGAGTGCCAAATACAGAATTATTATGACTATTTTGTATCGAAAGTCTTGCCGAAAGCATTAAACTTTTCGGTGCAAAACGATGCAATCAATTTTTACAAACACAGCATCTGTATTACAGAGACACTCGACCGACATCGATCTGATATGAGGAGTGATTGATTGACAGATTGGATGACGATGAACTTGGGCATATTACTATTATTTAAGTGGTTAATATGAAAGATGACCTTGCCCTTGACCCCGATTGATTCTTGATTCTTGTGAGCGAGACACAGACAGCTTGTGTCGAGGTTCATTTGGCTGGAAACCCTTTATAATTAATTTATGGAATCAATAAAGAAATATTTTGGTAAAAACAACCAGAGTGCAGAGTGAGGAATGAATTCAGACAGAGAAGTGAAATCGATTGGAGCATGGTTGATCTACATTCGCTTGAAATGCAAGAATGAAGAATGGGCAATGCGAAATTGGTCTAACGAAAATGATTCCTCTGTGTGTCTTCAAAAAATCATTTATTTCAATCATATCAATTGGAATATTTCTTGCCATCCCAAATAAAATTTATTCGAGAACATGTAGAGAACTTACATTAATTAAGCTCTTGCAGATAGAGAAACTTTATCATAAACTTCTGGGAATGCTTCCGCTGATTTGGTCTTGCTTCTCACTCGATCGTATAAAGAATGATCAAACATTTGCCGAAATTCCTGCTTAGTAGCATATGTATCTGCGTACAACATTTGAAATCTGAAAGTAGGAAAAAGTATGAAATAATTATACAATTTGGTTACAACGTAAAAGTTTTGTATCAATAATACTCTCTAATTTGTAAAAACACCACAGAGTAATATACGTTTGGACTCCAAATGTGTAAACCTCCAAATTTCAGAGGTTTACGCCCAGCTTATTCTCAACTCCGTCTCATGACGATATTGAAATTTATGTTAATTATAATTACCCTTGGCATTGGCGAACAAATGACTCAATTTTTCGGGTCGTTTCCCTTGGATGAAAATTAGGAGAATTAGGAACGCCATATGCACCAATATCGATATACATGAGAGTAGGGTCGACAGTCTTTGAAGAATTTATGAGACCTTCTTTGTTTTCGAGTTTGAAGGGGCACAACCATAAAGGATATATCTGAAAACAAATGTGTAATTGATACAAGCTTTGTAATCAATTAACAGATTGGCAATATATCAGTACCCCAGTTTCCGTATCAAATACTTCAATAGCTTCTTTAAACTTATTCATAGGCACCAGCATGTCCTGAATCAATGAAAGTATTATAAACAAATGCCTTAATGACATGAATTTTATGAACAACTGACAAAAAACCTGTATCATGTGATTCTGTTCGTACAACTTTTTTACAGCTTCGGGTTGGGTGAGCTTAAGGAGACTAACTTTGGGAGGAACTAGCCAGCCTAGGAGGTATCGAAACACAGGATGATTTCCAAATGGAATTATTTCACGAATCTCCCTAAAATTAATACATTACATTTGTTATCTAAATATATATTTTGATATATTAATTATTTTCGAGACCAGAAAATGCTGCGAGAATGCCGATGAAAGTAATCTCTTATGGGAATATACTCTACTTGTCCTGGTCCGTTGGACAAACAACCTTCCACGTGCTTAAAAAACCAGGGTTTGAACCAGCGTCCGATTTCATTTACCTAGTAAGATGCATTGTGTTCTTTTTAAGTATGTAAAGTAATGGATATATAAAAAATGTTCTATTTCCAAAAGTAGGTACCTTTCCAGGTTCTGCAGAATTTATCATATTACCAACCATCACGACACCCGTGTCCTTTGTAAACATTAATCCTTCGACATATTCGTTTCCTTCTGGAAGAAATGTTTTCTCACGAAGTGTAGCATTTATTTCTTCAAGAGATTTCACTGGGAAATATTCTAATTTCACGAATCTGAAATAGGTTAATTATAACAATATTTTTAAATGCTATAAATTATCATGCATGCATTCATTATATACGTAGTCGTCCTCATCATATTCATCGTATTAATGGTAATAAATTATTCCTTTGTTATAAATTACCTAAGTGCAGGAATAATCTGAAGTTTCACGGAAGTTAGAAATCCAAGTGTGCCATAAGACCAAGGAATGCAATTAAATAAGTCTATATTTTGCTCCTGAGAATAAATTAGCTTAAATTGTACAGCATGTGCATTTCTTATTCAGGTGAATTTTTTTAGAAGGCCAACCTTATTACAAATCAATATTTCTCCATCCGCACTAACAATTTCAAACTCTCTGCATATGTGCTGAAATAGTCCATATTTATGAGATGATGTTTCAATCCCTGTCCCCATAACAAGTCCGCCTATAATGTCATGAGGCATGGAGTATTTTAAAGTGTAATAGTCTCATTTGAACCATGTACAACACGTAACCTATTTGCTAGGTTTAACTTACCAACAGTCAAATCATCCAATTCCGGTAATACAGGAATGGTCCAACCCAGGGGAATGAGTGTAGCAGTCAGTTGACCCATGGTTACCATCGGCTCGACAGTAACTTCCTGTCTCTCCACGTCGATTTTCAACACGTCAACTAGATTTACTTCAATCTTTGTCAATTTGGATTTGTATATTGGTTGACGAAATGAAATTGTTTGCCACCCTGGCCTAGCAGTACTATGAAAGACATAATAACAATGTATAACATTTAAAAAATGTGTGCATAGTTGCAAATACTGCTTTTCTCTCTCTTATTTAAACCATGCTGGTTCATATAGGTTTTCGTTTGGTGAGAAATTTATATGGAATCGGACGAGCCCTATCCGAAGTGTGTGTGGATGGGCTAACATTTGTACGCTGGTTATAAATTAATATAACTAAATTATAATTATTACCATAGCCTATTAGGTCTACCATCCAAGTTCCATTGTTTCACCTACATAAAAATTGTGATATGTTAGACATTCATATCACAAATAGTGAAATCACAAAAATCAGATCTAGTGAGCAACCTGCTTTTGAACATGCCCAATCTTCTCCAAATGTCTATCCGGAGCGGAAGCAAACTTGAAGATGACCCATGCCCTTATCCAATAGATCAAGTCATAGATTGCACTCATAGGGAGGAGAAACAAAATCACAATGACCCATCTGTAATGGATAAGCATATACTCCGTCCACGATGAGCATTCGTTGTCAACTTTTCCTTTCGAGTGACGACTCGCGTCAGTCTTAGATTGTGCCATTATTTTTACACTTTCAATATTTCTTCAACTCTGTCACAGAGCCTCTGTATTAATTCTTAAGTCAAGTATTTGGTAATCTAAAATAAAATAAATAATCAAAACGACTTTTGAATAGTATTAACTAAATTGTACCACCAGGAGCTTGGCACTTGGGGTGGGTAGTCGGCGGACACCTGCAGACGTCCAAAAATTGGTAGTCCGTGGTTAATTCAGATGCACATTGAAGAGGGAAGAGCGGCTGAGAGTTTGAAGATAGAGATGAGAATTCAGGCTGGTTCAATTGCTCATGATAAGTTTTATCTTGACAGCACCTGCTGCCTGCCGTTAACTGATGGAATGGATGTGTATACAATTAGTGATTGTGAAAAATAAGTTTGAAACCAAGAACTTACATTATTTATTAATTATGATTAATGACAGTATCACGTCAGTCACACGGTCACAAAAATACTACAGGATCGTGCTATGCTATGATTGAGGCGCTGGAATAGAATAGACACCGGCTGATTCCTCATTCAGCCGCCCTCAGCAGCTGATTGATGAACCAACAACAAAGCTTCCTTCCTTTCGGCGTCCTCACTCAGAAATCAGATGGCAAATAAATGTTTTAAAGTGTCATCAACAGAGATCCGTGATTAATGAATTTTTTTGTGGGATTAAGGATTAAGGATTAATGTTATTCCGGGATTAGATTAGTCCAGGATTAATTAAATAATTCAATTTGCTGGGATTAAGGATTAAGGATTAATTCACAATGCTTTTGAATTCGGGATTAAGGATTAAGGATTAATTAATCCTGATTAATTCATGATTAAGGATTAATATAATTTTTATTTTCCTGCACAGAATTATCGACACAGCGATATTAATGTGTCAAATCTCAAATACTTACAAAACGTGCAATATATAGTAGTATTGCGTTAAGTACGTAATAAAAATCAATGTTGGAATAATATCCTCGCCAATTACGGCAAGTTTTGGTGCACAAGCTATGCCCCTGGCCTTTACAGAGCCACAAGACTTGTCAAGTTCTTCGACATCAAAAAATGTGCCGGTCAAAACGAATGGCAAACCTTTCAGTTCAGTTAGATTCCTGTTCGCCATGATTAACGATTGAATCAGTACTTTTATGGAAGCAACAATATAAAGTTAAAAAATATAATGCATGCTAGATAATTTCAGGAGAGGAAAGTAGAAAGAATGGAAAAATATCACATGGTTGAGAATAACTGTTACCTTGCTCATTCGCAGTATTAATCTCTCGTGAGAATTAATCCTAATCACGATTAAGGATTAATAATTTGGGCATGCTTCGTCGGGATTAAGCATTAAGGATTAATGGAGCAAAAATATTTCGTCGGGATTAAGGATTAAGGATTGATTTCACACATTTTTTTGTTGGGATTAAGCATTAAGGATTATTAATCCTTAATCCCAATCCTTAATCCGTTAATCACGATTAATTAATCACGGATCTCTGGTCATCAAGAAGTTAATCATCGATTGTTTGTAAGATCTAGGTGAGTAGTGAACCGATAAAGCAAAAGGACAATTGCCCTTTTTAGTAAATATTCTTCAATCTTTGTTCTTTATCAAGAACTCAATACTTTATCACTTTTATCTGTAATACAGATTCTGTATACTTAATTATTGCTACAGTTTATTGTATTGATTTAATTGCATGAGTTATACAATTGTATTACCTTTGCATTTCTTTGTTTTACAGATGCGTCGATAAATATGGTACAATATATTGTACAAATGATGCATGGTGGACTTAATCGTTAGGTAATTGACCTAATCGAAAATCTAATTAGTAATTAATACCAAAATTAATTGTCATGTGCATATGCATTTACCAAACATTAACTTAACAGATTGACGTGCAATTTTCTCCTCCTAACGGACTTTAGACCTATGATCAATTAAGGAAGACCAGAAAATAGTGTGGAATGAAGCGGTCGGCCCTGGGTCAAAGTCTCCAAGGTGGTGTCAGTGTCACTGTTGACAGCGAAGACTGTGACTCGTCGTTCGAGGACACAGCAGAACCTAAAGCTAAAAAGAGAAAGTATTCGGAAAACACGGTAGTCACTGATTTGTTACCATTACATTGGCTAAAAGCTACTTAGTATTTTATTTAAGAATGTTTAATTTCATATAGTCATTATTTTACACTAATAGTAATTGATTTATTCATTTCAGTCATGGAACAAATTTTTTGAATCAAAGCGCAAAGATTTTGTCACCTTATTTCCTATTGTTGTACGTCAAGTACCCCATAAACCATCCTGTGCAAAATCATTCTCTGTAAGATCACCATCACCTGTAAGATCATCCCCCACAGACGATTATGAAATTGAGGAGTTCGATTCGCCCGAAAAAATTATAAGCGAGTTGGATCTAAATCAAAATACTGAAGAATCTTCTAATCAATTGACTATCGGTGCAGGGAGAAAAAAAGAAAAGTATATATTTCTGATTATCAGCGATAAAGATTTCGATTAAAAAACATTACCTATGTTAAATTGTAATTCTTGTAGACGACGCTTGGGAGAAGAACTAAAAGCCATCATCACAAAATATGATAACTCCGTCCGAAAATTTCCACAAGAGTACTATCTCAACAAATATGACGAAAATCAATCCATCACACTTGTTATTAGGCATGTATGTGGGAGAGAGAACAAGCTCATTTGGGCAATTTGTCGCCTTGTAGAACGTGGTGAAGATCGTTGCGTTATGTTTCGACCTTTTTATTTACCCGATGTGTCAGTGGGCGCTGTACTCAAGTTGTATCAACCATGGTAAGCAAATACAAGTTCGTATGATTTATTTATAACATCCGTTACATCCTCGTATTATTAATTCATAATGTAAATAGCAATAATTCCAACCATGTACATGCAAATGAAGAAATAAATTAGTGTACAATTTGTGGTTCATTTTCAGGGAAGAAGTCGACATTCCTGGAATTCCAATGCCCGTAATGATATGTACAGATTTCCACAGGTTTCCTATCCGCACTGATAACAATTTTGGAGTATCAGAAGACATGTTAAGAGAGCTAGTAGAATCGCTTCCAGTCCCGTTCAAGTCAAGTTACATCAAAGCAACTGCAGATTGCAAGTTTTTTTTTATATAAATTTGACTTATTTTTGTTTTTAATTCCACGCAATATTCTAATAATTTTTGACTTGGTTGATGATAGGTGATCTCCAATCTCTACTGTCTCGTGTCATCCCATTTCACCTGAAAAATCCCAATACGATCTTTAAGCAGACGAGCCTCATGCAACCTTCCATCGACCTCAATGCTATAATTTACCGACTATCATACCCAGCTTTAACTCCAACTTCATTGATATTAAGCAAAAATAATTTATTAGTTTGCGACTCTGATCACTTATTTTCTGTTTTACAACTTTCTGAGTTCGAGAGTGAGAAAAGGGAACACGTTTCCCAGTCTTTAAGGCCAGGAAATTATATCCAATTTAGGAAACTTGGAGTAGTCTCAAAAACGAGTATACTAGAGTGAGGATAATATAAATAAATCAGGAGAGTTGAATGAATAGTTAATTCACTAACAATTAATATATTGTATGTAGAGATTTCTCCTTGTTTCCAATTTTTCAACTGTTGGAATCAAATCAAAGGGTATTCTACACGCTATGCTTTCGGCATGATACAGAGTGGAAACAGGAAATGGAGTTAGATTTTCCATATCGTCCTATTCTGCGGAAGTGTAAATCCCAGTAAAAGTAAGCAAAGTTCAAATTCTACTATATAAATGATATGGATACAACATAGTTTGATTGAGGATCCGAGAGAGATAAAGAGTAGGAAATGTCCTGCTCAGTTTGTAGCTGCCTTGGTGGCCTGGTGGACAAGAAGCCGACCTCAATTGGTTTGGGCATGTTCCGGGTTCGATCCTTGGTGAGCGCAGTGAGTTGGTCGATGATTGCGCTCTAGGTGTTTGATTAAAGAGTCTTCATACTTGGTTTCCGTATCAGAGTTATGCGCAAACTATGGAAGACTTCTATCTGAGTGGGCAGGTGGGGAGGTACCTTTGGTGCTGGACTGTTGACCATCATACCCATAACATGATCACACCGTTATCTGAGACAAACTCTAATTTTTTGTTTATCTGTTGCAGCTGCCACTTCTTCACTACACTTTTCCAGACTGATTCCAGTCACCTCCTCATACAAAAATTTCTATCATTCCATTTTATCTGACACATAATTTTTCGTGAAGTAAAGTGAATGAGGTAATAAATTTACTCATTATTTTATTAACCTTCCGACATGATGACGAAACACGTGTATGTAAAATAAATATTTTAATTAAATCCCAATTTCGTTCCAATTGTCAATTGTTTCTACATTTATGGAATATTCTTTTATCCCTTTGCCACGCCGTGTAGCACGAACAAATAATCATCTCAACCTCGGATTTCCGAGTTTTGGTACAAGGGGTGGATTAATAAACTACTTTCATATATTGAATTGAAGCCTCTCAGTTTGTGGTGGCTTTGTATATGTAGCTTTTGTACACTCGTTCAAATAAAATGAGATTGATTTGATATTTTACCTGTTTTACCGCAGAAGTTGCATTATTTTCCTTTGGCTTTGTTTTGCTGATTGGATTGGTAACTGGCTCGCTCAAGTGGAGTCAGAAATTGGTTAATTGAAACTGTATTTTATTTAATCGTTTTCATGTGGTTTCTCCCCCTTCTGATATGGACTGCTGGAGAAGGTTAATTGGTGGTTGGTGAGATGCATATATATCCATTGTGTTACTAGCAATTGCGAAATTCTAGTTCATTAGAAATAAGATCAAAAACATGAAAATCCAAAATCCTGGAAATTGTGATCCCGTACACAAATCTAATCTACCTACAGTTTGATACTATGTCTACAGGATTAATGTATTCAAGTTGCGCAATTATATATGATGACGATGTCAATCATTCAATCCTTAAAAATATTAAACGGATTCTTCTCCACTATGTTTTGAAGTCCCAATGCTTAAATCAGATTGGTGATGTTAATTTGCATACAATCATCTTCATAGTTGGATTTCATGTATTTCTATTCATTTTTGTGTCACCAATTATGTACTCGAGCCAAGTAAATGGGTTTATGTCCCGCGTTGGTTGTTGTTTTCATTATGGGCATTACCTCCGTCCGTTCCGCCATTCCGTGCTCATAATTTCAAAAAAGTAAAGCCTAACTTTGTTCTCTGATGAACTATATAAGAAGAAGGAGAAACTATTTCCAAAAGAGTTGGCCAGTGCTTTGTTGATTGTTTTCGGCCTTCGCCACACATGTACATCTAAATAAATACATGGTCTGTGTGTGGTTTAGATCAATGGATTGAGATAAATTCAGAGTTATGTTGGCGTGACCCGATGGGGCGGTTCGACTGTCATCTCTCTCACTTTCTCAAAGCTTTATTTGTTTCCGTTCGTTTGTTCACTTAATAGTTTTCGGTTATGTGTATTTTCACCACTGCCAACTAAACTACCACACCACTGCTCTGTGGATAATAAATGCATCAAATTGAATGCTATGATTAATAAAGTGTGCAAAGGAGAGACAACAACTTCAGAACGGACCCCCTTCTGCCACCAAGCAAGGTACGGCTACGTGTACATGAGCTTTAAGATAAAACAAGAGTGGAAACTGGTAATTATTTCGGTGGTGGTCGCCCCACATGCCGCTGTACTTCTTTCTGGACAGGGTTCATCCACAACAGTGACACATTTCTCATATCCATACCCACACCATTTTTATCGTCGTGTACATATTTTCAAAAGTACACACATATGCCGATCTTTTCATCAAAGTAAAATTCGGATGGAACGAAATTTACATAGTATGTAAAATGTATTACCGATTACGTATTATTTTCACTGATTCTGATTTGGCTAAATTTATAGTCATGTGTAATGCTCTTATCCACATACAGTCAGCCTGAATTGCATACATTGTACATAAATATCTTACATGCCTATACACTTTCATGCAGAAATGGGTTGTCTCATTCTGCCTCACGGTTCTGGTCGACTAAAGTACGGCTTTCTGAGTTTCACCCTCGTTCTTCGCAATTCACAATCCACTTTGACGACAACCTTCATGGATCGGCTCACATCCTGATTAATTCATCACTTTGATAAATACAGAGAACAAGGACCGCCCCCCTCGGATATTGATGACAGGTAGGAGTGGGTAATCGCTTGGTTGCCACTGAAATTTCAATTCATTTGTCAATTTGAATGCTTACTGTTTACTCGGCGTATGTATTTAGATATTCTCGATTTTATATCTAACAACTCAACTGTAGGATTTTAAAAGAGATATGAAACAAATACAACTGAAAACTTCTAGCGTATGCATAATCCCCAGTTTGAGAAGTAAATTAAGCCATGTGGAAAATGTTGAAATGGTCATGCCTAAAATGGATCAAGTTGTACATAATAAGTAACATTTATTTATTAGTTCACGATTCAGGTATACAACACGAAACTTTGGAGCAAAGTGTCTTATCAAGTTTAGGGCATATGTGAAACTACTTATCAGTAAGATGTCGTTCAGTAGTTAACGATACCATAACTTTGTTAGTATGGATTGCAAAGAAGCTATTTTTATTGGTAGTTATCAAACTATGATTTACTTCAGCAAGTATGGGAGGAACATTTATGATGCAATGTGGCAAAATCACAAATGTGAAACCAGTATAAAGAAGTATTTCCAATTCCCTAAAATATAAAATTTCCCATGCCATAAGAATCGATTTTTTCTCTTACGCATCTTGAAATATTTTTTGATTAAGGAGACTTTTATTGTCAAAAGTGCAGGAGATCATCACTCTCGAGCTCGACCACAATCAGAGTCGGAGTACATGGGAATTGGAGTATTATTTGAAGATGGAAGGTGCAGATCCACTTCCGGAGGAAGGAAAGAAAGTGCTGATTGCTTCCATGTGCTGATGATAAGTGATATCAATCAATTATTCCACGTGTCCATTCCCACGTTCACTTCAACTCATGCTATGCAATACAAAACGATGTTATATAAGCCCAAAGTACATTACGTATATGAGGTGCAAGACTTTAGTGTACATTATTTTGGGACAATTTCTCATTGGTCGGCTCAGCGAAATTCAAAATAGTTTCACGGCACAAGCTAATTTCATGAAAAGGACACAAAGTAGAAGACTTTTCTTATCTCGAATCGAAGTTGTATTGATAATGATGACAGGTTCCATCCTTCTCAAAGAACGATGGCATGGGTCAGCGACGAGGATTGTGAATCCACGAAATGCAAAATATTATTATATATTCCGTACATGTACATTATGTATGTATGCCCTACGCTCTGGCATCCTATGAATTTGCTTATAAACCTTTGATATATCGTATGTTTTTGGCATGCAGATGTAGCATATTAACTTGAATAAATATAAACGTACTTATTAATATTATGAGAGATCGACAATTTTTACGTCATTGTTCCAGACATTCCAGACAATCAAGAAGAATGTACATATTCGCGACCAGAAAAGTACATTATTCTGATTCGTGGATTGGATGATTAATTGCCGTATCGCATGCACTTTTTGTTCCTGTTCTGCAAAATAATTGATATTATTCTGTAACATGTTCATTGTATAACAAATCAATTTTTATCTTACAAGAAAATACTCCAATGAAAATATAGAGATGGCAAAAAAAGGTACTTTCTGCCTCATTCTGGTGGCTGGATACATATATTTTATTTTTTGTACGCTTACAATTATTTTACAACAACCATTACACACAAGTGTGAATGTACGTGAACCGTTTACAAAATGTTGTTGTACGGATACCGATATTAAGCTCCTCATATTATGCACACGTATGTACATGGATTGGACGTTTGCAATCGTCTCGTGTGCAAATCTTGGAGAAATTAATTGATTATTTTGTTTGATGGCGTTGTAACAATAAATAATTGACTCATTTGTTTGTTCTGCGTGAAATGATATGGAGATGATGTATTTCCAGAGGTGTCGTCATCATCATATGGTCATCGCCATATCATGCAAGGGAGGAGTGTGCTGTGCCCCTCAAGTGCGCGACATGATGAACAAAGACGTATTTATGTATGCAAATTAAATTATGTGGGGTCACTCTCTCCTTCATAAACGAATATAAATACGAACATGTTTAGATATTTGTCAACGAACTATGTATGATATATATTTTGATGAGAAACTTCAGTTACTGTTACATATTATACGAACAATACTATGAAGTATCAGCGTGTTTTATAACAACATGATAAAATTATCTGACAGTCCAATTAAAATGCCATCTTGAATTTCTTATCACCTCAGGTATAAAATATAAAACGGGGATGAAATTTGCCTAGAACGATCACAACCCAATTTTTTAATCCACAGCAAAATTAGTACACTCACAAAAGGATAATTAAGATGAAAGTTATTTTTGCATTGGTGTTCTCTGCGCTTTTGTGCGACATTTTTGCATTTAAGCTCCCAGCTGAGGAATTTTCCGTGGTCCACAATTCCAGCACGAAAGCACTGGTGTTTAAGGTAACAGAAGAAGAATTTTGCTTAGAAACGGGTTGGGTTTGTCCCCTCGATTTCGACGGTTTACGTAATTTAAAAAATTTTCTGGTACCTTAAGGCAGATTTCAGTCAGCCGACGCTAAGCGCTGCGTTTGGAGGAGCCTCCATCAGCTATGGGAACCATAATGTCATCTTGTGGGCAAGTGGGGGCGGTATCGAGGTCCGCTATCCGGCCGGCTCTTACGTCCCTTCCGGTCCTATTGTGGGTGGATTCGGAATCTGGAGCAGACACCCCGTGAACTCCAACACGGCCGTCTTCAAGTATGGCGTCTACTTTCCACCAGACTTCAACTTTGTCAGAGGAGGTAAATACGTGCATATGGAGTGCTCACTTTATTCTGCATGGGGCAATGTCAACGAGGAATGAAAATTACCACACAAATCTATATAATCGACAGGAAAGCTGCCTGGACTTTACGGGGGAAAGACATCGTGTTCTGGGGGTGATCCTGCCGTCGATTGCTTCTCGACTAGGATGATGTGGAGAGAAAACGGTTTGGGGGAGCTGTATCTCTACGCCAACAGGGAGGCTCAAGACCCTGCAATCTGCCAAATGCCCAACAATTACTGCAGCCCAACTTACGGCTGGTCCCTCAACACCGGATCTTTCACCTTTCGACGAGATGCGTGGACGGACATTGAGGAAACGGTCAGTCTAAATACACCCGGAGTGAGGAATGGCGTCTTGGCAATTAAGGTCAATGGAGTTGAAGTCATCAGGTATGCCATATGTACATACATGCGGATTGAATTGGTCGTCCTAAAAGTCAACAGTATTACATGATGCGTGGACATATTGCAGGTACAATAATATCGTCTTCCGAACAGCCGCTTACCCCAACATGCGGGTGGATGGGATGGACGTGGAAACGTTCTTTGGAGGAAATGGGGTCGAGTGGGCCAGCCCCACCACACAAATTACAAAGTTTAGAGAATTCATTCTTGAAAGCTTTTTAAATTAATCTACACTGTCAAATGCATTTAAAAAAACGATGTTGTGCAACTGGAAATCACGTACCATTATTTCTTGCACCCAATAATATAATGGCACACTACCACACTACCCAAGGAATCAATGATCATGCATACACGTAGATAGACCAAGCACTAACTCCAGTGCGTAATATACATAAATAAATACACAAGTTCATCATGAGAACTGAATGCTGATAATATATTATGTTCATATGAAAATCATACAAGTACATCGGCAACGAGCCTGCATATCACCACCTGCTCATTAATTATTAAAGTCTTAACTTGCTAGTTTTTTGTTCTAAGGTGATACTTGATGAAATGAACCACATGTATTTATTTGCATGGATTAGAAGTTATCGAGCTAATCAAAAACTTATCAATCAGTTGGCCTATGTCAGTGCCCATTCTCGTCGTTTAAATTCTTGGAAAACCCGATTCTCCTGCTGTGATCGGATGTTATAATAGTTGTGATTATGTGAAAAGATTGTTGGTGCCTGCTGGAAGAATAGTTGATCTACTTGCGTCAAACACGATGGGAAATGAATTTATATTAATGTGACCTCCGTCTTTTCTTTTTTTTCAAGAAAGTGATAATAAAAAGTAAACTACGACTGACTGTGTGAGAGCGTTTGTACGTACAGTCAATGGAACAAGTATTGGCAACACCCACACAAGCTAAATAAAATTGGCTATAACTTTGGCATGCATTATCAAATTAGCATGAAAATTTGTACGCAATTAGCAAATCTAATGTAGTTTTCGATTATAATCATGTTTTATTGATTAAAATTGGATAAACACAGTTTTCAAATAATTTGTTGGAAAATATGTAAAATTAACCTGCAAAAAGTATTGGCACCCTATAACTTATAAAATCATAAATCAAAGAATCGCCAATTTTATTACGTCACACTGCTTCTAATGTTACGCGGCACCTCCCCTCGACGCAATAAGAGCATAAATAGGCCGTTGAATTGATTCGACAAGGTTCTTTATAACGTTTTTTATATGGTTGGCCACACTTGTTTCGAACTTTTGACAAGCTCGTTTTTCATCGAGTGGTTTCCCACCGGTCTCTCTTTTCGCAGCCCAAATAATCAGAATGACATCAGGAGACTGTGCAGCCAACGAAAGAAGCTTAACCTTTTCGGTCTCCAAAAACTTGCATCCTTAATTGGGGTAGCTGTTTTGGGTCACTGCATTTTTGGAATATAAAATTCCTCCCCAGATCAGGTTTTTATCAAATAATTTCAAATTATCGTTTGGAATGATTAATTAGACCTCCCTGGTCATGATTTTATCGATAATGACCAGGTAAATACGCCGCCACCTAGTCATTTAACCCCAAACCATAATCGATCCTCCTATGTGTTAAACTGCCATACGAACGTTTTCGTATTTCTGAGCCTTTTATGGCATCCGCCAGACTTGAACCAATTAATGAGCTCCGAATAAGTAAAATATGCCTATGTCGTACCAGTAGATTTTATTTCATTCATTGGAAGTCAATTGAGGCTTATATTTAGCCCATCCCAATTTATTGAGGTGGTTCGCTTTGGGGACTCTCTCGTCGGTCGGGCTACTGGAGCCTGAAACCCCAAGGCATAATTTTTTAGTGAACACCAAATTGAATGATATGTTTGCCCACAGTTAGTACTGCAATTCAACATGGATTTGGGGGCTAAAATCTTCCGATCTCGAGTGATTTGTTGCTTGATTCATCAGTAGATTTTGGGCGTAGGTGACCTTTTTCCTCCGCATCGTCGAAAAGTAGAAACTGAGATCGTCATTTTATATTTCTTTGCTACGTTTTCAATAGTGAATATGGAAAAGTATGTTTTCTCTTTGATTTTTCGATAACAAAGCATTTTTATGGAAGAGGCATGAATATTTCTCGCCGCGCCAAATACAGCTGGTTTAGTGCCGCCATTTTGGCTCCAGACAACACAACTGTAGACTTAAAATGTCGCTAACGTTATATTTTGTCACTTAATTACCTTACCGTAACGAAATGTGGAAGATGGTTAAGAAAATTGTGTCGAGTAACTAATTTAGCCACATGTTGCCAATACTTTTTGCAGGTTCGTACCTGACTAGTTAGGGTCAAAATTTGGATTGCGTTATGTTTACTAGGTTTAAATCGGAAACACGATTATAATCGAACACTACATTAGATTTATCAAATGTGTTCAAAGTTTCACGCTAATTTGATAACGCATGCCAAAGTTATAACCAATTTTATTTAGCTTGCGTGGGTGTTGCCAATACTTTTTCCATTGACTGTATCTTGATATGCTGAATCTTGAGACAGTGAGGTATGTATCAACTGGGACTCGGCGTGCGCAAACAGTAATAATTAATTGGAACCTTTTTGTCCTCACCACTGTTTATATAACTGAAACTTTTAAGGAACTAAATAATTTGGATGATTAGTTTTATGATAAACTAGCACATTTTATAATGCATATACACCGCTTATACTAACATGTACTCAATAATATATTGTAACCTTCACCGCCATGAAGTCGGTGGAAATGCGAAGAAAACTATTTATGCATGAAATTACCAGTTATTTTTTGCAAAAGTATAGTACAGCTTTGTTTTTTTACAGCCAGTCCAGTTCTTATCACTTCAGTCGTACTTACATAAGTATACACACTTAAATGCGTGTAGATTCTTGGAAGTATTTCTTGCATCAATTTCTTGCATGTGTAAGTTACTTATTGGCTGTTCAAATTAATAATCATGCAACTGCTCACTTTTCAAGTCCAAGTAACACATCTTTGAATAAAATATTTTACGTCGTATTGGAATCTTGATAAAGATAAGTGTTACTTGTGCTATTAATGTTGTATCCGGGAGTTTAATTTATTAATTTATTTTATGTGCTGGTCAACAATTGTGGCCCACAATTATAGCCGCATTTTTGTCATTGCAATTGCATCTTTTAATCATAGAACAATCAATGCACGATTTTAAAATTTTCAGCAGTTCTGTACAATAGGGATTGATAATAAAATGTTACTTGTTTGCATTGCATAAACTACAGATAAATTTAGCCCACGCACTAGGTCATCCTCGTATTTTACTGGGTTTGTTGTTTTCCGTCTGCCCTTCCTGTTAAATACGTACGCATGTTGTGTCACTTGATTATTTGGTTGAATTACAAACTTGTAACTTGACCCATATACTAAATTTCCTGCATATGCTCTCTAACCAGGATGGCTTTTACTGTTTGAATTGCATTTTGCACATGCCGCACACACACTAAAAACATTTAGCATTTTTGGTTATGCAGTCACAGACAGCATAACCATAATTTGTATTTAGTCTGCTGACAATTATACATATGTATTAACTTTCCTTTTCTTGAACGTTTGCATGAATGACAATATAGTACACAGTTGGTAGCACACGCATAAAGCTATCGTCAGTAGTGGTGAATCACTAAATGTATGTATGCTTATGTGTATATGTTCATATATACTGCTTTGCAGCAAATAGTGCGGTAACGTCGGGAGGAATTGAGGTCATTTGTGGATGAATGAAGAATTTCCCCGTCCAATGAATCAATGACACCTCCGTTGTTTTTGACTAGTGGAATTTGTATGATACTAAATATGTTGACGTATACATACACCAATGGAAATCTACGTACGAATCTTGATTTTCCATTGATCTTGATCTTTGAATTTGAATAATTTGTGAGGATGATATTGAGAGTGAGTTGTGAACACTACTAAAGGATTTGCCGAAGAACGTGGAATAGCGACATTAAAAAATAAATTTTTGAAATAGGACCATGACCTTACATAATTATGAATTAGCAAATTTTGAGACAAATAAGCTAATGTAAACAGATAAATTGGAGCTTGTAGTTTTTCGTGTGTGCTTATGAATTGTAATGTCATTTTTGTGTCATTATGTAAGCAAATATAATTACTAGACTGCGCTAATTACCCAGAATTGGGAATAGGCCTATAGGAAATCCATGTTCCAGATGAGGTTGGAATTTCCAGCCCAAATCAATGCATACTGGTAATACTACATTAATAAATAATAGGACAAGTGGTAAATGGTAAAGTTGACGCGGTTATGCTATGCGTTCTATCCCTTCCAAAAAATAAATGTCATAAATTAATTCAGATTTAGGTGAATTATATGCTATACTGATCTAGATTTTTGTTCCAGTTCCTTCCCAAAATATTCTGTTGATGGAAAAGTCGTCTACCACAATCTGCTTTATTCCCTCAATAAAATGTTTTTTTGTTCCAAATTGTTCCAAATCTGATTAATACTTGCACTACAATAGATTCAAATTTACTCTTCGGAAAATGCTGTAATGGGTTTTGGGCATTTATTATTATAATCATATTAATTAATTATAAGGAAATTAGCCGTACTTTTTATCACAATCGCAATGTATACGCATAAATGCATGACACATTTTTAGACAAGACAACACAATACTATTTCCGAAGACTAAATTCCAATCTATTACAACAGGCTATTAGTCAGGTTTGGGAGAATTTTCTACTAGGAGTTCAAATGTAACAATGTTCTATGACTTTCGAATTAAAAAAAACTACGAGTTCCAGAACTGTATCAAATTTCCCACGGCACAAATAAAATATTTAATTTAATGGATTAAATGATGTCATGAATCAGAAATGACAAATATTAGAAAACTTGTTCCCATTTTTAGATCATGCAGATCAAAACAACAACGAAGGCAAACCAAACATTTACTCTGCTTTTAAATACCATTCAGCATCATAGAAGCCTTGAAATAAATAAACTGGGTGTTGTGAAAAGAATATTTTTCTCCAAAAACTTTATGAATGTCGAGATAGAAATTCGCTACGGTTATTAATCCAATCTAAATGTCAAACCAAAATCCACAAAGTTTAAAAACGGCAATGAATGCCGTGTGGAATTATTGCTGATGGGAATTGATTGTGAGAACGTAGATTTTTGCTGTAGGCAAAAGAAATCTGAAAATGGAACAGAATTTTTCGAAACTTTTTTTGAA